GAAGAACAAGATGCAGGACCTGGGCCACTGCGGCTTGGAGACGAAGATTTCGGCGAAACATGTTTTGTACTTTTTGGATGCAATGAAGTCACATCAGTACAAAGAGGCTTAATCTGAATCTGTCTTCTTTCAGTTATATTTTCCTCAATAACTTTCACTTTTTGGCTACCCCCGACACTTGTTTTTATTATTTGTTGTTCTCTCTGTACATAAGGCCAAAAGTGCCACCGGGACAGCCTGCCCGTAGATCACCGATGTCATCTACAATGAGTGCTATTCTATTATTTAATTTGAATTTTCGAGCACGAGCTGCAAAATGAATTATCAAGATCACACGACGGAAAATAACGACAGCGAACCAATGGCAGAAGCTGCACTTTGACTTTGTGTAGTTTAGTGATTTTGGTTTCGCATCGAGCACGTAGAAGACGACAACAAGAGCACCGGTGGAAGACATAACCTACGACGCTCATCGGTGGTACTTTATTCGACGGGTGACGACTTGCTCTCGGCTACCACAATTAGTTTTCGTCCAAACGAGACACCAGCGACGCCAAGTAAGTAGCTAGCTCCTCGGTTATCAGCTAAAAAGATGAACATCAAGCACGGAAGATGAACAGGAAGCTGCGTATAGCTTTTTGTTTTCCTAATGGAGCTGACTGCTCAGTACGATACCTTTCGCATTAATGTCGTCGTCGTTGTTGTATGAGTAAAAAAATGTCAACAAGAAGTGTCGCTCAACAAGAAGATCTTCATCTTCATCTTGGTTGAATGCGCAACCACATCCGTCGGCGCAAAAGAAGGTACCAGCCTCAACATCATAATTAATATTCTTGGTCGTCTTCAGTAGAAACCTCTAGAATGAACAGCTGCTGCGCCCCCGCATCCTAGGCTTGGACGCGTCCCTTACTTGAACTGCGTTTCCTCTGAGCTTTCGCCAGTTCTTGCTGCTGTGCTGGTGTATTGCTTATTTTCCGTGTGAACCATTTCGCCCGCTGGTCTTTAGCAGAAGAAGTGGATCGGCCTCCATAATGTTGTTGACCACCGATCGTCCCACCGCAATACAGCACCAACTCCCTCCGGTTCTCAGCTTCATCGCAGTAAAACGCGTACCCGAGCTCCTCCGTGAGCCCGCCACCGGAGATTTGCTTTTTCGCATTTTTCAAGTTTTCCCAACAGTGACGGACGGCTTTCTTGTTCAGGCCAGAAGGAACAATTGGATTTGTCGTCCGGGCCTTCTGGTTGTTGTGGTCGTGTTTCTTGTCCTCGAAATGCTGGAAGTGTCCGAGCTTTTTCATCGCCGGGGGTCGTGGTTTCTTGTCAGCAGTAGAAGGATCACTTACCACGTGCACGTCGTGGTCGTTCATCTTGTTCTTATCCGCAGATGCCACTGACAGCAGTTTTTCTGTGGCCCGGAAAACGATCCGCTCGAAGACCTGATAGAGAATGAAGTCGGAAGAGGACGACGAAGGGTCACTTTGCAGCTCCTCTTGCGCTCCTCCAACAACGTCGTGTTCACCAGGAACAGCAATCCGCAGCATATCCGGGGTGAGGCAACGGCTTGTAGTCGCAGTCGGTCCAGCCGTGGTGCTGGTCCTCTTCGTCGTCGCAGGTAGTTCCACTCCAGCTTGCGAAACATCATGTCGGCTCCGTGCTTCATTGCCCTTGGCCTTGATTTTAGCATTGGAACTTACAGTATCGGGCTCCGTGCCGCCACATGCTTGTTCGAGTTCGGCGTCGTCCGCAATTAAATCTCTATCCAAGGACGCATTCCACGGCTCCGCGATATTTGCGACCACCTCCCGCATGCGGTTCCAGTCGGTTTTGCAGCCGAGATTTTCAACTTCGGACTCAAGCTCATTCAAATCGAGGCGGAAGATGAGAAAAGTGTCGACACAACTGATGTCTTGATGAACAGCTTGATCGTTTGGAAAATAAACGAATTTCCTTTCCAATTTCGTGACTCCCGCGGCCAGATGCTGAGACAGAACGCTGTAATCCTTCAGAAGCTGCCTCATGGTGTTGGTCTGTGCTTGAATTTTCATAACAACATCCTGTTCTTCACCTTGACAGCCTGCGCCTCGACGAGCTTCGTTCTGTTCTTGACAACATTTCTTCTCTACAACTTCCAGCTGGAGCACGCGGTCCAGGGTTTTGCGCATCACGCCCCGCACACTCCAAGCCGGCGTGGAGTCTTTCAAGTAGGGGCATTTCGGGCGGAGGCGGGGCAGGCCGAGGTACATGTGGTCTTGGTCAACACTTTCTTGTTGCAGATAATTCAAAAAATCCCTCTTCCTCCTCTCCACAAACGGCCGGTAAAGCAACACGTCTCCAACAATCCTCACCTTCTGCATGCCATCTGGGCCAGTGCTGCCCTCGGGGAAGAGGTAGTGGCCCCGGGTCAGATTCTCCAGCCGGTTTTCGTCACAGTCGTCTTGGTGGTGGCCCAGGAGGACGACAGGCTGCATCTTGTCGTGGTGGGTGTTTGTCATGCTTGAGTCTACTTGACTTGCATGATTTGTCATGCTGTGAGCTGCATCTCCACAGAGTTTCTTCCACGCCTGTCTGTACATGTGAAACCGGATTCCCCGCGTGTACCGCTCGTATTCCTCTCTGCTGAGACCGTATGCAAGAAAAAAACTGTGTAAGTGTAACTCTGTAATGCAAAACATGTAAACAGAGTTACACCTGTCATGCCACACAGCCATGAAGTCCTTTTTTCATGGGTATTTTCCCTTACAAGCCACGCATGACAGGTTTTCTCTGTCATGTAGAGCAAATTTGTGATGCTGTCAGCCAAAGAAAGTTACACTTACACAGTTTTTGTCTTGCATAGACCGAAGACCACAGGTTTCTTTGACTCACAAGAACTCCGACGCTCACGCTTCTTGCCCTTTAGAAGTTCAACATCTGGTGATGGTGCGCTACTACATTTTGGTGCTGGGCGCAGGTCACTCTGTTCCATCTTCTCCTCCGCATGCGGGCGCTTCAATTCGATGGAGAACCAGTAGAGCTTGACCTTAAAAACGTGCCTACACACGAACTTCACCCATTCCAACTCCAAATCTGCAGTAGAATCTACTTCATTGTCCTCCTCTCTGTTCGCCGGGTAGTGCAGATAGAGGCAGGCGAAATCTGTGAAGGGACAAGTAGTAGAAAGCGGGTTCTTTTTCGCGGTCATGATCCCACTTTCAGATGAACTGGCGTAGAGGTCGAGGTCGTCGTGTTGGTTTCCCTTGGATAATTTCCTGTCTAACAACTCGCGCAACAGACACCCACAAGCCGTACTGTCGACGCCGGCGCTGAAGGAGAGGAGGACGGGAACTTGGTTGCTTGCGGGTGTCGTTAATAGCCCGCAGGAGGTGGTCGTGATGTCTCTAACGATATCGGTCGTGGCGCAGCTCTCGTTCCCCAAACAAGATTCCTCCGGCAGCGTCATCAGCTCTCGCAAGAGGGCCTCAGTGTGATGTCGTGGTCTTTTGATCTTCATGTTGTCGTCTTCCCGCTCCTCATCACCAGAAGAAGCTTGCTCTTTCCACCGTCTTTTAATTTCCCGTAGTTCCTCGGGGACGGTGCGATGTGCGTGGGGCTTCTTATTCTCGGCACGAAGATCTTCAACGAGACCCTCGTCCGGCAGAGCAGTCGAAGAAAGCCAAGAAGCGCACTCCGGCGCCAGAATTCTCTTGAATTTCTCCCTCTGTTCGTCGGAGAGATTTGTCGTGAAATAGGGATTTTTGATGATATCCCCCTCCGAATCCTCCTGCAAGAGATCCACCTCCAGTACTTCCTCCTCATTTGGAAACGTCTCCACTGCCAGTGCTTTTTCGATAAATGCGAGATCTTTTTTCCTTTGCAGCACCCTCTCGTTCTCCTCCCACACACGGATCGCGAACAATTTCACGGGCTCGAGATAAAAATCAGCGTTGCTCTGTTCTTTGATTTGCAGCTCTCTGTCTGATACGAGGCCGCCCTCGGGTTCTTGTACTGGTGCAGGAGCTCCTCCCGAATAATACGCAAGCTCAACATGATCCGTGGTTCTCTCCAACATATCCTCCAGTCTGGTAAAAATCACTTCCAGCAGCCTTCTCCCAGTCTCCATTTGTTTTACATCACCACCGTGTCGCCAGCTGACGGTAAGAAAGATGTAGAGAAGGAACCACCGCACTACATGCTGCTCCCGATCATGTTTAATATTGTCGTGAATCTTGTTCCAGCAGTCGGTCCCGCTCGCGTTGCAGATACCAGGCAGGGCATTTGTACCAACATTTCCGCGATCCTCGTCATTCCAGAGGTCTGGTTTCAGTTCGAGTTCCTCGTGGAGAGCATTTGCCACTTCCGTGGCGAAGCTCTGCATGTGGCTGAGAACAAATAAAGGGGTCTTATTCATTTCCTCGCTACAGGTTGTAGAAGTGTCTTGTTCCTGCGACGAAGTGGATGCAGCTGGCGCCTGTAATTTTTGACCGCCGTTGTTCTTGTGGTCGACGTGCTCTTTTGGCGGCGGAGCGTTTACGTTTTTCAAATTCCGGACGTGCTGGTCCAGGAAAACAGATAACGTCAAGAGGTCGTACAAACGTTCCTCGCGGCCTCCACGTCGTGTGCTGGAAGTGGAGCAAGGATGCAAGGACTTCAACTTCTCCTCGGAATAAACTCCTTCTTCGCAGCGTTTTATTCGGAGGGCGGGGTCCTTCTTCGCACACATTGGTGGCGAGGAAGGTTGTGCCGCAGGAAGTCGTGCGCCTGATAGTACAAGAACATCTTCAGCACGACCAGAGGTACTGGATGGAGAGCTGCGGCCCCTGCTGTTGCTCGTACTACACCACGACCCGCTGCTTTTACAACCATTCGACATAACCACGACGTCCGCATGTTGATCATTATACACGTAGTCGGCGAAAACTTGTATAGGAAAACTGGTATTCAGCTCCCTGTAAAATTTCCGGTTCCGCTTCTGCTTCGCCCCAAACCAAACGTCCGGAGCCGTTTTCGCGAACCAGATTTTCGCCCAGTTCTTCGCGTGGGATATCAAAGCGTCGTCTTGTTCTAGGGGAGTGTCTTCTATTTTGCACTTGTCAGCAGGCCAAGATGAAATACGCTGGAAGGAAGCTCCTGCACGTCCGCTACTAGTTGCGGGAAGAGCGTTTGCCGCGGAAGGCAAAGATACCGGCTTTGCGACAGGAGCTGCTTCATCGGCAGAGGCAGGACCCACGTTTCTCGGCTCCGGGGCAGGCTCCATGACGGTCGTAGCCACGAGGACCGGACGAGATTGTTCAAGTAGAGAACACTCACTCAACATGGGTGCTGACTTGCCCAATTATCATGGGGGTGGCCTGCAAAAAATCTCCTGCGCCTGCTGGTGGAAGACTCATGCTTCTAAAAATCAGCGTGCTGCTCATGAACATGATAGATCACAACCTTTTTCCGACGAACGTAGTGACGAGGTCGGGTGACGTACAGTTAGTAGAGTTACAGAAGTGAAACTAGGAGAACAGGAAAGCGATATGTTAGTGCTGGCAGTAGAATAAAAGTAGGAGTACTTCTACGAGAAGGAGTACTAGTACCAAACGAAGAACTCAAATTCAACCGCTAGCCACGACTGATCTTTTTGTTTTCCGATCGGAGAAGAACCAATTTCAACGTGTCACGGCAACATTTCGCGTCCTCCTCGTCCGTATGTCATTTTAGTTGTCCTCTCTTGCGATCTTCATGTGGACGAGGACTCCTGCGGGACCACTTTTGGATCAAGATCTCTTCCAACTATCCGGAAGATCTTTTCTTTTTTTACGACCTTGTAGAGAAACTACATATCACGACCATCTGTAGGTGCAGTAGGTCTATTTTCCGTTGGATCACTACATGACTTTGATGACTCCGAAACGGAGGGTGAAGAAATGTGAATGCATTTGATGCATCAAAACTGTGCGTATAATTTTTTTTTCAGGCTTCTACACTTCTTCAGAACCAGGCTAGGCTATGAGTGATAAGCAATCTGCTGAACTAAAATTCTTGTTGAGGACGCCTGATTATAACTGAAAAATCCTAGTACAACTGAAGCCATTCAATATCAGTTTTCCCTCGTAGTTGTACTAGTCGAAAAATAATGTTGATTCTTGTATCCCTCTTGTCACACAATGTAATTCCTAATTTCTCGTACTAGGTAGTTCCAATATTGTACTACTACTAGTATACACAACATCTTCACTTCTTTCTTAAATCTATGGCAGAAAGAACGAAACCAGCCAACTCGCATGCATTTGACCCTGCAACGAAATCGAACCTGCATGCTGCAGATGTGTTTCGATTTCTCTCTTGTCGCTGATATCCATTACAAAGGAAACGCTTTAATTGGCGGGCGATTCGAACTTTTCCAAAACTTTTCCTTTGACTTTTCAGGATTTCAGGGCATTGAAAACGATTTGATAATGCGACTCAGAACGAAAAAACGCAGCGAAGATACTCCAAGCGACAGAACAGGGGCGCCTGCGAGGTCTTGGGCGCCGACGCCTCCTCTTGTCCCGCGGGTGATCGGCGAAGCCCGAGCGACCGCCTTTCAACCCGCCGAAGCGTGCGCGCGCCGGGCACCCGCCGACCGCACCCAGCCAACGGCTGCCGGCGCGGGCGCCCTAAAGAAAAAGGCCATGACCGCCCATCGCACCCACCCGCCCCCCCCCAGGCACGGAAGGCCTACCCGGGAACGGACTAGGAGGAGGGCTTGCATAGCTATATGCTATTGCATTGCAAAAGCATCGCACTCGTACTAATTGCAAGTATGCATGACAAATCTCCTTCTTGACCTCAATCCGCATTACAAATTTCATTTTTCATGCTGAGGGAATTTGTCATGCGATTTCTACTAGTGCGAGGATGCTTTTGCATTTCATACTAGCTGGGTAACCGCATTGGTCTTCTTCTCGCTGAAATACCGGGCGTTCGTCCGTATCAGAATGAAAAATCCCCCCTCCCCATATCAAAACGAAGTTTCTGATGCTGGATTTGCGTACACAAATCAGATTTGTCTTGCTGGCGAGGACTGCAGGCCCATCTTAAGCCTGAGGCTACAGGTTTTGGCCTAGGCGCTTAGCATGACAGACGTCGACGCTGTAGCTAAAACAGCATGACAGACCGCCTGTAGAATGCGGCGGAGCTTGGGGAGTTGCGTTCATGCAACACAGAGACGATTTGTGACCTCAAATCAGCAACACAAATTTTCGGCAACGTACCTTTTCAATATGGGGAGGGGGAGCTTTTCCTTTTGATAGTCCGGCGGTGATGGTTCTTTTGGGTCGCAGCTTCTTTGGACGAAGCACCGGAGTTGAGGGTGGAAAGCTCGCGGTAGGAACGGAGGGCCTGAGTTTTAAGTACGCGTTTTTTTTTTTCCGTTTCTTTTTTTGTTTGTCTCCACTCTACCACGGGCGGGAAGAACAAGATGCAGGACCTGGGCCACTGCGGCTTGGAGACGAAGATTTCGGCGAAACATGTTTTGTACTTTTTGGATGCAATGAAGTCACATCAGTACAAAGAGGCTTAATCTGAATCTGTCTTCTTTCAGTTATATTTTCCTCAATAATTCCACCCTGCAACGAAATCGAATCTGCATGCTGGAGATGTGTTTCGATTTCTATCTTGTCGCTGATATCCACTTCATATTCATCGGCTCCTGGAGGATTTCCCAACCAGATCGACGAAGCCAGGCTGGCCCCACGCATTTTTTTCCACGTTCGCCCTCCAATGATTCTGTGACACAGAAGAAGAGGAGGATTCGTCCTCTTTCATCTCCCTTCTCATCTTCATCTGCAAATGCCCAGCCCCGAGCGGAAAAAAGCGTCCAAGCTCGAAAAACAGGCGTCCACAGATTTCCGACCGCGGCGCCGAAATCATATTCTTAAACCCGTTCGGAAACACTGTCAAATGAAAATATCATCTCTGGGTGGTCCTCTGGAAGAAAAATGCAATGTCTACTGTCATGCACATTTTACATGACCCATGAACATGAAGTGTGTAATCATTTATGATGCATGCCAAAGCAACATGACATCGGAGTTCTAAGGGCTGTGTCCACAGCAACATGACAGATTTTCTGAGTGCTTCTCGATGCCTATCCTGCATGAGAAATAATTCCGTCTCCGCCCGCGCGTAGCAAGCGCGGCTGGACTCCCCTTGCTGCTCAAGAAGCAATATTACATCAGATAGTTATAGTTTCAGAATCAAAAAGCACCAGCATAGTCTACCAATCAGTATACATAAAAATTTGCGCCCTACAACAAACTTTCAGACCCAGACATCTTTTTATTTGCGCTGCATAAACACGCTGTTGCCGCAATGTTCTTGTGTGAAGCTTCTGCCGATTTTCACGAGTTCTGACTTCGGAGGAAGAGTCTCACGGCTTCCGTAGTTCTGAGGGCGGTTATTTTGTTCGAGTCCAGCACGGGCGGGACCACGAACATCATCTCGAACTCGATCTTCATCGACCCGCTCAACCTCTGTTGCCAACCTCCCAACATACGCGTAAAATGGTTCCATCTCAGTCTCCTCTGCGTGCGCGCTGGCCATGGTGACGGTCAAGATGCGATTTTTCGGGATCCTGTAAAACTTGTTCGCCACCGTCCGCAGACGCATCGTGACCACGGGAAGATTTTCGTTTTTGATCGGTACCAATAAGTCGCCTCTTGTTGTACTATTTATTTCACTGCCTTGCTTAGTGCCATTTGATGTCCTCCTCACACCCGCCAGCATCGCTTTCAGCACCGGGAGCAAGTCGGACGGCCTGAATATTTGGTTCCGAGAAACGTCACCAGTGATGTCCGTCATCTTCATAAAGCCAAAAAGGGCAAGAAAATCTAGCTCATTGTATAGGTAATCGCGAAGCCCGACCCTTTTGCTCACGAGCGGCATTCTTGTTCTTCGGTCATACAGTTTCTTGCAGGGCAAGAATCCGCTGCAGATTCTTTCCACCAAAGAACTCCCGTCCACGAAATATTTCGTGATTTCAGCCTGCGTTAGCGTGTCGATGATGTTGCTCGTGGTTTCATCCACACTTCTGTCAAAAACAGGCGAAGTTGAAGATGGTGCCCTCGTGGCTCTACTTGTTGTTCCTGAAATTCTTCTACTTGCTCTCTCCGCCGCTAAATTCTCGAGTTCGTTTTCCAAAAACGAAACCGCTTTTTCCAATCGGAAAACGGTCGAGTCCCCACATTTCCAGAGGATCAAGCGGGACGCGTTGTTCTGCAAAGCTGGAAAAATTGCGGAATTGTCCAAATACGCGCCGTCCATGTAGGAAGCCCATACCGGGGCAGTTTTAGTATTCACTTTTGCGGTTTGATGTGATGCTGAACCTGGATGATCACCTCCACCTCGCCCAGTGTCAACATTCTTGACCGGCATTCCGATGAGCTGCAACGGTGAGGAAACGTGTCCGAGAAGATTCGCCGGGGCATTCGTACTAGCCGCGATCGCGTTATGGGAGCGTCAGGATCGAAGTCGATATTAAAGTTGAAAAAAATGTGATGCAGAAAATCAATACCAGTTGTGGAAGCCCAGTTTCCAAGTAGCGCACAACAAATTTTGGCACTATATAAATCCAGTCTGTCATGCTGACTTTTTAGGGAAAGAAGGCGTCTTTTGTCATGCTACTTTAGCAGCTCTATCGCAGACCCCAAACAGGGCGACAGTCGGCCTCGTCACTTGCCATCCCTGCAAGCGAGGCACTTCATGCCTTGCAATTTATGCGTGAGAAATTCTTTCAACTTTGTCGATTTCGGTCCTGACGCTTCCATACGCATGCGCGACCGATGGCACGCCAGAGCGTCTCGTGTTTTTTGCTTCAAACTGTCTGCTTCGGATGAACAAAACGCTCTTCACACGGTCCGCAAAAGTGGAGCGGTAGGTCGAGAAGGTAGAGGAAGTGTAGGGCTGTTTATCTAGAAGTTGTACTTTGTGCAGGACAGGGCGAGAGCCTGCTGATGTTCTGGGAAACGAATTGTCAAATTCCTCGTCCTCTGGCACGGACACCGCGAGCCCGTCTCGGTAAAAGGACAACGGCAAACATATTGTAAGGAAAAATATCCCCTCCCCATATTGAAAAGGAAATTTTTTGTGATGCTGATTTGTGAGCAGCTTTAATGTCTTGCGTACAAGGCAAACGGCACCCATGACGTGGCGCCTTGTGCAGCGAGTCTGTCAAGCGTTTTCTCCTACCATGTGAGACTTGTTTCTCGTGCTCAGCTGCTAGCCAGATGCGTAGTACCAAAATGGGCTTAGAACAATATGCCGACAAGCTCTTTCTGCAGTACAAAACGACCCATTTGTGTAGTACGCAAGAAATCCAGCAACGCAAATTCATCTTTTGAATACGGGGGGTGTCACTGTCAGGGCTTTTTTCACTTTGATAAAATACCCGTACTTGTGCAGCGCAGAGTTCTTGGCTGTTAATCTCGGCAGAGATACCAGTTTACTGCTCCATGACCATCTACGGATCCCGGTGACGAGGATCGGTTGCGGAGCGGTCGCGCCGAGGAGTCTTACTGGTGCGCTGTCCATCAGTGGTGGTGGCTCGAGGTCATAATTTCTTGGCTGCAGCAAATGTTGATTCCAATTGCTTTCCAGCGATGCCAATGCTTGTCCTTGCAGAATCCCAGCGGCAAAACTGCTATCAAATGTAAAAGTGTCTGGGTCTGGAAGAATGCAACTTGTCATGCTAGTAAATCTGAAGCATGCAAAAATCTGTGTTGCGTGATTACCAAAAGTCGTCCAGTTTTGACCAAGTCGGGAGGCAGTTTCTCAAGCGGGATAGGCAGGAGAAAGATCGCACAGAATCTGTCATGCTAGGTCCTGCATTCCAGACCTCATCGGTCATGGAAAAGCTGCATGACAAGTCGCGCATTCTTCCAGACCCAGACATTTTTACATTTCATAACTGCCCAGTAAACTCGATTTTGACAGGTCGTAGACGGGCGGGCGAGTGAAATTGAAATTGAGATTGATCTGCTCGTCAGCATCATTGATGTTGTAGAAGTTCTGGTCAGCTCTAGAAGTACTCCCACCTCCAGCGGCCTTAACAGCTGCCGGCGTGGTCGTATTTTTTGCCTCCGCGACGTCTGGTCGAGGTCGAGCCCCACCTCTTGTTCCAAAGAACAATCTTCGCACCAAGCCTACTCGCGAGGTGGACTTGCGTTCTTTGAGAAGCAATTGGCGCAATTCCGTCACGGTTAAGCCTCCGGAAAACCGGATCAGCCGCGCGTTGTGCGCGGCACGATTGTTATTGTGTAGTTCTTCTTGTTGAGTGTCAATAGAAGTAGTTGCACCAGCAACATCTTCGAAGTGGCTGCGTCGTGCTGCGACGTTGTTCCTGCTGTAGCTGTCCTGCCAAGTGGGGTCTTCTTCTTTCACAAGGGCAACATTGCGCAAAAACTCACGCTCAGCCATGAGAGTGGGCTCCTGGTGCGGCAGTGGATCATAATTATATGGATTTTCACGTAGTAGACCGCCGGCGTGGTCTACATCTTCACCGTGCAGTTGTAGTTTGTCTGCAGGAGGAGGAAAATTCCCCTGATCTTCCAACCGAATCTTATGCAATGCAAATATGTCATCCTCTGGGCGGTCTGAAATCCTATGCAAGATTTGCCATGCTTGTCTGGCACGACCCTGAGGTCTGTGATGCACACACACACACACGAACAGCCCCTGCTCTTGCCTGTTATGTTGCAAAAACGCCATTTATTCTTATTGCCAGGCGGAATACGAAACACGTAGCAGGAGCTGAAAAATGTTGCCATGCGTGACTGCCCACTCCAGGAGCTGCGCGCCCTTCAATCGCAGACTTGCATTATACAGTTTTCCAGATCCAGACATATTTGTATTTGATAACTCTCGGCCCCGTACAAAAGCTTCGCCACGGTCCAGGACCCACCCGAAGAACCAGTCAGGTACTATCCTATGTAAGAACGTCCCCACGAGGACCCCACAGTTGTCAAGTTGGAAACTCAGCAACGCAATAAATCCAGAAGTAGTTTTGGGCGTTACGCATGACAGATTTTGCGCTGTACTATTGTGTTGCAGGTTAGCTGCAAGGACAGCCGCATCACAAAGAAATCCATCTTCCACCTATCGTGCTGTTTATGTACTACAGCACTACAATTGCGGCCAATAAAGAACGACTGTGAACGCCTCGCAAGAACATTGGGATGCGTATTACAAGTGTTCCTGGTCGTCCTCCGATTGGCGATTGCAAATTATCTGCATGACGAACAACTCTGGGAGGGCTATGGACCACGTCTTTGTTGAGGATAGGTACTCGGGCCACTTCCCTTCGATAGTGGAGTTGACAGCAGCACGACGAGGACCAGCACCACCGGTATTGTTTACATCATTGTCGTCGTCTTCAACTTCTCCACCACTGCCACTAGCCAGCGTGGTGAACAAAGCCTGAGCAAACCCGATCCCGGTTAAGTGCATCCGATACCCGCCGCCAGCAATACAGACGGCCGTAATTGGGTGCGGTTCGCCCTGATACAGGAGTTTGAAAGAAGTGTTTATTGTCCTTGTTGTTTTGGCGCGAGCAGTAGTAGTCCCACTGTCATCAACATCAACACCCGAAGATGTTGAAGTCGTCACCAACTGCACCTCTTCATCTGCGGCAAACGGCTCGGTTGTGCCGGTAAGGGTCAGATACTGGTGTGCAGCAAAACTACCTGCCACAGGAGGTGGAGGCTCGGCAACTCCACGTGGTCCCCCAGATTTTATGTCATCAACAAGCGGGGGTGGACTCGCTCGGTACACGTATTCGTACCGGAAAGTAACCACGGAGGAGGAAGTCCACAGAAAAGACGAATCTACTTCTCGTACTCGTTCCGCGGCCGATAATGTTGAAGATCGCGCCCCCACATCATGATCCAGCTGATCTAGTTGACTTATAACTTGGCAACCTGTCAGCTTCACGTCTTGCTCCATGAGTACTTCTACCTTTGATTTCGTCATATTATGGTCCTCGTCGTGCACATCGTGCAGCACAACTGTCTGCACTGGCACATTCTGGATACGTGCGTGGTAGAAGAGCGGAGGTTCTTCGTCATCTTCTTCTTCTTGTTCAAAATGATCTACCTCGCCTTCATCAACAAGAAACGTGGCGCGGCGTTCGCCATCACTTCGACTTCTGTCGTTGTTCAATTCTCTCCTTTATGCATTGCAAAAGTATCGTGCTCGTAGTAAGTGTTGCAATACAAGTTAGCTCAGCATGACAAATGGAATTTCTCATGCTGATTTAGCTTGAAGAAGAAATTTGTCTTGCATGACTGCGATTAGTACCAGTACGATACTTGTTTTGCACAGGATATCCTTCTTTATAGGCTCTCGGAAATTCATGTGAGAGTCCATTTCTGAAAATTTAAAATTCGCAAACTTCGAAACCCTCTGCGAATCTTATAACACGCGCCCAAAACCCGGCCCCGGCGAACCCCATTCAGCTTCCAAAGTCAACAAGGCCCCGAAAAGGGGGCTTCGAGAACTCTGAAAGATACGCGCCGTTTTTCTTCCAGAACTCTGGAGCTTCTCTTTTGTGGACTTCGAACAAGCCGGCCCTCGATCCGGAGCCGCTTGATCCCCGAACGCCGAGGTTGGCTCCATTGCCTAGTCCATGAGGTGCCCACCACGGCTTTGAGGTTCCGAAGCCAACAAATTCGACACACATGAATTTCTCAGGCTCTGAAAGAAAAACGGCGTCTTTCTTTCAGAGCCTGAGAAATTCATGTGTGTAAATGTTGAGCCAATCCCCTTCCATCAAAAGGGCGGCTGGTCGCCGGCCGTCTGGGCTGGCTTGATTGCCAGCTCCGGATCACGGCGGCCAAAGGTTCAATCTTTTCAAGTAATCAAATCTGACACACATGAATTTCTCAGGCTCTAAAAGAAAAACGGCGTTTTTCTTCTAGAGCATGAGAAATTCATGTGTGTAAATGTTGAGCCAATCCCCTTCCATCAAAAGGGCGGCTGGTCGCCGGCCGTCTGGGCTGGCTTGATTGCCAGCTCCGGATCACGGCGGCCAAAGGTTCAACTTTTTCAACAAATCGAATTTGACACACATGAATTTCTCAGGCTTTAAAAGAAAAACGGCGTTTTTCTTCTACAGCCTGAGAAATTCATGTGTGTAAATGTTGAACCAATCCGCTTTCGCCAACAAGGCGGTTGGTCGCCGACCGTCGGGGCTGGCTTGATTGCCAGCTCCGGATCACGGCGGCCAAAGGTTGAACTTTTTGAAGAAATCGAATTTGACACACATGAATTTCTCAGGCTCTAAAAGAAAAACGCCGCTTTTCTTTTAGAGCCTGAGAAATTCAAGTGTGTAAATGCCTTTCGCCGGCCCCCGGCTGGTGAAAATCCCCATTGGTAACTGAAACATTTTTCAGCTACCAATGGGGATTTTCACCACTCGGTGAGTGGCGAAAGCGCTTTCGCCACTCACCGAGTGGCGAAAATCCCCATTGGTAACTGAAAAGCTTTTCAGTTACCAATGAGGATTTTCACCTCTAGGTGAGAGGCGACAGCGCTTTCGCCTCTCACCTAGAGGTGAAAATGCCCATTGTAAACTGAAAATCTATTCGCCACTGACGAAGGCGACTCCTCCTGGTGGAAATTAATTCAAGTGTGAAAATTTGTTGGGGCTGTTATTGGTCTCGAAAAACGAGTCGCTTTCAGCACTCTTTTTTTTGCTACCCCCGATGGGTAACAATTCAAGTGTGAAAATTTAAAAGAGTCACTGGAACGACTCACTGCAATGACTCTTTCAATAGAGTCTCAACTATTTCTCTTCATAATTAAATTTACGCACTTGAATTTACTGTCTTTTAAATTTACGCACTTGAATTTGTTGCCAATGGCAATAAATTCAAGTGCGTAAATTTAAAAGACTCCTTCGAAGGAGTCCTTGCAAGGAGTCCCTGCCTGGACTCATTGCAAGGTGTAGCCGGAAGAGTCGAACGCAAATCCAAAACGAAAACGATTCATCCCCAACAATTTGCACTAGCGCCAGCAGATGTCCCAACTACCTCCTCCCCCAACCCCCGCTACCTCCCCTGGGGCCCGAGCCTTCTCCTTCCCAACCCGGACCACCTCCTCTACAAGTTCAGCCGCCTACTCCCGGAGCCAGGTCTTCTCCTGTGGGCCCCGGCCCCCTTCACGCGGAACCCAGACCACTTCTTCCACAGCCCAAGCGCCCTCATCCGGAGCCTGGACCCCCTCCTTCCAAACCTCCGCCACATTCTTCGGAACCCAGGCGCCCCTCGTCCCAACCCGGAAACGGCCCCGGCCCTCCCGCTGCTTTCTTCTAAATGGCCAGACCCGAGGCGCTTCAGCTTTGAAGGCAAAGCCCATCGCCCCCTTCTGAGCTGAGGCCGCTCAACCCTTGCAGACCTACCTGCCCCAGAGGCCGAAGCGGGAGGAGCCTGCCTATGCTGGCATCCACGTGGGGCCGTGTCATTTGTCTCGCCTCGAGCCACCTCGCAGTCGGGGGCGGGTTTTACAAAAATGGCCGGAGTTGAGGCGCTTCACTTCACGAAGGGCAACCAGCTTGCCGAACCACGGCGAAGGCGCTCAGCTTTGTTGGCTTTGCTTGTCCACGGCCCGAAACCTCTTGCGCCCTGGCCTATGCGAAGCCGGGCGCGGACCTAATGCCCTTCCTTTTCCGAGCTGGCCCTAGCGTGGCGCCACATCGACGACGACTTAAAACACCCCACAAGAGAATGCCTGGAGGGCGCCGGAAGGAGGGCTCGGGCAGCCACCTTCCGGCAAAGCCTTGCAGCTACACACCGCGAGGGGACCACAGAGCGCACCCCCTGAAAACCGGAGCCGGGCCCCTCACTATTCAGAACATGCCCTAAAGTGGTTCGCAACGCACTCCACTCAGCTGGTTTCTTAGCCACAATCTTCATAGTGCCAGTGCCGATCGTGAATGCTTGCCGTCTGTAGAGGTGTCGCTCTGCCACTCAGAGGGGCGAACTACAGACGCTCCCGGCGGCCAGAACCCCTATGCCCTGCCCCCAAATCGCGGCCCCCGATGGCCGACAAAACCGCCGAAAACCGAAAACACGCAGAGCCACCAAACTGAGCCGAAACACCTAAGACCGAGAAACACAAGCCGGCGACCAGTGCAACTGCTCCAGTTTTTTCTTCGGGCAAAGGCCCCAACGTGGGCGGCAGGCCTGTGCCCGGGCGACGACCACAACAGAGCAGGATGCCAGGAGTGAGGTCATAACCCAGAGGGCCGAAGCGCTTAACGTGCGAAATAAAAAGCGCGGCGCCGGCGCTGCCGTCGCTACTTCTTGCAGAACTGTAGCGGTTCGACTCTGGCAGCAGCTCCGTGGCTGGGCAACTTGCACAAGCAAAGGAGGCGCGCAATGTTTTGCCATTGGCGCTATTCGAAAACTGCGAAATTTAAATTTTCGAACATGGTACTAGACATGAATTTCTCTGAGCCCATATTCTTGTTCCAGCACCCGAGGCCGGGTTGTAAAAGTTCACACGTTATCAAGTGCAAATATGTCTGGGTCTGGAATAAACTTGTGATGCATGTGAGTGAACAGAAAGCGCGCTGTAATGCACCGCCAAGCATGACAGATTTTCTCGTGCTGGCACTGTGTTGCGTATTCCGCATGAGAAACATGGTTTTTGCATGACAGACAAGAGGAGGTGGTCTTCCGATGGCCCTACGCAATACAGAGTTCTGAGTCATGCCAAACTAGCATGAGAAATCTTGCAATCTTCCAGACCCAGACATATTTGCCATGCATACACGTGCGCAGAGCTCGGCAAAGGTCAGTGGTGGAGCTGAGCTGCGAGAAGAAACTTCATCTTCCTTCACCTTCAGAGCTGACGCTGACCGAGAAAAAACTTCGTCTTCCTTTACCTTCAGAGCGGCCACAGCACACCAGGCCCAGCCTGCCGTTCCGTAGGACCGCTTAATTATCTGCAGATTATCCAGGACGTCGGTCAGGAAGCCCTGCAAGAGCAGCAGAGCGCAGCTCAGGAACTGCCGCTGCTGGTGGGAAAAGAACATTTTGATGATACGAAATTGTACTTCTGCCGCCTCTTATTTCCAAGGCCAGCAGCTTACAACATTAGTTTTCAAGTGCTGGTATATATGAGAGTGGTCCAGGAGTGTGCTGGACGTGGTAGAAGAAGAACAAAAGTGAGCAGGAAGGACGGTCTAAAAAGGTAACTTCGAGTCGTTCAGATTGCAATCAAAATCATCAGTGCGGTTTACTATGGATTGGTGGCGAAGCTGTTGGTGCTCTTGTGGGGAAGTCGTTCTAAGTCTAATACCTTCGCGCAGTACGTATTGCATTCTTGAAATTTACTTTATTGTGTCGACCACCTGTACTAGTAAGGACCGATTGTTTACCTTCGACTCCATGCGGTCGCGGGAACCGAAACTTCTGCGACAAAAAATCACCTCCTGGTTGTGGTTATTTTCTACCTCGAAGCTGCTAGGCTTCTCGTACGATTTTTCTGTTCTTGCGGCACCTTCTATCTTCGGACAGAGGACACTTCTACACCGATGCGGGCAATTGAAGATTAACAACTGCATTTTTCATTGACAAAAAGAAAAAAGCTCTTTATTTCCGACTGACAAACCGAAACTATGCCGACAGCTGGTGCAAACTCCTGTTCTTATGCCTGGCATCTTCGTTCAACTTCAATGGAAACAAGCCATGCAAGAATTATACGGCCCGATACTCGTACGCAGCATAAAATGCGACACAAAGTGTGCCTGTATTGCAGAAGACGCAAGGGAGGCAGATTGTAGTGCTGTGAAGATGAGGGCTGAGATCATGGCGCATCAAGCAATTTTCTGAACTCAAACAAGACACGGACACGAATTGTCACAGTAGAGGTCGACAACTATGTTGAGATCTGGCAGTCTTTCATCTACTGCTGGCTTTCCTCGCGGCGTGCTTTGTTCTGTAGTACACAAGAAGATCCTTTACCATGAAATCATTATGCATGTAGAAGTCTCTAGGTGATGAAAATATACATGTTTTTTTTTCCTGGCAGTGGAAGCAGTCACGACACGCTGTGGACGAGAGCGAGAGTTCGGGGAATAGTTGTACTGTAGGGTAAAAAAATCACTTATCGTCAAAGAATACCGGGGTGGTCGGGTACACGTCGCCAAGACAGGGTGTAAACGGTCTACTTGTATTTGGTAATGGTAAATATGACTAAAGACTACGATGGACACCGCCTATTTTAGTACTCGTCAGCTTTTGACTAGCAAATCAAACTCAACGGAAAGGGCAGCTAGATATGTCCCCTGTCTTCCTGGTGAAGCGCATCAACCGTCCAATGCAATTTATGCATTGGTTATTTCGCATTCGCTACAGGAGTGTTCGCCAAATACAAATTGATGAAACAACAGATTTCTACTGATGAAAAAAGCAAATGCTTTATAGGTCTCTTCTATTTCAAGTGCTCTACTAAATATCCTCATGCAACGCTTCGATTTCGTATCTTCATCTCTTTCAATAATTTTTTCTATCGGTGATTTTGTCAAACGAGTTTTTTTCTCGGAATTATCCTACAAAGCAGATATAGCTGCAAAATCCTACAACTGAAACCTTTTTTGTATGATCATTAAAAATCAAAATTATCCAGGCATAAGAAAAGAAAATATACTTACTTATTTTGCAAAAAATCTTACATCCAGCGAGTTCGCACGCATTTGTTGAAAAGAGAGCTGCAGCTGGCGCACCATGCTGGAGATGTATAAATCAATTTCTATCTGTCCAATTCACTCTCGTCCACCCCTGGAGGTCCTCTGCACCAGATCCACGAAGCCAGGCTGGCCCCACGCATTTTTTGCCACGTTCGCCCTCCAGTGATTCTGCCACACAGAAGAAGACGAGGACTTGTCGTCGTCTTTCATCCCGTCCCTTTTCATTTTCATCTGCAAATGCCCGTCCCCGAGCGGAAAAAAGCGTCCAAGCTCGAAGTACAGGCGTCCACAGATTTCCGACCGCGGCTCCGAAACCATCGACCAAAACCCATTGGGAAAAACCCTGCTGCCGCAATGTTTTTGTGTGAAGGCCTTGCCGATTTTGGCGAGGTCTGATATTAATCCTCGCCGAGAAGTTGTAGCCCTCGAAGTGCCAGCATCAACTTCACGCACCAACCTCCCAACATACGCGTAAAATGCCTCCATCTCCGCCTCCTCTGCGTGCGCGCTGGCAAAGGTGACGGTCAAGATGCGGTTTTTCGGGATTTTGTAAAACTTGTTTGCCACCGTCCGCAGACGCATTGTGACGACGGGGAGTTTTTCGTTTTTGATCGGTACAGAAGAACCGCCTGTACCAAAATCATTTTCACTATCACTGCCTTGATGTTTGATATTCCTTTTCACACCCGCCAGCATGGCTTTCAGCACCGGCAGCAAGTCGGACGGCTTGAAAATTTGGCTCCGCCTCAGGTCAAAGGTGGTACTGTCCGTCTTCATGAAGCCAAAGAGGGAAAGGAAATCGAGCTCATTGAAGAGGTAATCGCGAAGCACCAACGACTTTCTCCCGTCCACGAAATGCTTCGTGATTTCACCTTGCGTCAGCGTGTCGATGATGTTGCGAGCGCTTGAAGTTGATATTTCTTCATCACTATCGAAATAAACAGGCGGAGTTGATGTCCTCCTGTCTCTACTTCCAGAAGTAGTTCTTCTCCTTCTTTCCGCCGCTAAACTCTCGAGTTCGTTTTCCAAAAACGAAACCGCTTTTTCCAATTGGAAAACCGTTGACTCCCCGCATTTCCAAAGGATCAGGCGGGATGCGTTGTTTTGCAAAGCAGGAAAAATTGCGGAATTGTCCAAGTACGCCCCGTCCATGTAGGAAGCCCATACCGGTGCAGTCCCTACTTTTGCGGCTTGTGATGCTGAAACTGCATGATCACGACGTCGTCCACCAGTCGTGTCCTCATTCTTGAGCGGCATTCGGACGAGCTGCAACGGTGAGAAAAAGTGTCCGCCAACATTCCCCGGGCCATTCGTACTAGCCGCGACCGCGTGGGCAACCGAGGGCACGCCGGGACGTCGCGTTTTTGTCTCTTGAAAATGCCTGCTCTATCAACTGTAAAAATGTCTGGGTCTGGAAGAATCCAACTTGTCACGCTGATTTTGGATTCTAAAAAAATCTGCATTGCATGAGCAGCAAAGAGAGTCCAAGTTTTGCTACACGGGAAGAGCCTTTGTCATGCGGTATAGGCATCAGGAAGCCCTCACAAAATCTGTGACGCTAGGGCATGCATCACAGACATCAGGAGTCATGCAAAATGTGCATGACAAGCCTGGCAATCTTCCAGACCCAGACATTTTTACATTTGATATGCTCCGGAAAAGCAAAACGCTTTTCACACGGTCGGAGAAGTTGGAGCGGTAGGTGGCGAAGTTCGAGGAAGTGTAGGGCTGCTTATCTACAAGAACTTCGTGTCGGAGTCGGACAGGACGACACGAGCCTGCTCCTCCGGAGGGACACGAATTAAAATTATCGAACGCCTTGTCTTCTGGCACGGACACCGCGAAACCGTCTCGGTAGAAGGAAAGCAGCAAATATCTGTACTTGTGCAGCACGGAGTTCTTTGCCGTCGCTCGTTGCCATCCTATGCAACAAGAAAGAAACTGTGTAAATGAAAATGTCTGTGATGCAAGAAATGCATAACTGTATACGCTTGTCATGCTGGGTGTGCATCATAGGCAACTTTCATACGTGTTTCCACGTGCTAGCTGCGCATGACAGGTTCTCCCTGTACTGCAAAGCGAATTTGTGATGCTGTTCTTCCTACAAAGTTACACTTACACAGTTTTTTTCCTGGATACATCCCTTGCTCCATTTACCGATCGAGGTGACGATGATCGGCTGCGTATCCTGTGTAAAAACATCCCCACCCCGACCCCAGAGTCAAGATGGGGATTTTGCAACACAAACCTGAAAGTTTTGGGAGCCACGCATGACAAGTTGCAGGCTGTAGTGTAATGCCGTTTCGCAAGGGAAGGCGCATAACAAATCCTTCTCCTTATCCTGTTGACAGCATTACAACTTCCAAAACACGATGGGAAATGCCTCTCATGGGGATGCGCATTATAAATGCTCTTGTGCTTGCAGATCTGCATGACAACTCTGGTGTGGGTACGTTTTTACTCAGGATACTGCGGAGCGGTGGCGCCGAGGAGTTTGACGGGTGCGGTGTCTATCAGTGGCTCAAGGTCGTTTTCATCGTAATTAGTATCATTATTCCTTGTCTGCAGCAAATGTCGATTCCAATTCCTTTCCACCTTTGCCAGTGCTTGGCCCTGCAGAATCCCAGCGGCGAAGGTGCCCATTAAATTCGACTTCGATAGGTCGTAGACAGGAGGCAGAGTGGAATCGATTTCGGCCGCGGCGGGGCCCGTATTCTCAAGAGCATCAGGGATGATGATGTTGTTCTCGTCATCTGTAGTACTCTCGTCCACTCCAGCGGCCTCAACAACTCGCGAGGTAGTTTTATTTGCCCCGCCCGGGTCGTCTGAAGATCGACGCCCTCTTCCCAATGAAAATCTTCGCACCACGCCTAGTAATCGTGAAGACTTGCGTGTTTTGGAAAGCAATTGGCGCAATTCCGTCACGGTTAAGCCTCCGAAAAACCTGATCAGCATCGCGTTGCGCGCCGCACGGTTGTGATTGTGTAGTTCGTGAGTGTCAATGGAAGTACCATCGAAGTGGTTGCGTCGTGCGTTGTTTCTGCTGTAGCCATGCCGTGGCTCCTCTTCTTTCACGAGGGCGACATTGCGCAGAAACTGACGCTCTGCCATGAGAGTGGGCTCCTGGTGGTCGTGTGGGATGGTGTAATCTTGCTGTAGAGACCGATTCATTTTCTGCAGTTCGTCTGCTTCTGCAGAAGCAAAATCTTCCCAGCGGCGACCGTCCTTGTCTGCCAACCGACTCTTATGAACTGCAAAAGTATCGTACTCGTATAAATGCATTACAAATTATTTCCTCAGCATGAGAAATAAGATTTGTAATGCTGATCTGCCTTGGGAACAAGATTTGTGATGCAAGACTTGCATTTAGACGAGTACGATACTTTTGCACTGGATAACTCTCGGCCCCGTACAAGAGCTTCGCTACGGCCCAAGCGCCACCCGAAATATGGAAGCGCCAGGTTTGAAATCGACAAAGTTGAAGTGATTTGTCATGCATAAAATGGATACCAGTTGGAAGATCCATTTCCAAGCGGCGCATGACAAATTCTCGGAGCACCGGAGTCCCATTTGTCATGCTGTTTGGGCACAGAAGACCGCTTTTGTCATGCTCCTTCAGCAGCTCTATCCCAAACGATCCTAAATAGGCTCACAGTCTGCCTCACTTGCCATCCCGGCAAGAGAGGCGCTTCATGCGTTGCATTTTATGCATGACAAATGATTTCAAGTTTGACGATTTCAATCCTGACAGATCCGTACGAAACACCGGTCAGATACTCGGGCCACTTGCCTTCGATAGTGTTAGTGTAGTTGTTGACACCAGCACGACGACCGGGGGTCGTGTTGACAACATTTTTATTGTCTTCAAGAACTTCACCAGCACCACTGCCACCAGCCAGCGTGGTAAACAATGCTTGCGTGAATCCGATCGCGGTCAAGTGTCCGCGAAACCCTCCGCCACTTATCCAAGAAAAAAACCTTGTTAGTGTAAATTTGTGATGCGCAACATGCAAGATGATTGCGTCTGTCATGCTTGGCATGCAGTTTAGGGTCCATGAAAGGGCGTTTTCACGTACTGTCTGCGCATGACAGGTTTTTGCTGTCATGCCAGAAAAATTTGTAATGCTGTTCCTCCACAAAAGTTACACCTACAATGTTTTTTTCTTGGATACCACTGAGACAGACGGCCGTGATCGGATGCGGTTCCCCATGGAACAGCAGTTTGAAGGAAGGTTTTAATGATGTTTTCGGCGTTTCGGCAGGAGCTACAGAAGTTGTTCCAAAATTTTTTCCATTCTGACCAGTTGTCCTCGGGGTCACCAACTGCACCTTTTCATCTGCGGCAAACGGCTCGGTTGTGCCGGTAAGAGTCAGATACTGGTGTGATGATGCCAAAGCAGGCGGGGGCTCCCGTTCAACACGTTCATCTCCCGGGAGAGCCTTGTTGTTGTCATCCAGCACAGCGGCCAACATGTTGATGTTGCTTAGAGCTGCTGCTGGTGCACCATTCGTATCGGCTGAACGAGCAGTCGTTCTTTTGTGCGTAAGTTTATTTTTTCGGTAGACGTATTCGTACTGGAAGGTGACGAAAGAAGAGGACGAGTTGTCTATGTCTACTCGTCCCCCCGTTTTTAATGTTGATCCTCGCGGAGGTCGAGGTCTGTCATGCAGTAGTTCTTGTTGCGCAATAAATTGACAACCTGTCAGCTTCACGTCTTGCTCGTGGAGGTCCTCCCCAATCTTTATCGAGGTCGCTGTGCTTCTGGAGGTCGTGGTCGTCTTCACGGCCTGGAGGTACTCAACACCGTTAATCCGCCCTGCTAGCTGCACTATATTCTGGATTCTTACACGGGCGTGATAGAACAGCGGAGGTTCATCTTCATCATCTTCTAGTTCTGCGTCGTCTTCATTACCAAACTCAAACGTGCGCTCGAATTCATTTTTGCCCCGCCCGCTGTCGTAGTTCTTATGTATTTTGTTCCTGCCTGAAGGGGTTCTACTTCCCGAGTTGCTACTTTTGTAAAAGTTCACACGTGCGCAGAGCTCCGAAAAGGTCAGCGGTGGAGGAGCAGCGCTGTCCTCTGATTGTAGTTTTGACGATGACGACGACGTCTCCTGCGCATGGTCTTGTGCCTGTAAATGTTCTTTCACGTCGTGTGGTGCTGGTGGCGCGCTACTAGTTGTACTACCGCCCGGCGATGAGGTCGTTGTACTTCCACGTTCCTGTGGTCCTCCTCCTCCTGCTACAACTACTTTCTCCAAAGAGGAAAAAATTTCCTCGTCTTCCTCCGAAGCCACACACCAGGCCCAGCCTGACGTTCCGTAGGGCCGCTGAACCTGCAGATTGTCCAGGACGGACAGGAAGAACTGCAACAGCACCAACGCGCTCAGGAACTGCTGCTGGGAAAAGAACATTTTGATAAACACGTATCGGATAGTACTAGTACGGCTGTATTATAATCCCATGGATTGATAATTATTGCGATTTTTGGTCGTGGCGGAGCAGCTGTTCCACGACCTGTGAGAGCGTTCCTCTATCTTCACTCAGTTCCGGTTGATGTACTCGGTATTCAATTGATATTGAAGAAGTTGATTCTGTCGACAGGCAGCCAGGGCTTGATTTTTCGGTTCCACAGCTTGAGGCTAAGGTGTCCCACAAACTGTGCAGTGCAACAAACTCGTCTCATCTCCTGGTTACTTATTTTCGAGCTCGAAGTTCGGCTTGTTCTCGTGCGATTTTATTCACTTGTTCCGGCAACTTGTAGTTCTTGCAGCTCTACGGCATGATCTTTCCGACGAGGCATACGCATGGAGTGTGCTTGGTACGTGCATATCCATATTTTTACAGACATCACGTGTGCCACATCACATACTCGTAGCTCTTCAACTTGTAGTTCTAGTGGCAAATTATAAACTACCATCATCGTACAACGGACACAAAGTAGAGACAACAAGGTGAAAAAAACCACGTAGATTTTACAACCACAAGAAAAGGACAAATTGCAATGCTGACCGCAATGCCAATGCTTGCGCAACCTCTTCCCTTGTGTGACTTCTTTGAAAAGTATGAAAATGAAAATGTTGTGGCTCCTCTAATATAATGCTCGTGAATAATTAAATTCAAATTTGCACGCCGCGCGACCAAGCCCTCTCCCTGTTGAGTCGTAGTTGTTGTGATGGTTCAATTTTTTATGACGTTGAATATCGTCCTGCTTCTCTGCAAGAAGCACATTCGGATTCCCATCAACATTCGCCAAGAACCAGAACCACAGCGGCCCACCGCGGACTGAGTTTATTTTGTGGTGCTCCAGGCTGCAGCATGTATGCGATCCTGCGAAGATCCTGACGATCGTCTTCTTTCATGACAGCAGGACAAAGGAGAGCCTCCATTTCATCTGGATCTGAACCAAAGAGAGATCTTCCTGGCGGATCTTTGCCGGTGCATCGATGCTGGTGGAGGACCATCTCTCGGCAAGCCCGTCGACCGACTACTTTTTTCAAAATGGTGATCTCGCGCATCGGATCGCTGTCGCTTTGATGCACTTCGTTATTTATTGGTCTTGATCCTGCACTTTATTTTCATGAATGTACTGACAATGACATGTGCGTTTTCAATCATCATCTCAGGCCGTCCTTTTAGTAATTTATTGCAGAGAAGAGACGTGGCTAGCTTTCGGGGCCAGTCGAACAATCTGCAAAGTCATCCCAAAGCTACGATGACTCAAGTGCAAATCATTCATTTGTTATTGATTTTCATGGAAACAAAAAAAGTTCGCAGAACATTCATAGCGGTACTTTGATGTGTCTAAAACTTGTAAATTGATGAAACGATAGCCGACTGCTAGTGCTACTCCTATTTCCACAGAAAGAAGCATTTTTCACTAAAACATGGCGTGGTCTAATTTCAATCTTTGATTACTCATGAAAAAGTATTTCATTTTGACTCGTCATTCTCATTTTGCATTTGCATTTTTTGCTAAAAACAGGTGGACAATAAGCAACATTAGATGAAAAGTTGACAATCTAGCACATCAGAATTCAGAAGCCTTGTACTTATTCATTTGTGATGTATCATACAGCCAGAAACTCTTGTATGCTTCGAGGTTGTCAATCAAGGGTATGATGATCGATTGAAAACATATTTCCGCCGTCGCGCTTGGTCGTCGAGTCAAACATTTACTACGACCACTTGTTATTATTCCAGAACAATCTCGAACAAAGTCAAAGATAAAGATTAACATTAAGTTTAAGATTCCAAATAGTACTAAACTTGCAACAGCTGCAGTTCCAGTGCCAGTTGAACACAACATGTTGCTTCTTCGTTTACATTCGCCCCTAGCCCTACTTGTACTTGTTACTGCGAGTTATTCATGTTGACAATTTGCATCGCCTGTTCCTTACTCCCCTCCGTAATCGTACTTACCCGGCTGGTATGCATTGCAAAATTATCGTCCGTAGTAAAAATTGCAACACAAATTCATTTTCCATATTTTTTCCAATGCTGCCTTAGCCTTGCCTACAGGCTTTGGCGGTGAATCTCTCATGCATGACAGCAATTTCTAGTACCACGAACACGATACGGGCTTTTCCAGCGGATAATTGTGGTTCTCGATAATGAAGATTTTGTCCGAGTTCTTTATCAATTCTGGTCGAAAGGACGTGATCAGCAGCTGTGCCCCGCTGGAGTTCATCTTCGCTGTTCGGTTGACGTCATCAACACCGGTTCTATCATTATTTCCGCGATGAAAAAAATCCTCCGAAGAATCATCATTCTCGACGTCCATCAGGATCAGGTCGTTTACATCAAAATGCTCGTTCAATTTCAAACCCTGCTGCTCCGCCTCGTTCACTATCAAATATAAAAATGTCTGGGTCTGGAAGCTTGGAGCTTGTTGTGATGCTAACTTTGTACTTTGGACTCTGAAAAAAACTGTATTGCATGATCAGCAGGAGGAGGCTAGTTTGTGCTACGCGGGGCGGGCATTTGTCATGCGGAATAGGAATCAGGAGGCCCTCTAAAATAAAAATCTGTGATGCTAGGTCATGCATTACAGACATCCTGGGTCAGCAGACACCATTCCAGACCCAGATATTTTTGCATTTGTTATTCACCATGGAAACTTTCAGGTCCTGCTTCAGGTGCACGTCCAGGTAACTCGCCAGGCTTGCGCGGTATTCCGGATCCAGAGCAGCGTCGAACTCTATCCGGTACAAAAACGCCCAAGCCCATAGTCAACATGGGGAATCTGCTAGACAAATCATAATCAAAAAGCTTTGGTTGTTGCGCATGACAAGTTTGGGTTTGCAGTGTCGTCGCCTTTAGGTAGTGCAGCAAGCATCATAGATCTAGCTTACCATGCTGGTTCGAGCATCACAAATCTCAAACACTACTAGAAAATGCTTCTCCTGGGTCTCCGCATGAGAAACATTTTACGCATGCAGCTCTGGGGAGGAGGTGTGGACGTTTTTATTCAGGATAACCTCATCGAGCAGGTAGAACGGCGCGGGTTTCAGCCGGAGGAGCGCTAGCAACAAGGACAGGGCTATGGCGCTCTCAAACGTTACATTCTCAACTGTTACATTCTCAACTGTTACATGGTTTGTCATGCAAAATTGCCTTCAGAAGCGACGCCATCAAGCTGCTTCGCATGACAAATTCTCAGAGGGCCAAATAGGGTGATAATCGGCGCCAAGTCTGTCACGCAAGACGCGCAAGATCGCCCCTATCACTTTTGCCATTCTTGCATCACAAATTCATGTAACGGTTGAGAATGTAACAGTTGAGAACGCCAGCATAAGGGCGCAGATCGTCTTCTGCCCACCGGAGAGCTGTCGCATGTCTTGATAGGCATAGGAGGTTGAATCATTTTTATAATCCACGTCGTTATTTTTCTTGTTGTGCATCGTGATCAGAGCGTCAGAAGTACTATTTTCCGACAACAAGTCCGACTTTTTCATCTTGTTCGCCACAACACTGGCCCGCTTGAACGTCGCTTCGCACTTCAGCCCGGTATCCAGTGCAAAAGTATCGCACTCGTACTAATTGCAGGCATGCATGACAAATTTCCTTTCCAAGGTAAAACAGCAAGACAAATTGAATTTTGCATGCTGAGAAAATTTGTAACGCAATTTATACTAGTACGATGCTTTATTTGCAATTCATAGCCGGTAATGTTGAAAAAGTTAGAGGATGTTGAGTTCATCGGGCCTTGGCCGGGATTTGTTTTCTTGCTCTCGACGATCAGCCTGGCGCCGGCGCTGCTAGTCGTTGCTCCACCAGCTGCAGCACCACCTGAGGTGGAGCTGCTCCGTGTCAGTTCGGCGAACACGTCCGCGAACTCTTCTTTCAGCTGTTCAATGGAATTCTCGAACATGATCCTTTTGTTCTTCTCAACAATTTCTAATCCCTTTTGAATCTGCCTCACCAACTATGAGAATGCACAAGAACTACTCGTCCCGCTCCCCGTCATTTGTATGTTCATGTTGATGGCATTAGCAGCAATACAAACAGTTCTGCACTTCTATCTTGTGGAGCCTGAGCATGACAAGCTCTTTATGCGCAAAGTCGTGTAAAAGAAGTGCTGTTTGGTCTCCTCTATCCGGAGTAATTTTTCATGCAAACAGCTTCGGCCTCGGCACAAGGCAGGAGCAGTAGGTGTATTTGGGATTTTGCATGACAAATACGGAGAGGGGGGCGAACTCTTGTGCACCACTCTGATACCGACTGCTCGACCTGCAGAATTTCTTCCTGCAACCGTGCGCGCACGTGCTTGTAGTCGATAGTCTCTTCCAAGGCACGCTGGTTGTACTCGGACTCATCGAGGGTGCGGTTGATTTGGGAGAGCTCTAGCAACAGCTGGCTGATGTTCAGACTGGTGGTAGGACGTCGGGACGAATCTTCTTCGTGTTCTTTGTTGTCGTCCACCTCCTCGTCTTGCGCGACGACATCCTGATCACCAGCGTCTTCCATTTCAACATCTACATCATTCTGATCTCCATCTTCCGCAGCTGCATCTTCAGCATCAGAGTCCTCCAGTTCTGCATTTTCGTCGAGAAGAACATCACCTGGCGCAGCTTTCTTTCCTTGCTTCTTGATGTCTTTTTCTTTCGAAAAACTGCTGCTCGTCGTTCCAGCCCGCTGCTTCGCGTCTTCCGCTCGGGTGAATTCCGTGACAATCTTATTGAGAGGAAAAATCCCCCCTCCCCATGTCGAAAAGGTAAGTTTCCGAAAATTTGTCTTGCTGATTTGAGACCACAAATCACGTCTGTCTTGCAAGAAGACAACTCTACCGGCTCTGCCGCATTATGCAGGCGGTTTGTGATGCTGTTGGGCCTACAGCATAAACGTTTCTCTTGCTAAGCGCCTAGGCCAAAACCTCTCTACTCAGGCTTGGCAGGAGCCTGCAGTCCTCTACTGCAAGACAAACCCTATTCGTATACGCAAATCCAGCATCAGAAACTCCCGTCTGATATGGTGAGACGGGATTTTTCCTTGTGATAAATCTTGGAGTTGTAGAAATCAACCTTTCCGGAAATTTCCTCCCATATGGGAGTGTCAGGACCGAAATCGTCAGGGTTGAAATGGTCTGTATATGCAAATAAGCGATACCAGCTGGGGCGCAGTTTGCAAGTGGCGCATGCCAAATTTTGGCAGCGTGGAAATCCAATTTGTAATGCTGTTTGACTAGAGACAGAAGACTGCCTTTGTCATACTATCATAGCAGCTCTAACAGGCAGCTTATAATCGATCTCAGTTTCCTGTTCTGCAAGGTAGGCACTTTGCGTCAGGCATTTTACGCATCACAAACTATTTCAGCTTTGACGATTTCAATCCTGACTCTTCCATATCCCATTCCGAGTTGATCTGCAAAGACTCCTGCTCGACTATGGCGCTCTCAACTGTTACATTCTCAACTGTTACATGAATTTGTCATGCAAGACTGGCAAAAGCGAAAGGAGAAAGATTGCGTCTTTTGCATTACAAGTTTGGCGCAGATTTAAATGCTGTTTAGCCCTTCCGACATTTGTCATGCGAAGCAGCTCGATCATCTGCCGGCTGAAGGCACTTTTGCATGATAAATCCATGTAACAGTTGAGAATGTAACGTTTGAGAACGCCATATCGAGATCCGTGAGAGAAGCTTTCGTTCTCACGAAGTTGTCCTCTGCTACTTCTAAATCACTTGTCGTTTTCTTCAAATTCGTCATGATTTTCTCCTCTTCTTTCTTTTCATTGTCGTCCTTCTGCTTTTATGAACTGCAAAAGTATCGTACTCGTATAAATGCATTAGCATTACAAATTTCCTCAGCATGAGAAATAAAATTTGTAATGCTGATTGACCTTAAGAAAAAGATTTGTAATGCATGACTGCAATACGAGTACGATACTTTTGCACAGGATAGCTTTCTCAGTTTCATCTTCTCGAGCTTCTCCCGCATCGTATCCACGTGCTTTTTCTTGCTCTCCTGCTGCTTCGTCAGTTCGGAAACCTGCTCGAAAAGTTGTCGCGCTTTCAGTGTTATCAAGTGCAAAAGTAACGCACTCGCATTGCAGTCATGCATTGCAAATCTTTTCCCTAAGGTAAATCAGCATTACAAATTTTATTTCTCATGCTGAGGAAATTTGTAATGCATTTATACGACTACGTCGACACTTTTGCCATGCATAAGTTCGGATTTCTGTAGGTTCGCTGTCGTTTCCTCGAGTTGCTTCTCCAAAAGGGTAATTTGCTCCGCTTGCTGCTGGGAAGACGCTACCGTCTGGGCGGTGGAACCTGGGAGGATTTATTTGAAGCGACAGAAATTTTATTAAGTGGTACTATGAGCTAGTTGTATTTCATTTCGCTATGTACAACTACGTGATTGCTAGTATCGTTCTCGTTGTCGACAAATTCGACTCTCTTTTTGTTGTGCAACAGTGTGCATGTCAGGTATCGAAGGAAGAGCGGAAGCATTTTTATAAGTAATAAGTACCGTCTGCCATTTCCTGTTCGCATTTTTTCAGCAGTTTCTCACTTTCCTTCAAATCTGTCACCGTCATATGCAGTGCAAAAGCATCGCACTCGTACTACTAATGGCGATCGCGCATTACAAATCTTTTTTCAATGGCAGGCCCGCATTACAAATTCAATTTGCCATGCTAAGCCAATTTGTAATGCAATTTATACTAGTTGGACGAGACTTTCACTTTTGCAATGAGTACAGCACTTCCTTCCGCAATTTCAGTTCTTCCACCCTCCGCTTACTCTCCGAAATCTCCGCGGTCAATTTCGCCAGACCCGTGTCCACCTCGCACCACTCCACCCGGACTTTCTCCCTATAATTCCAAGCCCGATCTCGCTTCTCCTGCAACGTCTGCTGTTTCAAAGCCAAGGAATCGTGCTTCTTTTCGAGCACGTCCCGATTTTCCTTGTGCAATTCTTTCTCCTCTGCTTTTAGCTCGTTCACGCGCTTCTGCAGTATCAAATGCAAAAATGTCTGGGTCTGGAAGATTCCGAGATTTGTCATGCATATTTCTCATGACCCATGATGCCTGTAATGCATGACCTAGCATCACAGACTTTTAGCGGGCTTCCTGATGCGCCTTCCGCATGAGAAATGCCCTGTCCGCGTAGCACAAATTGGACCCCTCTTGCTGCTCATGCAATACAAATTTTCCTAGAATCCAAAAACAGCATGACAAGTTGCGATCTTCCAGACCCAGACATATTTGCATTTGATATGCAGCTTGAGCCGCACAAAGCTGTTCGGATCCACGAAGCCACCGGAGAAAAAGCCGGAGGAGAGCACTTTATCACCGTCGAGCGTGACGTATCATCAGCAAAAGTAGCGCACAACTCGTAGTCATTGCAGTCATGCATGACAAATCCAACTTTTTTCCTGAACTAGCATGACAAGTTGCACTTTTGTTCTTGAAAAAATTTGTGATGCGATTCATACTAGCTACGATACTTTTGCAATGCATATGATGCAGCTCAAGCCATACCTCTTGCTGTAAAATTCACAGAGATCCAAGGTCTCGCAGAGCAGCCACCGGCCGTAGATCTGCCGGACCGTATCGCGAGAAAAAAGTGCTACAGTTACACATTGCGTTGCAGGAGCCGCAAGACAGACAACCTTTGTCCAGCAAGAGAGGCTTGCGGACTTCATTTTGTGCGTGTTTTCCCTTGGGAATTCTGCATTACAAGTTTTCTCTGCCACACACAGAAAATTTGTGTTGCTGAAGTTACAACAAATGTGTAAGTGTAACACTTTTTTCATGTGATAGACGGCGGGTTTCACCCACTCGTCGCACTTGATGCAGTTGACCAGGGACAGAATTTTCGGCTTGTTCTATCGTAAGAAAAAATCCCCCATCCCCATATCGAAAAGGCACACCTCGGAAACAAAATCTGCCATGCTGATTTGTGGCCACGAATCGTCTCTGTCTTGCAAGAAGGCAACCCCACAGGCCCCGCAGCGTTATGTAGGCGGTTTGTGATGCTATTGGGCCTACAGCATAGGCATTTCTCATGCTAAGCACCTAGGCCAGCGCCTCTCTACTCGGGCTTAGTATGGGCCTGCAGTCCTCTCCAGCAAGACAAATCTGATTTGTGTACACAAATCCAGCAACAGAAATTTCCGACTCAATATGGGAGGGGGCGATTTTTCCCCTCAATATGTTCACGTTGTTTGGCTTCGTCTTCGGGCCGTTGGAGGAGCTATCGGGTCGTTCTTCGCTAAAAGTAGAGCCACGGTCTAAATCGTCGTCGCTGTCGTTGTCGTTTTCCGTCTGCATGTTGTTTTTGAAATGTTCTGCTTGATACTCCTCTTCAATCCTCTTCACGACATGCTCGCTGGCGGAAAGGTAGTTCATCGGCTCCGCCTGTTGCGCTATCAACTGCAAAAGTGTCTGGGTCTGGAAACTTGTAATGCTAAAAGTGGATGATAGCCGGACTGCAATACGCAGCCAGGCATGCTGGCAAATCTTCAAGCTGCTATGTGTTGCGTATTCCGCTTGAGAAATAACGTTTTTACATGACAGACAGGAGAGCCTTTTCGTGCCAATGCATCACAGATTCTCGAGTCATGTCAGACATGCATGACAAATGTAAGAATCTTCCAGACCCAGACACTTTTGCAATCCATATGCGCAGGAGCTCCATTCGCATTTCCGCCCGTCAGACGGTCCAGCGGAACACACTTATCAACTGCAAAAATGTCTGGGTCTGGACGATTCTGAGACTTGTTGTCATGCACGGTTTGCATGAGCCATGATGTCCGTGATGCATGCCCTAGCATCACAGGTCTTCTGAGGGATTCTTGATGCCTATTCCGCATGACAAATGCTCTCCGCGTAGCAAAAATTAGAATCCTTCTGCTGCTCACGCAACACAAATTTCTTAGACATCCCAACGCAGCATCACAAGTTGCATTTTTCCAGACCCAGACATTTTTGCATTTGGTAACACTCGATACTCCCCAACTTCTTCTCGCGGACTTCCTTCAGAATCAAGCTGGCCGCCTTGTCAGTGTCGACGAGAAGGTTGAGTAAGCTCGCACCGCCTACGGACTCGATTGCAACTTGATACACCGGATCTACGGCGAGGCATTCCAATAAAGTTCCTTTGATTCCTCGCTTATCCAACCCCTCGACACTGTTTTGCTCCAGATGCAGCAACGCCGTCCGGATGCCGCGGGGGAAGGTTCCGGTCAGTTTTTGCTTCTTCTCGGTGAGGAATTGCTCGTTTTGCTGCTTCCTCTGCTTGAAGCGAGTCAAGTGCTGCTGGTACTGCCGTTTTTCCTCGCTAAATTGCTCCGCATCTTGGTCCAGCGCCCAGCAAGCCTGGGGGAAGAGAGGTTTTATTTTCTTGAACGATAGCGTTGTGTGTGTGTGATCATCTTGTTTTGGAATGATTGGACGAAGCAATAAAAGCTGCAAAAATAAATCATGTGCTATTGCATGCGTGAAGAGGACAACTACACTATCGAAAGCAGCTTTTTCGTCATTTTATCATGTGAAAGATATAACCTATTCCTATACTTGCTTCGCTTTCTCCCAGTCCTGGCCCAATTGCCGTCTTTTCTCTTTTATCCTCTGCAAAAGTATCGTACTAATTGCGCCAGCCATGCATGACAAATCCAACTTTCTATTCGAACACGCATGACAAATTGCATTTTTCTTCTTGAGAAAATTTGTGATGCAATTTTTACTAGTACGACAGTTTTGCAATGCATAGCTTCCAAATCTTGCTGTTTTTTCTCCCCAAACTCCTCCTCATTCAGTTTCTTCTTATCAAATGCAAAAGTGTCTGGGTCTGGAAATGTGGAACTTGTGATGCTAGCCTCGGACTCTAAGAAACTCTGTATTGCATGACCAGCAAGAGGAGTTTAGTTTGTGCTACGCGGGGAGGGCGTTTGTCATGCGGAGTAGGCATCAGGAAGCCCTCCAAAAATCTGTGATGCTAGGGCGTGCATTATAGACGTCCTGGGTCATGCAAAACATGCATCACAAGTCTCAGAACCTTCCAGACCCAGGCATTTTTACATTTGATACTTCTCCAGCTTTTCCAATTCTTTTCCCACCGTCTCCTTCAGTTATGCACTGCAAAAAAAGTTGTAACGCACTACCAGTAGAAGAAATTGCATTTACACATTGCATCCCTGAAAGCAAGGATGGACATTGTTATTGTTTTTGTTGTACATGTGCTTTAATACCTAGTACTAGGAGGCGAGATTTGTCAACATGCATGCCTGTGTACTATAAAAATGTTTGCAATACATACGAGTAGTTGCGCGACATCAGTTTGGTGCATTGCATATCAGTTCCCGCTCCAACCTGGGAATCTTCACTTTCATCTTCTCGCACACCTGCGCTGGCGTGGATAGTAAAGACGTTTTCTCCGTGAAGAGCTTCGTCTTCTCCATCTGCAACTTCGGAATTTTCTGCTTCGACAAAAAGTCCAGCTCCTTCTGTTTTTGCTCCAACGTCGCCGGCAGGTGGTGCTGTAACTGTTCCTCTTCCTGCTTGATCTGGGAGGTGAGTTCCGCGATGTTCAGGAGGTTTGTGAAGTCAGTCCCTTGTTCACCTTGGTCAACATGATCGTTGCCGAGAGCAGGGCCTCGTTGCAGCTGCTGGGAAAAATCATCGCTGCTGCTCATGGACCCCCGATTCATCCCTATCCTTTGCAAAAGTATCGCATTAGTAATTGCATTTATGCATTACAAATCTCGTTCTACAAATTCAATGTGTAATGCTGGGCTACTTAATTTGTAATGCAATTTATACTTAGCACGATGCTTTTGCATTGCATAATCCCTGCGCCGTCAACATTATTCTTCATCTCCTTGTTCTTCTTCGCAAAGTAGTCCGCATACTCCTATCCTGTGCAAAAGTATCGTACTCGTATAATTGCAATCATGCATTACAAATTTTTTTCTAAGGGTGCATTCGCATTACAAATTTGATTTCTCATGCTGAGGGAATTTGTCATGCATTTATACGAGTACGATAATTTTGCAATTCATAACTCCTGTTCTGCAGCGATTTTATCCGCTTTCAAGTATTTATCCCGTGTGCAAAATCATCCTATGCTTGTAGTAATCTTTATCCGATGAATCATGCATAGGATAGTTCCCAAGATAAATCAGCATGACCACACAGCATTCCGTGTCTCTTCTTGCTGAGCCACTTTGTAAGTACTATTGCAATTACTACTAGCAGGATACAACTTTTACTTTTGCAATTGATAGTATTCCACCTGGTCTTCAAATTTGAAGAGCTCCTCTTTCGTCTTTTTCACGTCGGTTTTCAAGTCCTGCTTCCTACCGGTTAGTTTCGTCATATCAACTCCAAAAGTGTCTGGGTCTGGAAGGGTCATGCTGTTTTTGCATGACACACAAGGTCTGGCATGGAAGCTCTAGCATCACAGGTCTCCAGAAGCTTCCGAAATGCCGAATCCGCATCACAAATCCCCCATTTTGGTGACAGAAAGTGGGCAGCTTTTGCTGCCTAAGCATGAGAGATTTTTCTGTGTTCTGAAATGCGCATCACAAGTTTGTACTCTTCCAGACCCAGACGTTTTTGCAATTGATACGTCAGCCGCAGCTCCAACACATTCTTCTCCGACGTAAACAGCCCCATCTTGCTGGTCGCGTCCTTCAGCTCATAGTCCGCGATTTTCGCTTCAAGCTGTTTCTTCTTCACTGTGAGTTGTTCAAATTTTTCCAGCTCCTCTTTGTCAATCATCAGCTCGTTAATCTTCTTATCCAGGGATTCGACCAGCTCTTTATCAAATGCAAAAAGGTCTGGGTCTGGAAGGATGTGAAGTTGTGATGCGCATTTCACAACACACAAAAACCTTTCATGCATAGGCAGCAAAAGATGCCCACTTCCTAGCACCAAAGGGGGGCAATTGTCATGCCGATTAGGCATGGCGAAACTTTCTCGAAACCTGTGATGCTAGGCCTTCCATGCCACCAGACCTTCTGTGTCATGCAAAAACAGCATGACATCTTCCAGACCCAGACTACATAATTTGCATTTGATACTCTTTTCCGTAAACCAACTGCTTCTCCTCGATCTCTTTCAATTGCTGGATCGCCAGCTCTATCGAGTACAAAAATGTCTGGGTCTGGAAACTTGTAATGCTAAAAGTGAATGATAGACGCACTGGAATACGCCGCTATGCATATTCCGCATGGCAAACTGCGTTTTTGCAGGACAGGTAAGAGGGTTTTTTCGTGCCTATGCAACACAGATTCTCGAGCCATGCCAGACAAGCATGACAAACTTGCATTCTTCCAGACTCAGACATATTTGCATTTGATAAACTCCCGCCTTTCGTCGAATTTGCTGATCCCCAAAAAGTCCTCCATGTACTTCAGCCTCTGCTTGCTGTTCATCGCCTGTCCTGTGCAAAAGTATCGCGCTCGTAGTAAAAATTGCAGCTATGCATTACAGAGCTTTTTCTTAAGGCAAATCCGCATTACAAATTCCATTCCTAATGCTGAGCAAATTTGTCATGCAGTTTATACTACTAGCACGATACTTTTGCAATTCATATTGCCCCCAGCTCCGCGATTTTGCCCTGTTTGATGCACCAGTAGGGAAAAGAGTTCAGCGCGCCGATGCCGCACTGCTCCAACAAGTCCGACACGGTTTGCTTATCAATCGCTTTGTCGTTTAGCGTGTAGTTTTTGCTGATGATAAACCTTTTCAGTTTCAGCTGCTTGTTCTTTGTAGAATTGTTTTCCTGGTTTAATATCAAGTTTTGCGGATTGCTGTTGTTGTTTTTGTTCGCAACGAAATACTGCTCCACAATGGCCGTGTAGGACTCCATATTTTTCGGCACCTCGAACACTAACTCGACGTAGTACTGCCTGTCATCGATGCCGCCTTGCTGTGCAGCGGCCACAACTGCTTTATTTCCACCCGCCCCGCCGGCAGATACACTGGTGTTGACATTCTGAAACTCGCCCTCGTGCAGAACAGATAAGTTGTTATTTTTGTTCGCAGAACGTGCAGCTGCTCCCGCAGCATTCTTCTTGTTCCCCGAGGGGCCGTTATTTCCCCCGACCTGGACAGTCAAAACGTTGTCCGACAGCACAAACAAAATGTATGGCGTTCTCAAACGTTAATACATGCTCAACTGCTACATGAGTTTGTGACGCAAGAGCCGCAACAGTGAAAGGGGCAAGCAGCTTGCAACTCTCGCATCACAAATTCGGCACAGATTTAGGTGCTGTTTAGGCCGCCTTCGGGGATTTGTCATGCGAGGTAGCTTGATCGTCTGGTGGCTCATAGTAATTTTGCATGACAAATCATGTAACAAACAGCTGAGAATGTAACGTTTGAGAATCCCATTGCCATAAAATGGCATCCAGCACGTTCGATTTTCCGGCGCCGTATCCTGTGCAAAAGTATCGCACTCATAGTGCAGCCATGCATTGCAAATCTTTTTCTTTAGGTGCGTCAGCATTACAAATTTTATTTCTCACGCTGAGGAAATTTGTAATGCATTTATACGAGTACGATATTTTTGCAGTTCATACGCCGTTGTAGCCAACGATGAGATTCCGCCCCGGGTGAAACTCCTTCTTTCCGCTCTGCTTGTACGTCTTGAAACCCGCAATCTCCACCGAACGGAGCCACATTTTGTAGTTCTTGACAGTGTAGTTCTTGCTGCCTTATTTCCAAGTGGGCTAAAATTAAAAAACGAAAAAATAAAGTGTGGTACAATAAAGCGTAACCTTCGGAGGTGTTCTACTTCGTTGCTGTAAAAAAATTATCGTCCTCTCGGTCAACCGAGCTTTACAATTTGGGTCTTCTTCACGACATGAGCTTCCTATCGCCAAGCGATCTAGCTTTTTCTACTAACTTGGCAATGAATATGAAACCTCCTAACTTTCGGGGACAAGAGAAACCGCTTTGCGAGGATCCGCAAGAACCTGGAGGCCTCCAAATATATTGTTTTGGGTGCCCGTTTGACATTTTTGACTCGGTTTGCAATCAGTATTTCCCTCCAACAGCAATTCCCGTTTTTAATGCGATCTTAAACAAGAAACGCTCAGACGACTCTCGATGCGACTCCAAAAAATACGACTTCTGAAAAACGCCAAGATAGAAAGAAAAGAGCAGGCCGAAGATGAAAAAACAACAGATTCCTTTCGCAACGAATGTTATAGCTTGTTGGAAAAATAAGGTGTTGAAGCACTCGAGGATAAAACAGCTAAGCATGAAAAAACCGCCATCGTCCAGCGCAGCAACAAGGCCGCATCTACGCGAACGCAGCGAAGGAGGGTCAACAATAGAGCACATGGGAGCTGCTGCTCAGAAATGCGTGCTCTATCAGGTAAAGATTCAATCTTTTTATTTTCGTTTTTCGATGAAAATTCATCTCATCATGAGAGTTCTTACAATTTTCCTGTCGGGTGCGTCGTCCTGGCCCCAGGTTCTAGTCTTCAAACCAAAATCGTCATCAGTCGTACAGTTTTCTCAGATGCGTATTCACTTTTTTGTTGTAAAACGCGGTGACGTCTTTTTCAAATTTGCTCGTCTTCGCCGTGAGTTCTTTCAGCTCCTTGGCGATTTCTTTTTTTAACTTGTCGTTTTCTTCTTTATTCTCCTCGAGCTGGGAAAGGACAAGCATCTGATTCTCGTACCTGGTGTTAGTTTTACTTTTTGATTTTGTCCTTGGGATATAGGATATACACGTTCATCCTGTGTGATAAAATGGTCATGTTGGAGGAGAGTGTCCGCATCACGACACCATCACGAGAACAAGGACCACACGACTCAAAAACGAATAAACAATGTAGAAAATACAAATACAGGTTGAATCACGCAAATTGATGATGATGAAGGTCAAAATTATCTAAATCCATCTATATACGCTCGCTTGAGGAAGACGATCAGCTTCGAGGTCGGGAGTCGCTGCAGATTCAAGAAACAAGGGCAGCTCTTGGCGGGTCGCATGTCGATTATTTTGTGATCGTTTTCGTTTCGGAACATCCCCGGGAAGTTCCCTAATTGCCAAACTTTTGACAGCATCAAATGCAAATATGTCTGGGTCTGGAAATTTGTGATGCAAGGAAGGGAATAGTGAGCTCACTGTAATGCGCTGCCAAGCATGATAAGTTTTTTGCATGGTTCTGAGTTGCGTATTCCGCATGAGAGCCTGTGTTTTTGCATGACAGGGAGTAGCAGCTCTTCGCGGCCGCGCAATACAGAGCTCACATTCATGCAAGACTAGCATGACAAGTCTCGGAATCTCCCAAACCCAGACATTTTTGCATTTGATAGCCAGCCCGTCCGCGTCTACTGAAGGTGCGCTGATCCAGGTGCTCACCGGCACCTCACGGTAACCTGGATGACATAATTATCGCTATCCATACTACTAGCTGTGGTCTACTTTGTGCAAGAAAACGGCTAAATCTGGTGGTCCTGGCACAGCAACTCTGTGATACGACTATCCTTCAACAAGATGAAAGTACATAGGCCTGAGGAGCCTAGGTCAAGGCAGCGGCTCCATCATGGTCATGCAGAAAGAAGCACATCAATACAGCTGCGCACGCGCAGCTGCTGCAAATATTAAAAAACTAGGCCAGAAAACAAACAAACCTTTCTTCGCAAGCGCTGTTTTGTAGTCGTAACCTGCCGGTGGCCATTGCGGGAAGACAAACCACCACCGAGAAAGAATATCCTGTGCAAAAGTATCGTAGTCGTACTAATTGCAGTCCTGCATGACAAACCTGCTTCCTTCGCAAAATCAGCATTACAAGTTCCATTTTTGCTTCTGGAAAAATTTGTAATGCGATTCATACGTAGTACGATAGTTTTGCAATGCATAAAGAAGCTGCGAAATCAATTCGGGTTTTCGCAGCAAGCCCTCGTGTCTTTGCAATGATGTCGACCAACCATTCACCTCGCGCGCGTCTTCTGACTCTGTCTTCTTGTCGTGGGCATCCTGTGATAGTTGTCGTGGAGTTATTTTTCCGTAATTGATGCACTTGGATTGAGTTTGATGTCTTTGTTGCCGTCGAAAATGGAAATCGAAACAATACAGGAACAATGCGGCCAGCAGATGACGAGCTTTTCATCCGCCCTCGTCTGAAGATGAGCAGATGCGTCTTTATTTCATGATTTCGTCAGCAAGAGAAAAGGACAGGGTTATCTTTGGCTCAGTCGCAGACGCAGACTTATCAACATAAGATTAAGAATGAAGCAGTCGCAGTCCTAGTCCATAGATTATAGTACCGCGTCACACATGGGCACGTCGTCTTCTCCCTCGTGTTATCAACTGCAAAAGTGTCTGGGTCTGGAAGGATGCAACTTCTTATGCTGATTTTGGATTCTAAAAAAATCTATATTGCATGAACAGCAGAAGAGGTGCGTTTTGTGCTACGCAAGGAGGGCATTTCTCATGCAGTATGAGCATCAGAAAACCCTCGCGGAATCTTTGAGGCTAGGGCATGCATCACAGACCTCATGGGTCATGCAAAATCTGCATGACAAACTCCTGGATTCTTCCAGACCCAGACATATTTGCAATGCATACGTGTAGCGGTAGAAGCCTGTCTTTCGGCGGAAAAACTGGCTCGGAGATTTTCGGCAGTTTCGGTTTCGGCCTCTCAGTATCCTGTGCAAATCATGTATCGTTCTCGTATTGCAATCATGCATTCCAAATCTTTTCCTTAGGGTAAATTCGCATTACAAATTTCATTTCTCATGCTGAGGAAATTTGTAATGCAGTCATACGAGTGCGATACTTTTGCATTTCATACTCAGGTGCACCATCGTCCTTCTGATTCATCTCGCCCTCGTTGTCGCTGGTCTTCATGGTGATGTCTATATCGCCGGTGTTATCAAATGCAAATATGTCTGGGTCTGGAAACTTGTGATGCTGGTTGGGAAAGACGCGGACGCCTCAATTGGCTGGCAAGCATGACAAGTTTTGGAGGTGCTACAGTCAGGGCTTTTCTGCATGACAAAGTGAGCTTTTGCATGACAGACAAGCTAGCCTTTTGGGTCATGTGCATGACAGACTTGAGAGTCATCCATGTCAGACAAGCATGACAAACTTTCATTCTTCCAGACCCAGACATATTTGCAGTTCATAGGTGTCCTGCAGGACCAACTTATTTTTGTTCCCCGCGGCGGTTTTCATGGCTGTTTTTATCGCTCCTCTTGCCGCGCTGCCCGGTCGGCTCGAGGCAGCGCCGCCTTTCTGCACATCGGGTTTAGTTGCTGCAGCGGCCCTCCCATGCGGCGGCTTGCTGGTGGAGTCGATTGACTTACTCGCGTTCTTTTCTGGCATTTTAATTATTTATGAAGCTGAAACTGATTTATGAGAATTCTTGGGGACAACGACAAGTACAAGTAGTTGGATGTTGTCGTGCTACATAATAAAGTTCGAGTATAGATGAAAATGGGCTCTAATGACAATGAGTAGTAGATCTACTACGCAAGAAGAAAAGTCTTCTTGCTAAAGAAAAGCCGGGAGATATGTTGAGAGTCGCTGAGTAAATAGCTGCGTTTTAGTTTTACTTGTTCTTTGCACCATGATCTATTTGAAAGTCAAAGTAGCACCAGCAGGTGCGATCATATCCTTGCCGAGTCACCAGTATTAAAAAAGTAACTCTCGTATACTTTCAGTGAGCTCATCTTCAATATCGCCCACCTTTAGTAGAAGCATTGAACTTGTTACGAGATACTTCTTTGGCTGATCACGTAAAATAATATCATCTGGACTACTTAGGACTAGATAGATTTAAGGCCGTGAAGCTCGAATACAGATCGTGAGACTTGAACTTGTTGTTCTGAAGATCATCTACTACGTTTTTCTGAACTCCTGAGCAGCCAGGCGAACCGACGACGGTATGCACCTCCAGGCAGCACAACTGCACTACCCCTGAAGGAGAAGCTTGCTCGATGTTGATCTAGGTCCTTGCGCTGCTTGCTCCTGGAAGTGTAACTTGTATCGACCACCTCGCTTCACGACAACAAGTAGAACAACAACGAACCATTGGCAATATGGTCCGAGGATGCTGAGAGACAGACGACGCCCGCCGTCCGAAGCTGCAGAGCGAAACAATTTCTGTTCGCCGTTTCTCGTCGGTCGACAGTAGCTAGCACCATAAGAGTGGGCCACGGGGGACAAGGGTGGGTGAATGACAAGGAAAGCGACATACTATTGCAGGAGCAGCCACACACAGGGGCTGCATTAAGGCCCACACCGCATGGCCATGAGTATGCTTGCTTGATCCATTCACAGAGCTTCGCAGCCGTACCCGGGCGGGCGGCGCGGACATACAACGCCGGCCAAGCGGCCCCTGAAATGACGGGCGCCATGGATCATGCAGTTGTTGCTTGGCTTGCCAGGCTTGGCACTGCCCGGGCCCGGCGCGGCGGGGGCCCAACCGCAAGCATGCAAAACAAAGGAGGGGGCCGCCACATGCAAAGGCACTAGAGCAGGGCCACCCCTGGGGCCCCCCGCGCTGTCGATCAACCGCCACAACGGGCGACCGAGGGCGCAAGGGGCGGGGCGGGAGGTGACAGGCCCGGCGGCCGGGCGGGTAGACAGACAGAGAGACAGACGGCGAGCGGCGCCGGCCCCCGCCGTGTCGCTCGTCGTGTTGTGAGTGTATGGCTCACCGCGGTCGCCCGGCCCACCGAAAGGGCTCGCCCCCTTCAAATCGCGACGCCAGGAGCCCAGCCCGCGGAGGTTTTTGATCTCGCGGCCGCGCGCGCCCCGCCCAAGCGGCGCAGTTGGTACGTCGCGAGCACCACCCCCCCCCCCCCCCCGGCCGGGCCGCAAGCGCCAGGGCGAACGGGCCGGGCGCCCCCCTGCCGTGCAACGCCGCCCGCGCCCCCGCGTCCGGCCCGCGAATTTGGCGGCATATTTACGGGGCCCCCACCAGCGCCAAGGGAAGGGGGAACCGGCCCCGACCGCCCTCCGAGGCTGGCAATGTCGCGCGATGGCCCCAAGCTATACCCTGGGCGGCGGCTTTTCCAGATCGCGCGCGCCACCCTCTCCCGTCCCCGCCCGCGCCCAGCAGGGGCCTCCGCCCCCTGGGCGCGCTGTCTGCGCAATACTTCTCGCACATGCTGCGGAGCAAATATCTGGCATCAACCTTCCGTCACCCTGTAAGTGGCAGAAGAAACACGCCAAACTTCCAGCCGGACAACTGCGCCGAGGAAATGTCTCACGCGCCAACGAGTCAACTTCTATGCGAAGAGTCGGAAGTCCCGGCATCGCAAACAATTGCCCAGCCCGGGGGCTGCCGAACCTGCCGGAAAACGAAAAACGGCGCCGCAGGCGTGCGCTCCCCTCACAAAGACCACAGAGGCCCCGCAGGGCGGGCGCGACGCTCCTGAAGGCTTCCGGCGAAGGGCCGCGCGCGCGGCGCTTGCTGACTCCAAGGAACGAAGGGCGAGCTTCATTCTGCCGACCCTTATACACCAAAAGGGCGGATTCGGATACAGAAGGATACAATAAACAACCGGGGCGAACAACCTTCCTCGTCTCCCTCTTGTGGGCGCAGAAATTTCAAGAAGCGTCTTCATTTGATGCACTTCGTTTTGATATGTCTTCTACCTTCCACGACGGCACGTCGCCAGTGCTGCCTTTTCCAGGGCACCAAAATCCATTCTGCGAAAAAGTCGCCAAGCATTTACAAGCCAAAATTTGCATTTGCTTGGTAGTTCCATCCAATTTATTTCAGCAGGCCTGAGTAATATCCGCAGTCGGAGTCTATGAACAAAAAAACGCAGGAAAACAGAACGTCATAAAGTCATCCTGTTCAGCACAGAAGACAATCTAATGAAAAACAGAAATCGTATTCGTACAAGAAATCATACTAGTAGCAAAGAGCTCATCCAGGGCATAAATGAAATAAGCGTATGTAACTAGTAAGAGCTGTGACCGGAATCGCCTGCCATCAATAAATAACATCGAGGCCACAAATACTCAACTCGATCCGCCACTGCGCCCGGGTAATTGAGTCGTGTCAGTCTACACTACAACTGTGCTCCACCATCAGGGTAATACTAGCTCCGGCAGTTGTCTCGCTGGCATCTCTTCGCGCAACGAGTTCCAGTACCGCTGATCCCGTGCTGCAGTAGAGAAAACAACACCTCCACCTCCACCTTCCGGTGCCTGCCCCTCCCCTGGCGTGGTTGGCCTCCCCAGGGCGCCGAGGCTGGTTTGTAGTTCCTGTTGGATTCCCACATCGTCGTCCGCATGTAGGCCTAGCAAAACAGCTAGATCGTCGCGGATGCTCCTGCGATCCATCTGGTCCATGTGGAGAAATGTTCTCAAGGCAGCATAATTAAGATCTTCCCTTCTTGGTTCAAGATCATGTTGAGCGCCTCGCCCTGTAGTAGCCCCCGAGTACTGCCGCCGGGACAGCACGTGGCTGCGTGGATTGCTTGGCAAGCGCAGAAGCGCAGGAGGAGAGTTGGTTCTTGCACTTCTTCTACCGCGGCCAGGAGCCGCCTCATCTGCTGCTGCTGTAACACCAGTACCAACTAGAGGACTTGTGTCGATTTTTCCGCCAACTCCGCTCCACAGGTAGGCGCTGGCAACGTCATCATCATTCCCGTATTGTTCCTCGTGACGGTCGTGTACTGCAGAACCATTCGCAGCTACGGGGGGAACAGTCGGCGTTGTAGGAGCAGCAGGTGGCACAGAACCTGCAGATGAACAAAAATCTTCCGGCACAACTCCCGCTAAATTTTCCGCCTTGAACCTTTTCCCCGCCTGCTCTCCTGCATCAAAGAACTTCACCGCCCAACGGCCGGAGGGCTCGTCAAAACCGACGACAGTGCCCTTTTTTCCGTTCAGCTTCGCGCCGGTTGGGCTTTTCAGCTATCAAATGTAAAAATGTCTGGGTCTGGAAGATTCTGAGACTTGTCATGCATGTTTTGCATGGGCCATGATGTCTGTGATGCATGCCCTAGCATCACAGATTTTTTCAGGGCATCTTGATGCCTATTCCGCATGACAAATGCCCTATCCTTGTAGCAAGAATTATACTCCTTTTGCTACTCATGCAATACAGATTTTTTTTGAATCCAAATGCAGCATCACAAGTTGCATTCTTCCAGACCCAGACATTTTTGCAATCCATATCAGCCCGTGGAGAACCACGGTCTGGCCGGGGTGAAGAGTTTCGGTCTGACTTAGTTGCGCCACTTCTCTCCTGGTCGTCGTTGTGCTAGGCGGAGCGGGCGGGGGCCCTCGTGGTCCTGGCTCCACTTGCTGTAGTCCCGGTAGAACAGGGAGTTCTTGCATGGCCACGTCCGCGTGCTCTGTTGGCTTTTCAAGTCCTAAAGCGTATTGGTCCACTACCTGCCACGCCCCTTGCAGCCCTTCTTCGGACCGCACTGCAGGTGAGTCGCAGACGACGCACGGTGTTGACGCAGTCAGTTCATCGACGGACGACATTGCGCAGTCAGGTCTTGCTTCTTGTACTTCTACAATGATCTCGTCTTGATTCTTTTTGTTCTTCAACATCTTCGTCTGCCCCACTTCGACAAGCTCGCCCGGATGTGCAGAGGCTACCAACTTCTTTCCCGCCGCCGCCCCGAGGCGGCCCTCACCGTACATGGACCAATAGGAGTGGTAGCCAACCGACTCGGGCTGCTTCAGGTAGTTCATTTATGCACTGCAAATTATGTGTCTGGGCCTGGAACAACAGTGTGGACTTTTTAATGCAGTTTTTGCATGCCCCAGAAGCTCTGGCATGCAAGCACTCATGTTGGCATCACATGTTTTGCGAAGGTTTCCCATTCCCAATTATACCATCTTCCAACCTAGTATCCCGCATGAAAGGTTCCAGATTTTTTTGAAGATGTAGATGGCGAGAAGTTGTAAGCTTGTTCTTATTTTCCTGTCCATGCATAACGATAACGGATTTTTGTCTGACTTTGATCCAAAATGCGCACTGCAAGTTGCATCGCATCCTTCCAGACCCAGACATATTTCTTTGCATTCGATATCATCTCCAAAACCGCAATTTCCAGCAGCTTATCCAGCTCTTCGCGCACTCTATCCTGTGCAAAAGGATCGCACTCCTGCTATAAATCGCAGCCATGCATGACAAATGGAAATCTAAACCTCTACCTTAGGCTTATCTAGGATGATGACTTGCATTTTTCAACGTGCAAGCCGAAAGATGTGAAATTGTTTGTCATGCTGTTGCTGTTACTTATATTAGTAGTAGTACGATATAGTTTTGCAATGCATACACTCCGTTTTCAAACAAATCCCCCTCGTCGTCGCTGTCCTCTTCCGATTTTTTCTTTCGCGCCTCGTGTCTGTCCAACCGGCCGTGGAACGTTTGGCTGAGGCCGTAGGCGCGCTGCAGCAAAAAGCCCACCGAGGGGGCGGACTGGTAGTTGCCCGCCGTGGCAAGTTTCCGCGCTGCCGGGCTGAACAGCTCGTAAGTTGCAGCTGTGCGTGCAGCGTCCTGGGTAGTGGCTGCTCCTCGAGAACTACCTGCTTTACCACCTTCATCTTGACCAACATCTGTAGGCCCTGCACGACCCGGAAAACATTTCAGCTTGGACTGCTCCGTTTTCAGGAAAATCAGGTCAGTCGGGACGATGTCGGGGAGTTTTTCAACATGATCGTTTTCTGTAGAACTTGTGCCAATGTTGATGTACTCGGCGCTCGTCCAGCGACCACCTCCTGCCGGGAGCGTCGGAGGACCGTCCAGAACGCCACTCAGGATCGCTTTCGGACCGATGCGAAACCAGATGTCGACCCGTTGATCTCTGGCGTCGTAACCAAAATTGCGGAGGTCGACGTTATATCAACTGCTAATATGGCTGGGTCTGGAAGAGCCCAAGTTTGTCATGCACATTTTGCAAAAAAATCCGTGATATCTGTGATGTATATGCCTTAGCGTCATAGATTTTCCGAGGACTCGTTGATGCCTGTCCCGCATGAGAAATGCCCTGCTCTTCGCGTAAAAAAAACTGGACTCGACGTCTGCCTGATCATGCAAGACAAATTTTGTTGGAATTATCCAAAGGTACTAGCATCACAAGTTCTTGCGTCCTTGTTCCAGTAGAGCCAAAGAACATATTTGCATTGCATACATTAGTTCTGGTGCCGTCAGGGTCCATTTCAGAAGCTCCTGCTGGACGTCGAATGAGAGTCAAACTACTAGCCTCTTCCTGCCGTCTTTCCTCTTCCACCTCGCGCTTTTTTGCTGCCAGCGACTGCGGAATGCTGGTAAGGAATAAATCAGAAGAGCCTTCTTCTACACCGGCCCTTGTTCCACCGGTGCTTTTCATTTTCTCCTTCCTCAATAGCAGCTTTCGTTTTCGCTTCTCCAGCAACCGTTTCTTATGAACTGCAAAAGTATCGTACTCGTATAAATGCATTACAAATTTTCTCAGCATGAGAAATGGAACTTGTAATGCTGATTTACCTTGAGAAAAAAATTTGTAATGCAAGACTTGCACTTATACGAATACGATACTTTTGCACAGGATATTTCTCTTCCTTCAACAATTTATCGTCGGCGTCGTGCGCGCGGTTCAGTTCCATGTACCCGCTCAACAACAAGCGGATCACTTCTTTTCCGACTTCCTTCGTCAGTACCGGACTCCGCTTGTTTCTCCTCGGGTTCTTCGGATCAGGCCCGCCGTTCCACTTGAACTGGGCCGCGATAGTGTACGCGAAGAACTGGTTCAAAATGCCGCAGTGGTGTTCGATGTCCTTCAAATTGATGGCAATTTTCGGCTTTTTGTCTTTCGCGAGTTGGTTTGCGTAGTGCTCCGCCAGGAATTCTTTGGGCGGAATACGCCCACCCTCGGTGAGCCGCTCCAGCATGGCTGCGCGAAAGTGTTGTTGGCCGTCAACATTTTGGAGATGAAGACGCTCATCTCCAGTAGTTATAGCACCAGGACGAGAACTCCCAGTGGTTTCATCGTCCGCGAGCCTTGAGGCTGCAGCGGAACTTCTACCGCCCTGCAGGAACACGTGCCGCCCGGTCCAGCGCCGCCTCGTCGACCGAAGTTCTTCTTCTACCTGTCCTCTTGTTCCATGATGTGCCTCATTCGGCGGGTTGTGCGGTGATGCGCCTGCTGTAATCGCAGAAACATCAATCATGCTTCGGGAGAGAGAAGATGCTCGTCCTCCTTCTCGGCTTCGGGAACTTGTAGATCTTGTCGGGGGAAGTCTTGGCCCCTGCAGGAATTCCTGTCCGTCAGTTTCAGTCTTGTCGCTCCACCTATCTTGTTCCGCCAGCGCGTGTAGTGCAGCTCCTCCACCCGCGGTTCTTGCACTGGGACTGGTCAACATCCCAGTGCTCGTGCTTGGAAAGAACTCGAAGTATCCCATTTGAACCTGTTGCCCATGCACAAAGTCCGGGCCGAGATCGAGGACACGGCTTGCATGATGCGCGAGGTAGAGGCTTTGCCTCGCCGGAGGTGGAGACCCAGCAGGCCCTCCTCGGCTAGTAGTAGAACTTCGGCCCCCGCCCGTCGCACCGACTGCTTCTGGTGCGGCACTGTAGCCAACTACCTGTTGTCGTGGTGGGTTTTGATCATGCCCAACTGGTAGAGATGCCGCGGCTTGTACGAATATGTGGAACGACGTAGAGGACAATACGCCATTGTCGCGATAACCTATATTAAAAATGCCCGCTGGATAGACGGTCAGGAGAACCGCGCAGAACGCTGTCACCAGAGCCACAAATGTCATCTCAACAGAAGAGCGAGAGAGGTCGGCGTGCCTGGAAACAAGTTCTTTGCGAAATAACTTGACAGCTGCGCTGCGCTTCATCGTTGTAGTGCGTAGTGGTGGCCGTGGCGCTTATCGATATAAATCAACAGAGAAGGAATGATGCTTATAAATGGTTCCTGTTCATAATAATTATAGACTTTTTCAGTGGAAGATTGATTTTGCTTTATTCTTGGCGGGCGTCGAACTTCTCGAAGTTGCAACTAGTACTGCAAGTTTGATATACCTAAAGAGCTACAGCAAGTAGAAAAGAAGAAAAGGCTTTCGATCATAATGGCAATGGATAGATGTAAGTAGATCATCAACATCCGCGGTAGCTGCAAGCCGAATAGAGCTTCTACGAACGACAATTCAGGTCCTTGCTGTTTCTACACTTCTTTTTCGAAGTTGTACTGGCACAGATAGAGATAGAGTCATTGAGAGGAACAAAAAATTGGCGTCAGTGTGAGAAGACCAACAAATGCTACTTCGGTGAATTTCAGGAACGAGAAGTTGTCGCCGCACCAGCAGTGTCGAGTATTCCGTTATTCTTGTTCTACTTCCGTGATATAGTGCTCCTTGTGCTCCTGCGTTTTGCGTTTCACACACATCAAATATTCGTGAGCTGCGTCGATCTACAACTTCACGTGTTTTTTATCTTTTCATGTTCACATTCGTGTCCTTTGAATCAACTTTTATCACGGTGCTGGGGGGAGTGTCGTACAAATGCAGGTCCAAGCTCGATTATAAGACGGTATTTGTATTTCTTCAGCTGGTCCTGGTCGTTGTGTTGTCTTCAACTCCACACGAATATTACCATGCCGCCGGCTCCCGCCGCCCCGTCCCGGTGCGGCGACCAGCAGCTTCACCGCAGAACAAGTGGTGGCGGTCCCCGAAATTTTTTATATAAAGGTGGACAATAGACCGACGAAAAGCAGAGGCTGCAACTCATAGAAAAACAGAAACATCACACGACGCACCACGAGCATAGTTCTTGTGCATCCCCCCAGAAGAAGATGACGACCACACGACAGCGGCCACGCTTGCAGGAACTCACTACAGCCACGAGGACATTGTTAAAATACAAAGAACTCACGATCGGCCGAGTCGTGGCCCGACGCAGCAGAAGAAGTGAAAAAAATAGAAAGAATTCCGTACACGCCGAATGTGTTCTTTGCACGCTCAAAAAAAGTGCCGTAGTTTGAGCGATTTTCAATGGAGTTAGTGTAAATAATCATACAAATACAGCAACAATGTCACAGCGTTGTGCTTTATTTTTAGGTACTTTCGGTGGGTTCACCACCGAGGCCTCGTGCATCCTTTTCAGCGAAACTTTCATACGCACCACCACGACGTAGAAGTCGAGGCACTTCTATTATCTCTGGTGTCATCAACTTCAACCCATAGATATTGCATGACGGTGCGCTTACTTTATTTGCCTTGTCAAAAGGGCCTACACGTCGCGAGGCAAGATGCGCTGTTCTTGCGATGTCCTCCTCGCGTGCTGCCATCTGGGGCCGTAGTGGATGCAGCTTTCTGTTTCTTCTTCCGTTCGAAAGCGAACGACTAGAGTCGTGCACTCGAGCTTCAATTTCAAATGGTTCTGCTTTATAAAGTCTATACGTATACTCGGTATTTCAAACCAGCACAGATCACTTTCACATCGCTGGCTGCAGTCGCTACCTATCTCATATGGACGGCGGAGTACTAGGAGTATCTGCAACACCGACCGAAGCCGGACATTATAAAACATCAAAAAAATAAGGAGAAACCAGCGACGTTGTAGCGCAGCATCGGTGAAAAAAAACGCGCCTGTGAAGTGACAGTGAGCGAGTGCAATTAATTGCGAACTATAGCACTGCAATACTCCAGTACCTACTTCTCCGAAGCATGATCTGTCAGGAAAATTGGCCGTTCGAGAAACTACCACCTTGCGCACTACTAGTACTACAAGACGGTAGTTTTGGAGTATCGAGCCTGTGGTAACGCCGCCGGCGGGCGGCCCCCGTATATATAATTATACAAGGTAGAAGGGCGAAAGTCCAAATGACGAGCAGTAGTTTTTAGTAAGGGACAATGGTGGTTATAACGTGGTCCAAGACTACAACAGCTAAGTATTCTTTTTTAGTATTTTCCATACTAGAAATTTTGGATTCGGTTTGGGACATTTTACAATTTTGCCGAGAGCACTTGCCACTTGCTGTTCGATTGGACCGATGCGCAGACTGGTGTCTGCTGGTGCTGGGCGGATTTGATTACTGGTGTCCACCCACGCGGCGGGAGTGGGAGACTGAATGATCTCCGGCTTCAGTAGTACTTACTTAACATACGTGTCATCTAAGCCGGAGGAGTCGTCCTCAAATACGATATCTACTCCGCGCTGAAAAACCTCTTTTCCGCGCTTGAAAACCTCTCCTTTCTGGAAAACCTCGCCTGTCACGTCGACTTTTGCGGTCAAGCGCACTTTCCCTGTCCAATATTTTTTCACGTCGTGACCACTCGGGGGAGTCTTCGCGTCTGTTCGGTTTATTTCCTGTAGTGTGAGGCGATGGCGGACAAGAATCTCCGTCTCTAGTACCCGGAGACTCTTTTCATCAGAATCGTGCAGCAGTAAAAGCAAGAGCTTGACTCTCGGCACCTGCTTAGGGTCGTGGGGGAAGGAACCGGGCGGCACCTCCACTTGCTCGACACTCGCCATATGGAACATGAAAAAATTCCAGTTCGGCGGAATAGTTCCGCGTACTTCCTGCGAGCGAGAAAAAAAACAATCGCGCGGCAATTTGGTATGGAGTATTCGGTCCAGAACGATGCTATTTGCGTCTAGAAGTAGCTGTTCCGCAGTGAGCTCTCCCAAGTCTGTGCTTACAGACTGAGTGTGCTGTTGAGCGTTGATTCCGGTAGTTCCTTGTCGAGGACCTGGCGCGAGGCGGACATCGACCAAGAGCCTCCAAAGGCGTTTGTTCTGACGTACGAGCGTGTTCCAGACAAAGTCCCCAAATGCCTTGGCACTGTGAAGCTGACCCGGGTCAGAAAACAAATTACCATTACGGACGGAATGGCGGAGTTTGCGCTCCGGTTTGGCAGCGATGCCCATCTTCAGTTCAGGGAATCTCACCGCATGGTTGGCAGCAAAGAATTCCTTCGCCTTTTGCAGCGCGCGGGTCTGCAAGCGCGTGGCTGGGCCAGCGTGTGCGTGGCCTGCAATCGTAAAAATTTTTGCTTTGAGGAAAGGCTTTTCCTCGGCAAACTTGTTCCACGCTGCCATGTCCAGCGCCGGTGTACTACTATCCCACGATTGAGTTTCGACGGGCGCCGCACTGCTAGTACTCCTCGGCGTCGCGGCATGACACAAGAATGTCGAGAAGCTAGCCGAGAGACAAACACACACGCGGATGAAGCTGGTGTAGGCTGGTCGTGTCCTCGAGTAATTCTTCATCGTGTTCCTCCTCGTGTTGTGTGGCGAAGAAGTGAGCGACATCATTTGACTTTATTGTTTTGGTAAAATCCAACACTACAGGAATAGGAAGAAGAGATCTATCTAGCGTGCGATGGGACGCACCTCTTTTTACTGTTTCGCAGACTAGAAAAAAAAAAGAAACAGGGAAGGGTAAAGAAAAAAGGGAGTCGAGATTAGCTCTACTGCTTTTGGTTTTTCTATTGCCTTTCCTGAGTTATATTTTTAGTTTTACAGCCGCTTAGTGAGGTCAGTTTCAAATTTTTAGAGAAAGAAAGAGCAACAACTTTTTCGAACTAACCTGCAGTTTTAGGCGGGGACAAGGCGATACGTGTAGGATCCTGGAAAAACAGAGCGCTTGTGGAATTTTGTTACTAGTCAGTCTTTTTCTTTCGAAATAGAGCAGCTGTTAGAACAGACACTAAAGCGCCAGACTGTGATCGGGTTCGACGTTGAGAACTAGCATCCACTTAACTCTCATAGCATGGGAGATTCCGCCTCATATATCACCATCGTTCTCATTGTCTCTCGTCGGGATGCCGCTCGGGAAAGTTGTGAGTGATCTCATTTCATCATGATCGTGGGTCATTTCAGCAGGATCCATTTACATCTCTAGCACTGGGTCCGTCGTCATGATCGAAAATAGGTGGAGATCGAGATTTGTTGATCATGCCTACATTAGCACTTCTGGCACGGCGGCGTGGCGATGGCGAAAACTAAAATTATTGCTTGCCCTGAAAATATTTGATCTTCAACGAAAGAACAGCACGAGTAACTACCTTCCTCGATCAAGTCGCAGTATTCTTGTTGCGCTTGCGCCGCCATTGAAGCGATCGTGGGGCTCTAAAGTAGTCATGTAACAATTATGCACCTTCTTTGTTCTAGGTAATCTGTTTACATAGGCAAAATCGTACTATTGAACCCACACTTTTACGGATACTGAGGATTAGGGTCCTAGAGGTTTTTTTGTGAAGAGTATGACCAAATAAACAGCTTTCTGGGTCTAAAGGTAAGCCGTGTGGGGTAAAGAAAAAGATGAAAAAGAATAACTGACGAAAAAAGTGAGTGTGAGTGATGTTGAATCTCCTTCCTTGACTTGTACTGATATAATTCAAACATAATTTGCTTCACGATCATACGCAGGTGGCGATCCGAAACTTCTGAAAAGTAGAGTTCTCGGAAAATTAAAACTATCTTACATAAACATACTCTAGCAGGCACAGGCTCCTTGGACGAGTGGCGCCAGAAAATAAGCAGACCCGAAAGCAAGAACAGGAACACGACTCGTCACTACTATGGATCTGTCAGGATTGAAATCGTCAAAGTTGAAATTATAGTTTGCCATGCATAAAATGCAACGCAGAGAATGCCTGTCTTGCAGAGTAGGCAAGGGAAGCAGATGGCAAGCCTGTTTCGGGGTAGAAATAGAGCTGCTAAAGTAGCAAAACCAAAGGCGTCTTCCTTCCACAAACAGCATTACTGACTGGATTTCGGCTCTCCTCAAATTTGTCATGCGCCGATAGCCATATCCCCACCTCACCTCCTGCTCCATCACACCGCATACGTTTGCGTTTCTTCTTCCTGCGTCGACTCAAGCAGAAGTACTTGGTCCACTTCCAAGACCTCGCAGGATTCGATATGCATTGCAAAAGTATTGCACTCGTACAAATTATCGCATGACAAGTTTGATGTTCCTCAGAAAATGAAATTCAAATTTCTAAAATGCAGATTTACCTAGAGAAAGACATCTGCAAGAATGCATGACTGCGATTAGTAGAGTACGAGTACGTCGCTACTTGTACAATCACAATGCGTATTCCATATGCTGTGCAAAACCATCGCACTACTACACTAGTATAAAAATAAATTGCATGACAAATTACATCCTCAGCATGAGAAATAACATTTGTAATGCGGATCTACATTGAGAATGACAATGAGATTTGTAATGCATGAATGCGATTACTACGAGTACGCTATTTGTGCAATGCATATTCCAGCTGGTCCAACAACACCGGAATCTGGTTGTTCGGAATTCGCATCACTTCCCCGTGCTGCGTGTCGTGCTTATCGACGTTCTTCCCCTGCTGCTGCAGCTGCTCGGTAGTAACATTTTTAGTAGAATCCGTTCGCAGGTGTTCCAAAAGTTCATACCGCTCTTGCCAGAAAGTCAGCTGATACGCGTTGTTTGCTTCACATTTCGGATCTTCTTCATCGCTCGTTTTGACAACGCCATCAGTCGACGTGGACAATGATTTCTTCTTCCGGATGCAGAGCTTCAGGTATTTTCGATCCCGCCGCAAGGCTTCGGGCACGACTTTCGCCACTGGATCCACTACGCAGCCGTAATTTATTTCCATGTTGGCAGCAGCTGCCCCGCGGGGTTCTACTCCCAGCATCCCACAGCTTTCCACGTCTTCCCCGTAAAGCGCTGCGTAGGGGTAAGAGCCGTACCGCCTTTCTGGGCCAACCGGTTCCCCCGTGCGCAAGTTTTTCCGCTCCGGCACGAGCCGGCAGGTGTGGGACAGCTGCGTCGGTTTGGATGTTCTAGTTTTTTCTTCATGCTGCTCGTCTTTTTCGTTCCCTCCTTTCCCTGCTTCGTTCCCTTCCTCCACCACCTCCGTTCGCACCACTTCCCACGCGAGAATCCCGTTCGGGAAAAGCCGCTCGTCCGCGGTGGCAAACCGCGCCCCCTGTTTGTCAAAGTCCACAGTATTGCGGATTTTCGAACGCTGCTCCTTCTGCGACTCCTGGAGGGGCGGCACGGCCATCGGAATTTCTTCATCCGAGGCTTTCATATAATTTCCTCCGCCGGAAGACGTTTTCATCCTCCTCTGTGCTCGTGCCGTTCTTGTACTAGATCCGTCGAAGACAGCGCGGACTTCCCTCATGATGTCCACGCTGACAACCTCCCTCATGAGAGTAACAAAGCCCTCGTCTTGGCCTTCCACGTCGTCCTCGTCCTCGTCGGACGTGGAATTTTTGTCCTCATCATCACTCAACTGCACCGTCGACGATGACGCAGCTTTGTCAACAGAAGAAGACTCGGAGGTGTCGCCAGCCGAAGATTCGGCAACGGCATCCTCTTCGTCATCTACTTCCACATCTTGTTCGGCGGGTGAAGAAGCGGAGTTCGAATCTTCATCTGCAAGAACTCCGTCGCGATCGTCCGCGTTTGCCGACGACGCACTAGCACCCGTCTGATGATCAGAGAACTTTTTAGTACTCAACATTTTCATCTGTCCTCCTGGTTTTTCCACCTTGGCCTTGCTTGGTAACATCTTTGTGAAATCTTTACAGAGTTGACGCGACGTTTCCACAGCTTTCAGTCGCGGGAGCACAATATCTCTTCGTCCATCTTGCCATCTACCGAGAATCATTTCCGCATCCATCCGCATGTAAATCCCGCACAAAATTTTCCTGTTCAGCTCCTTGTTTTGTATCCGTGTGTTCAGCTGCCGCCACTGTCTCGCCCTGCGTTCACTGTTCGGCGCATTGCCACCTGTTCCTTCTCCTGGATTATTATACCGCCTATTTTTGAATTGTCCTATTCGCCGCCTCTTCATTCTCTTCAAATCTTTTGTCATCTTATCCAGTTTTAGTGCGAGGCTGTGCTTCACGAAGTCGATTTTGCATTGACTCAAAACATCTTCGGTGGACGTCTCTGAGGTTTCTGTTGCAGTGGATGTTCTTGTGGTTGCTGGGCAGCCCGTAGTACTATTTCTTTCCGCCTCGGGAACGCGTAATTCCTTCTCCAAAGCCTCGAGAGCTGCGGGCAGTGTGTTTTTGGTCATGACCATGGCGAGTTTCCGCTTTATGGGGCGAACAACATAATGCTCCACCCGGGTCACCGCTTCCGTTCCCTGCATCACCGCACTCGTGGTCTTCACTTCCTGGCGGTGTTTTTTCATACCTTCTTCGCTCATCTCGTATGGTTGGCGACCGCGGCCGGAACGGCGGGCGTTGATGATGATGGCTTGTTTTACGATCTCTTCGCCGGTGTTCTCGCTCGTCTCGGCAGCCGCGCCCGTCGACGTATCCAATTTATTGTTCATCTCACCGCTCTCCTCTCGATCTGCTCCTGGTCCTGCCAAGACTGCCAGTGACGCGAAAGAGGACGCGGCAGAGGCCGACGTCGTCCCCTCCAGCCCAGGAATCACTTTTTTCTGGATGTGCGGGATGGCCATGAATTGCGTGTTGATATGCAAAGAAAAAAGCGTTACAGTTTACACATTGTGTTGCAGGACCGGCAAGACAGACAACCTTTGTCATGCACGAAATGCTTTCGAGCCTGCTCGTTTCATACGTGTTTTCCCTTGTGATCTTTGCATTGCAAGTTTTGTTCTATGTGATGCAGAGAAAATTTGCGTTGCTGAAGTTCCACCATCGATCACCAAGTGTGTAACTGTAACTACACTTTTTTCGTTGGATAGTTTACCCGGTTTTCGCAGTAGTCCAGCAGGTCCAGCCCTTTGGCGTAATTGGTGAAGGCCGCACAGAACCTTGGCAGCGGATCCGTCGCGAAGATGGTCAGATACTTGCAGCAAATGATCCGCTCCGCCTGCGGCCCAAAGTCCGCGGTCGACCCGTGCTGCAGCATCAGGGACTTCTCCGAGGACGCAAAGTACTCTCCTTTGCCGTCGCCGTTCTTGTCGAAGCAGCGGTCGGAGTAGCACCCGATATTCGGAAGGTCCGCGTCAATTAGATCCTGCCACTTCTCTATCCAAGAAAAAAACTGTGTAAGTGTAACTTTGTGTTGCAGACGGCGCAAGACAGTCACAACTGTCATGCTGGACATGCATCAGAGGCACTTTTCGTACGTGTTTTCACGTACTAGCTACGCATGACAGGTAGTAGTTTTCTCTGTGGTCATGCAGAGCAAGCTTGTGATGCTGTTCCTCCAAGAAAGTTCCACTTACACAGTTTTTTTGTTGCATATTCTCGCAACCTTGGTTGTCGCAGTTGTCATACTCATTCGGGTTCGACATGCTCACCGCGTACTGGTATCCACTTGACAAAAGTATCGCGCTCCTCCAGTACTAATTGCAGATGTGCATGACAGAACAAAAATGTGTTCTCAGCGTTTTTTTGCATCACAACTCCTTTTTTTCATATGAAAGGATCATTTGGAAGAATGCGATTTGCACGGCTGGAAGTACGATACTACTTTTGCAAGAATGCATAAGTTGTACTCATCGGCTAAAGCGAACCACACATGCGAGAGTTCGTGCACGAAGACCTCCGCGTCCTGGGTCTTGGCCAGTTCGGGGTAGTAGGGGTTGCGGGTCATGTACCCGATGGAGTTCAGACTGCTCGCCATCCCCGCGTGCCAGTAATCGGGGTCCCGCCGGTCCTCGCGTAGGTTCTGGATCAGCATGATCGCTTTAATCGTCGGCAATTTCGAGGCGCAGTGGTCGGTGACCAGAACCTGAATTGCGTTCTCCGTTGCGTTCCCGTACTGCGGGTGTTGGTGGATGCGGCACATAAACTGGTCGTGCTGCAGGTCGCTCCACTGCCCCTGCAGCGTGTTCCAGGGCTTCTCCTTGGGCGCAAACGAACAAAAGTGGTCGTCGTCCCACGGGTGGGCGGCGGACACGAAGAAATAGTTGATTTGCTCCACATCCCGGGGGTTAAACGGGCGGTGCTGGATCGTGTAGAAGTAAATGTCGCGCACGGTCTGCTCCCATCTTGCTGTTTCGTCGTACACCGGGTCATTTTGTTTAAAGTCCGGGTGCCCCCGCAGCCGAAACCCGGAAGGCGCGAGAATCACGTTCAAAGCGTCCTGGGGGTGTCGCCAGAGGTGCAGCGCGTTGCAGGTTTCCAAGTCCCCACCCACCTCCTCCATCCAGTCCTTCGCCTCCGGACTGATCGACAGTGTTTCAGACACCTCGCCATTGTCCACCGGCGCATACAGGTTTGCCCCTTGTCCCAGCGTGTTATCGATGACAATGTCGCCCGGCGCATACGACTCCTCCCCGGAGATGCCGAGACTATCCAGTCGGTCCTCGTCGTCCCGCGGCGCTTCTGACCCGGAGCCGGCGCCCCCACCGACTCTGCTCGATTCTTTCGAGTTGTTGGCCTCGCCGTCGGAGGTGCCACCAAGCAGGTCACCGCAACAAGAACCATCGCTGCCTTCATTTTGTTGTAGTTCCAGAACGGAAGTAGAGAAAGATGTAGATCTGCTCCCGGAAGTTGTAGACGATGTTGCTTGTTCCGACTGGGTATCAACCACGCGGCTCGACGTCGCTTCAAGAGTTTTTCTTGTACCACCTTCAGAGGACTCGTCATCGTCTTCCTCCTGGGCCGCCTCGCCAAGTACAACATTTGACGACGGGGACAAGGGTCCACCACCACCTCGAACTGCTAGCCGTACCTCCTGAGGGTCTTCTTCTTGGTGTAGTTCCTTGCCTAGGTCAACATGATCCGCATCGGTTTTTCCTTTTAATACCGGTGCTGCTGCTGGGTGAAGCTTGATGCCACGAGCAGAAGTAGTTGCGAAAGAAGACGCTCTTTCGGTTGACGAAGCAGGTGCTGAAGAACCGTCTCCACTACTTCTACCCGAAGTTGTAGAGCTGCTGCTTGATGTTCTCGCAGCTGCGACAATATTTTTCCTTCGAGGTAGGTCGCGTCCTTTCTTGGGGCCGATTTTCCTGTCTTGGAGAAAGCGGAAGGCTTCCACGGGCTGCGGGAAAAATACTAGATGAGCACCAGGTGCTTTTTCATCGGTATGATGCTCAAGAACAAATTGTCCGGAATAAAGTAGGAATACCAAGGGCAAACACGCACCGGCCACAGAGGAAGGAGGAGCTCGTCCTGCAGTAGTTGTGAAAGTAAGGGGCACGACCACACTTCTTCTTTTATCCGACTTGTCGGCGGTCATCGTGCCAGAAGTAGAGCCGGACAGAGGCCGTGTGGTCGTCGACACAGGTCTTGTCTTCATCGTCAACGAAGACAGGGAAGCAGGAGCTGCTGCTCCGGCCATTTCGATTTATTTCCTTTTTTAGGTATCGATACGAAGGATGCCGAAAAAAAAGTGTTTACAGCTGGTTCTCGCGCTATTCAACTTAGGTGAAAGTAAAAATGAAAGAGTGCTGCAGGCTCGCTTCTACGAAAAAAACCAAAATTTAACTTGCTATTGCTCCTGCTCGCACCATACTTAATCTTCAACTTCATCTTTCTTTTCGTGAGCGACATTTTAGCATTACCTTTTGGGACAACTACGAGGCGGGGAGAATCATGAAAATCTGTTGTAGCACGACGAAATAGAGAAGAGCAACGTTGTCAGACGAGGCGGGCACGCATAACTCACATGTGAAAGTTGTAGAAAGTTGGACGAAATAGACCACGAGAGGACGAAAGAAAGGTCTGCTGAAGATAGTACTCACTAGACGAACTAGCATTCCAGTGTTAGTTCACGGTCGTAGTCGGTCGTGCTACGAGGACGATCGGCATTACTACAGAAGAAGAACGAGGAACGGGAACGAAATCACTTTTTGTACGCTGCACGATGCGAACTTCATTTAGCATTCCATCCTGCTTTGTACGGACGAGGACAATCGCAGGAGGACGAAAGAGATGAACCGACGGAAAACGAATATGTGACCTCCTACTTATTTTCAACGGAGGTTGACGATGTCTCTTCATGCTCGCAATTTGCAAGCAAGAACAGAATAGCGATTTCATATCACGGTAGCAGGAGCAGCACGAGCAGGGACGTCAATTAGAATTACGAACTACGGCAGGTCAGGCAACATCTTCTTGACGGCAACCAGAAGTCTTAAGAAGAAGGAACGACACGACCACAAGCGAACAACAAGGAAAGTTGTGACATAAGAAAAATAGGTGCTGCAGAAACTACTACAACTTGCACTTTACGACCGGCCGAAAAAAACATTTTTCAGCCTGTCTCGTCGTACTACATCAAGTGCCCAAATATGTACAAATTGAGTCTTCTTCCGTGGTAGAAAATTCGTGACGAACTACTTGCGTGGAAGTTGGTGGTGGTACTGGTGGGGATACCATCCAATAACTCATTCGAACTTACTTCACCGTTGGGAATAAATAGCAAATGATCAGGTTGGTGTCGGTGTAACTAAGTAAAAAAGAGAATTTTTTCAAATCTTTTGTACAGACGGTAAACGAACGAAGTTGCAAATTAGAACGTAAAACTTCTCAGTTCAGACAGTGCAATGAATGCGTATGCGATGCATGTAAAATAAATTATTGATCAAAAATCGGAAACGCAAAGTTGAGTAGACTTGTGACGAAGATTTGCTCTGCGAGTGTTGTAATCAATCAGAGGTGCTTCAGATTCATACGAAGAATGAGAGTAAAAATAACGAAATAACTTCCTCTGCTGCACCTGCAGCTGTACTAACTTCTAAGGTATAAAGATAAACACCTATATGAAAATTATAAAAATCAAAATCAATGCACACTACTAACCGAAACGTCTTCCCGTACGTTTTTTTTAACCTCCAGATGAACATCCTAGTGGTCCACACGACCAGAACCTCCACTGCAATAAGACCTCACGCGTGGTCCGCGACCAAATCGGTCTCCAGCATCTCGCACTGCTCTTCGGCGTCTAGGTGCAACTCGATCTTGTTCTTCATCTGCCGCACGACGACGGATTTCTCCCCCTGCGACCCGTCTTCCTTCTCGTGCAAGCCCTCGAGCACCTGCAGATCCTCCTGGAAAAACGTCACATAGTAGTTTTTGTCGCAGTTCTATGCAATACAAATTTCCCGTACATGTACAGGATGCATCACAAATTTCACCAATTTGGAGTGTAAAACTTGTCATGCTAAACTAGGATCGAAGCCCAGTTTTGTCATGCAGAGACCGCATTTGTACGGGTACGGGAAATTCACTGTGGATAAGTTCGGGTCGGTTTCCTTACTCTCCGTTGGTTTCGTCCCGAAGGCCCCCTCGCGGATGCAGACTTTCAGGTACTTCCGGGAACCCCCGCCGGACTGGGAAAGCAGTTCGTGTTGAATCCGGTTGTGTTATGAGAGTGCACAACTCCCCCTCCACCTCATTGTATAGCATCAACAGCAATACAAGCAACAGCACACGTGTACGCTGTACATGACAAGTTTATGCACGGGTTGTAGTGCTGTTCTGGGTTCCAGAATTATTTGTCATGCGAACAGTGCTACGAGGCAGCAGCTGAATTGGGTATTTTGCATGACAAATTGAGGGGGAGGGGGTGGAGTTGTGCACTGTCATATGTGTTTGTCTTCGTGCACATCGTCGCCGTACACGGCGTAGTATGCAATGCAAAAGTATCGCGCTTGTACTAATTGCAGTCACGCATTACAAGTTTTTTTCTCAAGGTAAATCCGCATTACAAATTTTCTTTCTCTTGCTGAGGGAATTTGTCATGCATTTATACGAGTACGATACTTTTGCAGTTCATACGTAGTACGGGCACGTGCCGTACTCGAGCTTGTTCGGCTATGGCGCTCTCAAACGTTACACTCTCAACTGTTACACGACTTGTCATGCAAAATCAACATCAACATCCACAGGGTGAAGCGACTTCGCATGAAAAATTCCTGGAGAGCTAAACAGCATTGAACTCTGTGCGGAATTTGTAATGCTAGAGCTGCAATCGTCCCCCTTTGACTTTTGCTATTCTTGCATTACAAATTCATGTAATAGTTGAGAATGTAACAATTGAGAGTCCCATATCGACATGGGTTCTCCGGTTCGCAGGTTCTTGTGCTCCGGCTTCGGTTCGCAGACCCAGGAAGACTTTGACTTTCCATCGGCAGTTTCCGAGGTAGTGGTTTTTTTCGCGATTTGCCAGGTGCGAATCCCATTTGGGAAAAGCCGCTTGTCGCAGGTGACGAACCGCGCCCCTTGCTTGTCGAAGTCCACTCGGTTCTTGATGTTCAACTGGTCCGCGCGCGGCGGCGCCTGGATCCCCGCGACCCCTTCCGCCGCCTTCGCCTCGATTTCCTTTTTTACCACCGCGGCAAGGCCGTTCGCCGCCGCTGTCATCGTGTCCAGCGGTTGTCTATCAAATGTAAAAATGTCTGGGTCTGGAAGACTGCCAGGTTTGTCATGTAGATTCTGCATGATCCATGACGCCTGTAATGCATGATCTAGTAGCACAGATTTTCAAAGGGCTTCCTACTAATGCCTTCCCGCATGAGAAATTCCCTCTCCGCGTAACACAAACTGGACTCCTGTTGCTGGTCATGCAATACAGATTTTTTTTGAATCCAAAGACAGCATTACAAGTTCCAAGTTTCCAGACCCAGACATATTTGCAATCCATATTGTCGCAAGTTTCGGACCCCCCGGGCCTTCATCCCCTCGACCTTGACTAAAGCGCGCTGCAGGAACGAGGAGGATATCGCAAGAAAAAAGTGTTACAGTTACACATTGTGCTGCAGGCCAAGCAAGACAGACAAGCTCTGTCATGCCGGATATGCATAGGAACCTCGTTCTGTCATAAGTGTTTTCCCGTAGGATCTCTGCATTAGTTTTCTCTCCCATGCAGAGAAATTTGCGTTGCTGAATTGATTAGAGCCCGTACGATTAATCGACCCCCTTCTCGATACCGAGAAGGGGGGGGTAGGTGCGGTCGGTCATCCGGTCGTCGCAAAACCTCAGCGATTTACTCCGATCCAAAATCGGACTTCAAAAATCCAAAATGCTTCGACTGGCCAAATTTGATTTTGAGCGCGGCTTCTTAGTCTCTTACTTTTTTGAACGTGACAGACGTAATTCTTGCACGGCGAAATCTGGTATGGTTTGAAGTTGTTCGCGCGCGGCGCGCGAGCGATTTTTCTCTTTTGACGCGTGGGGGCACACGGCGCAGAGGGCATTTCCGTGCGCGCAGCGCGTGAAAATTTTTCCATGACCACCTGAAGAAACACGGCCGTAGCAGAGGGAATTTGTTTTAGCCCCCAGAAAGGTTCGAAAATTTGTGTTGTGGAAGGGAGTTTTCGGCGATCCAGCGCACCGTCGGTTTTCGACGTGAAACGCGACGGCACTACAATTCGGATGGGGGGATCTGCCGAGTTAGTGTCAGTCGATTTTGGACTTACACGAACTCGCCAGTCGGGCGCCCGACTGGCGAGTTCGTGTAAGTCGAAAAAAAAAAGATTGCAGACTCTTTTCTGCGTTGCTCTTCCTCCCTTGTCGCCGAGCTGCTCCAGTTTCTCGGCGTTGCTCCTCTTGCTTTGCTACAAAAGTCGTGTCCAAAAAGCACAACTATGAGGCCGCGCGCAAAATCGGAGCTCCCCCGTCCACCGCACCAAAGATGGCAAATCCAGAAAATATGGGCGCGGGGTGGTAGTGCGATTGTACTTTTTTCTCTTCTTAGTGGAGCAGAAGCTTTTCTTGGTGTGGTTAGCACCAAGATGACTTTTTAGAAACCACATCAGGAGGAAATACATCAAGCACCACCGAAAGAGAGCGGAGTCATAAGTGAAAAACTGCGATCCGCAAGCGCGCCACAAAAGGAATGGGCGCAAAAAAATCTCAATACTAAAGCCCCGCCACGCAATGTCAAAGAAGCCAACAGCAATTGGCCAGGGGCGCAAGCAAGCTGCTGCTGCGCTCTATTGTTTTTTCTGTCGTAGAGAACGACCCGCCTCCATAGAGAGGACAAGTTTCTAGAGAAGCTTACAAAAAGCGGCCCGATTGAAAAAGGGGCCGCGGGCTGCGAAAAAGTAAGGGTGTCTGGGATCTACTTGGGAGCGAGTCTGTTGCTTTACTGCGTGCGCGCAGCGTGTTTCTGTTGCGAAGTAGTTGCGCTACGACTGCTCTCCGAAAAGAGACTTTCTGGTCGTTTTAGCGAGAATAGTGGCAGACATCAGCAGAAGCAGAGGGCTATTTTGCTTTGTGGCAAGCACTGCAAAACGAGCCAGAGACCACCTGACTGCGCTCTTTTGGGAAAAACTGCACGAAGTAGAAAAAGCGCCACAGCGCGGGCGATATGTGTTTCGCTTGGTATTAAATAGCATCTACTCGAAGCGAAACCGCGCCAGGCGCTGTAATCTCACAGAAAGAAAATAATGGCGCAAAATGCGCCGTAGCATCGGCGTTCAATTTCGGAAACAGGATTCGCGATAAAAAGCCCCTCGATTTCGAGAAGGGGGGCGTAGGGGGGTAAGGTCGGTCAGGATCCGGATTTGGGGGGGCTTCTCGGTATCGAGAAGGGGGTCGATTAATCGTACAGGCTCTTACAAATCTGTAACTGTATGTAAACACTTTTTTCGTGGGATAGAGGAAGACGAGGAACTACTGCTAGTATCGTAGTACTGCTCATCCAGTTGGTAATCAGGGATTTTGAACAAGCTCGCGATACTCAGGTTTTCCTCGCAATACTTCATCAGATCCAACCCCAGCGCCGGATTCGTGAACACGTTGCAAAAGGTCGGGGCCGCGCCGCCAAACACCAGTGCGCACTTGCAGCAAATGATCCGCTCGGACTGCTTCCCGAAATCGGTCGTGCTTCCGTGCTGGCGCATCACGGTAAATTCCGTGGACCGGAAATTCCTGCCGTCGTAGCAGCTGTCTGCGAGGCAGTCAGCCAGGTTCGCGGCCACCAAGTCTTGCCACTTCGGGCAATCAACGTAGTCGCAATTGTCATACGTCCCCGCGTGCGACGCAGAAACCGCGTAGTTGTATTCGTCGCCCAGCGCAAACCACACGTGCGCAAGTTCGTGCACGAACACCTCCGCGTCCTGGGACTGCGCAATGGTGTAGCGGTAGGGGTTCCGCGTCAAGTACCCGATGGCATCCGCTGGGCTTGCGATGCCCGCGTGCCACTTGTCACTTGGGCGGGTCCCATGCTCGAGGTTTTGGATCACAATCATCGCCCGGTAAGTCGGGGTGGTGGAGGAGCAATGATCGATAATCAGTTGCTGCAATTTGTTGTTGAACCGGTCGCCACCCGGGCCGGAATGCACGTCACAGTAAAAGGTCTCGATCGGCGGATTATCCTTGCCCGGAGGGTACTGCCCGTTCGCGTCGGGCGGAGCGGTCGGCCGGCACCACTTGCCCGCGTATTGCCACTTCTTCGTTTGTATCAAATGCAAATATGTCTGGGTCTGGAAAAGTCATGCTACTTTTGCATGACACAGAAGGTCTAGGATGGAAGCTCTAGCATCACAGGTTTCGAGAAGCTCAAGCTTCCGCTTCCGCAATGCCGAATCCGCATGACAAATGCCGCATTTTCTTGGTAACAGAAAGTGGGCAAGTTTTGCTGCCTATGCATGAGAGATTTTTGCGTGTTTTGATATGCGCATCACAAGTTGCATCCTTCCAGACCCAGACATATTTGCAATGCATAGTTTGCTCGTTGTACTCGTAGCACCCGGGCAGCTCGTTCCACGGCGGCTCGTCGGTATGACAGTGCACAACTCCCCCTCCCCCTGATTTGTCATGCAAGATACCAAATCCAGCCGTTCCTCTTTGGCACTTCTTGCATGACAGGTTTCGGAAGCCGAAACAGCATTACAGTCGCTCGCGAGTTAATTTGTCATGCAAAAGCTGCATTTATGATTATGCCAGCACTTGTGTTGCTGCTTATGCCCTTCAAATGAGGGGGACGAGGGGGAGTTGTGCACTCCCATAATCGGGCGAGAAGCTGCAGAAGACGTTTTGGTCCTCCGGGTGGGCGGCTTTCACGTAGAAGTAAATTCAGAAAAATGTTCTCCCGCGGGTCGTACGGTCGGTGCTTGATCGCAAAGTCGTAGATCTTCACCACGGTATCTTTCCACAGGTCCGTATCGTCCTGCACGCCCTCAATGTAGTCGGGGTGCCCCGGAAGCCAAAACCCGCTCGGCGCGAGAATCACGTTCAGCGCCTGCCTTGGATCGGCCTGGACATGCAGCGGGTATCAAGTGCAAAATGTCTGGGTCTGGAAACTTGTGATGCCAAAATGTGGATGAGTGAAGCGCTTCCAATGGCAGCCAAGCATGACAAGTTTTATTTGAGACGCCTGCTGATCATGCCTACCACGCATTACAAATTGCGTTTTTGCATGACAAAGAAAGCTTCTCTTTATTTGCTGCTCATGCAACACAGATTTATTTCCGCGAACGCAAGACACGCATTACAAGTTCGACTTTTCCAGACCCAGTTGGAGACATTTTTGCATTTGATAGCGGGTGGCAGGTGTCTAAACTCCCCCCAATCTCGTGCATCCATTTTGGAGCGTCTTGGGCCATGGATAAGACTTCCATCGTGTCGCTGGGTAAACTCGGCGCGTACGCCGTGTCCGCATCGTACGGCGCGCTGGAAAGATCCGCACCAGCAATGCCGCTAGCCCCACCCCCACCGGAACCGCCCCCGCCCCCGCCCAGTTGGTCTTTCAGGCTTTCGATGTCCTCCGAGTTGCTGATCTCCGCGTCGTCTCCTGCTGCCAGATCAAGGTCGATCCCGCAACACCCGTCCTCAGCAGCGTCAGCAGTTGCTTCGGCTTTTTCAGAAAAGTTTTCCGGCGCAGTTTCCTGTTGCTGCTGTGCTACTCGGTGTAGCTCCTTCCGTTCTTCTTGCTGATGCTGCACGAAAACAACTTCTTGTAGCTCCTTCTTCTTTTTCGAAAGCGATAACATCTGCTCCTTCTTCATCTTGTTCTTCCTGCTCTTTTGCGATGTTGATGCTTGTGCAGCTTCACGACCTTGCTGTGCTGTAGTTTTACTGTGCTGCTTTAACAGCGACTCTCGCTTGTGCTGGTTGTGCAACTGCATCTTCTCGGTCAGTTCGTAGGCTGCTACTGTAGCGAAAGAGCAGGAGTAGTAGAAACCTGCACCTGCTCCGAGAAGTATTAAAGGCCTTGATGTTCTTCGCTTTACACTCCTTTGCAGCTTGATACCCTTGGGCGGAAGAGCATCATTGTGAGTAGACCTGGACGAGATCATAGGAACTACATCAACGGCAGCTCCCCCAGCTTCGCGTGAAGACCTTCTTCTACGAGCAGTACCGCTGCCCATCGTGTTGTCCTGCTCAGTTGAGTTGGCTCCTGCGATATCGAGATCGAGAACAGGCGACGACATGCCTTTAACAATTTTACGAATACATACGTGAAGAACTTCTCCCAACTATTCCACGAGACCGCACCAGGAATCAAGTGTGAATTCAAACTACGAGAAAAAAAAAAATAGACAGACCTGCTGACGCAGTATAGTGGATGGCGAAAGAACTTTTTTTTGTTGTTGGTTCTAGGAAAAAAGAGTTTAAAAAACGAGTGTAGTGCTAGTGCTGTGAGAGGGACAAAATAGCACAACAGTTCGGTGTGACATACATGATTGAGAAAAATCATACAGAACATACGAGGACCACAGCACGAAGAAATAAGACACGACACGCACGAAATTTGTATGTTGCCGGACGATTTTCGATTCCTATCATGTTGTGACAGTTTCTTGTTAATTCAACTTCAACAGTACGAGATGAGGAGGAAGAAGAACGACCCTATTTCATCATCAGCAGGAGACCTTTATTTCAACAGCAAAGCTGTAACTGTACGTGCAAGCTGTGTATGCTCTTGTATGGTAAGCACGTTCTGCATACTTGCCGCACAAATCACCTTTTGCACCATTGCTGGACGAAATACAAGATTGAGATTCATGAAAGACGACTGCGACGAATAATTAAAGCTGAATCACGACGACGAGAGGATGAAGTTCATGCATTGCTATCCGCTTCCTTGCGACGATGAAATTATAGACGAAAGCCGAAATAAAAATTGCAGTTTTTATCGTTGCTACAATTTTTCGACGAGCAGTTGATGACCTCAGTTTGGAAACGTACGACCCAGCAGCGCAACTTTCTGTACAAGACCATGAACTCCACCAGCGAAATATCCAGTTGCAGACGGCTCTAGTATTCCGAGCAGACGTAGCCTAGTTTCTAACTTTGGTTTTTTGTGTACAATTTCCAACGAAATTGCACTTGATACTGTGACATCAATCAGCATTAAAAACAAAGCTATAGCTGCTAGAACCTCGCTAACAGAAGGACGAGCAGCTAGAACATGTTAATCCCAAACAACTCCATGGTCTCTAAAAATCATTTCCAAACTTTTGACAGGTGTGTAACAAGAAATGTGGGCTGAAGATGTGGGCATCAGATCCTATTGTAAATCTACGTCGTAAGTTGAGAGATATTCTTAAAACAGCATTTCAGTTCCTCGATAGTAAACTTGCATATAGAAGTCAAGACGGAGCCACCCCAGTTCTTGGCCAGCGTTCCCCGCCTTTCATTACTACACAACTAGAAGCAAAGCAGCGATCATAACAACATACTAAACCCGTAAAAACGTCGAAAATTATAAGTGGCCGCGATCGTGTAAATAATACAAATTCAGCTATTGAAATCTTGAAAGAGCAGATGAAGATGACACCGCCGGGAGAGACTGACTGACCCCAATAACTTCTACCGGTCGAGCTACAATACATCTTACGCGATTTCTACGTATTTGTGATTTTGAGCTCTGCTGTCGATAAAGATGGTGGAAAAGCAGGCGAAAATTGTTATAGGTACAACAACATTAAGCATCTTAAAACTTACCAAGATGCCGCTGCAAGAAGAGCGACACCGAGATGTCGCTGCAAGAAGAGCGACACCACCCGATTAGGGCGGAAAAATCGGCAAATCGCATCATTTTTGACAGCGCACTTTTTGGGGGGGCAAAAAAATTGTGGCTGTTGGGGGTATCAACACTGCTTTTTTTCCTGTTGGCCATGTAGCCGCTGGCGCCACTCTTCGTTGTCACGGTCCGCCATCCGACCCTCCCCTTTTTCCAATAGAACCGCAGTACTTTGTTGAAGTTGCACAGGCCTGCGGCTCTCCGGCGCGGGAAGCCGCGCCCCCTCTCCCGCATCCAATTCCGTACGCGCCCAGACATCTTCTCGTCTCCCCTCTGCGGCCGGACGTTGAAAATGCGGACGCGCCAACAATCAAGTGCTTCCGGGGGGGGGTGCCGAAGGGGGGGGGTAAGGGGGTCCGCTTGGGCTACCGTTGGGCTGCCATTTTGGGACCTGCCAAATCAGCAGTTTCCAATGGGGATTTGGGGGTCGGCATAGGCTACCGAAAGGGTACCCGGAGGGGGTACCCGGAAGGGGTGTCCGAAGGGGGCAAAAATGCCCCCCCCTGACCACCCCCCTTGCCGGGCCTTCTTTTCCGGGCGACGGGCCTCGTCGAGCCCCGGTCACGGAGGCGGCCCGGCCACTGTTCGAAGAGCGGGCCCACGACACAGCGCCCGGCCATCTGGACGACAACGCACAGAGCGAAGGTGTTGTGGCCTGCTTCTGGTCTTGGTGTTGCGACATTTCCAAAGCTCAGCTACCATGTTTCCTGTGGAAAAGATCAAGTGACATGCGAGGCGTGTCGGCTTCCAAGATGTTGCGCCCCCAACAAAAAAACTTTTTTTACCCCCCCACTAAGTGCGCTGACAAAAATGATGCGATTTGCCGATTTTTCCGCCCTAACCCGACATCTTGATCTTATCGGATCAATATCGTGTTCTAAAAATCAATGATAAAATAACTAGAAGATCCTATCCTGAGTAAAAACGTACCCACACCAGAGTCAGGATGGGGATTTTGCAAAACAAGCCTAGGAGTTTTGTGAGTCACGCATGACAAGTTGCGCTCTGCAGTGTAGTGCAGGTTAGCAAGTGCAGCCGCATCACAGATTCATCTGCTCATCCTATTCACAGCATCACAAATTCCAAAACACGACTGGGAATGGCTCTCATGGGGATGCGCGTTACAAGTCTTCCTGTCTTTGCAAATCTGCATTACAACTCTGGTGTGGGTACGTTTCTACTTAGGATAGATCCTTGGAGTGGTGGAGCAGCACCTCGCTAGGATTTCTATGTTATGAACTGCAAAAGCATCGTACAAGTATAAATTTAAATTGCAATGCAAGTTAGCTCAGCATTACAAATTAAATTTGTAATGCGGATTTGCCTTAACCAAAATATTTGCAATGCATAAAAGCAATTGCTACGAGTACGATACTTTTGCACAGGATATATCTGCGATACACCACATAACACGGGTTTCCGGAGATTGAGCGGGCCGGAAAGCCGCGTTGTGCAATATATCAATTTTTTGAATTTGGGTTGTACTGAAAATTGCTTATTGTATTAGTATTCTGGTGTACTTCTATCTCTATCTTCACTTCCAGGCTGTGGAAAAAATATGTTCTTATGCGCTGATGATGTGATGGCTGTATCTGTAGTGAAAAAAAGTTGTAAACATAAAAGGGCAATGAAGATCGTGATGACAACAATGATAGCGAATCGGAGCAGTGCACTTCGTTACTTTCCAAGCTCAATAGTGGTGGCTAAAAGTAAAAATCGATCCTAGTTCGTCCTCGCGTTAGTAGAGAAGATACTAGACTCGAGCTTGACTGTTACATCATGCCCGTGTCGCACTTCAGTGGTCGTGGTCCACTAGAATTTTTATAGTTGCATAAACGTTTGATGGTTTTTGCACACTGCAAAATCATAGTCAACAGCGAAATAAAGATAAGATGATTCAAATTTACCAATCTTACTGAGCAGACCGCGGAAATAACTTCGAAGCCACTACATCCGAATTTCGAATCTGGAACTAATTCTTTAATCTGATATCATAAAGAAACCCTTGAAAATAGGTTTTTTGGTGAAGGATGATAGGGGCCGCTGCTTTTCTGTAATATTTGGACAATAAATTAGGTAAGTAGTAGGAGTTCATCAGATCATGCTATCAATCTGCGACGAAGACTGCTTATGGTAAGGTATGTAGCAGAAGAGACAGTGCCCCATATCATGTTTTTTGTTTAGATAATTTTTTTTTGCTTTTATTTATTTTGTTTCTTGTTGTTGTTTATAATAGTGCGCCAGGTCCTCGTGCTGTCGTGCTGCTTGCTCCTGAGCATCCATGCGATTTTTTTTTCGTAAAAACTAGGTAGCTGTCGTGGCTCAATGTGGACGACGAGGACCTGCGTATTAAATCACCCAAACTACTTCCCAAACCAGCTGTCAAGGTTCAAGAAGAAGCTCGGGATGTTGATAGTTCATCCTCATCTACCTCATCAAAAGAAGATCCGCTCCAGCATTCTTTCGCCGTGTAAGGTGGTGGGAACCAAACAGTGCTCGCCGTAGTTTTCCGCGATGTACTTCACTATTTTCGCGATGTTCCTTATCCTGAGAAAAAAGTGTTACAGTTACACACTCTGATGGAAGACCAGCAAGACAGACAACCTTTGTCATGCAGGAAATGCTTGCCAGCCTCATTGCATTCGTGTTTTCCCTTGTAGTCTGCGCATCACAGGTTTTGTTGGCCATGTCGAGCAACTTTGTGATGCAGAAACTCCAGCAAATGTGTAACTGTAACACTTTTTTCCTGTGATATTCCTGCTATCATCCAGCCCGGAGTGGTGACGGCCATCGAGCTGGAGCGCGCAGGCCTCGAGCATAATCACCATGGCGTCTTGTTTCTGTGAAGTCGTGTGGTTTTTGGTCCGATTTTGGTGAAGCTTTGTTATGCATGCAGCTTTGGATCACGATCATGAACGGGGTGGACAATTGTGAAGATTGTCCACATCTACATGGTCATGCATAAAATCATAATAAACAAAGGCCAGATGAGAGAACAAGCTGAAAAACAAAGCAAATCATATATCATTACTCGACTACTTAGTACGTTGTTCCGATAGTAGACGTAATTCTTGTGCTTCCGCGGGTCACCCAGCAAGTTCGCGAAAATTATTTTGATGTTGCAGAACGAACGCTCCACGTCATCCGGCAAGCCACAGAGTATCCCACACAAAAAAGCCGCGGGCAGGGCAACTACATTGTATACGCAAAAATAAGCACACAGAAAAATCTGCGTCGCGTAATATCCTAAGCAGAATGCTGTAGGCTTGCCCATGACATTTTTTTTTTTGCGATTTACCCTTTGATATGCATATGCCCTGCCTGCTGGTCCTTTTTTCTTTCTGATACAGAGCTTCAGCTGGCCAGGAAGCATCGTTTCCACATCCCAGTCACCACAGGTGATCAACCTAATTTTAGTGAATGACTCGTCTGCTCGACACCATCTAGTATACGCTTTTTCGCGGCTAGAACCTTCTACACCGTAGAATCATATTACAGAAGATATTACAAATAGCAACTTTAGTATTACCCTGAAGAAGAACGAGAGAACCAACAAAATCAAAATATACAGTGAGTTCGGAAAGTGCGCCATAAAGCCCTTCCAGTCCTGGTAAACCCCCGGAAAATCCCCCGCGTTGTCGACCTCTTCCTGCGTAATCCCCGTCAAGTTTCGGCAAAAGTATTTCAGTTTCGGGTTCAACACCGGCTTCACGAATTTCCGAAATTCGGCAACGACCTCTAAAGTTTCTACGTCCAGAATAACCGTGGGAAACTCGATGACTTTATGAGAGTCCACAACTCCCCCTCCTGCCCCTCATTTGTTGTATGGCATGGACAGCAATACAAACAACAGCACACGTGGAGCCTATGCATGACAACTTTATGCACCTTATGTAGTACTGTTTGGGCAGCTTCCGAAATTTGTCATGCTAACACAAGTGCCACAAGGCATCAAGGCAGCGACTGGGATTAGGATTTTGCATGACAAACGAGGGGGAGGAGGAGTTGTGCACTCTCATAGACCTCGGGCTCAATCGAGTGGTCGTGTTCGCAAGTCGCCTCGAAATCCAGGATGGCGTAATAGGTGTACCTAGAAATAGATATTTGAATTGGATGATTTGTTTGTTAACTTCGCTTTTGATGCAGCCTGAACTAAAGGTAGGAACCCTGTTGTAGCAGTTATGCAACGGAAACAAACACCACAAGATGAAACGTGTGGAAAATGAGAATCTCTTCCCATAAAGAAACGAAATATCAAATTGCGCGAAATTTCTATACTTGTGCCAATTCTTCGCATCAAAAGTGTGTTTCCGACTCAACTGCTTCAAATTTGCCCAGCTCCTGCTCTCCAAAGCCGCTTTCGGTTTCAAATGCCCGGCCGCTTCGAGAAATTCGGAATTTGTCGTCGCGTAAATAGTACTGCTGTGACTCGTCGTTGAGGGGACGGAGGGATAATTCGCTGCACCGTAAGTAGAACCTCCAACTGTCGTCGTTGTAGTTCCTGCCGTCGTAGCAGATCGGTGCAGAAGCCTCTTCGGGTGGCTTTTGCTCTTGTTGATGAACGGGGGTACAGGAGCGCCGCCCCCGCCTACTTGATCATGACTACTGTAGTCCCAGTGCTGGTTTTGTTGCCAATGGCCATTGAATCCCGCGAATGAGGGTGTAGTTTTTTCCTGGTGGTACGTCGAAGATGTCGTGCCGTTGGATGCAGACCTGTAACTGGAAAGAGTTTTGCCGCTAGCCGCAGTGGTCGTCCACGCTCCGGAGGTAATATGGTGGTAGTTCTTTTGACCACCGCCTTTGCCACCTTTGATGCTCGTCCCACTTGTCCCGCCGTTCTGGCCGTTGCTGTAACCTGCGCCATTGCTGTAGCTACAACCAGAAGGACCTGCGGCTGCGCCGTTTTTCCCGCCATTTTTGTTTGACACATAGGTAGTAGACGGATTCATCTTCCCACCTTTGTAGCCGTACAAACCGTTCGCAGCTCCTCCAGAAGTTCCGTTGCTGTAGCTTCTGTCTGGGTAAAAATTCTTGTCCTGCTGGTCACAGTTGTAGCCGCCGTTTGAGGAGCCGTTGCTATCGTTTGTGTTGTAGCTATCGGAGCGGCCGTTGTTCTGTGGATTTGCATGCTGCTTGTAGCCGTTGGTCCCATTCTTGTTCCAACCGCTCTTCGCCACGGCGCCGCCCTTGCCTTTGGTGTAGCCCGACACCTTGTAGTAAGTATCCCCCTCTACTTCGCTTCCATGATACTGACCTGACGCTGACCCGTAATAACTGTCATACCGCGGGTCGTGATCTGCCGGGCCGTTGTACGTGTACGCGTGCTGTAGTTTCCTCGGCCGGTTACCTGTAGTGCCGCTCTTGCCGTTCCAAGATGTAGCTGAATCAACACCATTTTTTGCCTGGCCTTTGCCATTCTGGATCATGGGACCCCCTCCATTCGATGTAGTCCCACAGAAGCTGCTGCCATGTGATCCTTTATTTCCATTGGAGGTCGTCGTCGTGGTCTTTCCGTTATTGTTGTTGACACTGGTGCTCAAAGCACTGTGGTAGCTGTTGGTAGAAAAGCTGGCGTTTAGAGAGGGAATGGAAGAATGGTTGTTTAACGCAGCCGGATTGGAGGAGTCGTTTGCCCAAGATGGTGCTCCTGGACCTGGTGTAGTCAAGAACGTCGAAGGCAGCTTGTGATTGCATTCGTCCGTCGTGTCAGCACATAGTGCCCATACTGGTACTACCACAGAACCATGAGTCATGAGTGTTTAAATAACAACTTCATTCAACTACTTCAATTCTAGCTTGTTGATGTCCTGCATTTCCGAAAAAAGAGTACCCGCATGCTCTCCACCATTTGTTCCGGTCTCAATCAAAGTCCCTGCCCACGGGTCGCACTCCAGCTGGTGGTTTCGAGTGACGTTACTTGCCGGCGCTGATATGTGTTCAGTTTGCACTGATAATTGTCTTATTTCAAAAGCATAGCTGTAGAGCGCCATCCTATAGATACTGTGTGTTCGACTTCGATCTGTCTTGCGGCCAGCTCATGAAAAATGAAACCCACATATCAATGTGTTGTGAAAATTATCATTACCGACCCTGCGATGAATACCTCCCGCTCCCTCCAGTTGCTGCAAAAAGGGCGCAATGTCGGCCTGCAACTTCGCAAAGGTGTCGTCTACTTGTTCCACTTCTCCGAGATGAACACTGCGCAATTCCTGATCCCCCTCCTCCGACCTGCTACCCTGCGATAAACCGACGTAGGACGAGCATCCTGTCTGATCCATCGTGGTGGTGGAATCGAAGCTGCCACACCGGGTTGCGCGGAAGTTATGCATTGCAAAAGTATCGCACTACAACTTAGTATAAATCGCATGACAAATGTTGCCAAGAGCAAAAATCTAATTTGTCATTGTCATGCTCAGAAAGCTAAACACAGATATCTGTGACGCATGAACGCAATTAGTACGAGTACAACGCTTTTGCAAAGGATACGAGTAGGATGAGGAGGATTTCTTCGAAAACCGCGGATGGTGTTCGTCGTGGGACGTAGAAGAGTATGCAATGTAAATTCCCCGTACATGTACAAAATGCATGACAAATTTCGCTAATTTGCAGTGTGCAACTTGTCATGCTAGACTAGGATTGAAGGCAGGTTTTGTCATGCAGAGACTGCATTTGCACGTGTAAGGGAAATTTACTGTGGATAAAGAGTCGTGGACGACGCCTCTAGAACAAGACGAGTTCAGTACGAAGTTGCTGCCGGGAGAGGTGGTTTCGCCGGATAAAGCGTGCATTTTGGTGAAAGCTCCGTGCGATGCTGTAGCAGCTCCGAGAATCGGGGCTACCACAATCTTGCGCCACTCAGGAGCTTGCTGTGCTGTTAGTTTGGCTAGCTAGGCATTCGATAAAAGTCTCTTGATCGTGATGTGGCAGTAGATATTACGAGCGTTGGTTGTTGTGGGCAAAATCCAATCTTACAAATACAAGCCCACGGCGTATTCGCATAATCTTAAATCTGCGTGATGGTGCTGAGGTTAAGACAGGCCCGAAAGCATGGGCGTCTTCACGCGAGAGTTTCTGCCCTCCCTGCCTTTCTTGGGCAGACGAGTGGCCGCATAGATTATCGAAGCGCTGAAGCGAACATGACTGCAGCCACGTGGCTAAGCATAAGCAAATAGATACCCACGAAGATTGGTCAATCATGGGGCTAAAAAGGCTGCGCGCCTGTGAACGCACACTCGTCACAACTGCGATTGCTAGTTGGTTGCTGACAATCGGACAACAAACTACTTGCCACACTGAAATTAAGGCGACACCTGCTCGGGCGCTTTCTTCCTTTGGCGCCAAGGATGCATGACGCCTGCGCAGAGGAATTCCGCTGCAGCCCCCCCTGGTCAGGCCCGACGCACACAACAAACACGCAGGCGGGCAGGCATGTGGCGCATGCGCTGCAGGGGAGATGCCGGGCGGCCGGCCCAACGTGCGGAAGACGGGCGCCCACGCGGGAGTGCAAACACTAGAAAAAACCAGGCCGGACCAGCGCCACGCACTCACAGAACACACGGACGGCGACACCAGGCCACCAAGCAACCGAAGCCCCGCGGGACGGCGGGCCCCGCCCCCGCCCAAGGAAGCAAGGGACTGCACTCGCGCCGCGCTGCGCAGGGTTGGGCCCCCGAGAGCCACAACAAGCGCGGGGGGGCCGGCCCGGGGCCAAGGGCTGGCTGCGCAAGTAGGCTAGCGGCGCGACGCCTACCGCCGCGGCCGCCTGCCGCGCCGGCCTGTGGGCGCCTCGCACTTACTAAGCCGCCCGGCGGCGGGTACCAAGACAGAGCACGGGAGGAAGGGCGGCGCAATGCGGGCCGACCGGCCGAAATCGACACCCGGGCCGAGTCCAGCACCTTGTTGGTCTTGTCCTGCGTTTCCACGCCCCAACCGTGCGCACCGGGTTGCGCCCATCATGTTGAACGCCGAGCCCGGCCGGGCCCGTCGCCAGTTGCAGATGGCGCGGGCGCAGCGCCCGCGAGGCTACAACTGCCGCCGATGCCGCTAGCGGCCGCCGCCCCCCCGCCCCCGCGGGCGGGCCGGGGGGGGTGGCCGACGTGCAAATATCCCGACCCGCCGCCCTGCTTCCAAAAACGGCCCGCATGGCGCTGAATTGAAGCGGCTTCGGCTCCTTGCGGTTCGGCTTGTGAAAGCCGGCCCGGCATTCAAAACCTAAGCACAAGGATGGGCGGGGCGCGGCTCTCGCCAAGGCCTCCGGAAATGTTCCCGGGCTTCCTGTGGCCATCGCCGCGGTTTTTTGAGCACTCAGACCTCCAAAAAGCCAAATCACCACGGGGCTTTTTTGGGCCACTGGGCGTCTCTCTCTATCGTTGCGGAAGCTCTTCCGCCACATACGGAGGGCGCGGGCGTCCTCATGTTGCTCCCCCCCCCCCCGCGGGCGCAACACGTCGCCACCAAGTCACACGCGCCACGCCGGCCGCCCCTTGTCGCCAGTTCTGGGCCCATGGATGGCTCCAGACCCCCCCGCCCCCGCCCCATCTTCTAGCGAGCCCGGCCCGGCGCGCTGTTCGCCGGATTTTGCCCCTAACGCTTTTGGGGCGAAAAATCCATTTTTTTTCTGCAATTTTTTAAAATTTTCAAGAAGGGTGGCGGGGTGGCCCTTGGGCCGGGGGCGAGTTGGGAACCATCCTGCAGGCTGCACAAGAAGGGTGGCGGGATGTGGGTCGTTGCCTTCGGTGCTTCACAATGGGGCGAAACAACACACAAAGCCGCCACGCCGCGCGGGCTCGATATGCCTCAGGAGCGCTCGGGAGGCGGCGCGCAGGCATGATGGGCGCGGCTGCTCGACAACGCGGGCGCTCGATGCGTTCAAATTGAAATGAAGAACTTCGCTCGCATGTGGCCAAGAAAAATTTCAAAAAAATTTCGATTTGCCCAAAAAAAGTTTCGATTTGGCCCGATAAAATTTCAAGAGGCGCCAAAAAAGGCCAAAAAAAATTTCGGAAAATGGGCCACATTAGCAAAATCCCATTGGTTTTTGCAAATTGGCCACTTTCTAGAATTTTTTTCAAATTTTTTTTGCGCGCCTCTTGATTTTCCTCGGATTTTTTTCAAATTTTTTCTGAATTTTTTCCTGGCCAAACCCGAGGAGAGGTCTGCTGTGGCGGAAATGCGCCACAAGGAAAACTCTACTCCCCGGAAGACGAAGGCGCAACCCTACACGGATTCGCCCCTCTGGGTTCTCATCACCAGGAGCGGAGGCCAAGAGATGCGGACCACCCAAGCGGGCAAGTGTGCGACACCTGCGCCGGGCCCTCCTCTGACAAACAGGACCGAGAACAGACTCGGCAACTGCCTCACATAGGCCAGACCGTCGGGGAAGCAAAAAACTTCAAAAAATTTTTTTTGGCTTTTTTTTGGATTTTGTTTTTGCGCTATGTGGATTTTTTGAAATTTTTTCCGTTAGGGTGGAAATCCTGCGAAGCGCTGCCAGCCCGGGCCCTGGCTCGGCGACCGGGCCGCGATCAGTTTGGCGCGCATGGAATCCCCTCCGTCTGCAGGCGCGGCGCCGCATGCGCGCCTGGTGGCCCGGCTTCAGCGGGGCTCCCAGCCTGTGCACCGACTCGCTGCCCCTCCCAATGTCATAAATCTGCTGCCGGGTGCTGGACTTTGCCGGGACGCATCTCGCCCCGGGTAGCGGCTTGCGCGCGGCCATAAGACGCCGGGCAGACCGCTGGGCGGGGGGGCCCCAGAATGAAAGGCGCAGGGCTTCAGGCGTCCCCCCTTTTCATCCTCGGCCCCACCCGGCAGATTCTAGGCGGCCTTTTTGGTTTTTGATTTCGTTACAGGTCCAACCTCCCCCGGGGAGCAGTCTCTAGCTGCGAGCCGCCCCCCTGGGCTGGCGGCCGACTTCTGGTAGTCGACTTCCGGCAGAAATAGAGCCGACTTCCTCAATGGCAACAATCACCACAAAGGATCCGCCGAAAGATGAAAACGAACACGCGTGCAAGCCCTTGCTTGTAGTTTCCTTCAATCATGATGTGGCTCTGTCCGAAGGGTACAGCGTCCGGCGTGCCGTTTGTTTTCTTCATTAACCCTCGACGTTGCTTCATTTTCAATTTCATCAGACAGGAGCAATAATATTCGTGCGCCATGTCATTCTCAGTAGCGTTTCCTATCATTCGACGCGGTAAGTAGCCCTGAACTCAACAGGACAAGAAGCTAAATATCTTTTCTTTGTCCAAACACAAAGGTGCCTATTTGGCCGACACTGAAGACCCTCGAAAAGAGCGGCGTCTTTCAATCTATCTTCGCAAAAACCTTCTGCAACCACTCAGGAGAAAATTCTTCATAACCGCCTCTGCAGGTGCTGTTCTGTAGTCCTTGTCTTGCTTGGTCATATCGTTATCGTCGGCGTTGAACAAGTTCCCATGAAGTCATAATCCCCACCGTTCTATTTCTTAGAGTTGAGTGCTGACTTGTCCTTATGATTGTGAAATAGGCTGATGAGTTGGTTGGTTCTTGTTTCGATATTCCTCTTCCACCTCCTACGTGTATGATCTTCATCCATGAAATTCCGTTCCCGCTATACAAACCATCTTTCTGCTCAGTTGTAGCTGGTGTGGTAGTCCGGCGCGAGAATTCCGTGCACGCCCAGGTAGTTCAAAAACGACAGCTCCGCTTCTTCGAACGCTTCCTCGACGAAGATTTGCAACGAGGAGCACCGCTGGAACTTCGGTCCGGCTAACTGCAGCTTCAAAACGTCCCGGCAAGTCCCCTCATTTTTCTCCTTCGACCCCGTAATTTCGCTGGTGAAGTCGTGCTGCAAAACCGCCTTGTAGTCCTCTATGTCGGAGAAGTCCAAGTCCGGCTGGTTGGTGAAAATCCGGATTTTTGCGGGCGGCTCACAAGATGTCTCCTCGCCGTCAACATCCTCCGGCTTTTCGTCCACCCGGAAATGGAGTTGCGTCAAATTCACCTTCTCCTGGAAGAAAATCTTTATTAGCAGCTGCGCGTCGGCGTCGGAGACGAGTTTTGTTGATTCGTCCTGGGGTATGAACAGCTTGTTGATGTTCTCGTTTTTGATGTACTTTTGATCCGAGTTCAGGCAAATGGTCTGTCTGAAATCGAACATCCGCTTCCCGGAGAGCTCCTCCGCACCTAACTCCACCTCGATGATTTTGGTGTTGTCTTTCTGCTGCCCCAATTTCTTCAGCTGGTGGTGCATCATCGTGTCGGTGTTACCCGACTCCTTGTTTACCTTCGCCATCTTTTTCTTTTGGAAGTTGAAGTTGTATGTAGGGGGTCTACTTTTGCTGAAGATGAGGGGTAAAGCTAAAGAGAAGGGATGCGGATGGCTATTGACCACGACGCTTGTTCTTGTCTTGTCCACCTAATATGGTCTTCTACGTAGAAGTGACACTACTTGATATGAATGGTAGCCAGGAACAAGCCGAGTATGAAATTAATAAACCTCCACCACCACGTGCTCCTGGTGGTGACCGTTTCTCTTTCTTTTTGTTTTTACGTTGTAGATTTGCTCATGTTTTGTTCACAGTCGCTGTGATGAAAAGACGGACGAAGGAGGTCAGGGAAAACTTGAAGGCCAGGCGCAGGAACGGAAATCCAAGTTGAACTTTGAAGTAGAAATGCAACCCCGTAGAAAATTTTTCGCTACATACTAGCTCCTCACACAGATCCAGTTTATCGTGTCGTTGCTGTGGCAAGATTGTGATTGAGAATTTTTCGCGCACGGTCTGCTTCTGAACATCATACTTTGGATTGGTGTGGTATCACATCAGCGTCACGTGATCACTAACGCTAGTGCTACACCAGGCAGCGCGGCAACTTGGCACTGGTCTAGTGAGGTACGAGTTTGAAAAAGACCAGCCGAATCGAAGTCGACTCTTCAATTTAGTAACGATGTCCGATCTGCTCCAAAGAAGGGGTCAGACGCAAAATTTAATACGCTCCTGGCGCTGGCAAGAAACCAAGTCCAAACGGACTTCAAGGAAGAATAAGACTTCGAGTCTTATTTCTCAATGCTGATTGAACCATGAAGAAACTCGGTCCACATTATTCAAAGTCACAGTTTTTCTCTGGTGGTGAGAATCTTCCATGTGAAGCGAAGCACCTCGCTCTTTCGTGCAGCAGCACGAATGTCGGCGGAAAATTGAGATTGAGACTCAGATTCACTGTTGGCTAATATGGTTTATTACTTTGTTACATTTCTTACACTGTTCGTGGTTCTTTCTCCCACGATGGGAACACCAGCTGCAACAGGCACTGACGATCCTGCTCCATTCTCAGGTGGTGTTGCAGCTCCTGGTCCTGATGCTGGCCCGTCCCCGTTATAGGAAAAGTTGTACTTCTCCGCGAAGAAGTACTGAAATAAGTTCCGCTTTCCGTACTCCACCACATCGACCCCGATATCAAATGCAAATATGTCTGGGGCTGGAAAATTGTAATGCTAAAAGTGAATAATAGGCGCACTGCAGTACGCACCTATGTATGCATGGCAAATTTCGTGGCTGCCATGTCTTACGTATTCCGCATGGCAAACTACGTTTTTGCATGACAGGTAAGAGGGCCTTTTCGTGCCTATGCAATACAGATTCTCGAGTCATGCCAGACAAGCATGACAAACTTGGATTCTTCCAGACCACCCAGACATTTTTGCATTTGATACCCAAATCCAGACTGCAAAACGATCACAGTCAACAACACCATCGAAATTACGAACCAGAAATTTGTTGCAGTAGTTGCACCAGCAGCTCTTGTCGAAGTAGTGGATGCCTTGTAGTTGGATTGGTTCACGCTGCTTCTCGCACCACCACCAGCACGATTACTACGATCTCCTCGTGGGTGCAGGTACAGTCCGTGTTTCATTCCTCCTCCATAAAGATTTGGATTTTCTACTTCCTCGTCATCTTCCGAGGAACTGATCCGCCCACGGCTCCCAAAATTCTTCGAACTGGATATGACAGCGCAAAACCCCCCTCCCCCTCATTAGGATTGCATGAACAGCAATACAAACGTGAGCGACCCAAGAGCTTGTGCATGACAAATTCATGTAGATGTACCTACTGTAGTAATGCGTGGGCTTTTGAAATTTGTCATGCAAACAGTGCCACAGGGTAGTGACTGGATTAGGATTTGGGATTTTGCATGAAAAATGAGGTGGATTGGGGAGTGATGTACTGCCATACTGGAGCTCAGCGTGCTACTGTTGCTACTCGAAATCCGGGGGCGCCGCTGTGCGGAGCTGCCTACTTGATGTTCTTGTGCCGGCATGATAACTTCAGTTCCCCGCTTCCTGCAGCGACTGGAGGAGGGGGGAGCTGCGACCACTTTCCCATCCTCAGTGTCTAGTGGAGAGGAGCTTTGACTCGGTGTAGCCGGGCTGGATTGCATGGAGTGAGCCTCCTGCTGCGCTTGATTATGGTTGTTTTGTAGAGTCTGCTCGTTCTGTCTCGAAGCCGACGCTTGTCTCGCCCTTTCTTCCATGTACTTGATCATGTGCCGCGGGTCATTTTCGTACTCCGAAGTGTCCTCTTGAAGATGATGTTGCCCACCTCCCCCTCGCGCAGAGCTTATTTGCGCTTGTCTTGATGTTGCATTCTGAACTTGTTGCTGCTGTTCAACAAGAAGTCCAGAATGTTGTTCCCTCGCGGCCCCCTGCAGGTTGTAAAAATTCCTCCTCTGCTCCAGCCTGGCGAAGTGGCTCAGCCGGAGTTGGCTCGCGCGCTGCGCGTCCCGGCGGAGAAAGAAGATCGACGCTACAATCTGCGTGAGCTATGCATGATGCAAAAGAATCTTCGCACTCGTACAAATTGCGGCCATGCAAGACAAATCCCTTTCCGAACCTAAAACAGCAGTACAAATTCCACTTTCTTTTTTGCCGAAATTTGCGATGCTGCTTATACTAGTACGATGATTTTCCAATGCATATGATCCACTGGGTAGCGTTTTGGTGGTCCTTGGAAGCTAGACGGAACATGGGCTCGTCGGTTTCGCTATCCTGTGCAAAAGTATCGTACTCGTATAATTGCAATCATGCATTAATTCTTTTTTCTATGTAAATCCGCAATACAAATTTTATCTCTCATGCTGAGGAAATAATTTGTCGTGCATTTATACGAGTACGATACTTTTGCAGTTCATATTCGCGATCGATCAACCAGAAGGAGAACCTGGTGATTGGAAGTCTCTGTTTGCCATGCGTAGTCTGCATCACAGCGCCAAAGTTTCTCATGCGCGTACAGCAGGTGCAGCAGAGTATCATCACTAAAGACAAATTCAAACTTAACCTACCAGTTCTCCCCTAACGTCGCACCACCAGCCTCCACTTCCCCGTCGCCCCTCAGCGAATTTGTGCTCTTCCTCCGTTTCTGCTCCACTTCTCCGCCGCCACCCCGAACGGAAATTGAATCGGTTAATGTTTTCGCGCCATTATTCTCCTCCTCCGTCTCGTTTGCCTCAATCACGACGGAGATTTTCAACAAGGACAACGGCTCCGTCATCTTCCCGCGTTTCCTGTAGGTCAGCAACCCCCTTTCCAGGCTGAAAAACCGGGGGCTCCAGGCCCGCATCAACTTTCCCCGGAGCGCAGAACCGTCCAAGTGCCACTTGAACAGCTCGCCGGAGATTTTCACCTGCGACAGGTCTTTGATGTGGTCCCACTGGAGTGTTTTCAAATTGATCCACTGGGAAGTAGGCGTAGTCAAGGTGGACGTCGAGGCGCCTGCGCCATTTTTGTTCGCATTGTTCTTGTTGATGAAATCACTTTCGCGGCGGATGGTGGTGCTTTGTCTTCGACGATTGGAGGAGGAGGTTGAAGTTCTGGGCGAGGGGTTTTTGTGGTTCGTTTTCGAGGCACCCGCAGCACTCCTATGACTAGTTGATGAGGATGATGAAGACGTCGACTCCGTTGGAGAAGGAACCGCTGTGGAGGGGAGAGACGATGATGAGGCGCTGCTAGTACTACTATTCGGTTTTGATGCTGAAGATGGTAGAATTTTTGCACTCGTGCCGCTGGCCGGTGCTGTTGGTACTAGTACACTCACGGTGGAGCTGTTTTTCCTGCTGGTGCTGCTGGTTGTGCTAACTGCAGAAGCTGTTCCTGCTGTTGTACCGCCACCGACACTCGCAGTAGCAAAGCCCTTTGCTATCTTTCCCATCTCCGCTTCCAGCATCGCCGGGAACCCTCGCACGACCGACGTCTTTTCGATGAACCAAAGTTGGCACAACGCCTTGACCAGCTTTCTCGACGTCACAGACGGCATCGGCTTGTTGTCCTTTGAAGGTTCAATCGTGTCGCCGTTCTTCAACCGCAAGGTGAGCCGGGTACCTGGTGATGTCGTAGTCGTTTTATTCGCGGCCGACTTCTACATCTACACTCTGAGTGCGATAATTGCATGAACTACACATGCAACAAAAAGTGCTAGAGGTGCTCGCATTCTCGAAGGTACGAGAAGACAAGCTCTACTTGGCAGAAGTTGCATTCCTAGTACCTGTTGAAATCCCGTCGGTCGGAGCTAAGCTCTCCACCTTCTTGATTTCCTCCTCGTCGCCGACTAACGGGCCTAAATCGTCCTTCAAACTGCTCGACATCATCCCGGAGGTGATGGGTTTGAGAAACAGCAACTCGCACTGCACGGACATCCCATTCGGAGCTGGTTTTCCGATCGCATCGCAGAAGCGGGCACCCCAAGTTGAGGTGGAGCCCGTCGCGCCTGAAGATGATGTCGCTGCGGCAACCGCCAGTGGTCCCTTATTGTAGTCCAGGTCGCTCTTCCGGACGTAGCAGGCGAAAGCGTAGATCTTGAGCTCGATGAAACCGATCTTCTTGAAGCGGCAACCCGCGCCAACACACTCGAGCAGGCTGCCATCCGCGGTGGAGACGGAGTTGCGGTCGAATTCCTGGCCGGAATGGGCGTCGCGGACCACGGGGGGACGGGATTTGGAGGAGGAGGATGCGGAGGACATGTCTACTTGTTCGAAGGTTGATTTTTCATCTTACGGACAGAGCAGACAATACAGTAGGCCGACAAATGCAATGCAAGCAACTCGTGGTCGTGGTCCTGGTCGCGCAGCCTATCTATCACGACTGACTTCTACACGCTCATCTTCATTTCTGCTGACTGAGGACGAAAAACACGCTCCTGTTCGTGCGTCCTGCAAAACATGTGCAGCGCAAGTGGTGATGAGGATATTTTGATTTTGAAGGAACACAAGGGCGGCGGCGAGCGCATGAGACGACCACCCTCGCGCGCCATCAAATCACTGAATGAACTGAACGCAGGGCGTTAGTCAGCTATCTTTAGCTCCAATCGCGAACATGCTCGTGCCCAACAAAACATGACAGACACACGAAACTCGAAGGCGCGACGAATAACGTGTGCCACATTGTGCTAATTGCTTTGTTTGCCAGTTCGCTGAACAAGGCCCGACAACATGCTGCTGCACCCGAGAAGCGCGCGCGCGCGGGCGCCCCGCCCTATAACATTCTCTGGGAATGCACCTGCGCGGCGTCCTTGGTGCTCGGCTGAAAACTTTACGCGGCCGCGCGCGGGCCTACGCCAATGAGGTGCCAGGGCGTTTACCAACCCAAGTAGGCACACGACGAAAATAAAAACAAGCGGGGCCGGCGGACCGACGAAACGGGGCGCCGGCCAACCGGGGGCCGCCCGGTGGGGCCCGGCAGGGGCGCGCGGCGACGGGCCTACGGCGCAGGGTTTGGGGCAGATGAACACAGGGGGGCGCGGCGATCGGTGGACTCAGGAGCATCACTCGGGTGCTGTTCCGAGTACGCATCATGTTCACCGAAGTCAGCTCGCGAGTCTTGGTTTTCGGAAGGTGGCCTCCGATGCCGCGCGAGAAGAAATACTGCGGCTCGATATCGAAGACCCGAGACATGGCGACGCTCTCGACGACTCCCGTCGGGACAACACCCAGAATCCGTTCGAGCTGCTCCACAGACCCACCATCAAAGATGACGCGCAGGACTGCGCTCAGTCCGACGATGTAGTCACAACTGGGCCGGGCCTGCGCCGATGGGCCGCGGGCTCCCGCTGTTCCGCCGCATACCGGGGCCGGGGGGCTCGCAAACAAGGCGCAGCGGGGGCAACTAATCCGCGCGAGGAGTACCGCGCGCCATCTGGCGCCAGGGCTGCACAGGATGCGACCGCTTCAGGCTCGACTTCGCCCGCCCTGCCCGCTGCCTCAAGGCTGGCGGATCTCGTTCCGGGCGGGCCAAATCCAGCCCCATCCGACGCCGCCGGGGCCGCTCCGTTGCATGGGGAACTTGGCCGCGCGCGGCCCCCTCGCGCTGCAGCGCCTAGCCCTCCCACGTCTTTGGCGCTCCCCGGGGCGCGAAAACGAAGCCAGGCCCCAAGCTTGTTGCCGCCCCAATCAGCGAGCGGGCCGAAAACCAAACCCCCGGCCCAACCGCTGGGCCGCGTTTTCCATTCGCTCGCGCTCCAGGCAATCCCGAGCCAGATACCCCGCAAATAGCTCCCCGCTTTCGACGTGAAAAATATTCCCCCCCCCCCCGCCCCCGCGCCTCTTCGCCCCAAGATCTTCGCCAAAGTAATAAATCGCAATTGCCCGGCGCGCGATCGTGGCGCACAGGCCCGCGCCTGCGCCCCCCCCCCCGCCCCGATTCAGGGTTCAGGGGCGCCACAGGGATGGCGCGCATCGCGGAGCGCACCGCATGCGCTGCGGGCGCAGACGTCGGCGCCGCTGAGGCTGTGCGTGCTAATGCTGCGCAATGGTGACGGTGACAGGAAATAATGCGCGACGTCGTCAACTGCGGAGACACTAGGTCTGAGTCCCCTTTGTTCCTGTCAAGCAGCGGAGAACGTGAACACGGCGCCAATGAAAGCGCGCAGATCATTGAAATGCGCTCCAGCACGTGTTGCTGTCAGCAGAGCCTGCACTATCATGCTCTTCGTGCCTTCATGGGCCATGATGCACTCATCAAAATATTGCAACTGCTGCGACAAAATGTCAGGAAAAAAATGTAAGCACGACTGTCACTGTGCTTGTGCACCAAAATCGAGACAACTATGCTCTACTTATTGGGTCGACGAGCAAACAGTAAATGACCAACAATTTTTTTTCTGCACTACTTATTCATCCAGCTTAGTTGCGTCCTCATCTGTCATTATCTCAGCACCCACATACACTCCTCTAACCACACCACCACCACTACACCTCCAACAGCAACTCCTTCCCCCTCTTCACCGCCTCCTCCAACAGCACCTGACTCAACGCAATCCCGCTTCCCACCGCCGCTACGGGGTAATCGGTTTTCATCACTTTAAAATCTCCCACCAAATCTCCATTTTCTTCATTTTCCACAAACCCCGGCTCCAGCTGCTCGATCGCTTGAAACAGGGTGGCGTATGAAATGCAAAAGTATCGTACTAGCATAAATTGTATTGCATTACAAATTTTCGCAGCATGAGAAATAAAATTTGTATTGCTGTTTTACCTTGCCAGGGGAATTTGTCATGCATAATTGCAATTGGTACGACGAGTACGATGGATACTTTATTTGCACAGGATATGGCGCAAGTCCCGACAATGCTGTACTGTTCCTTCTCAAAACTCCGGTTTTCGTTCTTCTGGAAAATCTATGCATTGCAAATATGTCTGGGTCTGGAAACTTGTGATGCAAATCTACGAATTGTGGGCGCACTGCAATACGCAGCCCAGCATGACAAGTTTTTGCGCTGCTGTGTGTTTCGGTTTTCGCATGGCAAACTGCGTTTTTGCATGACAAGCAGGAGGCCCTTCTCCTGCTCATGCATCACAGATTCAAGACTCATGTCAGACAAGCATGACAAACACAAACTTGCATTCTTCGAGACCCAGACATTTTTGCATTTGATAAAATCCGCGCCTGCTCCAACCCTTCCTGGTCCTTCAACTTGATTTTCAGCTCGATCTGCCGCTTCTGGAGCTTCTTCTCCGATTCGTGCTCCAGTTTGTTGGTTTTGTACTTCATGAGCATCTGTTCCAGCATGGATTTCAAAGTCCCAATCGCGATCATGGGAGAAGAGGAGGGGCCGTGGAGGAGGGTGTCAGCAGTTTTTGAGGAGGCGGCTGAAACAGATTTGTTGCGATGCAGGTTCCTGCTGTTCGTCGTAGATGCGGAAAACGTCGCGTCCTTCAGTTGCAAGGCCGAGGTCAAATAGCTGGATGAAAGTCCGATAACGGCAAGAACGCACCACATCGCGGGCCGCCTGGTGATGTTTGGCGGCCGCGCGGCCATCTTGTCTGGAAAAAGAAGACCGGCGCGCAGAGCCAGAAATAAGCTAGCAGTATTGTGAAACCAAGGAGGGCGAAGAAATGTAGAAGTGCGCCGAGTGTGATTGTAGTGGTATCAACATTTTATGAAGTTGTTATGCTTCATTGTACTACTTCCTGCAGATCAAATCGTTGCATCCAGAAGATCGCGCGAACAAACGACCCAAAGCGCCACCTCTGAGCCGGTGGTCTGCAGGCGGCGGATGAGCAGCACGTGGCTGCTCTCCAAGCCGATGGTGTTACAGCACAGCAACTTTTGTGATTATATTTCGTGTACACGTTCATTTTTGATCATGCGATTTGAACACTTACTCTGAGAAGTTTGGGTTTCTTTGGTTTCATGTTTGGAAAAAAGACCATAAGTGACTATGCGGAAAGACCCATTCCTCACCTCCCACCTGCCTTTCCTTGCGCAAATCCAATTCTTACTGCCACCTCCTTTATCACGTCGGCGGTGCCGCAAAGGTGGCCGTGTAGTTATGCGCCACGACCTCCGCGGCCTGAAACGCGGCTTGCTGGTACGCCGTGATCTGGCCACGCGCGGATTCGGCCGTGGCGTACGCCGACTTTGCCTGCGCCTCGAAGTCCTGTGCCTGTTTCACCAACGCCCGGATCTCGTGTTCCTTCTCCGCCCTCTCTACCATCGTAATCGTATGCATTGCACAAGTATCGTACTAGTATAAATAGCATCACAAATTTTCCCAAGAGCAAAAACGTAAATTGTCATGCTGGACAAGGTAGAAAGGTAGATTTGTAATGCATACCTGCCATTACTACCAGTACGATGCTTTTGCACAAGATAAATCGGCGCGGCGGCGGATTTGGTCGTGGCTTCTTTCTTCTCCAAAATCAACTGGTCCGCCAGTGCCGCAGCTTGTTTCTGCTTCGCAATCGCCAGCTCGATCAACTTCCTGGCCTGGGAGTCGTATTCGGACGTTCTTTGCGCGGCTGTGGACATTTGCTGTTGGTACGGCTCCGCGGCTCGGGCGGCAATTACCCGCGGGTAGAAATCCGGATTGTTCCATCCGTACGCCTCAGCTTCCGATTTCCCGATTTGCTCCGCGAGTGGTTCGACCGTTTTCTTGATTTTCTCCACCGCTAGTGCTGCGGCTTTCCCGGCGACCTGTTTTGACAGTGCAACCATGGCGTCGTAGTCCTGGCGGACCTTCTGGTACTCCTCTTTCGCGGATTTCAAATTCAGTTCCGCTTCGGCGATGGTCGTTGAGCCGACGTTTTCGGACGCGAGCAGAGACTCCTGGACCTGCGCAACCTTGGCAGCGGCGTTTAACGCGCGTTGCTTTGCGTAGGATGCCCTTGCAGCGTCGGACTTCGCGGCGGTCAGGTCAGATGCGGCTTGGGCCATCTTCGTCCGGCCGAAGAGCTGTGGTGGGGAGTAAATGGTGAAACTTTTGCAGAAATGCACGACAAGAATCTAGGCTAATGCTACATTGCGAGGACAAACAAACTTTTGTGTCGAAAGCAGAAACAATTTCGATGTCGTCTATACCCCTCTCAAATCGATTTCGTATTTCTTTTTCTCTTCCACTTTCTTCTCTTCTTCCTCCTCCGCCGCTAGCTCTGCTTTCGCGTCCTTGTTCGCATCATCATCTCCACTCCCGTCCGCCTCTAACTTCTTCGGCGGCACCTGTTTCATGAAGGCTTCCATTCCAACCCCCTATCAAGAGAAAAAAATGTTACAGTTACACATTTGTTTGAATTTCTGCATCACAAGTTTTCGCTGTGTGGCAGGAAAAACTTGCAATGCGAAGATGATAAGGGAAAACAGTAAGGAGCCGAGGCTTCCCAGCATTTCCTGCATGAGAGAGGTTGCCTGTGTTGCCGGTCTTGCAACGCAGTGTGTAACTGTAACACTTTTTTCTTGCGATACCCCCGCGTCCGACCACACTACTACTTCACACGGGTTTCCACCCTCCCGCGCTTCCGTCGGCAGGGTTTTTTGCAAGTCCTGCGGCGCCAGCATCTCGCAATTCGCCCCGTTCTTCGCGTTAGTCACTTTGCAGTTGAGTTATGCAATGTAAATTTTCCGTAGCCGTACATGTACAAAATGCATTACAAATCCCGTTAAATTGGAGTGTCCGAGGACTTGTCATGCTAGACTAGGATTGAAGGCAAGTTTTGTCATGCAGAGACTGCATAGTGATAGTTTGTACGTGTACAGGAAAGTTACTGTGGATATGAGTTCGCAAAACCGCGACGTCGCCTCCTCGTTCGGAGTGTTGGTGTTGGATCCCGCGTTTGGGGAGAGTATTCCCTGAAATAAATTAAGCATCCCCGCCATCCAATTTGTCATGCAAAACATGTAGTAAAAAATTCTGCGCTTGTCATGCAAAAAGTGGATGGGGATGGTAAAACAATTTTCAGGGGATAGAGAGACACCGGGGCTGACACGAAGTGTTGGTTGTGTCTTCCTCATATGAATCGCAAAAGCATAGCACTCGTACTAATTGCAAACATGCATGACAAATCTTCTTCCTAAGGTAAAACAGCATTACAAATCCCATTTCTAATGCTGAGGGAATTTGTGATGCTATTTATAGATACTAGTACGCTACTACTTACTTTTGCAATGCATACCTCGGATTCGTTTGTTTCGGAGTTCAGGTTCAAGGGGGGGCTGAACCCGCACTGGTACCCGAGAGACCCGCTGGGGAAGTCGGACGGTTTTTGGCACGTTTCCGTTTCCCGACTCTGGCAACACTCGCAGGAGCACCAATTCGTGCCGGTGGCGGAACTGTTTCGTTGTTATGTGGATGCTGTGTGGTTTCAACAGCGACAAGAATCTGTGTCAATCTGCTTTTTAGATCCAAACTTTACTTCGTGCAAAAAGTGTTGATGTTCTTAAGTATCTATCATGGCAAAAAGTCTCAGTACCGATAGAGCCCATCCATGGCTGCAGACAAGTAATCCTGGCCTCCATCATCCGTCGGAACCGCGGCTGGCTGCAGAAATCTAGCGTCCGTTAGCGGAACAGCGAGGAAGACCTGGATGGAGACAAGGGCGAGAAGCCCTGCTCCTCTGCCACTGACTGTGTTGGAGAAACCCATTTTTGGTGACACGAAACTGGTCGTGTCTAATGCTAATGGTTTATACATGTGTCTTATCTGAGGAAGCAGACCGTCGCGCAGAGTAGAGCTTCAACAGCTCCTCCATGCGGGGCGCTTCCTCTTCATGAAGTGGAAGTGCGGATCGGTGGTCACTGGGTAAACAACGAAATCCAAAGCGTATTGGTCTGAGCGTCGTACTAGAAGATGTTTCAAAGCAGAACTAAGCACATTGACTGAGTTTATTTTTCTGCGCTCACCGCGCAACGGTGGCACGATCTCCGCCTGGACAGACTGAAAAGAAAGCTGTTTCTCATAAAGCACTCGCGCGCGTCTTCTTCAAACAAGCTCCGTCCCTCCTACAGCACTAGCTTCTGAGCCTGAACAACAACTACGACAGGCCTTAGCAAAAGACAACAATAGCGAACCTGCCAAAACGGCGTGCGCCGTCGTCAACTCAAGTAAACAATCTGACCAATACAGGCCGACAAGAAATACTGCAACAAGCCGCCCTAACACCCCAACCTACAACGAACCAAAAGCCAGGCAGGGCCGGCAGCGTTGGCGCAGACGAGGAAGGGGCGAAACGGATAATTAAACCCCGGCGGGGCCGGCTCACGAGGAGGATAGCAACGAACCGGCGCGCCCGGCCGCCGGCCAAGCTAGCAGGCGCGGAGCTGCATGCTCCTGCCGGCCGGCGAGCGCTCGCTCGGACGGCCGGCCCCAGCCCGGTAAAATGGGCCAGGCTATGCAAGCACAGTCTTACTCGCCGGCCGGCCCGCCGGCGCCCGATACATGAAGGCGCGCCAGCCGCGGGCGCAGGCACGCACCCCGCCCGGCCCCCCCCCGGCCGGGGAAGCAGGCGCAGACAGACCACCAGGCCGCCCCGCCGCAGCCCACAGGCGAAGCAAAGGCCCGGGGCGGCGCGGCGCACGCCACGGAGCGAAATTAAGTAACAAGAAAGAGTGAGAGAAGACGGAAGGGCCGACCGTCATGCGCCCCCGATTCAATTGCAGGACCAGCGTCGCACTGGGGCGCTTGGAGGGCTGGGACTTTCGTGAAACACCCGGCCGGACGACCCGGCCTCGCCGCGCCCGCCAGATTGAGGCGCGCAGCCGGGCCGCCCCCCCCCCCGCCGGGCAGCAAATTGCTACGGCGCGGGCCGACTTGCGACAGCGATTGCCCTGCTCGTGCCACACCCCCGCCGGGGGGGGCGGGTGCTCTCTGCGCCGTCGCCTGCTGCCCCTTCACTCTTTCACGAGCGACCCAGGTCGGCGCTGCAGCAGGAGGCGCTATAATTCGCATGATGACACTACCCCGCCCCCCCCAACCTCGGGAAAGCCCGGCGCCAGCGGGGCGCCCTTGGATTGTGGCCCCCACCAATCGGGGCACTTGCGTGCTGCGCTTCGGGGCGGCAGGCTCGCTGTCGATCATCTTCGGCGCGATAATCCGGATAGCAAAAGCGTCCAACGAACAGCTGCAGCATCATAGTGCGGATCGTGCGGGCCGGAGCGGTCAACCTCTTCGAGGCACCACACCAAAGAAGTCCCTGGCGCTGCGGAAACATTCCCGGCAGACAGCGCCGCCACATAATCACGGGGCGCGGACATTTTACCCGCCCCGCCCCACCCTGCCAGCCAGGCAAGGAAACAAGCCCACCGGGGAAGCGGTCCCCCATTATGCCGGGGCGCCGGCCATCCGGTGGAGGCGGCGCGTGCGGATATTCCGCCCGGGCCGCCTCCTTGTGCACAATCAGACTCCTCGGCCCCAGTCCGGGCGGAACATCGACGCCGCCTGGCTCTGCATCAAGGGCGGCGCCACGAAAACGCCCGGGCCGAACGATTGAAGCGGGCAGCCCGCCAAGCCGAGGGCGCGTGGCCCCGCTGGCTGCGAGCGGGCTGCCGACCTGCGCCGCGGGCGGGGCGGCTGCCACATGTTTGTTCCCACCGGCACTGGCCCCCCCCCGCCCCAGCCTCCGCCTTCTGCTAGGCTTCCCGCGCCTTCTCCTTCGCTTGGTCCTCTGCAAAATGCTGGCGCTTCTTAGTACAACACGCAAGCCACAAACCGGGAGAAAAACAACGGCGCAAATTATTTGCGCCACTGTTTCGCGCGCATGGTCTCCGGTCGCGCACTTCGAACTTCGTGACGCGCGACAACGTAAATCGCTCATCTCTTTGCAGATTTTATTTTCATGCGTCTCTTTGCTCCTCTCGTTCTCCATCTCCTTTGAGAGACCGTCATCCACACGACGAACAGTCTCATCTACTAAGTGCATCACGTTCGCCTTAATGTCGAGGTGATCGTGCGTTCGCTGAGCGAACTACCGCAAGTAATTGTTTGTAGTGCGGCGCCTACTTTCATCATCTTCATCGCCTCTATTCTCATTTTTGTTTACGCGCACTGTCGGGCACACTATAGTCAACATTTCTTGCTTGCTGTCATTTTTCAGCATCCACCTACTTACCTCCCCCTCTCACTCCCCACTCCACTCCGTCCACTTCCGGATCCTAACTCCGACCCCGCGACGTCGTTTTCGTTGTGTCCCGCCACGCTGCCTCCCATTTCACTCGAGGTTGAACTGCGGTCCAAATACTGACTCTTCGAGGATGAACTTCCGCCCGAACTTTCCCGACTGCTGGTGTGATCCGAGATTTGGAAGCCCCCGCGCCCGAAAAACTCCTTCGCGGACGTGGAAATCGGCATGGGCGTGGTTCTATCCGGCGTCAACACTGCAGCTGACAACGCGACTTGGTTTGCTTGCTTGTGGCCGATGTAGATCCCGTGGCAGCACCCGCCGAGACAGCCGGCGAGCGCGATAAGACCAAAGTACTGCAGCCAGGACATGGAGTCAACGGATTTCTTTTCTAGGAAAATCAAGGATGTTGTCGTGAGCAGTTGGCCAAGAGGATGTTGGTGACCATCTTCAATGCGTGGTTGTGATGCTGACGCTTGTCTTTCTCTTTCATCCCCCCGATTTGATTTCATTACTGCAGCCTCTTCTGTTTCAACTACCTTCTCTATCAATCGCTCGATCTCGTGTTGGCCCGGTCCGCCGGAGGTTTTGTCCCCTTCATTCGTCCGTTGCTGCTCCTTAAAGAAGTGCTTGTGCAGCTGCTGGACAAGGGATGACGAAGCTGCTACACCCTTTCGACTCCGTAATTTGGTGGTTTTCACGTCTGAAGGTTGCGATGCAGGAGGAGCGACGTGGTCCTGATGGCGGCCTGTTTCATCTCTAGTTGCACGACTACTTGCAGCTGCCGCGGTCTCTGCTCCAGCGCTGTGCGCCGCCGCATGCGCAGCTTGTGGTCCGTGTTCCTGAAGATCAAGATCTTCAGCGGCTTCTTGTGGGTCCACGTCCTGTTCAACATCAGAAGTAGTGGCTTGCCGCCCGTCTGCTGCTATGTCTTGTGCGAGCAGTTGTTCCGTGGGTCTTTCGGAAACTGCGCCAGCAGCTGATGAAGTGGCGCTTCGTGGTCCGCTTTGCTCGCGAAGGCTCGCTTCGACCAGTGCTGGAGGGAGGAACGAAAACAACAGGCCTCCTGGTCCTGGTGCAGCCAACAGGCAGCTGTGTTGGGCCAGTCTCTTCATCCTTGTTGAAGACGTGCACATCAAACTACTAGTTCTGATTCTACTCCACGGGACTTCTAAAATCACTCCTGCTGCAGATGTTGAGGAACAAGTACGTTGCAAGTTCGGACATTCATCTTGATTCTTGGCCCCCCTTTCATAATAAAGATAAGCACTTTGAAAGTAGAAGCACCGCCGCCCGCTTCAAAGTAGAAGCATCGGCTACAGAGCGATTCTAGTCCAGGCGTTCGCTCCGTCGAAAATGCTCGTGCTCTTATGGACGTTCTTACAACACACTTTGTAATGTATTGCGTTTGCGGTCCGGCACAGAAGCACTCACTAGGCACTGTCTCTCCACCGCTTCTCTAAATTCACTATATCGAATACGAATCGTCGACCGCGCAGTAGAACCAATTCGTCAAGGTTTGAGCAGCACTGCTGGTACCAAGCCTGCTGCAGGCTGCTGGAGGGTGAATGAAAATGATGCTTGTATGGTGCTTGTTTATGTTTACGGCGCTATTGATTGTAGAGACTTTTTACTTACTTCTTTTGCTGCGTCGCAAGATTGTGCTTGGCTCTCGCTCGGTTAGCTGCCGTGTCGCGCACGACGTGTTGTTTCGTTCCTACCGTCTTTTGGTTTATTTGCGCACTTGTAGCTGTACTATTCTGATTTGCTGCATCTCCCCTCCCCCACCCAGCCACTGTTCTCGTTTTCCGTGTCGGGCTGAAACTCACCGACCGGCGCAAATGGTCAGAACTGGCGGCGGAGGAAGTTTTCTTGAAAGCCGAGTTAGTGGTTGCTGTTTTACTCACCATCGCCGTACTAGTTGTCGTCCCCATCGCCGTTGTTCCTGGCCTACTCTGGTGCCTTCTCACGGGGCTTCTACTTGATGCCATTACAAAAGAATTCTCCACCGAGCTCAACCGCGGCGCCACCAGCTGCTGGCTTCTTTTCGCGACCACACTTCTGCTTCTTATCGGACTGCTCAAAGATGCGGCCACTTGTTCGCGGAGACTCATTTTCGCAGTTGCAGTGTTGACCATCCGGGGCGGTGACCTGGAGTCGTTTCTGCAAAGTGATCTATTTCTATGCGCGGACGAGCTGTTCAGAAGTTTTTCGTTTACCATCCTCCTGGTGCGGCTGTTCTGCCTGCTATTGTTCGTCCTCGGAGAAGCAGAAACTGAGGACACAAAACTGTTTCCCCGAGAGGACCTGGATGTTCTACTTCGGTACCCGACGTCCAACTGCCCGGATGGTCCAAAGAGAATCTGTTTCCTTTTATTCGCGGAAGCTGTTGTTGGCCGGTTAATTGGAGTGACAGAGCGGGAGGAGAGCGGGCTGCGCTCGTGAATGAATGCGTCCTTGCTGTTTTTGAAAACCTTGTTTCGGCTGCTTTTAGTAGAAGCGTTGGAGAGCGTGCGAGGACGGTTAGAAGAAGTTCTCTGGTGCTGTTGTAATGGCGACCGTGGACTTCGACTCTGTCTCGCTGTCGCAGTGCCGGTAGCAGAAGGTGTTATTCTAGGTGAAATGCCACTGCTCATGCCTGCAAGTGCAATTCCACCTCGTGGACTGGCGGAATAAAGCCGACTCCTACTTCTGTTCAAATCGTTCCCACCCTTCTGCTTCGAAGATGAATTGTGGTTCTCTACCTGCGGCTGTCCGTAGAACTGGAAGATCACTGGTTGTTGCTGCTGGCTTTGCATGGAAGCCACAGACGTGCTTCGCCCCTGATGCCATTCCTGCGCGACCACGGGTAGCGGCTGAGGCGGTGCAATGGCAGCCGCACTCGTAGTTCCAGCATTAACTATCCTTGCCCTCGCCTTCGTTCGCATCGCGACAGAGGTGCTTGTGCTCCGACTGGAAGTCGTTGAGTTTTTTGACTGGTTTCGAAGACTCTTGTTCTGGTGTGACACAACTCCTCCGGCTCTCTTGCTCACCTGTACTTGCCCTCCTGCACCTGCTCCGCCGCGTTTCAAAACCGGCTTTCCTCGGCCCGACCCACCAGACGCGTCGGCGATTGGAAGTGGAAGTAAATCACCAGCATCATCTCCACCTCCTCCGCCCTGCTGTTCCTGCTGTTTCAGAGTGAACAACCTGCACAGCTCCTGACTCTGACTCAGCACCACCTTCTGTGACTCCTCGAACCGTTTTTGTTCCTCATACAACTGTATCAAGTGGAAATATGTCTGGGTCTGGAAACTTGTAATGCAAAGACGGGAAGAGTGAGCACTCTATGATGCGCTGCACAGCAAGGCAAGTTTTTCCGTGCTTCTGAGTTGCGTACTCCGCATGAGAAGCTGCATTTTTGCATGACAGGCGAGAGGGGCTCTTCGCGGCCACGCAATACAGATTTCAGAGTCATACCAGACCAGCATGGCAAATATCGCAATCTCCCGACCCAGACGTATTTGCAATTGATAAACTGTCTTTCTAATTCCCTTACTTTCTTCACCAAATTATCCGACTCACACCCGATTTTCACCTGCGCAACTTCCTGCACCGTGCAGTAATTCTCTAATGACTGCCGTAGATGTTCTTTGTTGTTTTCGGTTTGTTGGAGTTCCTGCTGGAGTTCCAGCCGGATATTTTTCTCGTGGATCACTTCCTGCTGGAGCTGTTTGGTTTGCTGCAACAACATGTCCTGGTAGTGGTTGTTCATTTCTATCGCGAATTGCTCTTTCTCGTCTTGCAGCTGGCTGATTTTCTCGCGTTCCGTGTCAATAGTGTGAAGGAGCAGATCTTTCTCTTCGGCTGTTTTTGTTTCAACATTTGATGTTGTGTGATGATGTGTCCTGTTTGTCATGCGAAAAATCGCACCAAAGCAAGTGACTTTTGTCATGCTCATACAAAACTGCAAAAACATAAAACATCATCAATCATGTTAACTACATTATCGTCGACAAACTCAGATGAAGTGTTGCAGTAGTACCTATCGCCACTTGCAGCTCTTCTAATTGCTTTTCCGCTAGCTTCTTGAATTTCTCGTATCAAGTGCAGAAGTGTCTGGGTCTGGAAGGTTCTGAGACTTGTCATGCACTTTTTGCATGAGCCATGATGTCTGTGATGCATGCCCTAGCATCACAGATTTTTTGAGGGCTTCTTGATGCCTATTCCGCATGACAAATGCCCTCCCCGCGTAGCAAGCATTGATTACGCTCCCTTTGCTGCTCATGCAGTACAGATTTTTTTGGAATCCAAATTCAGCATCACAAGTTGCATTCTTCCAGACCCAGACATTTTTGCATTTGATATCTCGTTCTCCGACACTAATTGCCCCTTTTCCGCCTCACTGGTCTTCCTCACCTCGTCACACTGTTTTTCCAGTAAACTTGATTTTTTCTTTTCCTTATCCAGCTCCTTCACGCACTTTTCTAACTCCTTCACCACCAAATTCAGCTTTTTCTCAATACCACTTTTATCAAATGCAAATATGTCTGGGTCTGGAAACTTGTGATGCGGGATGGCGTATCATGAGGAGGCCACAAGTGCTGGCGCAGCATCACAAGTTTCTGAGCTTCTTCTGGGTGTTGCCTATACTGCGTCACAAACTGCGTTTCTGCATGACAGAAAACCGGCGCTCTTGGGTAACGTGCATGACAGATTTGAGAGCCATGCCAGACAAGCATGACAAACATGCATTGTTCCAGACTCAGACGTATTTGCATTTGGTAACTTTTCTCCTCCACCAATCTCTGCTCGTCCATTTTTGAATTCTGTTTCAACTGCCGGACTTCAAATTGACAGCTCATGTCCAAATTCCGGATCAATTTTCCAAACGAGCAGGCTTTCAGTTGCAACAAGAAGAACTGCTTCGAATTGTTCTGCTTCTTCACATATGCATTTCAAATATGTCTGGGTCTGGATCTGGAAGGTTGCAACTTGTAATGCTGGCCTTACATTCCGGAAAAATCTGTATTGCATGAACAGCAAAAGACGCGGCGTCTTCTGTCATACAAAAACGCAGCTTCTCATGCAGACAGCGTATCATGAGAAACCCTTCTGCAAACTTGTCATGCTTGGCCGCATTCGGAAGCGTTTTCATCGTGAACAGTTCAGCATCACAGGCTTCCAGGCCCAGACATATTTGCAATGCATATCACAATCAACTGGTTGATTTTGTCCAACCCGGCGAGGAGACAAGTCGCTTTTTCCAAATCCCGGACGGATTGCTGGTAGCTGTTGAATATGCACTGCAAAAGTATCGCACTCATACTTCTGATTGCGGTCATGCATTACAATTCTAGTTGTTAAGGCAAACCCGCATTACAAATTCACTTTGTATAAATGCTGAGCCAATTTGTATTGCAAGTTATACTAGTACGATAGTTTTGCAATTCATATTGACCTTCAATTTGTAGAAAAAGTGTTTTTTCCACTCCCGCTGCTTGTACAGTTTCAACTGCGTGACCAACGTCACGAAGGACTCGCATTTCGTCTTCAGTTCCGATATGCAATACAAATTTCCCGCACATGTACAAGATGCATCACAAAAATAAATTTCACCGAATTTGGAGCGCAAAACTTGTCCTGCTAAACTAGGATCGAAGCCAAGTTTTGTCATGCAGAGAACGCATTTGTACGTGTACTACGGGAAATTTACTGTTGATATCCGAGTTCGCGGACTGCCAGATTTGAAGGACCGCGCGGGCAAGTTTTTCGTTCAGCGGCTTTGCAAGTTTCTGGTTGAAAAACTGCTGCAGTTTTTCCTTCTGCGTAGTTGAAGATTCAAAATCGATCCTCGCTTTTCTGTCCTTCGTCAAAACTTGTTTGAAGTAGTTGAAGTTCTCTTTCATGATCCGGTGTTTTCTCTTCACTAACAGCGCCTCCAGTCGAAAGGTTTTGTCGCGGTTGCGTAGGAATTTTTTGAAAAGGAGTTGCAAGATTTTCCTTCTTCGTTTCTTCATCGCAAATTCCGCGATATTGTCGAAGAGATTATCCTGCTCCACCACCTGGTTTTCTTTCCAGCTTTCCGCGTAGCAACCTAATTTGTTCAGTTCCAGCTGCTTGAAACTCCGGAGTTTGGACTTCTGGGTGCAAATTTTGTGCATCTTATCCAAAACGGAGAAGAGAATCTGCACCCGAATGCTCTTGTCCGCTTGCTCAACCAGTTGCTCCATCGGAGATTTTTGGGCGGCTAATTCTATTGCGAAATCATGATCAGGGGGATGGAGGTTGAAGTTGTCATGCGGGGAAGCAGCACCAGGTGACGGGGACGGCGAAGCAAGTCCGTACTTCTGCATCAGCGGCGTCAACCGCGGTATGGGCTCGTAGACTTTCTCGGGACGACGGAGGACTCGGCTATCCTTGTTTGTCATGCTGCTTCGCAATAAGTGGTCTCCTCTTGACGTCGATGCAGCTTCTAACGCAAAAGGCGCAGTAGTTCCGCCCGGCGCCAATACGTTCTCCTCGTTCAGGTCTTCCAAAGTGGGTGAGCGAAGGTGAAAAACCGGGGGAAGGGAAGATGAGGCAGCAGCAGCTTCGACGTCCTGTAGTTTTGGTGCAGAAGATGCACCACCAGCTTTGTTGTCTTGGTCTTTCATCGACACCTATCACAGGAAAAAGTGTATAACGTTAACAGTTTTCACAGATTGCAATCATGCATCACAAATGTAGCCCAATATGCATGCTATGCATGACAAACTCTGGTGACGCGTCTTGTGATGCATTTCTGCATCACAAATTCCATTAACGTTAACACTTTTTCTTGTGATAACATCTCCAAAACCGATTCCCGCATTGTTTTCAAGGAGAACTCCATCGCGTTTTTTTCGTTTAACAAATGTTCGTTCTCCCTTTTCAATTTTCTCTCCTTACACGCGTAAAAGTACCAGCCGGTTAAAAACCGCGAAAACAGCTCCCGCCGTCGCAACCTCCGCACAAAGAAATACTTGCACCAAAACCGGGCTTCCCGGTCCGCGTGGGTTTTCCAAGCGAGGAAGGAGTGTTTTAGAAGTTTGGAAGTTGATTTCATCTCCAAAACTTGCTGTGATTTCTTGTTTCTTCTATTGCTTTGTCGGCAGTACCCGCCCCAGCTCCGCATGCAGAACTGGAGCATGGAAAATCGGTATTTTTTCAAACTCTTCTCCCCCCTCGCGTGGTGGAAAGCAAGGTCAAGTAAGTGCTTCCTCGATACAGCTATTTGCTTCCAGGAGTGAAAAGCTTGTTGCTGAATTGAGCGGTGGTGGAATTTCGTCTGCAGTGCGTAGACCATGTAGTCTTGTTTTTCTTCCAGAAATGCGGTTTCTTGTCGGTGAGAAGCCGCCTGATTTTCAAACTGTTGCTCCATCTGCTCTAACTGCTGATGCACCGTTTCCAGCTCTTGTTGCATATCCTGTGCAAAAGCATCACACTCGTATTACAATCATGCATTACAAGTCGTTTTCTTAACCTTGGCCAGCATTAAAAATTTTATTTCTCACGCTAAGGAAATTCAAATTTGTAATGCATTTATACGAGTACGGTACTTTAATATTTGCAGTTCATATTGCAAGTGCTTTGTAAATTTCAACTCCTCTTCCTTTTTCGTTTCTACTAAAGTTTTCCAAGCGGCGAAACAAGTTCTTCGTTTCTGGAGCGTTATTCTCTGTCGCCCGCTCCACTCACAGCACCGACTGAAAATCGCAAGTTTTTGCGTCTCTAGCAACGTCGCCTGGCTGGACTGGAGTTGCTCTAGCATGGAGATGCGGGTGTGGGAGATGTTGGGGGTGATGTTGGCTGCTGCTGCTGCACCTGAGCCAGTCGTGCCAGAGAAGGTAGTTGAGGAAGAGATAGGATTTTGATCTGCAGCGAGCGTCCTCTGATGCGCAGCTGTAGTTGTACTCGAAATGGCTCCTGCTGGAGGGAGTAATCTGCTCCCACTACTCCTGCTCAAATTGAAACTCACGCTCTTGTTGCTAGCACTGGCGCCCCCTCCGGGATGCATTGCGGCCGCTGCGGCAGCGGAGGCTGCGAGCTGTGGCGTCGAGTTGTTTAGGGCGAAAAAGTTGTTGCTCATGAAATGATGCGATGAAGACGAAGTTGTATTATGTGGACCACCACCTCCGTGGAGGTTCATTGACTCATTCCAGAGAACCATTTCTGAGTCTGACTCGTTCTCGTCACCAGCGCAGTTATTGTAAGACCCCGAGTTACAACTTCCGTCCCCTGCCGAATCTGCCGGCTGTGAGCAAGAGTTGTCATCAGCGGTTCTGGTGCTTTTAGTTATCTCCTGCTTGTTCCGTATGCTTAAGCTTGCGCTGTGGTTTCCCCCGCCATGCCCTTGCCCAGTCAAATAACCCCCTTGTTGGGAAGTCGAATATCCTGAGTAAAAACGTACCCACACTAGAGTCTGGATGGGGATTTTGCAACACAAACCTAGGAGTTTTGTGAGTCACGCATGACAAGTTGCGCTCTGCAGTGTAGTGCAGGTTAGCAAGTGCAGCCGCATCACCAATCCAGCTACTCATCCTGTTCACAGCATCACAAATTCCAAAACACGACTGGAAATGGCTCTCATGGGGATGCGCATTACAAGTCTTCCTGTCTTTGCAAATCTGCATTACAACTCTGGTGTGGGTACGTTTTTACTCAGGATATAGAAAACATCAAGTTGGTTGACTTGCTGCTGGCGCGGGAAGAAGAACTAGGATGCACTATCAAATGTAAAAATGTCTGGGTCTGGGAGAATACGCGATTTGTAATGCAGGTTTTCCATGCCCCACGAGGTCTGGAATGCAGGGCCTAGCATGACAGATTCTGCGAGATCTCTATCTTACATGCCTATCCTGCATGAGAAACTCCTTTTCACCTTGGTCAAAATGCACGGCTTTTGGTACTCATGCAACACAGATAGATTGTTGCATGATCCAGATTTAGCATGACAAACATGCATTCTTCCAGACCCAGACATTTTTACATTTGATATGCACCTCCACTGCCCCATTATGCTGTTGATACTGGTCGTGGCTGCCCATGTTGATCTGTGCGTTTCCCGCGGTCGCGGAGGAGGGGGTGATTATGCTGAGGTTGGCCAAGATATTTGACCTATCCACCGTCTGGTCCTCGCCGGCACTTGTTGTATCGGTCACGTTATGAAATGCAAAAATGTCTGGGTCTGGAAACTTGTGATGGTAAAATGTGCATGATGAAAACACTTCCGAATGCAGTCCGGCGTGACAACTTCCCAAAACACTTTCTCATAGGCAATGCGCATGAGAAACTGCGTTTTTGCATGACAAAAGAGGGTGCGACTTTTGTTCGTTATGCAATATTTTCTAGGTATGGAAAGCTCGCATTACAAGTCCCAACCTTCCAGACCCAGACATTTTTACAATCCATACACGTGTATAGTCGGCAACTGCGGCTGGCTTTGACTATGCGTGACACCAGCTGCTCCACCAGAGCCTGAAGAAGCTCCAAGCAAACCTGCCATGCCGCCCGAGGCGCTCTGCATCAGCAAACTCTTCCGCAGCATAGCGATCTCCTGCTGCTGTCTACTGTGCTCGAAGGCGAGGACCTTATTCTGCGAGTGCAGGTATCCTGTGCAAAAGTATCGCGCTCGTATTGCAATCATGCATTACAAATCTTTTTTTCAGTGTAGATCCGCATTACAAATTATCTCTCACGCTGGGGAAATCGAAATCTGTCATGCATTTATACGAGTACGATACTTTTGCAGTTCATAGCAGCTTGACCAGGACAGAAGAGAGCTGCTTCTGTTCGGGCGTGTAGTCGGTAGAACCACGGAGCGGGTTGGGTTGCGAACTGCGGACATTTGCACCACCGTCTTCGGCTGGCGCAAGCGAGCCATCCACGCCCATGCTCATCTCCGGAACCGGGTCGAGGACTTTCATTCCCGGGGTTGCTGTGACGGGCGGGTGTAACATTTTTTTCTCAAAGAACGGCCACTGTTGCTCACATACACATCCATGTGGAGAGCTCAATTCTGTCGCGCTTTCCGCACATACCAGCCTAGTACTGCTTCCAAGAACTAAAAGAACCTTGATATTCGACGGTATCGCATCGAAGAAAGCACGCGTGCCTCGTCCTCATTCAACCTTGCGAAAAAGTCCAACTGAAAATCACGTATGAATCAACAAGATCTTCACTTACATCTCTCGACAGGGGCAAAAGCGTCACGCTTGTTCAATCTAAAACGCATCCAACACTCTGCAGCAGCTCCAGGAGCGACTACTAGTCGTCTTATTATATATTTATCTAGTTTCATCTTCTTAGAAATGCACGTATACGCGCGTGCCGGGCAGGGAGAAAACGAAGATGGGCGACCATATCAGCACATGCACACATCAAAGTGACAACTAAGGTGGACAAAATGATCGTACCGACCTTGATGTCGGATAAAAAGCAACTCCGCTTGAGGAGTCGAGGGAAGCCAGGAGCACCACAATTGTTAAAAATCAGAAGCTACTTCGTCGATGTCCACGGTAGAAAAGTTTCTGCAATGTTCGGTTTCTTGTCTGAGGCACCACCACAAGCTCAAGCTAACCATGCCGTTGCCGACAGATGAAAAGTGTGTTGAAGACTGTTTCGCAGAAGGTTGAAAACGGAAGAAAACTGGAAAAAAATCCCTGTTGTAGGAATTCAAGCCCAAATATAAAATACTTAAAATTATCTAACTCTTCCTATGCTTTGAAACCAGAAATCTTCTTGCTCGGCACTGAAAACCACGATTATTTTTCACCAGTTCGAGTTTGAGTGGTTTGTTTTGCGTCAGAACTATTTCAATTCTTGCACGCATTTGCTTTTCTTGTTATAACTTCCGTCTTTTTAGTTACAGGTCGACTTCGCCCTCCCAGCAACCATTTCGAAAAATCATTCTATCGGCCTAAACGCACGACGTCCACGCATTTCTCAGCGTCTCCTTCGCCCCCTGGACCTCGACCTGGGCGGCGTCGCAACGCGGTCACGCAGGCCCCGAAACGGCACAGCTCGGTCTTCACGCAGCCTCTCAATTCGGCTAGGGCGGCGCTCTTCCTCCTGATGTTCGCGGCTGTTTTGTTAATGCGGTGCAGCTTCTTCTTGTCTGCTCGTGCAAGTAGTAGACACAGGATGCGCATGCGCGATAGGGGTTTTTCTTTCTATTTTCACTCTATGTGAAAAATTACTCGATACAAAAAGAAATGCACCTCTACACGACGACACACACAAACAAGTAAAGCCATAAACAGCACGAACAAAAATAGTACTCCACTCTCCCTCGAAGCGTAGCTCGTCTCGCTTGCCTTGATTTTTCCAGCTGTTCTGCGATTCTCTGCATCTCACCCGGCCGTTTCCGCCGATCCTCGGCAACCTCACAGGAAATAACATGACCCTTCAGCTTAGCACCGTCCAGTTCGTTAATGGCCGTTTCCGCACTGTCTTTGTTGCAAAACTTGACGTATCCCGTGCAAAAGTATCGCACTCGTAGTAATCGCAATCATGCATTACAAATCTCCCTCTTAACCGAAATCCGCATTACAAATTCCATTTTTCGTGCTGAGGAAATTTGTCATGCGATTTATACTAGTAGGATGCTTTTCCTTTTGCATTGCATATGACATACGCAAAACCCTTGGGCTCCTTCGTGGAGTAGTCGAGCGGAATGTATATCAAATGCAAAACTATCGTACTCGTACAAATGCAAGTCCTGCATTACAAATCTTGTTTCCAAGGCACATCTGCATTACAAATTTTATTTCCCATGCTGAGGAAATTTGTAATGAATTTATACGAGTACGATACTTTTGCACAGGATAATGTACCTGGGATGTGGATGTGGCTTCGGGTTTGTTCAACGAATTTGCAATGTATAAACGCACAATAACACAACTTTCAATCGCTAATTGGGAACAAGCGCCGTGTTAAAGATAAGCAAAGCAGTAGTACACATCACGCAGCTTGCCATATCGTTCGAATTTTTCTGTCAAATCGTCCTGCAGACGGGGCATCTTCACGTTCGTGGGTAGGTGGCGCACCTGAGTGAAGTATCATGATTTCGTGTTGAAAAAAATATACAGAACTTTCGACTTCGGAACATCGCATCATGATATTTCTATTTGCGCATGACAAGCAAAGTGTACACCAATAACTTCTTGAGTGAAACATTTTTCCTCTTGTACTTCCTTACCAGCACCGACAAGTAGTTCCTCCCTTCGTCGGCCGAGGCAGATTTTGGCCTGTTCCCCTTCGGAGATATGAAAGTGGACAATGAGCTGCAATTCCCGCTTTCCCTCTTCTATTGTGCACACTCGCCGCCCCACACGACGCTGGCTAGTAGCTGCTATGGTCTTTATCTGTAATCTGTGCTGATAGTGTGCCGTTTTAGAATGCGACCCTTCGGATGAAGTAGCCCAAACGACACTACTGCTTACAATCCGGGGACGAACTTGTCATGCGAAAACAGAATTTTTTACAATGCTCGCGTTGCTAGATGACATGCACTTCGAATGAGGAAGGAAGAGTTTGCTCTATTGCTTATCTACTATCATACGTGGCACTACATCCGCTCCGTGGCGGCGTGGTCGGTCTGGCCACGAGGGTCCAGGCCGGGAGAGGTCGGACTTCCTATGCATTGCAAAAGCGTCGCACTTGTATAAATTGCATTAGAAATTTGCTCAGCATGAGAACTGGAATTTGTCATGCTGTTTTACCTTAACCTTAAGGACAAGACTTGTCATGCATAACTGTAATTAGTACGAGCACGATAGTACTTTTCCACTGCATACTTCCCGGAGCGCTGCGAGCGAGATCTGGTCCGGCTGACACTGCGATAATTGTTCTTCTTTTTCTTGCTCTCTAAATTCGTTTTGACGTCGATGCCTCGATTTTTACTGTCACTGCGACCACGAGTGCGGCTAGTCGTGCCCCTCTTTCGTGTAAAAATCTCCCGCTGTGTCGGCGGTCGTGGTACCACCGCAATGGTTTTCCGTTTGGCTGCAGTACGTCGCACCAGTGGGGGAGATAAAGGAGGCTTAGTGCCACTTTTTCCACGAAGACGAACACCACGACCCGTCTCCCGATCAACATTTCTTTCCGAACAGTCGCTCTTTCTCGACTGCGCCCGACTGCGACTCCGACTGTCCTTTTTCGCAAATTTTCTGCCCCGAGCAGCGGTGTTTTTGATGATGTTGCTTTCGTAGTTGTTGTCTAACGTCTCAGAGTTGTTGTACCTGTTGGTGTTCTTATTTCCCGGAAAATCACGCGGATCGACAGGTGGTTTTCGGCTCGCATCTTGATCTTCCTCATTCTTTTTAATCACCGGCGTCCGACAGTCTCCGAAAAACAGCGGGGGGCTGTCCGGCTCTTCCAGCAGAATGTTTCCAGAGAAAATTGGCGGACTATCCTGAAAGGAGCTGCTTTTCCCTCGCTTGGCGCGGGCGGGAGAAGGAGTGCGAGGGGGAACTAGTACAGGAGGGGCAACTACAACAGCACTCGTTCTACCACTCGGCTTGGTGTTGTTGTTCTGCTGTTGTTTCTCTTCCTCTTTACCACTCCGGAAATCGACGTCGTTGTTCTTTCTCGTCCGGGGTCTTCGTTGCTGGGACTGGGAGGGAGAGGGAGCAGCTGCTCGATTGGTTGACGACGTGTTGGGATTCGGATTGTTGTTTTGGTCGTCGTGGTTATTTTGGTTATTTTCCTTTTCCTTTATCTCCTGCCCGACTTGCTTTGTTTCCTTTTGTTCCGCAGACCGGGATGATGAGGTGGGAGCAGACTCTCCAGAGGACTCATCTTCACTCTCGCTAGTACTGGAGGCCAGTTCCAGTACCCGTGGCTTTTTCACAATGTTGTTGGAGGCAGATTTATTCTGGATGTGGTTGTGCTTGTTCTCATCTCTGATGTCACCTCGTGCTCCGTACAGTGCGTTTTTGATCTTTTCTTTGATACCACCAGCAGCAACTCCATTGCCATTCGTCTTAATATCGCTTGTTCGACGTCTTTGGTCAGCAACTACACGTCGGCCAACATCTTCGTCACTCTCTTCAAGGCTGTAGCTACGCTTCTTGTTGACCGCAGCTGAGGTAGTAGTTCTTCTCGACGTTGTGACGGTTGTACTTGCTTTATTTTTCCTGGTAGGACGATCTTCATCTTCCACAGCTTTATTCGTGATCTTGGTATAATTCAAATTTCTGCCGTCCTGCTTCGTGACGACCTGCCGCCGGGACCGCGGCGGAGTGCGGCTTTTGCTTTCGCTATATTCCGAATCATGACCGCGACCCCGCTTGCGAAGTTGTACAGTTGCTTGCTGTCGCTTGCGGTCTTCCTGGTTCTTCTTGCTTCTACCATTTTTTCCGCCTTCATCTAGTACTTCATTGTCGATGGAAAAGCGCCGGCGCGCGACCCCGGTTTGATGCGACGTCTTAGTTGTTTTAGTATTAGTTTCCTGCAGTATCGTGAGAAAAAAGTGTTACAGTTACACATTTGTTGGAGTTTCTGCATCACAAATTTTCTCTGTGTGACAGAGAAAACTTGTAATGCGAAGATCATAAGGGAAAACAGGAAGGAAACGCGGCTCCTAAGCATATCCTGCATGAGAAAGGTTGTCTGTGTTGCCGGTCTTGCAACACAATGTGTAACTGTAACACTTTTTTCTTGCGATATGCAGCTTCTTCACGATAGTCTTCGCCAAATCGTTCTTGTTTCTGTTGTATCCCGTGCAAAAGTATCGTACTTCATGCATTACAAATTTTTTTCTGAAAGCAAATCTGCATTACAAAGTTTTTTTGCCATGCTGAGGAAATTTGTAATGCATTTATACGAATACGATACTTTTGCACAGGATATGTTGTTCGCAGCTCGATCTTTATCGCCACGCGTGTTTCCCCGGGCAGTAGTAGAATTAATCAAAGCTGGTGAACGAGACCGGGGCCGCCCACGATTATTTCCAGTAGCCTTTTTCCCTTGAAGATTCTTCGCACCCCGTTTTCCGCTCCTGCTCCTTGAAGAGGACTCTACGCTCCAACTCCTCGCAGGAGCGCGTTTATTTACCGGAGCAAGGCTTGTTTTCCCGGGCGGCCTCCTGGTGATATTTGTACTTCGATGTCCTTCGTTATCCTTTGCAGCCAGCTTCGCATTAGTAGTCTTCCGCAGAACTATAGGCGAGCGAGAACGTCGGTTAATATTCTTATTTCTAGAAACGCTTCTGTCTCGCCTCGGTTTGTTCGTGTTCGTTTTCATAGTGGTCCCACCGCGGCGCCCAGGGCTGCAGCGTTTTGCTGGTCTTCTGACAGCAGGAGAACCTCCTCCGGACGAAGACGAAACAGACTTGTTCCTCCTCCCGCGGGCAACCATCTTGGTTCTTTTTTAATTTTGTCTTGCAAAAAGAGTGCAACTGTCAAAAATTTTTTTAATTTCAATTTTCTTACAAAAATTGTGCTTGCATATACCTGGGTGCTGAGAGTCAAGAATCGAAGGTTGCGGGAATTAGGAAAAACTTATTCGAATTAGGGAACAAGGGAAAACTCAAACTACGCATCACTTCGCACCAAAACGGCGAATGAACAAGAAGCGATTTGCAATTTCTGAAGATGAGAGGACGCAACATTTCAGATTTCTTGACGTCGTATTCGAACTGTCGCAAGATCAACGTGAAACGAAAAAGTGAAATAAGGCGCATAGAACCACGCACAAAGAAGATCGTCGACGACGCAAGAATGCAAATCAGCTTTATGTTTTGATGACGCCGACGTTTCCACCCTCAACGATTGAAAAGAACTCAGGAACATCGAGATCAACTCAGCCAGATTGGTCGTCCTTCTAAAAAAAGGGCAACAAAAAAGTCGGACTTCTTCGCTTTTTTTTTCCAGATTTTTTTCAGGGCATCAACATAAAATTTCTACACTAACGCGACCACAAAGACAACTTCTAGTACGTTCATCTATGTCTGTGAGCAGAGCGTTTGCCCATACTTTATCGATTTATGCAGGTCATGCAGCAATCGTTTCTTTTGCGATAAAGAAGTCAATTATAATCGTGTTAGGATAGAGTTTTCAGTGTAGGTGTTTTCGTTGGGTACACCTGATTCCGAGATAGAATCAAATGACCAACCATTTTTTTTTCGGGTTGATACAGCAGGCAAGTAGGACTGGGTAAGTAAAAATAGCAATTCGGTGAAGAAGATGATCACAACGTCGATTGTGCTCCTGCTGTTAGAGCAGCAGGATGATCCAGTTAAGTCCAGGCCATCTCGTCAGTATTCTCAAATAAACCAAAGAAGTTTCTTCGAAAACATCACAAATGCAGACGTAGTTGTTTTCAACAGCAGTAGCAGCAGCCGTAGCACGTTCCGTCCTGAAAAAGATTGTTCGACCAATCTTTCCAAGCCGTGGTCACCATCGACGATTGCTTCTCCACCATGATGTTCTTCGTCTTCAGATTATAAAAAAGCCCTTCTCCTCTTACTTCGGATTGCGCACGACGTTGATGATGCTGTCCCCCCGCAAAAACATCTTCTGGATGTAGCGGTCCTTGTTGATCGGCTTGCCCTTCTTGCTGCCCTTCGGGTGTTATGCATTGCAAAAGTAAATCGCAGTCGTATATCAAATTGCAGTCATGCATGACAAATGTCTTTTCTGAGCGGAATTAGCATTACAAATCCCACTTTTCTTTGTTCCTGCCAAAATTTGTGATGCGAAACGTACTAGTGCGATGCTTTTGCGATGCATAGGTGCTCGACCCACATCTCCCGGGCCTGTTCCAGGACCATGTTCATGTGACGGTCATAGGCTTTCAGGCGGGCAATGATCTTGCGGGTGGAACGGAGGTTGATCAAAATCTGACCGTTGTCGCGGACCGCTTTTTGCAGTAAGTCGTACGGACCCGTCGTCGGGTTGTCGCGGGCGTTCTGTTCGGCCACAGCGTCCATTTTCGGCTCGGTTTTGGTGTGACACGGGTAGTTTAGTCGAACAATCAAAGTCAATGGAGACGATCCTACAGTGAGACAATTGACGCAAATCCAAATTCTAGAAAAAACAAGGACACGAGAAGATCATGCTCTTGTAGAATCTAAAACACCGCTGTAGGAAATTAGGAGATCGAGATGGTGCAATGATTGGCAACCCCGCGGTCAAAAAGTTAAGTATTATCGGCGCATGCAATGAACAAGAAATGGAAAAAATCAAAATTTCAAAAGAGGGATCGGAGGATTCACATGTGCAACTACAAGGGTCTTCGTGATTGTCAATTTGTTGAGACAAGATCACTTGATGTTGTGCTTAACCGTTCTGATCCGATAGCTTCAACACTTCTAACATTGATTGAAGCAAAAAAGTAGCTGCAGAAAGACTTCTCTGAGCTTTTGCTTTACTTTGTCTCTGAAAATTTGTGATGATCTTGATCCAATGGCCTGCAGCGTCTGCTGTCAAGTATTAGTTCTAAAAAGTCGTAGATCGGTGAAGAGCTCCTCTATGAAGCAAGTTTAGAACAAAATTCATGACGAAATTATGCAAAAAGTTCTTGTTATCAAAGCCCCGTAGTTCTCGTCAGCGCAGAAACTACATGTGCAAACTTGATTTCTCCTTTCAGGATCAAATTTTTCAAAGCATCGTAGATTCACCGCTTCCATTCAAACAGTCGCTAAACAAGTCAAGATCAAAGTCATCAAGAAGTTCAAGAGCCCTATCTGTAATATCGAAAAAAAGCGCAACTACGCTGCAGCAACAGCATCTACCATTTGAGCAGATAAATTAACACGTTTAATATCGTCTTTAGGTTTCAGGTTTAGTTTGGACAGCGACAGGTCCGTTTTATTTTACAAGAACACGCACCTCGTAATTCACTATCACGCTTTGCACAAGAGCTACTAGTTCCTACCTGTAAATCGATCCGCGGTCGAATCTATCCGCGTGTTGGCTCTCGGCGGCGTGGACGCGGGACATCCTTCTTTCCGACTGAGACGAGAAATTCTTCTCCACATCTACTTGGTACAGCGGTTTTCTCGGCTGCTGGTGGTTCGCCGAGCTGTTGTTTCGCAGACCCCGCGTAATTTCTTCCCGCGTGCCCGTTGGGACTCGCTGGTGGCCACCTGGGTGGTATAGCATATTTGCATTGCAATATCATATTAATCAAAGATCCCTACAAATCCATGTTCTCATACCATCCTGCGTAATCTTCTGCACGATGCTATGTTGAGGTAAAGGCGTGGATTGGGTACCCACGGATTGGGTACCCACTTTGGATTGGGCACCCGCTCTTGTTTGGGTACCCATTTTGGGAACGGGTACCCAGTGGGAAATGGATACTCAGAGGGGGTGGATACTCAGAGTGGGAAATGGATACTCAGTATGATTTGGTTGCCCGGGCGTGTGAGTACCCAGTGGCATGGAAGCGAAATTGGCTCCCATTTCCCAGGGCGCGCATGACACACCGACGAAGTTCAGAATTTTGCTTTTATGCTGTGCTGCCTCATGCTGCGTTTTCGTCTATGGGACGCTACTCACAGTCCTCGCAGTCACAGTACAGAGCCTTGCTGTTTTTAATAAAGTTCTATCTTTATTGGGATCACAAATCCCCGAAAGTTCAAAGTTTTATTTTTATTCGCATCACAAAACCGCGAACTTTTAAAATTTTATTTTTATTCACGTTGTAAATCCGTAAACTTTTAAAATTTCATTTTTCTTCGCGTTTCAAATCCGCGAAATTTTAAAATTTTATTGAAAACTCTGACTCGATAGGATCGCTTGTTGTCACCGGGTGCGAACCGCAGAGCCGATGACGGAAGTGATCCAATGAATTCGAGATCGCAGAGGCTGAATCGCCTGAACACGCCCGCTTCCGAAAAGCGATAATGCTTTGCCGGGAGCGGAAGAAAGACAGAAGCGCAAAAATTCATAAATCGAGCCGCACTGTCGATCGAACGTGTAAAACGGCTGGTCGCTGCTAACCGCCAGACCGACCTGCTTGCGCAGGGGCGATCAGTCCTGTGCGACTCTCGATGCATATAAAAGACGAAACAACCACGAAACGAACCGCACGATACGAAAACAACACATAGCTAGCTAATGCGAGTTTACTAACGTGCCGCTTTGTGCCGTCTAAAGGGCGCGGAGGGTGGGATCAAAAAAATGATAGCTAGCAGCGACAAACGGGCTTGCAACCTTCGAGAAGGTACGGGCGAAATGCAAAACGAGGCAACAAAAGGCCTTTCTGTCGTGAGCGCTCGCCAAAGGGCGGTGCCGCGCAGAGATCACCGTACCTCCGAAAAAACCGGAGGCGACTGCCCCAACTATCTATCATTTCCGTGCTACGAATAGGAACCGAGCTAGCTATCGCGAGAACACGAACTGACGAGGAGCAAAGCCAAAGCGTTTAGCTATTTGGGCTCTGCGTCGAGATTGGATCACTTTCCAACTTTTCTAGTTTCCGTCTCCGTTTTCATCACATTTCTACGAATTCAGGATACTTCGAAATCAAATTTTATTCGCGAAACAAATCCGCGAACTTTTAAAATTTTATTTTTATTCGAGTCACAAATTCGCGAAGCATGAGAATGAGTTCTACTTTTAATATCGCGTGTGGAAATATTACAGAAGTCACAGTGCACAAGCTGAGGAGGGCGCAGCACAGAAGGGGCGTCACAGCGCGCGGCGTCCGGGGGACGGGAAACTCGCTGTTGACCACCTGGTATGGCGTTTCGATATCACAACCAAAGATCCCACCTAATATCACAACCAAAGATCCCACCTACAAATCGATGCTCTCATACCATCCTGCGTAATCTTCTGCACGATGCTATGATGAGGCTTAAAAACTCATCAGCACCACGACATGCGGAATAACGCTATGCAGGATGGTATGATAGAGATAGTGATTTCCCGCCTTTCTAGTGTATTTGATCAACAAGCGCTGCAGTCGTTTTCAACAAGCAATCGGCATTATACCTGCTCGCGGCGTGCTCCGCGATCTCATCTGCATGTTCTGCAACTGAACTCGGTTTTCCAGATTTGTCAGCTGCCGTTGCAGAGCGGTTAACCGTGTCCCGGTGATGTGCGTCTCCGTGTTGTTAACCGCTGACTGCTTCGGAACCTGATAAAGCCGGGTGGTGTTGCGTATGCCTATGCCCTTTTCACATGCCAAACAGAAGAAGCCGCTTAGCTGAGCCGGCATCTTTTGCACGTAGTACATCAAAAATACCATCGTCGAACGAAAACAGCATACTTTTACTTACCACTGCCCCTCCACCCCCACTCCGCACTCCACTCGCACCCGCCGCCGCGGGGACGGGATTTTGTCCAGCGTTGCTCCTGCTGTTCGGCTGGAAGACGTAGTTTTGTTCCAAATCCTCTTTCCACTTTTTCGCCTTCTCCAGCTCGGTTTTTGCCCTCTCCAAGCTGCTGGTTAGCTCTTCAATCCGGCGGGTTTTTCTTTCGATGGAAAGGACGGCTTTGCTCTGTTTATTTGACAGATTTCATCTCCGATGAAAAAGATGTTGCACTAAATATTTGTCATGCAAAAAATCTACTGCAGCACTAGTTTGTATTTGTAATGCGCGTCGCACATCAAAAATGACTTCTACTTCTATACCATAACTTCTTTCTTCGAAATCTTCAGCTGCTTCATGTCTTCGAAAATCTTCTGCACCACGTCCTGTTGCTCCTTATGCAAGAAAAAAAAACTTCTGTGTAAGTGTAAGTCTGTGATGCAGAAATTGCAACAGAGTATACGATCCTCATGCTGGTCAGCCATAGTATCCTGCCTTCATATGTGTATGTCTATGTTTATGTTTTCAAGTGCTAGCTGTGCATGACAGGATTTCTCTGTCATGCAGAGCAAACTTGTGATGCTGTCACCCCAAAACAGCTGCATTGACACAGTTTTTTTCTTGGATACTCCTCCTGCCACAAGCACAGAGCCTGCGCGATTGATTCCATGGTAGAAACCAGCTGCATGGGGTTCACAATGTCGGACTCCTTGATCGCTTTTAGCGCCGCTTGTCCCGCGAATAGGTTTTTGCGGTTCAGTTGGTAGTGTTCATACGGGTTATTTACCGTGATGGAAGGCGTGCTGGAAATCGAAACATCGCCATTTTGGTGCTGATGTTGTCCAACAGCATTATTTCCGTAGTTGGATGAGCTCCTGGCGGTGTAGTTCTGGTTATTTTCAAACGAGCTTGCAGGCTGAGCCGTGGCCAGTTTACAGAGCTTCTCCAGCACGGGGCGAATGCTTTCGACGGAGTCTTTCCACTGCGATTTTGTCCTTTCGTGGGCGTTATCAACTGCAAAAATGTCTGGGTCTGGAAGAATGCAAGTTTGTCATGCTTGTCTGGCATGACTCGAGAATCTGTGTTGCATATGCGCGAAAAGGCCCTCTTGCCAGTCAAAAAATTTGTCATGCATAGCTGCGCATTGCAGTGCGTATTCCATTCACTTTTAGCATCACAAGTTTCCAGACCCAGACATTTTTGCAATGCATAGGCCTTGCGTTCCTGTTGAAGGAGGGATTGGAGCTCTAGGATTTTCTTGTTATTTCTATGCAATGCAAAAGCATCGTACTAGAACTAAGTAGTATAAATTGCATTACAAATTAGCCCAGCACTACAAATTGAATTTGTAATGCTGATCTGCCTTTAGAAAGAGATTTGTAATGCATAGATAGATGCAATTAATACGAGTACGATACTTTTGCACAGGATAATTTCTACCATCCAGCAGCTCTTGGTCGGATACGGATGCGGAGCTGTGATGCGGAGGTACTGCAGCTCCTACAGGCGTCATGCTGCTGTCCAAAGCCAAATGCTGCGTCGAATAATTGTTCTCATACGTGTTGTTCATGCAGTACCGGTTGGAGTACTGTTCCCGCTCTAGTGGTGATCCGCGAGGATGTCCTGGCTGGGAAAAGGATGATCCTGCACCACCACCACCACTTCCTGACAGCGTTCTGCTCATCGTGGTACTACTGGCCCCCCCGCCGATCACCATTCCGGGCACACTGGCCATCAATTCCGGTGCTTGGTCATCTAGTTTCGAGGTTGTGACCTTCGTTGTGATCAAGGCGGTGGAACTAGCGCTCCTAGAAGACGGCACGCCGTTCACAAGGAAAGTTGTCCCCGGCACCGCTGTTGTCGACACCTGGTCCAGATGAACCACTTGATTGTGACGATCCACTTGCGCTGGCACAATGATTGTCGTCGTGCTGGGGTTAAAACTATTTCTGGTTCCCGTTCCTTGGGGCGCGGACGAACAAGAAGAAGAAGAAGAAGAAGAATGCACAGCTCCACCGCTGCTGACAATATTCACCTCTGGGTTCTGTTCTCTGCACTCGTTCCGCAATTTCTCCATCTCCTGGCGTAATTGAGACCGCATTTGCGTAATTTCCGCGCGATTGGGATTATTCAGTTCCGGGGTACCGAGGAAAAAATGGCTGACGTTCGATTCCGACCGTTTCGCTTTCCTCGTGGAGTTGGAAGTTTGGTCATGTATTCCGGCCCGCCGAGAGGACTGCTCAACGAAATGATCCGGCTGTGGTAAGACGATCAGATTTCGATCTCGATCATCTTCGTGTAGGTTGGTTGTTGTAGTGGTTGCAGCTCCGCCAGTTCTACTACCGTAGTAATTGTCCATGTCATCGTCGTGTCGTAGCTGCGTGGAATTCATCACACTAGTCCCACCGCCAGGAGCGCCATCGTCAACCATTGTGTTCAGCAACGGCGGGCTGATTTTCGGAGTCGTCAGCGCGGAGCGGTTGGTGTAGATCGCTTATGCTGTGCAAAAGTATCGTACTAGTAGTAATCGCATTACAAATTAGCTCCGCATGGCAAATGGAGTTTGTAATGCTGAGTTACCTTGAGATGAAAATTTGCATTGCATGACTGCGATTACTACGAGTACGATACTTTGCACAGGATATCGCTGACGGAGGTGCAACGATGGCCGCTTCGGACGCTCTGGTGGAAGAAGAGCTGCTACTGCCACCCGCCTGCTGCTGTAGTTGTTGTGGTCCTTCTGGACGATGGTAGTTTCTTGAAGACGGCGGCGGAGAAGGCCCCCGACAAGAACTTCTTCCGTCACCAACGCCCGGGCCCGGTTGGTGGGAAGTAAGCTGCGATGGCGTCAGCGGAACTGTTACACCAGCGAGATTTGAATTTGACGCGGAGCTGGAAGAGCTGCTGCTGCTCGAAGAGGTGTTATTGTACGTGTTTATCCTAGTTCTGGTAGAATCCAGATCTGGATGCTGAAACGTCGGATTTTCGTGATTTGATAGTGACACACCAACCGAAGAAGTTGCTGGCGCTTCGCGGTTTGTACCGATATCTCCTGAACTTGTCCCTCCCGTGATCATGTAGCTGTGCGTCTCGCCCGAGTTCATCAAACTGCCCCCCTTCTGCGACGCCTGCAAAAACGGACTAGAAACCACAGACGGACTGCGGGAGTAGTTAGAATTCGTTCCCGGCGGAATGGTGATTGTGATTGGTGGGGGCGCTGGAATTCCCTCGTGGTCCGCTCCGTTGTAAATCGGAGTTTCGTTCGACGGGTGGCGCCGCATTAGATTTATTTGACCACCTGGTGCCGGGAGCGTTGGGGAGGCTTGTACACTTGTAGTAGTACCTCCAATGTTGCTTATGTTAGCATGATTCTGCTGTTCCTGTGGCGATCCAGATTTGTTGCTCGAGCTGCTCCTTGTCATGGACCCAATTCTCAGCGGCGGGATCACAACCGGCGATGAGGATTTGGCTCTCGTCTTAACCGGCTGCTGGTGCTCGGACGATTTGTCATGCTGTTCAGCAGAATTGTTATTATACGCTTTTGACTTGTCTTTGTCATGCTGCACAGCCCGATCACCGCCATCCTCCTCTCCGTCCAAAGCAAACGGGTTGTTGCTTTTGTTCGATGAATTCGTCTATCCTGTGCAAAAGTATCGACGTACTCGTAGGAATCGCAAACATGCATTACAAATTTCTTGCTTAAGTGAAATCAGCATTACAAATTTTATTTCTCATGCTGAGAAAATTTGTACTACTAGTACGATGCTTTTGCATTTCATATCGTCGAGTTAGAGAGCAAAGGAACCGGGGGAGGCGAGCAGTCGTGGCCGACGTTTGGTGTAGAGGTTTTCGCTTTATTCCCGCCCATATCAAAAGTAAAAATGTCTGGGTCTGGAAACTTGTGATGCTGGGTGGCGTCTCATGATGAGGCTACAAATGCTGGCTCAGCATGACAACTTTCTGAGCTCCTATGTGTTGCCTATTCTGCATGACAAACTGCGCTTCTGCATCACAGAAAAACGGACCTCTTGGGTAACGTGCATGACAGATTTAAGAGTCATGCCAGACAAGCATGACAAACATGAATTCTTCCAGACCCAGACATTTTTACAGTTGATAGCCCGACCCACCTGAGGACCCGAGACTCATCTTTGCACTGGTATTTATTTTGTCCCTCAGCGTTGGCGAAACTTCTGGACGAGGTGGATAATTGAGCAGATTGTCTTGAAGATGTTCTTTTCCAGCACCCTCAGTTTCCTCCTCCAACTCGGGCGTATCCGGCACTCCCCAAATCTGTCGCATGTCCTTCTTCAATTGCGTTTTCGGTTTTCGGCTGTTGCTGGAGGCGTTGGACTTCGCCCCGGGGGAAGACATGGCGGGCGAAGCGTTTTTGGTAGTCGCGGAGAACGAGGAACTTGATGTGTTTGATTCTTGTTGCGTCGTGGGGCCAACGCCAAGCCCAGGCGAGAGCGCCGTCATTTTGATGATGTTGGAACAAGCGATTTTTGTTCAACAGGGAGGTAAGATTTTGGATGTCTACAATTAATAGGTGCGGCTCGTGTAGTACAGGCGCGGAAACAAAAGGTCCGCGAACGTCAAAGTCTTCTACCCAAGAAGGCTAGCCAGTAGGATTGTTTTTGGTTCTAATTACAAACAAATAAAGCTTGGCCCCGTGTTGCCACTTGTTCCGGGGAGAGCAAACGCCTCCATTTGATGAAGATTTGGTTTTTCGAAACGGACAGGGATCTAGTACAACTGCTCGACAATTCTTTCGCGACCACGACCTCACAGCTGTTTTGCGCTCGCGATTTAAAACGGGAGAGAGTTATTTCGACGGAATGAGAAAGATCGAAATAAAGTTATGACAAATACAACTGGGCGGTACGCTTGGAAGACGAACAAGATAGAACAGAAAAAGAAGACAGCGCGCCGTCCACATGATCTTGCGCGGAGCCACCTCCACCTCGGTTTCTCCTGCATCTGTCTTCAAAGAAACGGGCACGAGCGAGCAGTAAACAAAGTTGAGTTTTCTTTTCTAAAAAAGACAAGTTCAGCGATGTAGCTCTGGTCCTCGGGTTCGCAGTTCGAGTCAAAGAAAATCCGATTTACTTGTTCTGGTATCAGCTTTCGCTTCTGCTTCACACGGTGCAGCGACCAGCACGTGGTTACCCAGATCTTTTTCAGCTTCAAGAAGCGGTCAGCAAATATATTAACCCTGTTATTACTACAACTACCTTCAGTATCCTATCAGTTCTCCAACTTCCTCTCCTCCCCAGCACTATTACTCCTCACCGGGCTCCGCCACCTTGCCAACAGCTTCTCTTTCTGCTCCCGCCGCCTGGCGAATTCCTGAAACACCTGCAGCTTCTGTTTGTCCAAATCCGATAACTTCTCTTCCGCGGTTTTCGCAGCTTCCTCCTCGTCAGCCTCGCTGTCGGAATCGTCGTCCTCCGAACCGTCCTCTACCCCCGGGAATTTTATCGGCACAAACTCCCCGATCTTCCTGACTGTCGTACTCCCTACCTTGCTCGTGGGAGAATTTGCGGTTTCATCGTCTCCGTCCTTGTCTACTTGCGGATCATTTGCTGTCCCGTCAAAATTCTCATTACTTCTCGCCAGTGCAGTCGCTTTGTACTCGTCTTTGCTGAGATATGGAAGCGTCAGGTTTGAAATCGTCAAAGTTGAAATAGTTTGTGATGCATAAAATACAAGGCATGAAGTGCCTGTCTTGCCGAGATAGCAAGTGAGGCAGATTGTAAGCCTATCTAGGGTGTGGGATACAGCTGCTAAAGGGGCATGACAAAAGCAGTCCTCTGTGCCCAAACAGCATGACAAATTGGATTCCGGTGGTCCGAAAATTTGTCATGCGCCGCTTGAAAATTGGTCTTCCAACTGGTATACATTTTACGCATGACAAATTATTTCAACTTTGTCGATTTCAAACCTGACGCTTCCATATGAGGATTTCCTGCATCGTCCTCTCCGTGTCCTCCGCAATCTTCTCTTATCCAGGAAAAAACAACCATCCCCATCCAATTTGTCATGCAAAACGTGCATAATCTCCAGCGTTTGTCATGCAAAAAATGGATGGGGATGGGTGTTTTTTCCTGCATATCTCTAACCGTTTTCGCATCGCCTCCAGATCGATCCGCGACTGCACCGCCTTCGAGGTGCCAGACGCTGCTATCGCTGGGATGGGGTCTGACGAGGACGGGTTGGCGTTGGTTTGTATTGCAATACTACTTCCTACTTCTTCATCCGTGGGGCTACAGCTGTCGAGAGAAGAAGAGGAGGGGACTACTTCTGCACCACTGGAGTCTTTTATCGCCGGAATTGGCTGTGCGTGCTTCACAAACTTCTCCTCCTTCGGGACTGGAACTATCCTGAGTAAAACCGTACCCACCCGCCCAGAGTTGTCATGCAAATGCGCAATGACAGGAACATTTGTAGTGCGCAGTTCCATGAGAGGCATTTCCAATCGTGTTTTGGAATTTGTAATGCTGTAAACAGGATGAGAAAGTGGCTTTCTCATGCGGCTTCCCTTGCCAGCCAGCACTACACTGCAGAGAGAAGCTTGTCATGCACAGCTCCCAAAACTTGGAGATTTGTGTTGCTAGATTCCCAACTTGACTATGGGGTCGTGGAGACGTTTTTGCTCAGGATAGGAACCTTGAAATAGTCACTGTTCGGGTTGATCTGCTCCTCAATCCGGTTAGCGTTGTTGACAAACTCATGCTATCAACTGCAAGAGTGTCTGGGTCTGGAAGGGTGTGAAGTTGTGATGCGCATTTCACAACACACACAAATCTCTCATGCATAGGCCGCAAAAGATGCCCGCTTCCTGTCACCAAAATGGAGGGCTGGTCATGCGGGTTAGGCATTGCGAGACCTTCTCGACGAAACCTGTGATGCTAGGGCCTCCATGCCAGACCTTCTGTGCCATGCAAAAACAGCCCGACATCGTCCAGAGGACCCAGACATATTTGCAATGCATACATGTTCGTCAAAATCGTCTTCCACATCGAACCCGCTTGATTTCGCGAGGAGCTTCAGCGAATCGTGCGGCACCTGGCAGCTCCACTTGAACAGCAAACCCATTGCGACTTCGGCTTCCCGTTCCAGGTCGAGGGCCTGGGGTGTTGATTTTTGCAAGACAAAATTCATACGCAGGTTCAAGTGTCACGCATCATGTTCATGCAACACAAACAGAATTCTATCAGGACTTTTGCATGACAAAATACCCCAATTATCCAATATACCTTCAGCCTATCAGCCGCCATGTACAACTTCTTCAAGCACTCCTCCTTCTCCACGCCACTCAGCCCCATCTTCTCCCCCGCTACCGCCTGTCGGTACGCGTATTTGCAGCTCGAGTGCGCACAATTGTCGCTGAGCGGGAACAATTCCAAGCACTTTTCGCAATCCTTAAACGCCTTCTCATTTTCGTTCAACTGGAGGAAGCAAAGCGCCCGGTTGCCCAACATCCCCGCAAGCTTTTCCCGGATGGACTGGGCTTCCGCGAAGGTTTGCTGTTCATCGCTTGTAGTTGTAGTTTCGGGAGATGATGAAGAGGAGACGGAAAGTAATCTTTGCTTGCACAGAGTCACCCCCTTCGTGTACTCCGTCGCTGCTTTTTCGTAGTCGGCTTGCTTGAAGAAGTGCGTGCCGAGCCGCTTCTGCTCAATGATCTGGGAAAGTGTGATGTCTGGAGTAGAAGATGTTGATGGTGGAAAAACTTGTTCCAATGGCGACTGCGCCGGGGTGGAAAGAGTTGGTGTATCTGCAGTTTTGTTCTTCGACTTCGCGAGCAAGTCCTGTTTCATCTTCGCGCGAAGTGCGGCTTTGTCAACCTGGAGGTTGAGACCCCGCCGGGTCTGGTGCTGGTCGCTCGCGGTGGGGCTTACCATGTTGAGTGAAGTTTCTATCTGCGTTGTCGTGCTCGAATTTGAAAGAAGCAGCTCCACGAAAAGTAGAGCGCTTTTGGATGATTACGATTCCTAAGCACTTCAACTATTATCGCTTCGACTCGTCCTCGAGACGTTCACAAATCACCTTTTGTTGAGTTGTATCTTGTTGCACATCCTTCTGCGCGGTGCTCGGATCTAACATGACGACGTATGACCATGAGCTTTCAGCCCGTAGCAGAGCTATGAGCTTCTCATCTGTCACGTTTAGCTCTCATCAAGCCGCAAGACGTCATCGCCCCCCGGCCGTTTCTGCATTTTTCCGCAGTTATTTATATCTTGCCCACTCACATAGAAAACAAGTAGCTCTCGAACTTCAGCTCAAATTGTTGCCAGTCCGAGGTCAATCTTTGCTAACGCGGTTTGCTCGCGAGTCTATCACTCAAGGGCGAGAACAACCCGCACAAATAAATCAGTGTCGTAGAGATGGGGGGGCACCGAACCACTTCCCTTACCGCGGGTACCCGCGCCTTGTAGGAAGCACACAGAAAAAGATCTGTGCCACCGGGATCTGTCTCGGGGAATTAACTGCATCACTAAGCTCGACGGGCACTGGCTAGACAGGGGCGCGCGGCCACGTACTTGGCTGCCTGCCCCCAGGGCGAACGGCGCGCCATCAATCAGCAAGCACCACACCGACCACGGAAGTACGGCACCCGGCCGGCCGCCCGACGAATAGCCGGCCCACAATTGCGGCGCGACGGGCTGCAGGTGCGTGGGTGCCCCGCGCGGGCCGGCAGAGCACAGCAGCGCTGGGCGGGGCGGCAGTCCCCATAATGGCAACACAGCCCGCCGGGGGCTGGTGCGGGGCCCGTAAGCCATTCCAGCTGCGAAGGTGCTGGCACGCACTTCGCCACAACCCGCCCGGCCGCCGGGCGGGGGGGCGGGCCTTCAAACGGCCGGCGGCTTTGCCGCTTTACAGAGCGCGCCAGGCTCGCCGAGGGCTAGCAGCCGCGCGGGCGGGGGAAGACGGGCGACCGCGCCCCTCTTCTTCTTGGCGCGCGATGTTCCTCGCTCAGCGCTTTCCGGTTTGGCTTTTGCGTTTGAACACACAGGCTTTCAGCAGTGCGAAACGGGTAGAGACAAGCGCGAAAAAGGGTGCGTTTTGAGCTAGATAGAGTCGCAACGAGGCTGCTCGAGCTGGTCTCCTGCCCCGCGTGTTGTTCCAGCTGGCCAACCCGCCGCCTGAAGCCGCGCTGGCTCCCTCGCCATCGTGAACCGCGCGCAGCGTACTATACTGCATCGGCCCCGTCAACAATACGACCCGCGGACCGGGCAATCTCTTCACAAACCCGAACGATACCACTGCGGGGCCAAGATACCACCGGCGTGCGCCAAGATCCACGCCATAGGAAATAGACGTAGAATACGGACACGGAGATACCTACTTATATTTTCTGTTGCTATCATTAATTCGACGTTGCGAGCAAACACACCTCAACCTCTCAATTTGAAATCGCAACAAAAACTCTCATAGCATAGGGTAGCAGAGCTTGAGCTTCTAATCTGTTGTGTTACGTTTAGCTCTCATCAAGCCGCAAGAAGTCATCGCTCCCCGGCCGTTTCTGCATTTTTCGTAGGTTTCCATCTTTCCCACACAGACAAGTAGCTCTCGAATTTCAACTCAAATTGTTGCCACTACAAAGTCAATCTTAATCTTTGCTCAAGCGGTTTGGTTGCGAATCAAGGACACGAACAACAACAGGCCACGGCTGGCATCAATTAAATCGGCGTCGGCGTTTTGTTTTGAGGTGGCACCAAGGCACCTGCTGTGCTTACCCCGGGCACCCGCGCCAGACAGGAAACACGCCGCGGAATCTGCTTCGGCGGAGTAGCTGCGCGCACAGCCCACATAACACACACGAGAGAGGCACGGCTGCGCGCTTGGTTGCCCACCCTTAAAGTGCACGGCGCGCCAGCAATCACCAACACACACACACTCGCCCGCCAATATGCCCACAGAGAAGATCGGCGCGCCGGGCTACAGGCTTGCTAACCCGACGTGAGCCAGAGGAGCAGCGACGCGCGCGCAAACCATTACCAAGAAAATCCAAATTTGCGGGGGGCCCCTAAAGGCCGCGGGTACTGTACAACGAGGCTGGCGGCGCACACCAACCGCGCCGCCCCAACCCACCCTCCCTCGCTTGGCCTCTTCGATCGGCGCAAAGCAGACTGGCAGAAGTGGCGGGGGCGCGCGGGGGTCGCGGGCGCGCGCCCGTTTCGCCCCGGCAGGAATGGGACTGGGCGCGCAGAACCCCGGCCCTTTGTAATGTACAAACTAACCCGCCGGCGCCCGCGGCGCGACAGGCGGGGGGGCCCGGCGGCCCATGTTTCACGGCCTCGGGGCCTCGGCGATAGAACAAGCAGGAAGCGCGCGGGACTGACTGGCCGGCCCGGGCCTGGCCATGGTCTTTTCCTCCCTTGTCCTCCTTGTTCTTGCTGGTACTTAGGAGGCGGAACCGGCGCCGGGCGCTGTCAGACCTGTCGCCCCCGCGGGGGGGCGAGCGGGGGCAGGGGCAAAAGGCACGCCACGGGCTGCCCAGCGACTTGTCCTCAGCCTTGCCTTCGGGCTGATCAACCTGCTAGCCCCCACAAACAACCCACCGCCGTCGGCCGCGCTCGGGCGGTGTCTGCGGCATTGACCTCCTTGAATAAGGGGCCCGACAATACCATACGAGCCGCGGGCCCGGCCAGCTCACTAAGCCAAACGACGCCTCTGCTGCGACCCAAGCCCCATTCTTGTTCGCCAAGTCGTGGCCGTTGGGCGCGGAGCTGCGCGCCATGGCAAAGAAGCGAAGCACTGCAGCTTATTTCATACATTACTTAATTTTTTGGCGTTGCGACTGCAAGCAGACACGCCTCGGCCTCTCAATTTGAAATCGCAACTCTCCAGCCTTTCCCTCGGTTCTCAATGCTTGTTCTCTCAATCACTTCTTCCTCTCGAAGTTCACCCTCACACCCCACAAGCAAGTTTGCTTAGGGAAAGAGCCCTCACTAACTCGGGACCAAAGACGAGCCGACCCTTCCTTCAATTCACGGCAGGCGAGAACATTCGCAGAAGAATGTCGACGACGAGCAGAGGTCTAGCATGTATCTTGCGTTTCTAATCTGGAAAAGCAAGCCTTTCTTTCATCTCACATGTCCTTTTAGTTGTTCTACGTAGTAGCAAAGCCTTAGCTTCAACATCGCCTGGCGCGACTACGCCGATGCTCAAGAATGTTTCTTTCTAGGCCTAGGCTGGTGGTGAAGTCTTTATTCCAAATAGTGTACATCCTCGTTCTGTTTCGTATTTGTAACAAAACAAAACAGAAGGGCAGAGGATCGGGATTCATTTTTCAGTACTCTTGTCTCGACTCTTTTTGCATTTCTTTGGCAAAATATCGATATGCTATCTCCAGAGGTACTAGTGCTGGTAGGAGATAAATACGCTGTGAAAACTTCCCACGCCCGGATGTGCCTCATCTGTCCGGCAGCTCGGAAAGTCTGCGGCTAGAGGCAAAACCACAGCGCCAGGTCTATGACAAGCACAAGTATGATATCCACTTCTCTAGAAGTAGCTCCTATCTCTGTATTGTATTTCCAAAAGTAACTTCGAGTAGATATTATATTCCGCAAAATGTTGAAAAGAAGACTTCAGAGCCTACCAGGAGTGCTGTCCGCTCCATCTTGGATAGATTATCTATATCTGCTTCTTTGTTCGTCCACTGAATCTGTTGAAACTGATAAAAGTCTGTTCCTGCTTCAATAAAAAATTACATGATGAGCCTCCAAATGACACGGCTACTGTTTTCGTCTCTGCCGCGTCACAACTCCTCCCAAATCCAAGTGTACGATTCTCCACCTCCGCTTCAAAACACAACTCACGCCCGCCCCTGCGTCGCGATGTAGCAGTCGGTTAATTCCGCTAATTCTTTTGCGATCGCCTCCTGCTCCGGGTTCAAAATCGCAGCTTCGTTCAAAATCGGCTGCCCGCCCGGACCGGTATTCTCGCTGAAGAACTTGTCCTCCCACCGAGCGAATTCCTGGTACTGGTCGGAGACGTAGCGGAGGATGTTTCGGGATTCCATCATGTCCTGGGTGGAAATACCGTCCTGCTCGTACACGTGGAGGTAGGAACGGGACTTGTACCTGATTTGCATGTCGATGTCGTGTTTGTCATGCAGAATATGCTATCAGATCTCAATAATGGTACTCACCATGTGCATGACAAGTTTCCGTGCACTAGACAAGCATCATCATTAGCCATCACATGATCTTCAAAAGCCGTATAATTCTACAGTGAGTCCCAGTTGGCGCAAATTCGGTCGAACGCTTCGTGGATTGCCGTTGTGTTGGACACAAACGTGACTGAATCCCCCTGGCTATCATATGTAAAAACGTCCCCACCCCATAGTCAAGATGGGATATCTCCTAGACAAACCGACGAGCTTCTGTTGCTGTGCATGACAAGTTTGGCGTCGTAGTGTAATCTTGTTTAGCTAGCTCCAGCAGCATCACAGATCTAGCTTATCATTCTGATTCGAACATCACGAATTCCAGAACACGACCAGGAAATGCTTCTCATGGGGTTCCGTATGAGAAACACTTTAACTTTTACCATGCAGATTGGCATGACAAGTATGGGGTGGGAATGTTTTTACATAGGATACTGGCTCTCGTGTGGCACGGCGCAAATGGAGGAGGAAATGCTGTTTGGGATCCAGTCCGGAAAGTAGTGGTCAAATCGGGAGCCCGGCTTGTGCAGATTGTAAATGACTTCATCCACCTCGGAAGAGTAGATGTTGCCTCGAAACGCGGCGAAAGAGGCGAGGAATCGGGCCTTCAGAATACCTGATAGGTAGATTAAGATAGCATCGTGATGATCATGACGTACTGGTTGTACGACTGCAACACAAATTTTTGCATCCGGCAATATGATCACCTCCATGCGCATCTTCATATTTAAACAAACGAAACTCGCGACGAACGGCAAATTATACCTTCCCTCGGATCCCCCGGGTTGAGTGGGTCGCATTTAATGCAAACGTTGTCCTTGGAAATCATTTGTTGCGCCAAATCCAGGACGGAAAATTTCCTGTATTCCTTGTTCGCCGGGCTGGTTAGTGGTGCGAAGGAGGATATGGAAGCGTCAGGTTTGAAATCGTCAAAGTTGAAAGAATTTGTAACGCATAAAATGCATGACCCGAGGCACGTGTGTTGCAGAGCAGGCAAGTGAGGCTGATTGTAAGCCTGTTTGGGGTTACAGCTCGAGCTGCTAAAGTAGCATGAGAAAATCGCTCTTCTTTGCCTAAACACCATGACAGAGTGGATTTACGGACCGCCGAAATTTGTCTTGCGCCACTTAGAAACTGGGTCCCAACTGGCATCCATTTTATGCATGACAAATTTTTGTCGATTTCAACTCTGACACATCCATAGAGGAACAGAGAAAGTGGGCGTTTTTGAACGGGACGAGGTTGTATCAAATGCAAATACGTCCGGGTCTGGAGAAGTGGTGAACTTGTTATGCCAGCTTTGTATTCGTGGAAAATATGTATTGCAGAACCAACAAAAGTCGCAGGCACTTTTGTCATGCAAAAACAAAAAGGCAGCTTCTCACGCGGATTGCGTATAAGAAAGCGCTCTGGAGAGTTCTTGTCATGCTGGGCTGCATTCGGAAATAGTTCCGTCATCCACATTTTGGCATCACAGGTTTCCAGACCCAGACATGTTTGCACTTGATAGGTTGGTCTGCATTTTTCTCAAATCCGCATCCAGGATACCAGGGAGGCGGAGACAGGAGGTGATACCTTTTGTTTAATAAATAAATGGCGTTTTTTGGGTTAAATTTTGTACCATGACAAGAATTTCTTCGACCGCACTACAAATACTTACCATCTACACCTAGATCTAGTCCATCTTTGAATTTATTTCCGAAATAAATACTTGTCAAGCAGCTGTACCCACTTATCCTTACCTGTCATGCACAACCCCACGATGTTGTTCAGGTGACTCAGTTTTGGCACATCCACTTCACAGGTGTTTTGCACAATCTGCCCAAGTGCTGCATTGTCGTAGAGAAAGCACTGGTGGCAGTACTCTAGCAGATCCTGCATCCCCAGAGCGGCATTGTATCTGATAATGAATGTATGTATGAGTTAATTTTTTGTATTTTTTGTCAATCATGCAAGACGAGAGGTGTTTGTCATGCCATCCTCAGCATCAGAACCGGGTGCAAAAAAAAAAACAATACGGCTCCAGAATGACGTCTGTAAGCCCGGGCGATGGCACCACGGTGAAGGACTGCAAAATGCACTTGCTTCCCTTGTCGAGGTAGTCGTATCTGTGATGCGTAGTTTGCATTTGACGGCACTTTGTCATGCATGGATCACCACTGCATTTTTTGCAACAGTAGCAGGAGCGTCATGCGAAGAAACTTTGTGATGCATAACTTCCGAAATAAATACAGTGTTTTCAGTAGCAGCCCTGTCAACCCGGATCCCGCACCGCCGCATATTGAGTGTGTGAATTGTACTCCTTGGAGGCACTCGCACTTCTCCACTTCTTTTCGTACGTTCTCGAGCACCTGGTGATGGAATAGTTCGTGGCGGTTTATTTCGGAGCATGAGCAACGGTTGTATTGTATACATGACAAAATCGAATCACATTCACATTCAGCGTTGTGCATGACAAAGGACCACACTTCAAAGAGCGCTGACCTGATCCGCCAAGTCGGGCCCTTCTGTGTGAAAGGCTTTTGCGTAGCAGTTCCCTGATCCTTCGTCATTGCCAATTACGTTTTCTGGTCTGTACAGCCCTCCTAGTCCGTCACTCGTTATCTGCGCCAAATCGCTCATGTTGGTATCTACCTGTTATCAACATGTTATGATTTTTCACATCAACCTTTGAACAATTTTACAACATCGAAAAAGCCACTGGATGAAGAGCGCGTCATCATCAAAGTCAAAGAAAATGAGTCCGCGTCAACATCCAAGGTTCCAGCCGTGTTCTAGTACTAGTATCGCCCTTGGGACGTAGCGGCCCGCGCTGCCCTCGTTGAAGAAGACGTCAATGTGCTCTTGGTAGATGTCCCCTTCTTCCCCCGTGTACCTACCATTCATCTGTCCGCTGCCTTCGAAATTGATTTTGTGCTCGGACGCGATGTCCCGCCAGAACTCGTGGCCGATCGCATTTCCGCACTTCCCGACCTGAATGTGGATGATCTCACGCCCGGCGGCATGGCCGTGCTTCTTGGCCGGGTGCCCACCCTTCTCTGGAGGAGGCATGGTTCTACTTGCGGGTGAAGTTGTGGATTGATTTCTTGACTTTACGATCTGCGGCGTCTCACACTGGTTTCGCTTTCGGCTCTCATGTACGTTGGGACACTTACTGCAGCTCAACGAGGTGCGAATTTTGGTTGACGCAAAATATCAGCTCAGAGCCTTTGTTCGTAGGAACTCAAAAACAACGAACAAAAGCGAAACCAAAACAAGAAGACGACGACGACGAAAAAATAAAAGTCCGATGGACCCGAAAAACTGATGGATGAAGTAGAAGTACCGACAAAGGAGGAGCTAGGGCGCGGAGGTAGGAACCACAATCCTGGCACTCATTAACCCAGCCTCCCAAATGCTCACCACGAACAATTGTTGTGGCCGCTTAACAGATGAAAGAGCGCAGGAGCGGCTGACTACACTGCGACTGAGGCTACGGACTTTTGTTTTCCAAAGAATGAACCACGCGGCCAACATGCACCGCTATCAGTCTGACAGACTGCGAGCATGCTTCCAAACATGGCGGCCGATGGGGGAATAATGAGCAACATCACCAAGGGGCGGCCAAGGTGGAGCAAGACACTCACGCCGGGCGCCGCCAGCCGACCGGCAGTGCCTTCCTTGGGCTGGTCGGCCGGCGCGCGCACGAACGATCAAGGCGGGGTGGCGCGGGCGGGCGGAGTCGGCTGCCGAGCGCGCAACCCCGCCCTGGAGCCCAAGGAAGGCCGCGCCGAGCGGGGGGGGGCGCCCACCACGCTCGTGGCCCGGGGGCGTCTAACTACATACACTCCACAGGCAGCAGCGCCGCCCCAAGCTAGCAAATCGGCCGCCTGGGAGAGGAGGCGCGGGCGCCTCTAGCTACGTGCCCCGGCGCCCGGCGGCACGCTGCGCCCAGCACGGGCGCGCCCGCAAATGCGGCCGGTGGCCACGCATCGCCCTGCCCCCGCCGGGAAGCCCCACGGGCGGACACGCAAAAAATAAAAAGGCCCGCGCGCGCCGTGCGTAGTTGTTTCGCGTCGGCCTCCTTGACGAAGGTAGCGAACCCAGGCGCCGGCCGCTCGGCTCGCGGCGCACGCGCGAAGACTTTGCGCGGCCGCCCCGCGGGCCGCCTTGCGGTACTAAAGTCGGGCGCCCTTTGCGGGACCGCTCGCGCGCGCCACGTTTTCCCCGAGGCGGCGGGGCGTGTGCAAGATTATGGGCGCGAACATCGCGCCACTCGTGCCGCGTCGCAGAGGTTCTCGACTTGCGTCGCGATCAAATTGGCCACGCCCGGCAGGCCTCGAGAATCCACCCGGGCCCGCCCCCCGTAGGCGGGGCGCTCCACGGGCGAGAGGCGCCAAACTGCGCCCGGTGGCAAGGGTGCACGGGCCCAAAAACGCGGGCGAAGGCGTCGCCCACCGAAAACGCGACAGCGAGAGCGCAAGCACTGGCGCCCCTCTCTTGGCATGCCGAGCTCTTCTCGTTGGATCTGGGCATAGTTCAGTTCCAACTACATCACCAAATCTGTATGTGACACAAGAACACACGACACAACAACTTCCGTACTATTTGTCACAAGCTGGTGCAACTTGCGAGGTCCTCCGCTTATTTGCAAATTCAGCAGCATATTGAAACTTCTTCCGGCGCACACTAATTCATCAGCTCTCGTCTGCCATGGACAGTCATTGTTTGTAGAAAAATGTCGTGGCGGGCGCAAAAGGTAACCCAGCACACAAAAAGAACTTTCCAGTGAGTTTCCATCAAAAGTCGTGTCACCGTCATTGCAGACGCACGCAAATAAGCAGCAATTTTCCACTGCTACGGAAATCTTTCGCTTTCAAAAAAACACCCCTCTCTCCTCCCCTAGCGTTTTCCGGGCAATCAAGCTCGACAAATCTTCCTCCTTCGTTTTGTACTTTTTCCCACCTTCCCGTCTCTGCTGCTGCTGCCCCGCTAGAGTGAGCTGCTGCTGCTGACCCAACTTTTGTCGTTTGGCTTTTATCCTGCTTCTATTTCCCGTCAAGTCCCCAGCTGCATCCTCGTCGGATTCATCTTCGGAACCACTTCTCCTATCTCCTCCCTTTACCAACTTTTCCGCTTTCAGCTTCTCCTGCACCTTGTCCCGGAGTTGTTCCGCTTTCGCAGAAAGTTCGGCGAGGTAGGACGAGGAGCTTGATGTCATCGTTGTGGTCGACGCAGATGTTCTTGAGCTGCCAGAAGCTCCTCCTACACCGGCGTTGTACGGAGGAGCAGCTGCTGAAGAAGAGGACGAAGTGGCTCCTGAAGATTTTTTCGCCGGCGCAAGCAGGTACTCCATCAGATTCCCCTGCCATTTGGAGAAGCGTAGCCTCAAATAATTTCCGATCTGGAGGGTGAAGGAGGTGTTTTGTTGTAGATTCGCTTTACTGTGCTGTAGTACTGCGTCACCGTCTTTTTTCCGATTTGATGTTCTTGACGAGCTCTGCGTCTGCTCTACTGCTTGCCCGAGCACCACCTCCGTCGTTTTAGAAGTGTCGTCGAAGTCGACAACTTTGTCGTTGACCCGGATTTCGAACAAACTTCGTATCCTCTGTAGTTCTTGAGCTTCTTTTTCCTCGTCGTCACTGAAAGACTCGTCGCTCCCAGCATTCTCGCTTTTGTCCTCGCTTTCGTCTTCGTCTACCTCTACGATGGTTTGCTTAATCTTGTTTTTCTTAGTCCTGCTTTTGCTGCTCCTTCCACCTGCAGCTCCAGGGGAGGTTTTCTTCCTTCTATCAGCACCCGTCCGACTGCTGCTTCTCGCAGAAGTACTAGATGATGCAGCTCCTGCGACAAAGTTCTTCAATCTCACACTTCCATCCCTCGCAGACACGTCTACTCGCAACACCAATCTCGGCAATTTCGAGTACTGCAACTCCGGCAAGAGCATGGAGCCTATCAACACCGAGCCGTTTTGGTACACCCCGTTAGAATTCTTCCCGCCGACCCGGTTGTTCTTATACCTGCCCGCAAGAACGCCACCGCTGCTACCATGATTCGGGAAGAAAAGAAACGGTGCTTCCTCCCTGCAAGTTTCCAGCTCTGCGAGAAACAGGTCGCTCTTTGCTTTCAAAGAAGTTTGACTGTTGTGGTAGTTTTTCTGCTGCCGCTGTTCGATCTGTTTCAAGTGCTTTTCGACAACAAATCGTGCTAGATAACTCGGCAGCTTTTTAAGCTCGTTCCTGACTTCCGGTGTCCACTTCTGTTTGCTAGCCTGGTCCTCCACAAATTTCCGGTTTTGCTCGTCGTTGGGATCATTCATGTGTTCCGGTCCTCGCCGGTCGTCGACACTTCTAGCAGCGCTTGGGCTTCTTGTCCCCGACGTGGTCCCAAACTGCACTGGCTCCCCAGTCAGGATGAACGGCATGCCGGCTTGGCCGGGAAGAAGATCCTCATCGTCGAGTACTTCCTCTTCCTTCTCAATCGGAATAGTCGGGTCCGCTTCGCCGATTTCAATACCGAGCGCTTCCACGACTGCTTCGCCTGCCTGCCGGCTCATTTCATCGGCAGACCTTCTCTTATTTCGGGAAGATGCAGTCGCGCCGTGGTTCTTTGTTATTGTTATTGGGTTTGAACCTGTTGGCGTTTTGTTGTAAAACTTTTCCAAATCTTTCTGACTCACGTATTTGTTCTTGATCTTCTCCTTTTCATCCGCCGCCAGCTTCGCTTCCTGTTCTTGTTTCCTTTTCCGCAGCCAGTCTGCGGCGCTGGAGGTGGCGGCCGAATCGTCTTGCTGATCAGGAAGTCCTGCTGCTCCAGATAACGCTGCATTTTTCCCGATTATACCTGCGGCCCCTTGCTGCTGTTGATTCAACAGATTCGCCTGCTCTACTCCTGAGGATAATTGATGATTTGTCGCCCCGTAATTCGCGTCAGTCGGCGGAATTGGTATCCGTGTCCAAATTTCCGCGTTCACCGCGGCATTTCCGCTCTGCCAGATGGGCATCACATCCTGCGTTTCTTTCTCGAATTGAAACAAAACCCCGGAGTTCTGGTCCCAGATGAATAGCTGTTTCGTCTTCGATTCGAGGTAGTAGCATTTCGGAAAGGCGGTCGCGGATATGGGACTCTCAAGCGTTACACTCTCAGCTGTTACATGAATTTGTCATGCAAAGCTACCATTATCATCCACGCGATCAAGCTGCTTCGCATGGTAAATGTGCGAAGGGCTAAGCAGCACCGAAATCTGTGCGGAATTTGTAATGCTAGAGGTGCAATTGTCCCCCTTTGACTTTTGCTATTCTTGCATTACAAATTCATGTGACAGTTGGGAATGTAACAATTGAGGGCCCCATAGCGGATGTTTTTGGGTTGTGGTTCTCCGTGTCCACTTGCCAGCGGTCTATCGCATCCTTGTACAGCTCGAGGAGAGGATCTTCTTCCGCGTCAGGGGTTTGTTTTTTCGTGGCCTTTTTATCCAATTTGTTGCAACATCCAGGTCCTGTTTTATTTTTCTTTCCCTTATTGATGCCTTGAAATGGACCACGCCGTTGTTCCCTGCTGTCTTCATTTTCAACATCCGACAAACCCGAATCCTTGTCGCTGCTATCGTCGCTGTTGTTCGCGAAATCATCCAGAGAAACCGCGGAGAGCTGGGGGCCCGACATGTTTCTGTGTCGTCGATGAAGATTGAGGTTTTACTGGTAGATTTTGAGTACAAGCCCGGAGATGGAACAACTACATCAGGTCGCAGCTTCGAGCAGGGGGGGGCTACTCTTACGCAGGCATTAGATTCGACATCGACTTCGACTTCAAAGGTGGCACGATGTACGTAGTTCGCTGAGTACAGGAGGCTCACTGTAAAAAGACATGAATTCCTTCGAGGAATCGCAGCACGCAGATGAGGGGTCAGCTCCCAATCATATATTGTTTCCAAAAGCAAAGGACACTGGTGTTGGCGACCAAACTACATGGTGTGCGAAGATTTTTCATCTTCACGATTTACAAAAGATCGCATCTTCACTTTGCGCCCGCCCGTCAATGATCGGAGCTTCGAGTTTGATGAATTGAATGACGCGCAGGCGAGTGGGAACTAGCGGAACCAGGGATCAACACATTTTGAATCATGAAAAACTACAACTTGTACTAGATGAACTCATGGAACATAACTTCATGCCCTCGCGGCCCTCCAGAAGATGAACAAGCAAAGGCGTTTACTACTAGTTATTAAAGGGAACAGCTTCTTTTTTTCATTCTTCAACCCGAAGCCGTTCTTCGAGGTACTAGACGACCACAACTTCATATGATTTTTGCTTGCGGTTTTTTCTTTCCAAAATCTTACAGTAGCTAATATTCAAGGGGGGGCAAATGTCTAAGAAGGCGGTGGTGTGGAGTGGTCGGGGCTTAGAGTTTTTTCATCCATTGAAAAAACTATTTTGCCCATGCTACGAGCCACCGCCTTTCTTTTTTTGCTCCAGCCAGAGATGAAAGTCTTTGCGCAACTTTTACAAGAACCAGAGAGGCACTACTACTCAAAGTAGCGTCAGTTTCTTCTTGTGCTTCTTCATCTTGTGCAGCCAGCATCAACATCATACATAGATACATCACCCGGCCTGGTTTTGACATCAATTCTTGTTTTTCAGAAAGCGGGTAAGAGCAGCTCTGAGGAAATCTATTCTCGCAGAGCTTTTACCGCTGTGGTGCACTCCGCTACTAGACAATGGTGTAAACAGTAAACCACTCCTAGAGCAGTTCTTCTTGTGCTTTGGTCCGAATAATTTAGACCTACAAAGAATCGCAATCGTAAACCTAGACGAGCTACATTTATGCACAATTTCTCCGGTAAAACAGTTGCGACGGAGCAGGCGCAATTTTTGTGAATACATGTGTTCTAAATCTAGTAAAACGGGATGTGTTCTTTGTTCTTCGTTGGGCTGTGCATAGTAGAATGAATAGAACATCGGCATCGCCGCGGGTTCATTTTTTTGTCAAAAATGCGCTATGTTTGATTTTCCTCTTTGTTCCCACAACATAGAGAATTTTCCACAAAAAAGTCACCTAAAAGTTCGAGCAGATATTTGCTTTGTTAGAGCAAAAATCACTCTACTGTCGTGTATGTAGCACGTCTACATCACATTGCGAGACGATCACGATATAGATATACAACTACTTCCCTTTCGTGTCATTACTTTCCTCCGTAAAAATCATGACAGACTGGAGGTGCCTTTGATCGATTAGACTGGGTATAGCATTTCAGTTTTTTTTCAAACCAAAACTTAGGGCCGACGAGTACGCAAAACATGAATATGTGAGGACTCTTTGTTGTTCCGAGCCAAAACCATCAACAAGTGGTTGGACAGAACTACAGCTATGTGAACGATTTTCAAAAAAAAACATTATGATTGAAATATCCTTAATTACGAAGCCGGCGGGTAAACTTCTACCCGCTTTTTACCTCTTACACAAAGTCGTCATCGTCGCTTTGCTCCCCGGCGTAGACTACGTACTGCGGCTGCTGCTGGTATGCCACCGGCTGCGCTGGCTCCGCGTAGACGATCTGTTTTTTGTATTTGTTTCATGATCTATTTCATTCTCATTTTTTGTCAACATGTAGAACCAATGCAAGAATGATCATGATGTTGACATCTACAACTACTTGAAGTTCTTGTTGTATACATCACGCAACACAAATTTCTACCTCTTCCTCATAGACCGGGCCTCTGTAGCAGCACCAGACGGGAATAGCAATGGCGAAGATGATGATCAACAGGATGAGCAGGATCCAGAGCCAGAGCAACCGCAACCCATAGTTTGGATTCTCGTCAACCGGATGGCAGTGCGTGTTGAGGAACCTATCCCGGTAGCAGTATATGCATTGCAAACGTATCGCACTCGTACTATTATCATTAATTGCAATCATGTATGACAAATCTTGTCCTTAAGGTAAAACAGCATGACAGATGCCAGCTCTCATGCTGAGCAAATTTGTAATGCAATTTATACAACTAGTACGATGGATAATTTTGTAATGCATACAGTAGCAGTAGACGCCGCCAATCCACGTGTACCACCCCGCGATTGCTTGGTCGGCCAGCAGCAGCAGCGACAGTGCGGCTGCTGGTGCGGTGAGCAAGTTCTTGCTCGTCCCTGCACCTGGGGCTCTTCGGCTATTTTTGCCCTGCGTCCTCATGTTGGAAAGAGAGGAAGTCGCAAGAGCAGTCGTGGAGGTAGTGGCAGGAGACATTTTTTGTACTGTTGATTTGGTCTGGCTTTGAGAAAAAAAAGTCGTCAAGATAGAATATGATCCGCGAAGAGGTCGTTCACAGGCAAAAGTACGCTCTTAAAAATCGGAGCAGAGAGAAAATACAACTCGATTAATATTTTGGGAAGATTTTGTAGGGTCGTGATAGTGCTCTCGCTAAAAAGTAAAAGAAAACTTAGAAGAATAGAATCAGGTTGAAGACTCGTTATGGAAAATTAGCAGCTATGCGTTTGTTTTCTTGTCAAAATGTAAAAATACCTTGGCAATTGATGTTGTTGTAAATGGGAACTGTAGTTGTATCAGGTGACAAGATGGATGGACGTCCGCGTGGTAAAAATGCGCTACCCTTGCTATTTCCATTTCGTCCAAGCACTACCGGAAAATGCTGATCCGATTTGTGTTTCTGCGTTAAGAGCTTATTTCTAATGATCTTCATCACCGACAAAAGTTATTTTTTGATCTTAACCTTGCGGCTACACAACTTCTACTCCACCGACATGATGTGCACGATCATAGTGCGCATTTTTTTCAAGGACCAGGATGCTTTTTAATTTTACCAGAGAGATCGTCTTCGTCTGGCCGTTGTCACACGAAATTTGAGCCTGTATTTTTCGACAGATTCGTTCTACTTGATCCAGTTTTATATTTCAAGTGTCCCACTCACTTGATGGACTGACGTGCAACAACCGATTTCCTTTCGTTTATACTGTGGTCCGGGTGTGGTTCTTACCGAAATTTGTTGCACCGACTACTGAAACGACCGAGCAGATTGAAGGCCGCTCCACCAAGTCGTGACTCCCATCAGTCTGTTGCATGCAGTCAAAGTTGAAGTTGCGTCGACATTTACAATGTGAATTTTGTATATTCGATTTGATGAAGTTAGTCTACACGACCGAGAGGGCTGCCTGTAGATGAAAATGGCTACTTTGCAAGCGTCGACATATGATACATAAGACACGCCGCGCCACTTGTTGGTCGTTTCAGAACACAGATTGAACACATTTGCGCGAATTCGACTGCAACTTAATAACCTGGCCTCGTGACTCATTTTTATCGGTCTTGTTCGAGAAATCAGAAGCTCGACAGTGGTGAATTCATGCACCGTCAGACAGGATTTGGTATTGCTGTATTTCAAAGATTCATCTCGCGGCGGGGGTCGAACTGAATTTAAGAAGAAGATACTGACTACTAGAGCTACTGGGTTAGAATCTTTTTAGAAATTGTTGAAGGAGACGAAACCTGCGACTTTTATCGAGTGCTTTGTTTAGTTTTTCCGTGCGAAACCCGCTGTAGTACTTCGTCTCGCGCGTCGATGGGATACACCTCCGCCGTACTAGGCACTTTAACTTTATTCCACACTCGGATTAGATTGAGGAAAACTTTCAGAGCATGTTTTTGTCGTGCTGCGGGTACTCGTTAATTATACACAGAATTTATTTGGGGTAAGGGTATCTAGTCTTGTTTCCTGCGAAGAACGATACGTAGTTTTTTTCTCATCCAGACTCACGGTTGGAACCCCTGCTGTTTCAACTTTTTCCCTTGTCTTTTCCGTTCCTTTTTTTCTGCTCGCTCCTTCATCCGCTGAATTTGCTCTTCCACGGAGTTTTTGTTCTCCGCTGGTTGCACGTTCCCCACGCCGTTCTCAAACCCCCTTCCGTGGTAGAATTTCTGCGCCAGGGACTTCATCCGTTCCGCGCGCTCGTCCAGGATTCGCTGCTCCTTTCGCTCTTTGTGCCGTCTCTTCCGCGCGGCCTCCGCGGAAAGAATGGTAGAATCGGCCGAGGAAGAGTCGCTGTCAGATGAATCTTCATCCGTTTCCTCTTCCTCTTCGGAACCATCTTCCCCTTCCTCTGGTGACTTATCCGTCGTTTGTTTCTTCGAAGAAACGGATTTGTTGTCGTCGTCATCGGCAGATTTTGAGGTCCCAACGGAATCTCTCGTCGCGGACCGGGATAGTTGCCCCGGCTTTTGATGGCCGCTCCCCGTGTCCGACTTCTGATCTTCGTCTTTGGAGGATTTTTCACCCTTGGACGATTTTTCGTCGAGATTTTTCTCGCTGGCAGTTCCGTCTTTGGAAGATTTTCGCTCCCCAGAAACGTCTTCGATGGCTAGATCGTCTTTCTTCTTTTTCTTCCTTTTCTTCTTCCCCTGTCCCTCCACTCCCACCTTCGTCCCGTAGTTTTGGTTGTCCGTCATGCGCGCGAAAAACTGCCGGTTTTCCTCCTGCGCGATGAACACCTTGATCTGCGCCCAGATCTGCCGCCCGAAGCAGTACGCCACGATCCCGGATAACACAAGGATCACGATAAAAATCACCGCAAACACCTGCGCAATGACGTCCGCGCTGTCCTCGTCTTCCTTGTTAAGAGCCGCGGCCGCGGCGGCTGCGGCGTCCCGCTCCTCCTTCGTGCAGTACAAAGGCGCGGGGTTTCCGCCGCGACAGCACCCCTTCTGCCGCACCCCCGCGGAATCACAGTACCCGTGCGTGAAGCGTTGTTGCAGATACTCACACCCCTCCGACCCCTTCCGGAAATTCAGCGCCCAGTGGTACTCGACTTCGTTGCAGGTAACCCCGCCCCCGTTCTCGTAGCCGCCGTCGATGGCGCAGCGCTGGTCGGTCACGTAGCGGTTCACAGTGACCATGTTCTCCGGCTGCCGCATGTTCGAGGCTCTTCTGATGTTCAACCCCGATAAGATGATCGAGTCCCGGGTGCTGCTCGCGTAGATTCGCATGATCAACGTCCCAATCCCGGTGGCGTGCGCGTACCCCTCCTGCGCGGGTTCGTTCAGCCCCTTTGTGTACCCGAGTTCTGTCATCGGGTTCCACTTCTTGTGGTAGATGTAGGGCTCGCGGACCAAGTACTCGTCAGAAATTTTTATCAAATGCAAAAGCGTATGGGTCTGGAAGATTCTAAACTTGTGATGCTGTCTCTGGATTCGAAAAAAATTTGTATTGCGTGACCAGTAAGAGGAGAAGATTTTGTGCTTCACGGAGATAGATAGATTTGTCATGCGGAATAGGCATGAGGAAGCGCTCTAAAAATCTGTGATGCTACGCCATGCATTACAGGCATTATGGATCATGCAAAATATGCATGACAAGCCTTGCAATCTTCCAGACCCAGACAATTTTGCAGTTGATAATTTTGTTCTGGTTCCCGTTCGACTGCGACGGGGAATTCGACCCGACCGGGGTGTCGCCGTAATTCAGCCTCTGCACGTCCATCGTCATGTTGTAGGTCGTGTTTAAGGTCCAGGGATTTTCCTCGAGGTATTGAAACAGCTCGTAGCGGTACAATGCTCCGGGGACCAGGTTCTCCACGCGAATGAAGACTTGTTGGATGTGCGTGCAGGCCATGACCGAACGGAACGGCCGGGTGGGGGAGCCGCCTCGGTGCGTGCAGGGAGACAGAGCGAACTTCTCCGTCACGAGCTTCGCTTTGTACAGACCCGGCGTGTCGTGCGTCCCCTCCAAAGCGTACTCTCGTTCCGACGCCACGCCAGTCCGTAAATTCGACGTTTCCCCGATGTCAAACATGGGGGTTCGGTAAAACTGCCGCCGTTGCGAGTCCGGAACGACAAGTTGCTCGATAAATCCGCTCATCACCAGCGGCTCCGTGTTCAACGCCATGCACTGAGCGCCGGTCGTTTGCGTTCTTTCCATGACGCCGTAGATCGCGTCGATCCCGGTGCCGCAAATCGTGCACCTTTGTTGGTTCATCGGGCGACAGCAGGTGGATTCATATTCCCGTTTGTACGCTAAGCACAGAATGTCGTTGTCGTACGCCCGCGTGAACGCTTCCAAATTGATGTCCCGGCAGAACCGCTGCGCGGGTTCTAGATAATTTCCACCCACCGCCATGCAGTCCGCGAGGGACTTGATCTGGATAATGGTCTCCTCCGTGTTTAAATACAGACTTTCCCGGATTTCGTACCCGCTGGTCAGCGTCCGCTTCACGCAGCGAAAACCCGCGGGCTCGTCTGCGGTGATCATCCGATTATGCAATACAAATTTCCCGTACATGTACAAAACGCATGACAAATCTCGCTAACTTTGAGTGTCAAATTTGCCATGCTGACTAAGAGTGAAGATCAGTTTTGTCATGTTGCGGAGACAGCATTTGTACGTGTACGGGAAAATATTTACTGTGGGTACAGATTCGCCGGATCGCACAGGTAGCACGTTTTGGGGTCGATGTCGATGCTATCAAATGTAAAAATGTCTGGGTCTGGAAGAATGCGCGATTTGTCATGCTTCTCTGGCATGACTCTTAAATCTGTCATGCAGGTTACCCAAGAGCCCCACTTTCCTGTCATGCAAAAACGCGGTTTGTCATGCAGAATAGGCAACACCTAGAAGCTCAGAAACTTGTCATGCTGAGCCAGCACTTATGGCTTCCTCATGATACGCCACCCAGCATCACAAGTTTCCAGACCCAGACATTTTTACATTTGATAGATGCGTGGGATGCCCGTGCCCATCCCGAGCGATTGGAGAGCACGTGAATCATTTTCGTCAGTGCTTTTTGCAATTCCAGTTTCGAAAGGACCAGCACTCATCTGTCGCAGCTTCTTCTCCGCGATCGCCTCGTGGAGATCGCGCTGCTCAATTTGTTCCTTCATGATTCGAAGTTTGTACTCCTCTGGGTCTTCGTAGGGCGTTGGCGGAAGCTTCTCCGGCGCCGGGCTTTGGTCGACAAGTCGGAGTTTCCGGTTGGACAGAAGGGAGTTTTTCACTTTCAGCTGGAGGTGTGCTGGCGTTGGTGTAGTTAATATCTTCGGGGAAGTCGAGGTCGACGTCTTCTGCTGCTGCTGGTGCTCGTCCTTCACGATAGCATTCGCTGGGGACGAGGATTTTTCCGTTTTCGCCAACATCCGAGTTGTGGTCTCGCCAGCATCCGGTGTAGTCCCTCGTGTAGGACGACCCGCGAGCGACCCATCGGCAGCGTACGGGTTTTCAACAACTCCAGGCGCATTTTTATCGGCGGAGACTGCTGTTGAGCTGCACCAGAAAACTACGGAGCTGCTGCCCACCAGGCTGCGGATCAGCTGGAGCATAAAGAACCTCCGGCGCTGGTGGAAAAAGCTCATTTTTCTCTGCCGGTGGGCCGTTCAATCAAATCGGGTTTCAAATTTGGTGAATCGTGAAAAAATCGTAAAAAGGACGAAACTTGTTGCATCAGGAGTAGGTAAACTGGGGGTGTTTCTAAAACTTTCTAGAGGGACTACTAGATCGGGGAGATCATAGTACGTAAATTGCATGGAATAATCTTCTATGGGTGAGCGTGAGCTTTTCTTCTACTTACTTGCATGAATGTGGGCCTGTGCATACAGTTGTGTTCGTAAAAAGGTATCAACGCAATAGTAGACCGTCGCCATGGGCTTACGACACCTGACCAAGGCGTCCTCGTTGCACGACAACATACTGGCTGGATACTTTTCACGACAGAAGGCACGATGTTTTGTACGAAGTGCAGCGATGCTGGCGCACGATACCGATTACCATTTTATCATTGTTAAAATATTTTATAGAGAACCGACGGCAGTGTAGTCCTGTGTTGTTCCTGTAAATTGGAGTAGTTCCTATGTTTAATGTCTCTCTAAGTACTAGTGGAGGACCGAACATTTTCCGTGCCTGGTTCATCTAGTACTTCATCCATACAAGTACAACACGAACCGAAGGGCACAACGAAAGCGCGCACTTGACTCTGACGGTAGCAAATAAAAATCCAGCCACCAGCGGCGCACCGAAACACGAACAGCAGCTCCTGAAAGTGGCGAAATTGCAGACATGATCTTCTAAGTCTTCTTGGTGGAAATAGTGCGAGCACTGCGATAGAATTCAGATGAGCCAAAGAATGCGGATTCAAAATCTTCTGAAGCTCTCCTTTGCCTTTTTTTACATTAACAGTGATATCCATCGTATTCATCAAAGCCAAAACCTATTCGTCGACACAAAGGAATCAGCATAAGTGGCCTAATATCTGCATGACTATGAATAAGGCGCGCAGTCTCTATGTGTGTAAACGACACGACCAGAAGAAGAAGGTGGATCTGCATTGTTTCAAAACAAGCGGCCTGTTCTCCTGCTCAGCTTTCGATCATCACCAAACGAAACTATCTCCAGCTCCCCTCCGTCTGGTATAATCATGCCAAACAGCCAACACGACCTAAATCCGATTCCTCATGCAACCAGCCAGTCGTCGTCTGCTCCATGCTCCTTCCCGGTGCTCATACTCCCACTGTGCGGCTTCGGCTTCGTCGGCATCACTTCGATCAAGTCCAACCCGTTCTCAATTTTCGCTAACCTCGACTTCAATACCTTCCAGTGTTCCCACGAGCCAACGAGAAAGCCGAGACACAGCGAACTGTTGATCTGGTCGAAACCTAGGGACCCGCAACACTTCCCGGAGAGATCGGTTATGGGAAGTGCCAGGATTGAAATCGACAAAGTTGAGATAGTTTGTCATGCATAAAGCCGATACCAGTTGGAAGCCCAATATCCAAGCGGCGCATGGCAAATTTTCCGAGCACCGGATTCCAATTTGTCATGCTGTTTAGGGACAGAAGGCGTATTTTGTCATGCTACTAGAGCAGCTCTATCTCAAACCCTAAACAGGCTCACAATCGGCCTCACTTGCCATCCCGGCAAGACAGGCATTTCATGCCTTGCATTTTATGCATGACAAATCACTTCAACTTTGTCGATTTCAAACCTGACGCTTCCATATCAGCCCGTCGCTCCATGTCGGTGTAGTCGGGAGCTATCCTGTGCAAAAGTATCGCGCTCGTACAAATTGCGTTTATGCATTACAAATCTCTTTACTAAGGAAAATCCGCATTACAAATTTGATTTGTAACGCTAAGTGAATTTGTAATGCAATTTATACTAGTACGATACTTTTGCAGTTCATAGGAACGGTATCGGACCCGTTCGCCTGCGTGGTTTTCTGCAGCGCATCGAGAACAATGCAGTGGGGGTCGAAGTAGAGGAGTTGTTCGGTGGTGTTTTGCTGCGGATCGGTGCTAAAAACACACCCGGTAAACCAGTGCGCGGAGGCGCCCTCGTTGCCGGATCCGATACCGATGAACTCCGGTAGGCGGAAGAGGGCGGACAGTGCGGATTGGTATTGCAGTTGCTTGTTCGACTCGTCATACCCCAGTTGCCGGCACACCCAGAAGAGCACGTGCGTGTGTCGTTTTCTCTGTTGCCTCTGCACCGCCGGTGTGCCGCTGGCGTGCGACATGTCAGCGGATTTGTTTTTTGGTGAGGAAGTAGAATTGGATGCTGGTGCTGCTGACGTCGGGGCTTTTTGTTTTTGTTTTGACGAAGAACTACTACTAGGTGCCGCGCCCGAGGCCTCGCCTTCAAACCCAACCGGTCGGTGGTGGGGTCGTCCGTAGTTGTGTCTATTGCTGCTTATATTTTTACCTTGCTGCCGTAGTATTTCTACTTGTTGCGCGTAGTAGTTCCCATCGTAGTCCGCGTATCCGTAGCCCAAGTCCGCGGTGACGTGTTTTCTGTTCCGCTGCAAAGCCTATCAACTGCAAATATCCCCGGATGTCTGGAAGGATCCGAACTAGTGATGCGTGCTTCGGATACTACAAAGATCTGTGATGCATAACGTGCTAAAGATCGCGCCCACTTCTGGCCATGCTGAGAGGGCATTTCTCATGCAGAATACGCATCACCAAGGAGCTGCAGAACCTGTGATGCTAGGCCCTGCATTCCAGACGTGGGGGAGCTTGGAAAAACTGCATGCCAAATCTCGGAATCTCCTACATGACCCAGACATTTTTGCATTTGATAAAGCCTTCTGCTGCATGGTGGTGTATCTCGTGTAGTCTATGCCGAGTGCATCCTGTTCCGCAGCCTCATCTTCACTCCCGAACTGAATTGTGAGTAAAAACGTCCCCACACACAAGTCAAGATGGGGATCTCGCAACACAAATCCAGAAGCTTTGGGAGTCACGCATGGCAAGTTCCTCTCTGCAGTGTAGTGTAGTGACGCAAGTTCAGCCGCATCACAAACCCATCTGCCCATCCTGTTTCCAGCATCAGAAATTCCAAAACACGATTGGAAATGCCTCTCATGGGGATGCACATGACAAATCTTCCTGCAATTGCAAATCTGCATGACAACTCCGGGGTGGGGATGTTTTTACTCAGGATAAAGTATGGATCTTGATCATCCTCCCCCGCATCGATATTGTTGTAGTCGTTCGAGGATCCCGCAGCTGTTGTGCTATTGGAAAAATTATCGTTGTTGTAATTATAGGAACCACTACTACTTCCAGGAGCTTGATGGTGTTCTATTGGCGTAACTGTTGACCCCTCCCCCCTAGCGCGTGCTTTTAGTGATTGTTTTCTCTCTGCGAGCGAAGGTCCACTACTGTTTGCCCCCGCAGTGTATGCATTGCAAAAGTGCCTGGGTCTGGAAGATTGTCAGATTTGTCATGCAGCTTTCCCATGACCCATGAGGTCTGGAATGCAGGGCCTAGCATGACAGATTCTGTGGGATCTTTCTCATGCCTATCCTGCATGAGAAACTGCCTCCCGACTTGGTCAAAACTGGACGACTTTTGGTAATCATGCAACACAGATTTTTGCATGCTTCAGATTTAGCATGCCAAATTGCATTATTCCAGACCCAGACATTTTTACATATACATTTGATACAGTGTACATGGATTCCAAATTGCTCTGCGGGAGATTTTATCCTGTGCAAAAGTATCGCACTCGTAGTGATTGCTGCTATGCATGACAAATCTCCTTTTTAAGGTAAAACAGCATTACAAATTTCATTTGTAATCATACCAAGCAAATTTCAAATTTGTAATGCAATTGCTACTACTAGTGCGATGCTTTTGCACAGGATAGATTTGACCCAACCACCACATTGTCCCCCGCTGCTCTACTCGAAGTGAACATGGACCGCAACACATCTTCGTACACCGGCCCGTCATATCAAATGCAAATATGTCTGGGTCTGGAAGAGTGGAACTTGTAATGCTGTCTGCGTATTCTAGAAATATCTGTGTTGCATGAGCAGCAAAAGGAGTCAGTTCTCGGCACGCGGAGAACGCATTTGTCATGCGTAATTAGCAGCAAGAAGCTCTCAAAAAATCTGTGATGCTACTAGCACCAGCATCACAAACCTGTCGGGTCATGCAAAATGTGCATGACAAGCCCCGTCTCTTCCAGACCCGGAGACTTTTACAACCCATACGTCAGAGAAGCACACGCTCCGCAAGTCCAGGTCCACCGGACACTTGTTGATCAACTTCGCGGCTACTTGCGCAGAGCTCGTTGGGCCGAACCAGGTCCCCGGCGGTTTTGAGAGTTTCTCGTTTCCGACCTTGCAGAAGTTGTGAATGCTGAAGGGCGCTGTGGGGCGGTCGTAGAACAAGGAAACGAAATCCTCCTCGTCGATCTCATCTTCCACGTCAGACATGTCCTCCTCCATTTGCTTCTTCGAATTTTGCTTCTTCACGAAGATGCTGTGGTCCACCCGCCGGACCGCCTCCCCGACCATCATCTGCATCACGCGGATCATGCAGCCGAAACCCGCGTCGCCGGAGATTTGATAGCCGTCGTTGTCGTAAAGATCCTCGATGTTGTAACGGTAGGGGAACACGACGCGCGTTTGAAACGCTTTCCGAAATCGCTCCGCGTCTATTTTCGACGAAGCTCCCTGTTCGGGGGAATTCCCGTCGTTCAGCGCATCCATGAAATCAAATTCTTTCCCGAGAAACTCGACAATCACCAGTCGGTCTGACGTGCCCCCGGCGCAGAAGGCGACGACGTCAAACCCCCGACCGCCCACCGCCTTTTTCGTCCGCTCCCAGACGCCACGAGAAGCGGCCGCGATCCAACCAAAAACCATGCTTTTGCGTTTGGTTTTGTTCACGACAAAAACGGTGTTCAATTTCTCCTGGTGCCAAACAAGAAGAACCGGAAGACGAGAAAGAGGATGAGGACCCAAAACAGCGGAAGGAGAAACTTATTCGTCCATTCCTAACGCAGCTGCTTGCGGAGGGGGCCCGCCAGGGTCGACGGTTGTCCGGTTTGAATGTTTCATCTTTATGTGGCCATTTCGCTCGAATGAAGAATAGGGAGCTCCGGAACTGCAGGTGGGGCACGTACGTAAGTAAGTAGATTCTCCCGGGTCTAATGCGCAAAGCGGAAAAAAATTGGTGAATACAGAAAACATGTTCACCGGGGGTGCTATACGCGATTTGTGGTTGATGTTGAGGGGAAAATAGGTAATGTACAAGGGGTGGTATTAGAATGGGTTTGATGAGTCCTGAGATAGAGATTGTCGTCATTGCATTTTGTTTTATTTTTCAAAATCCACAGACGAGAAAGTGTAGCACACAACAAGTGCGGAAAAGGTAGCACTGATTCGAACGGCTATCGTGGTAGCAAAAACAAGATGAAAGTCGTACGAAGATAATGCCTTGAGACTATGGAGACTGTACGGAATTAAAAATTTGCCGCGATGAACGAGCAACAGAATCCTCTCTCAACATGTTAACTCGGAAAAAACCGAAAACTTTTTAATATTTCCACACAGATGTAGCTATTACCTACGCTCGGCGCCATCAATATACCGACTGGCTTATAATTGCTCTTTCTTGGACGTAAATCTGGTGGAGCAAAAGTCAAATGGACGGACGTACCAATAAACCGAAAATATTTTCTACTCTGCGTGAAGAAGACTCGTCAATGACACTTCTTTCAACTACGAGCGTTGCTGCGTGTCTCTTGCAGTAGAACCGCCATGAAAGACGAGGAGCGAGAGGCATCTTCACATGAACATAGTCATGCGTGCGGAAAAAGAACATGTCCGACGGCGACGGTAGTAGCAACACCGCCACATTCGTCCAAGCATTTGATGGGCTTGTTTCTCGGAAAAAAAATCTTCGTCTTTATATACCATTTATGTCTTTGTTGTAAAAAACTCCAAGTTGTGGATTTATTTGTGTGGATGTGAATCAAAAAAAAGTTTCCAACAAGAACTACACGGGGGGTTCCGTTTTTTTCATTTTCGGTTGTACAAAAAACGCAATTGACGAGTTCCAGATCACGACGAAGTAAAAAGTTGGTTCTTTTTTCCGTCACTTTTTGAACCCACCCTTCTTTCCGCCTTTCCCTTTTCCCTTCCCCTTGCCCGTCAGTTGCGTTTGTAAAAACCCATCGCCATCATCGCCCTCCTGTTGCCATTTTTGACTTTCGTACCCACCTGGCTGCTGCACCAGCGATTCCTGGAGGAAGTCAAATGAGCCGGAAGGTGGGCCGGAATGTTGCGGTTGCGGCTGGGGCTGCTGTTGTTCTTGTGCTGGCGGTGGTATTGATGCGCTACTGGTTTTATTTCCACCACCACCTTTTCCTCCTCCTTCGGAAACTACATTATTTTTCCCTTTATTCATCTCGCCCGGAAGATTATTACCGCCTTTATTCATCGTCCCCTTCTTCTTCCCGCTTTTTCCAGGAACATACGCCCCTCTCTCGCCCTTCCAACCCTTGGCGTCCTGCTCTTCTCTTGTCAGCGCCTGGTTGGATTTTGACTCCAGGGGTGCGTTGTTCAAAAAGGACGGGTTCATACTGTTGTAGGTCATCGGCGCGTATGGATTGCAAAAATGTCTGGGTCTGTAATGCTGTCTGCGAATTCTAAAAGTATCTGTGTCGCATGAGCCGCAAGACGAGTCAGCTCTTGGCACGCGGAGAGGGCATTTCTCATGCGTAATTAGCATCAAAAAGCTTTCAAAAAATCTGTGATGCTAGCACCAGCATCAAAGACCTCACGGGTCATGCAAAATGTGCATGACAGGTCCCGACTCTTCCAGACCCAGACACTTTTGCAGTTGATAGTGCGCCGGGTTGCTGTAATGGGTCCTTGTTATTTTCCGCCGCTTCCCTCCTTTTTTTCTCCGCCAGCTCCTCTCGCCCCGGTATTGAGAGGAAAAATCCCCCCACCCCATATGGAAAAGGTATGTTTCCAGAAATTTGTGTTGCGGATTTGAGGTCACAGATCACATCTGTCTTGCAAGAAGACGAGGGCAGAAGCGTCCGGCCCATTATGCAAGCGATTTGTCATGGTCTTGGGCCTAAAGGGGAGCCTTTTGCCATGCTGAACAACTAGACCCATACGCGCCTACCTAGCCGGGGGACCTGGCCGCAATGCCTCTCTGCAATACAAAGCTGATTTGTGGCCACAAATCAGCATCACAAGTTTCCGCTTTGATATGGGGAGGGGGGATTTTTCATTTTGATACCCGGCCCGGCGTTTGCGGACGTCTTTTGCGCCCACTGGATCCGCAACGTGTGGCCCTTGATCTTCAGATTTCGGTACAGTTTATCGGCCGCGGCTTCTGCGCCTTCGCGGGTTTTGTAGTTGATAAACGCGCAGGACTGCTTTGGGATCGGCTTTACCGCCTTCAGTTCTCCGTGCACGTAGAAAACGCCGCGGAGATCTTGCTCGGTGATGGAGGGATCGACACCTGTGGGGAGGTATGGTGTCCTTAGGTCGTGTGTGATGTATTGATTTATTGCAGTTCTTTGTCATGCAAAAATCCTAGACGAGAATTTCACTCTGTCATGCGAAATTCACTTCGGGATAGATACTTCTGAAAAAGAAAAGCTATATCTAGTATCCTGAGTACCTCCAACGTACAACGTGGTGATGGATTTGTCGTCTGGTGGCTTCAAGGTATACATTTCCTTTGCTTGTCGAAATATTTTGTTGGCCACCGGATCGTTGACACCGTGAAAACGGTCCCGGATTTTCTGATTTGCCAACTCTCCTGTTTCCGGCATCTCGTGACGATACGGACACTCGTCGCCGCGGTTACAGGTACCTGATAGGGTGTATTGAACATCATCTTCATCACGCTCACGCATGACAAGTCGCATTGTTTTCTACCTGATCTAGCATAGAAAATTGACTTCATCGCAAGTTGTTGGGAAATCTGTCATGCGACGTATCGTATGCATCTTGAAAACCTAAACCAGAAAAAATATCAATCAATACCTTTCACGAAAAACGAGCAAATTTTCGCCTCGTTTCGCTTGTAGTAGGGATTTTTCCTTGCGTATCAAAAGGAAAAATCCCCCCGCCCCGTATCAAATGGGAAATCTGTGATGCAGGATTTGTGTACACAAATGCGCGCTGTCTTGCAATACGGCATCGCAGCCAGATCCGCAGCCTAGGGCGGGACGTTTTGGTCTAGTTGCTTAGCATTACACACAGCTGTCCCCTAGGCCCAACAGCATGCCAAACCGCTTCCATAAAGGCAGGGAAGCCTCTGCGTTTGTCTTCTTGCAAGACAGACGTGATTTGTGGTCTCAAATCAGCAAGACAAATTTTCGGAAGCATGCCTTTTCGATATGGGGAGGGGGGATTTTTCCTTTCAATATTGCGATTTTCATCAACATCGCGTTTTTCTCCTTTCCGTAAGGCAGTTCACCGGATTCTATTTTGGCCTGTTGCTGCTGGATGTAGTACTCCCGGTTTACGACACTGTCCGGCATATCTATCTTGTCCTGCTCGGCGAGATACCTGTTTTAGGTGGAAAGTTTTGTCGCAGAAGTTTTCATCTTCAAATTCTGTGGTGGGAGAAGGAGACAACTCGCCTAAACTAGACGCGGATGAACAAGAAAAACAGCAGGTTTTTTTCCAACACGCAGCTGTAGCGCTGCACGAGCATGATTCTTGGCGTAAGTGACACACGATCCTGCAGCAAGTTGATCTATCACGTGGGCCCCTCAGGTGGATATAGTATTTGTCATGCGAATCACAATCATGATCAAAACCATGTACAAGAAAATACTTGTCTCTGACTTGCACCGGCAACCCGTATTCCAGGTCGAACAGACACGTCTGGCAACAATTTTTCAGTCGGCTGCACGTCTGGCACACCACTGTCGCTTTGTACCGCGCGTCGCCGCCGGGCTTCCACCGGAACAGGGTGAAGGGCCGCGTGCAGATTTTGCATTCCAACCCGAACGGCTCTTTCTCCATGCGCACAAACGGGTTGGGCCCGAGGCAGGTCTCGCACAGGATGGGGAACTCTGAGGTTTCCCACCCCTCCTTGTTGATGTCGGCTTTAATCACCATGTTATTATGCGCCTTTTCCAACGCGGACTGGGTGTTGCCGCTGGGCATACCCGTGCCCTCGGCTGGGATGCAGACCACGGAAGAAGAAGACGCATGGGACCCGATATTCAGGTGCGTCTGGTCTGTCGTGCGGACCGACATCTTCGTCTGGTTGTGCCAGCTACTGGGAATTAAAAGGTAGTGGTGGCACTACGCAGGACAACGACCTCCGATGTGGATGTCAAGGTCGCGGTGTTGTACTTCCAAGCTCCTGTCGTCTGTGTGGCGGGCGGCCATGTGGTTCCTGGAACTTAGCGCATGTTCAATAAAAACAGTTTGGGGTAGTAGTAGTGCATATCCAACAAACCAAGTACCGCAATTTTTCGAGCTGCTTTCTCTTTCGATCAATCAAAAAATACAACCCTGTGCGTCGCTTACCCAAAATAAAGGTACAGTTTGTAGAGTCGCGTGCGCCGCCGTAGAATGTCCTATATTGAAAAAAAACCTAAAGTTGCGATCTGCAGAGGCAACGAAAACCAATTTAGAAAACAGCTTTGCGCTTATTCAAGAGTACTATTCGTTGTCGGGGGCAGTCCGCAATCGTGTTAAATATCAATGAACAATTTTTTGCCAATGTGAAACGCTTGGGGGTCCTGACATTAATTAGTGGAATTTTGCATTGAGAATACACGGTCACCTCAAGGCAAGAAGAGCAAGACTGAAAACAGGAAAAAATCCGGAACATGTTCACAAATAGCAAGCACATACAACCCTCATTTTTCAAATCAATCATCTCATGCGACGACCCAATTTCATGTGTAAGTATCCAATTTGTATTTGAGCTAACAGGTACACATCAGTATAACGGATGATCGCTTTCTTGCCTTTTTCCCAAAATTTTGCTTGACCTGCAGATCGATCTCGTTTGCACCACTTTTCTTTTTCAAATGAACGTGAAGCACACCTTACTACACCGTCTTCAAAGCGAAAGTTTTGATCCTTTTGGTTCGCTGCCATTTTCTGCCATGTGTAGTAGGGACTCTCAAAGTTGTGGGGCCGTGTAGATAGTCCATCGAGCTCAAGGAACTACAGACCACGTGAAACACACGACGATTTTGTCAGGGGATTTGTAACCAATTACACTCCTGATAGACATTCTTGGTCAAGGTTTGCACGCCGAGCTCCAGTTTCATCTTTGCTGTAGATTTTTCTTGACATGCAATCTTGCAAAAGGATCTCCCGACCAGAAACCGCTTCTCATTTACTTAGTGGTCATTTCGTCGATCGTTTCTATTCAGACATCTTGCGTTCTTGTTCTCTACATCCTCTTGCGTATCCCATGCAGGAGCGTGTCGCTCGTTTGCTTAAGTTTATGCTCTACCAAAAAACGAATCTCTACTAAAAAAACGATGCTTAAGTTATGCTCTACAAAAACGAATCTCTACTAAAAAAACGATGCTTGAGTTTACGATTTTCTTGAGTTTAGGTCGATGTGCTTGAGTTTAGTAATTAACGAATTTGAGTTTGACACAAGAGCGGCAAGTCCTGCCATGAGATACATAAGGATTTGAAAATGAATCTTCGAAACGTAAATTAAATCTGTGTGAAACTACACTTTTTATCGAGAAAGAATAAAAGTGAAACGAGGACTCTGATCGAAAGTACGTGTACGCTACCTTGCCACGACCACTCGTGGGAAACTTGCAAAATGGCACATGTCTAGAGTTTTTAGAAATCTACAAACATGACACGCCCTTGTCCTATTTAGAAGTCAAAGTTCGCTCCGGAGAGCACTGCGATGGCCTGGTGAATCGACTCAACCTCGCTTTCCATGGCTTCCTGGCGCACGTCAAAATTCTTCAGGAGAAAGTCGCAATCCTTGTGCAAAGCGGCGTTCTCGGCTTCCAGACCTGGGAGTAGTATAATTTCGAAATTATAGAAGTTTGCTCTTGTTGCACAAGCGGGGGATACTAGTGGTCGTGCTTCATTACTAAGTAGCCGCAAAGTTGCTACGGCACAGACACAGTGCAGAAGAGCTTGTCACAGTAAAGCATGCATGATCATATCAAGAGATATACCTTCCAGCTTCTCCTGTGCCTGGCTGAGCTCCAGGTTCTTCTGCTCCTTTTGCGACACCGCATCGGACTTTTCCGTTTCCTTTTGCGCGATGGCCTGCTTGGAGGTGTTGATGGACTTTGTCGAGTCCGCAACCAGAGTCTCGTACTCCGTTTGCGCCTTCTGTTCGTCCTTTTTCGCCTCCGCAATGTCGTGTTTGCAATCGCTCATGATCATCTCAAACAGTCCGATCACGCCCGGCGCCTGCTCGCTCTTGCTGTAGGACGCCTGCTTCGGCGCCGGTTCCTGTTTCTGCTGCAAAAACGCCTGTCCGGGGAGGCCGCTGTTATAAAATGGAAAAAGGTCTGGGTCTGGAAGCTTGCTGGGTTTGTCATGCATATTTCGCATGTCCACTGATTGTCTGTGATGTATGCCATAGCATCACAGACTTCTAGAACACTCCCTGTTCATGATGCGATGCCTATTCCACATTAGGTATGCCGAACTAATTGAAATTTTTTCCGAATCCAGCGACAGCATTACAAGTTGCAACCTTCCAGACCTAGACATATGTGCAATGCGTAGCCGTAGAACTTCGTCAATTTGGCTTTGGCTTTGTCCAACACCTTCAAGGTCAGCTCCTGGTTCTTCACCTCCTCTTTAAAGGCCGCGTTTTCCTCCTTGCGGGTTTCCGTTGCGGCAGTGTCAAAATGAAAAATCCCCCCACCCCACACTCAAACTAGAAACTTGCGATGCGGATTTGTGGCCACAAATCAGCTTTGTCATGTAGAAGGGAAAAGATGCGGACTGTAGTGCTGGTTGGCGTGGGAAAGCCTTGCACCTTCAGCATGACAGGGGGCAGCTGGAAGTGGGAAACAGCATGACAAATTGCCTGCAGACGAGGCCACAGCTGCGTCTCTTGGCCTTCTAGCATTACAAGGCGACTTGTGTACTCAAATACAGCATCACAAATTTCGTTTTCGATATGGGGAGGGGGGATTTTTCCTTTTGATAGGCAGCTACGGTTCCCTCCATCTCCTTGATGGAGGCCTGCTCGGCGGCGATCTGACCCTCCAGCGTCTCGATGTCGGACTGCAATTTCGCGATCGCTTTCTCGGTGTCTTCAATGAAAACTCCGGTGTCGGTTCGTGCGATCTCGTTGTCGGAGAGATCTTTGTTGCAGGTGTCTCGCTTCTCGAACTCTGCCTTCTTCTCTGCCGCAACTTCCTCGGCTAGTTTCGCCATCATCTCTTTAATTTTCGCGAAGGAGTCGAGCTGGGCAGAAATGGCCAAGGCAGAAAGTCTATGCATCGCAAAAGTTCTAGAATCGCACTAGTTCTTCTACGATCTAATGAAACAAACTACATTATACAGATTTGCAATACTTACTTGAGCTTCTAAATGCATCTTCAGATCCATGATCAGGAAGTCAATCTGTCATGCATGTGAGAAGGGCCGAGTTCTTGTGCGAAAACAAAACTTCTACAACGCATAGAGCCTCTTGTCCCCGGTCTTTTTGGCGGCCTGCAGCAACTCCATGATCGCGGCGTGCTTGCGCTCATTCTGCTGCTTCGAAGAGACGGAGGTTTGCAGGAAGGAGTAGTTCTTTGCGAAGATTTCACGAGACTCATCGGAGGTCAGGACACCTGCGTGGAGTTGAGTTGTTGTACAAATGGCAAAATTTAGATATAAGATTTTGATTAAAATTGAGGACGAGCCACAAGTTTCTGCATTCATCTCTAAAGCAAGGAGAGTGAGAGTGCGCCATGAAATCTAAAACTCGAAAAATCTTCTATACCAATCGCTTCCCCGACCGCCTTGATCTCATCGTTTCGGGTCTTTGACCTCTCCGCATGTCCGTCAATGGCGGTTTTGCACTTCTCTTCCAGCTATGCATTGCAAAAGTCTCGTACTAATTGCAATTATGCAATACAAATCACCATCCCAAGGTAAAAAACCAGCATCACAAATTCCATTTGTCATGCTGAGGCGATTTGTAATGCAATTGCCACTAGTACGTTGCTTTTGCGATTCATACCAGCATGACCAAAAACTGCTCGTCCTCGGATAGTTGCTCCGTCGTCAATTTCTTGTCCTTCAATGCGTTGCTCTTCGCCACCTTCTATGGATTGCAAAAGTGTCTGGGTCTGGAAGACTGCATGTTTGTCATGCTTGTCTGGCATGACTCTTAAATCTGTCATGCACGCTACCCGAGAGCTCCATCTTTCTGTGATGCAGCCACGCAGTTTGTCACGCAGAATAGGCAACACGTAGAAGCTCAGAAACTTGTCATGCTGAGCCAGCACTTGCGTCCTCATCATGAGACGCCACGCAGCATCACAAGTTTCCAGACCCAGACATTTTTACACTTGATACCTTCGCGTCCCCTAGCGCCTTCTGCGTGGCCGCCTTGTCCGCTTTCGACGCCGCAATCTCCTTCTCCTTTGCGGCGGAGGCTTTTTTAAAGTTCGCGACCGCGGTGGCTTCAGTGTCGACGCTGTCTTTTAATTGTTTGGAGAAGTCATCGTGCATTTGCTGCAAAACGCCGTAGATGCCACCAGACGCCGAGTTGTAGCTGTTCGCGCCCGCAACGCCGCCCTCCAAAGCGGTCGGTGCCTCGGGCTTCATCTCGGAGTAATCACGCGGCTCCTGCTGCAGAAACCCGGGGTTCTTGTTCTTCAGGGAGCCTAAAACGGCCCAGAGGTCCTTCTTGAGCGCTTGGTCGAAGGAATGGCCGGAAGAAAGTTTCTCTTGCAGGAAAGAGAGCTGACGCTTCTGGCTCCGGTCGAGGAGGGCACCTGGGTAGAGAAAATTTGTAATGTGGAAAATCGACTTTAGATCTAAATCATTGGAACCAGACCTGACCCGACAGTGGTCTCTCTTCATGGGAAGGGGATCAAAAAACGTTCTTCGCCGACTCCGAAAAGGAATAAACATTCAAAAGAACTCATCAGTACCATACCTCGTGTCTGCACGCCGCCCAGGACCTTCAGTGCCTTTCCTAAACTTTCTAAAGTGTCCTTCGTTTCGGCTTGGAACTTTTCCGCCTCGGCTTTTTTATCCTGTGCAGAAGTATCGCACTCGTAGCAATTGCAGCTATGCATTACAAGTCTCTTCCTCAAGGTAAATGCGCATTACAAACATAATAGATTTCTCATGCTGAGAAAGTTTGTGATGCATTTCTACGATGAATACGATACTTTTGCAATTCGTACTTTTCCTTCGCGCGCAATTCCGTCATCTGTGCCAGTTCCTCGGTGTCCGCTTTTATTTTCGCCTCTAAATTCTTGATCTCTTCACTCAACGACGCAATCAACCCGGTCTGCTCGTCAATCACACCGTTCAATTTTTCAATTTTCTTCTGCGCCTTCTCCACGGCTTCGGTCTTCTCCCCTCGGTTTTGCCTGCACCAGCACTCCATCTTCTTGAAGAGTCGGTCGTCCTCCTTCGCCTCGGCCTCGAGCGTAGTTTGCATTTCGTCGAGGAGCTTCAACACCTTCTTGATCGGGTTCTCGCCAGCGGTTGATCTGGAAGCGGAAGCGGGCGCTAGAGTGGCGGCCAACAAGCCGGCCGTGACCCCGGCGCCAAAACGATGCCGCATCCTCATATGCGGTTTTTTCCTCTCAATCTAAATTCTACTGCAATTCGATGAAAATCAAAATTCTACAAAACTGAAAACGAACGAGAAGTTCCTAGTCGTCTTGGTTTCACCACGCAGATCCTTTTACTGACGCTGATCGTGGAAACACACACGACACTTGAGAAAAGACCAACAGATCTTAACCAAGGAATAGGCACATCAAACGACGGACCGATCGCAAAACTAAAATTTAAGTATGTCAAACAGAGCCGCGAGCGCGAAGAAAGAAAAACACGAAGGTGGTTCCCAGCCGGAAGAGCCATCCGCTTTTCAGCTCCCCTATTGCATTCTTTAGATTCTTAAAATTGTACGTTGTCTTTTGTGTTCATCATGATCTGATATCGCAAAAGGTTATTGTACAGATGCGTTTTTTTTTTATGCATGATGACATCGACGCCTCGACCTTCAAGAAGCAAAATAGCCACAGTCTCCTTCTCTTAAAAACTTCGCGCCAAAAACCTCCGGGTCGTTAAAGCTGTTCCATTCTACCTTGTCAAAAGAGACAAAGCTCCCCTCCTTCGAGCCGGACGTATTTTCACTGCCAAACACATCCCCCAATAGTGGGTTTTCACTCACTCGGAAAAACGCGTCGCCACCCCAGAATTTTGCGAGTTTCGGCGATTCAATCCAGCCGTATTGTTCCGCGGGCCAGTATTTGCAAATTCGGCCGGTCCTGCGCTGTGTCTGCGATTTCTCGTAGATAGTCGCAAGCATGGGGTCGGTGACGATTGGAGTTGATGTGCTGGTCGTGCTGGAGGCGTTTAGACTGTTGCTTCTGTTGATGGAAAAAGAAGGACGCTTCATCTGCAGAATTACTGGCTCCTCATTGGCTTCTATGGTTCTGTCCTGTTGGTATTTTTTGCTCGGGACAAGAACCGCTTTCTTGTTGACTTCCGAAGGTGCTTGCGCGGCAGCAACAAGAAGCACGGTCGCAGCTTCTATCTTTTGCTTACCGTTATTCCCTGCCTCCACTTCTTTAGATTTCTGTTTTTGCAACTGCTTCCTTAGCCTCTTTTTCTTGCTCTTCGACATAGGCGGTGGTTGACCGGCTGTTTTTAGATCGACGGTGTGCTGATGTTTTGCTTCGTCTGGATCTTTAGATTTAGAAGAGGGTGAGGGCCCGCTTTTATTGAAAAGACGAGCGAGTGGTAGTTGTACAACGCCGCTATCGTTAGATTTAGATGTTTTGCTGTTCCGGGTAAGAACTACGTTGTTAAATACCACAGCAGAAGGAGCTGCTACAGCGGTCTCATTTATCCCCAGAAAAAAAAACACCCCCATCGATCCATTTTATGCATTACAAACACTGGCTTTTTTTTACATGTTTTGCAATGACACATTGGATGGAGATGGGTGTTTTTCCCTGGATATCGTCTACATCCTCTCGACGAGACGACCGCTCCCGGAGGTGTGTTGCTTTTGTCTGCATCTTCTCCGTATTCTCTGCTGGTGCCCTGTTTTCGTTACCTCCAGCCGCACTTTTGTTCTTCGGAAGCAAAACGACGACATTGGTGTTTTTCTTGTCTGCAGGCTGCTTGTTGTGCTTGCTCTGGTTTATTTGAGCAGGAAGAACTATCCCTGATTCACCATTGGAAGTCATTGCCTGCCATCTAGGACTTTCGAGTAGAACTACGGACTGTTTCGTGACCGCGGAGGGTGCAGAAGATGAGTTATTTTTTCCACCTCCTTTTTGCTTCTGGTTCTGGATTCCCTTGCTCTTGATGTGTTGCGTCGCAAGACCACTTCTTGAAGCCGACTTTTCGTGCGGATCGTTATTTGCGTTTTGAAAATCTAAGTCATCTACAGCCGCTGCAGCTACCAGAACTGGCTCTTTTCCGATATTACCGACGTCATTCCGCTTCTGTTGATTTGAAGGAGGTTCTACCAGAGCCGCCTCGTCCACTTTACGTGCATTCTTCCGTTGTGAAGAGGCTATGGGGCTTATGCGGCTGCTGCTTCCTCTTCTTCTTACAGGACTCGCAGCGGGGGAGGTTTGTTTCTTTTCTACATGATCTGCTCCGTGCTGGCCCCTCCGCTCCTGGTCCAGCCCGGTGCGGGAAACTTCTTTCTTCTTCGGCGGTAACGGAACTAAAGCGGTGTTGGAAAAGCGTTTTGGTTTGTTCTTCCAATCGTGTAGTTCTACGGGCGCAGGAGCGGCACCCGAGACTTTCATTGCTCCTTGCGCCGTCGAGAAAATCAGATCACTGCTTTTTCTCCTTGCTCCTGCGCTTTGTTCCTGCTCGTTCGTATCTCTCTTTCTCACGGCTGTATTTGTAACCGCCACTTCTTCCCCTTTGATGTGTGGCAACGGGACCAAACCTCGACCAAAAGGTCGAGTAGAAGTACTATGCTGATCATCATGATCTCCGTTCTTGCCGCCCGTCGTGCGCTTGGGATCCTCTCGCCGATCACGATTTGGGATTTTCCTGCTTTTGTCCTCTCCGAGTGGCACTCTAGCAGCTGAAGTTTGATTTGGGCTCCTGTGCTTCTTGTTTTCCACATCGTTTTTCTTGTTGGAAGAAGAGGAGCTCGAGCTGGAAGACCCACCAGAAGAAGAGGAACTTGAGGATGACGAACTGGTGCTTGAAGAGGCCTGCGCAGAAGTTTTCACGCGATCATTCCGGTTTTGCTCCTTGTTTTCACCGTGATCAGCACTCCGTCCCGCCTGTTGTCCATCTTTTTTCACATTCACAATCGCTTCCAACGCTGCGGTGACCACTTTTCCACTTTTCAACTCACCAACTTCAAGGTTGAATACCGGTGGATGTTGTCGGGTAGAAGTTGCATTTCCCGCATTCTTTTTTATTTCGCTGGGTCTCAGGTGGAGACTCTTGTCATGATTCCCAGGGCGTTTCATTTCTGGCTCTTGCACATTCTGTCGCCGACTGCGACCGCCAGCCTCGTCAACCTCCTTTGCAGACGGAGGACTCCGGTCCACTCGCGAAACAAGCGCCATCTTCGGTATAGTCGGCCGATCTGGAGGAGGCACATCTTCAGGCTTGTTCCGAGCTGCAGCACCGGAAGCCGGTGGTCTTTTATTTCCCTCAACCCTCGTCGTATTCGCATTATTATTTGTTGGTTTCTGTGTCTGCTTCTGCTCGGAGTCCGAAGACGAGGACGACGAAGATGAGGACTCAGAGGAGGAAAGCGATTCGACGGAAGACTCGACGGAAATCTTCGGCTGTGTGATGTTGTGTTGTTTCTGTGTAAAAATGTCGCGATCATTGCTCTTATTTCCGATCTGACCATTCTTGTTAGTACCCGCAGCACCACCTCCGCGCTCCTTCCGCTCCTGCATATGGATGTGTCAGGATTGAAATCGGCAAAGTTGAAATAATTTGTAATACATAAAATGCAAGGCATGAAGTGCCTGTCTTGCCGGGATGGCAAATGAGGCAGAAGATTGTGAGCCTATTCACGGTTTGGGATAGAGCTGGTAAAGGAGCATGACAAAAGCAGTCTTCCTCTTCTGTGCCCAAACAGCATGACAAATTGGATTCTAGTGCTCCGAAAATTTGTCATGCGCCGCTTACAAATTGGGCTTCCAACTGGTATCCATTTTATGCATGGCAAATCATTTCAACTCTGTCAATTTCAAACCTGACGCTTCCATACTGCAGCTCCCTAGCGTAGTCCGCCGCCGTCGCGGCTCGCGCGGCGCGATTTTTCTTTTTCTGCTCTTCATCCAGTTCTTCCTCTTCGCTCGTTTTCGGCCGCGGACGCTTGTTTACTCTGCTGCTGTTGTTGTTGGCCGGCTTGCTCGAGTTCTTGTCCTTGTTGTCAGTTGAGTTCTTCTCTTGTACCGGTGGAACGGTCGGTCGGTCACGAGAATTTACGTTTTTATCCTTTTGGCCAATATGTTGGGAAGGAGCTACAGCGGATTTACTTTCATCCGAACCACTATCGCTTGGATCGCTCCTGCCAGCGCTTTGATCGCTCCTGCCACCACGACGTGGTTCCTTTTCTTCCTTCTCCTTCTGCTTCTCCGCGGCCTCCTGCTGCATTCTCCGCTCTCTTCGTTGCTTTTGATTGAGCCTTTTTTTCTTCTTTCCCTTTCGAGTCTGTTTGTTCGGATTGTTTATTTTTCCGATAGTCGTTGTTCTGTTATCGACGCCCCGCCCTTGTTGTGGTCCAGCACCACCCACCTGCCGAGGACTTGCTCTAGCAGCTGGAACATTGTTTCTCCGATTTCTATTGCCGCTCCGCGGTGACCTCCCGCGCTCTCTGGTCCCGTAGTTGCCATCGTCGTCCTGGCGAAGATCATGATTGACGTCATCATTGTCATCCCCAATGGGCACTGTGGATCTGCGTTTGTTCTCCGCGGCGGAAGACGAACCATTTTTTTTCTCTTCCCCGTCTCGTCCAGACGACGCGGAGAAAGCACTCGTCCGCCGTCGCTTGTTGCGCTTGTAGTTCGACGGGGCCTCCAGCAGGGATGAACCGTTTTGGTGGTGGTTCTGATCATGGTTGGACTCGTCGTGGTGGATAAGTTTCTTCGTGTCCTCCTCTTTGACCTGAAAATCCGCCTGCACTTCGGCCTCGTCGCGTTCGATCACGATGGTGGAGCGGTTCCGCCTACTAGCCGTGTCATCCCCGATCAACTCTAAGTCGCTAATATCGAGGTCGCTGGCAACATTATCGCGGTGGGAAGCAGCGGGAGATGAGACTGACATCATCGCTGGGTGGTGCCTTCTTGTTCTGCGAAAATAAAAAAGGAATCAAGCTTATGTTGATGAGTTTGTACGTGTAGGTTAATCGACAAATAAATTTTGATCATCACATCTTCTCCGGGCTCGTTGCAAGTACAACTAGCTCTTACTATTCCTTCTTCCAGTGGGCACAATACCAGTCAAAACGCATATTACGGCTTATGAGGCGAGGGCGACGCGTTTTCGTGGTGCTGAAGCTAGTAGATCCGCATCGAGACTACAACTGCAACTGGGGCGATCTCAACCTGAGTCTACTTCTTATCTACCTGATATTAAGGCACTACGGCAACATCTACCATCCCTTATCAACCGGCGCTCGCTTATCTGCTCGTACGACCGAAAAAAACTTGCCTGTGCTTGCAACAGCACATCAGCTCAGAAACAGGAGCTGTGGTCTAGGAGTGGTGGTGAGGGTCTTGTCTTGCTAGCAAAAACTTACATCGCACCGACGAAATCTTTACCCTCCTGTACCTTGTACCTTTTACCTTGACAGAGAGCAAATCGCAGAGTGTGGTTTCATCTTGCAATGCCCATGATGGAAAAAAACCTTTCGACTTCATCGAGCGAACAAGAACACGCATAATTCTAGGCACAGCAGCCACACTTCTGCGCGCGACAGCTAATGCAGCACCTCATACAACGTGCAGCTTTTGTGAAGATTGATGAGGGCTAAAGACTTTCTATTCATTTCCAAATAACGCAAAGACTGTTTGTGTTCGCATCTAATATGCGTACTGCACGAGGACCTTGTTGGTTCTTTATTCTTGGAGGAAAAGCTAAAACAGAAAGGGTCAGTCGTCGACACTACAGCAAAGTGGCGCAATGTTCTTCCTCAACACCTCCGAAGATGTTGCTCGTTCTTTGTTCTTGACCGAGTGGTGCCACACATACCTTCATGGAACAACCATAAAATCAAAACGTGCAGTGCCTGTTCATTTGTAGATAATTTTTACGTAACAAGCGATAGCGAAAATCCCTCGCTGTCGAAGTGCCATGTTTTTGGCTTTTGGCCAGACAAGGCCGCGCGAACCAAAAATACGTGTATCCTGATGTTGTTGTCCCGAACATTTGATCCACGTTTTTACTGCGACGACTTACTACGGGCGCAGCTTTCACACCGAAGCATCGGTGTAGTAGCCAGCATCGTCGTCTTCCTCTCCGCCATGGAGGAGCCCTTGTTCGGGTTCGCCTATATTAGTCGCCAAGAACGGGGCCGCCGGCCGCGTCTGGTTACCCGCGGCCTCAGCTGCGGTCTCAGAAGATGCGGGTTGTTGTAGAAAGGACGGGGCTGTAGGACGAGAAGCTACTGGGTTGTCATTGACCATTCCGTTGGCAGCACCCGCCGCTCCCCTAGCCGACGTTGCTGTTAATACCAAGTTGATTTTTCTCGGCACAGACACTACAGACGACACCGAGGAGCTCATGCTTGTCTCATCGAAGTCGCTGTCTTCATTGTCGTTTGCCCCTAGTTGTGCTTCCGGCCTCCTCGTGGTCCCGGGAGAGCCGGCTGAATAGGTTTTCTCCAACATCTTCCGGTCTCTGTTTTTGTTTCGCTCCTGCTCTAAGATAGAAGATGCTCCCCTTCTACTACTTCCGGCAGCGATGGTTCCATGATTTCCAGAATTCCGGTAATTTGCAGAAAGCGCATAGTTGTCGTTATTCATCTCCTGTGTCACTCGTCCCTCCGCAGCCAATATGCAAAAAAAAACTGTGTTAGTGTAAGTCTTTTGGGAAAGCAGCGCTACAAGTTTGTCTGCTATGACAGGAAAAACTTGTGATGCGCAGATAGGAAGGGAAAACACATAGGAAGCGAGCCGATCACGCATGTCGAACATGGAAAGTGTAAAGTAACTGTTTTGCATTTTCTGCATCACAGATTTACACTTACACAGTTTTTTTCTTGCATAGCCAACTGGTTCCACCTCGCTTGCTTTTCCAGCTCCCCCAGCAACAGAAACTCGTTTTTGTTCGTGAAAAAAAGCAGCATCAAGTAGAAATGGAAAACCAAAAACAGCACTTGCGGACAGACGGAGAAGCTGGGGATTGTGAGAAAATTGTCAGATAGCTTGGTATAGAGGTGTGTCAGCCTCTTCCAACTTTCATACGCCTGGAGCCGTTCTTGACGTTCTACTTGTAGTCGTCCCGCGTGGTTATGTTCAATACCAACCGCGCTTCCACTTGGAGGATCCACATCTTCAGATGGCGGAGTCAATAATGAACTTCCGGCTGCCCGCGCGCCGGCTTCGGAGTTGTATAGCGGATCGTCCCCCGGCCCGACACCGGCGAAGGCTTCCCGCAAATCTACTGGCCCGTCAATCTGGTTAAACCCTCCCCGCATCTTGGAGTCGTAGAGGAGATCTGGGATGGCGAGCCCAGACTCCTCTAGGGGGAGGAGACTGAGGGAAGAGCGTTTTTTATCTGCATGATGCGGGTAGTAGAACAAGCTTTGGTCGTCGTCGTCGTGCCCTCGTCTCAGGTTCTGCTCTCGTCCACCGTCATGGAATTCCTCAAACACTTCCACGGATTCCTCCTTCGCAGACCAAACGGTAAACGCGACGTGAACCAGCATGAGTACCAACACAAGCATCGAAGTCCAGAACGAGGTCTTCGTTTTCTGGCAGCAGTGTTGCTGTGCGAGAAAAAGGACAAAAAGCAACAGCCCGCCACCGCAATTTAGCAGGGCCTGCTTCCCGACGGCATACGCCACGGCGTCCGTGACGCAAGTCGGCGGGCCGCGAGGTAAGTGGTATGCTGTGGGCTCGTGAGAATAAGCAGAAAAAATTGCCCGTAGGTCCAGGTACCCGACGACCCAACTGATGCCGTGAACTCCGCAGAAAAACCAGAGCGCGCTGAGAAGCAGGAGATATCAAATGCAAAAATGTCTACTGTGTCTGGAAGGTTGGAACTTGTGATGCTGTCTCTGGATTCTAAAAAGATTTGTATTGCATGACCAGCAAGAGGACTCCATTTTGTGCTACGCGGAGAGGGCATTTCTCATGCGGTAGAGGTATCACAAAGCCCTCATGAAATCTGTGATGCTACGGCATGCATCACAGACATCATGTCTCATGGAAAATATGCATGACAAGTCTCCAAATCTTCCAGACCCAGACATTTTTGCATTTTATAGGAGGCACTTTTGGCTCACCAAGAGTTTGCGTCTGGGGCTTTGTCTCGACGACGACGAGACAGTACTAGTGGTGGACGTCGAGGGAGGGGCTGGCTTTTGTAGTTCTTCGTCTGCCGCAGAAGTGGTTGAAGTTTCTTGACGGCTGTTCTCCTGGCCGGAGCCCTCCGTAGATGGTACTACGACCGAGCTGCCCTTCATCTCGGGATCTAGTAGTTCCGGCGGTGCGGATTGTGTTGCTGTGTTCTTCTGCATCTGCTCATCCTTAAGTAAGGGTAGTTTTTCTTGGTTAATACTGTGGTCCTGCAGTTCTTGGTCTTCGATCTCGATGGGAAGAACAGTCGCGTCAACAGCAAAACCATCTTCACCAGCATTTACATCCTCTTCATAATCATCTTCGTCCACAACGATCCTTCTCCGCCTGGCCAGCTGGTACTGATTCTTTGCCGTGCGGTACACCCGAAAAAGTAGGTACACAAACAAATACAGCTGCAAGAGCAGGAAGGAAAACGTCCGTTTAGAGCATTGCATCTGGTACTGGAAAAAAGCCTCGCCCAGTTTCTGTCGCAGAACGGAGAATTTGAATTGTAGTTGCCGCGCAGAAGTACTTCCACCCGACATCGCGTCGTCGTCAAGGGCTTGGCGAGGGGATGAAGTTGAGGTCAGCTGCAGCTGCTCCGGAATAATGTTCTTGAAGTTTACCTGTGCGAAAGATAGCTTCGATCGGCTTGTTGCGCGGGGTGCGCCTCGAGCAGGAGCAGGTGGAACACGAGCGGGGACTGGAGCAACACGCTGTGCTGGTGCTTCTTGGTCATTTACTTGTTGCGCCGCGTCACCGTTCATCTCAGCAGAGCTCCTTCGGAACTTTCTTCTGTCCGCAGCTAGCATTCCTGCGACTCCAGCGTAAAACTTGTGCACACTCACCCCATCTTCCAAAATCCCGACGATGTTCTTGATTCGACTGCCCTGGTGGTTGAACAGAGACACCGCACTGGAGAAAGAGGAGGACCGATGGTTGACGAACTTCGCTGAGTAGCGAAGAAGATCGGCAAAATTATGCTCCTCAGGTGCAGGTCGTGGAGCACGTGGAGTTGTGTGACCCGAGTCGGCGTGCTGGTGCTGCGACAGAACAATCGTGGCTTCATCTTGTGCTGCTTGCTTCACCAGATTCGAATCGTCTGCTGCCTGAATCGCGAGCGGCAGTGACTGTAAAACACTAGTCGCACTGGCCGCGCCGGGGAAGTCGTAGAGATTGTGATTGTCGTGGTCTTGTTCGTCTGGGGGGTTGTTTGTGTTTCTGTAGTTGAACAATGCTTCACTAGATACCAGTTTTCGCAGCGGCGCGGAGTACACTTTTCCGTAGTTCAAATAATCCTGCCTCGCGGTTCTCCCCCGGTAGTACTGCCCAAAGGTCGCTTGGTACAACAGAAAAGTGGCGCCAATGGCGAAAATTGACAGAACCTGGCAGTCGTCAGTCAGCTTCTTGATGTCGTGTTTAGAAGATGTTGGTGCTCCTTCTCGTCCTCGACCATGACCTTTTTTACCCTCATCTTTTATTCTCCGGCTGCAACACCTCTCGCAAAGTCGGCAGCAGCAGCAGCAGCAACAGAATCCCAATACGCCTCTGGCGATCGAGGAAAACCGGAGTAAAACGAGGAAGAGGGCGAGAATCGCTATCAGAAACGGGATGGCGATCCCGTGGATGAACCGTTGCTCGAAAGGGAGAAGTATCCCATCATCCTCATGCAACAATGCCGCACCAGGAGAAGCTCCCGCCTTGTAGTGTACCGTACTTCTGGGAAAATCCCCGTGCGGCCAAAGAACCTCCACGAAATCGAGAAAGCTGAAGTAAAAAAGCAGCAACGTAGCAGAAACCGTCGTGAGGCACAGCCACGTGGAATACAGACAGGCCAGAGGCTTCATGTTCCTCGCTGGTTGCGACAAGACTTTCGGTTCACTGGTTGAACTTCTAACGATCTTGGTCTTAGCAGGTGCAGGTTTTAGTACGTGTTATCATTCATACAAAATTCTAGCTCAACAAATTGTAGTTCTAGTTCGCAAAAATGTGATACCGGCAAGTGCGTATGGATCTTGATCGACCACGAACTTCCGAAACGTTAACGTTCCTTGAAAATAAGATCTGAATTGCCGGCGCAAGAAAAGACGCCTGTTCCGCTATCGATGCTGCACGAGATTCTCTCTGTAGTTTCTGTCTGAGACAGATACGGACCTTGCTCGTCTTGTGGTCGAAAAAAATAAGACAAAAATTAAAATTGATCGTACTCGTCCAATTGATCCTGCTTAAGGTTGAGACGAACACGAACAGCTTTGCAAAGGATGTTGACTCATGCCGCTACCGCTGCTTCCGAATCCGCTCTGGCTTCTTTGAAGGCGCTGGAGCCGCTTCGAGAAAGTTTTTTGTTTTTTTTCACGACGAAGGTGCAAGTGTCTTTCAAAAAAATCCGAATCACGCACACGATACTCTTTCTGTTGTATGTGCAGCGGAAGCGGGAATCGAAAGATAGTACACAGCGCCATCGTGTTAATATCGTCGTTGTAGCTACAACTTCTAGGACGGAAGAGCTGCGACGTCACGACGGTCTCGCGACTTCCGCCACGACTACCCTGGGAAACTGGGTCCAATCTAGTTTGAAGCCGAGCAGCTGAAACAGAATCTCCTCGTCTTCATCGAGATGGTGAGATGCGTCGTTCGTGTTTTCCTCTTTCCAAACAGCGGAACTGCCATGCTGGTACAGCTCCGCGACCGCCAGCTCATCGTGCCGATCGTGCTGTCCGGCGGGAAGGTGTGATTTATTCCCATCCACTACCGGTTGAACTGTCAAACCCCGATGCTTGTTCATCATCGAAACCATATTGGCACCAGTAGAACTTCGGTTCGCTAAACTTTTTCTTGCAGGAGCCTGCTGCTGGTGTAGAGTATGTGTATGGCCAGCATTCTGCGCGTCGTTGTGTTGACTGTCACCTTTACCAACATGTTCTTGACCATGAACATGCTTTCCACGAAGATGGTGTTCGCCATGAAGATCACGATGATCGTGATCCTCTTTTGTTTCGCCATAAAACGAAAACAATGACGGCCGACTTTTCCGCGTACTGGGTGGGCTGTGTGCTGTTGATGGGCCTTTGGCATGTAGTTGATGTACATGCGTCCCTTGTTTTCCCTTCGCGCTAGTATGGTGCTTTGATGTAGTAGAAGCACCAGCAGTTGTGGACGTAGGAGCCCCGTGAGATGATGATGCTGATCTACCTTTTGCGCTTTTTCCAGTTTTGTCATGCTTGTTACCAGCAGCACTTCGTAGCGACGAAAAGTCCAAAAACTCCTTTTCCCACTCCAGCACCCCTATCCTGTGCAAAAGTATCGTAGTCGTACTAATTGCAAATATGCATGACAAATCTCCTTCCTAAGGTAAAACAGCATTACAAATTCCACTTTTCTTCTTGCCAAAATTTGTGATGCAATTTATACTAGTACGATACTTTTGCGATGCATAACCCCGTACTGCCATCGATGTTTCAAATTCTTGTCCACTGCGAGGTTCGTATTAAATGCAAAAGTGTCTGGGTCTGGAATGTTGCCGGGTTTGTCATGCATATTTTGCATGACCCAGGATGTCTGTAATGCACGACCTAGCATCACAGATTTTTAGATGGCTTCCTGATGCCTACTCCGCATGACAAATGCCGTCCCCGCGTAACACAAACTAGACTCCTCTTGCTGGTCATGCAATGCAGATTTTTTTAGAGTCCAAAGTTCGCATCACAAGTTCCAACCTTCCAGACCCAGACATTTTTACACTTCATAGTTCGCTAGCTGATACGGTATCTTATTTTCGACGCTTTTTTGATCGTTTTCAACATGATCTATCCTGAGTAAAAACGTCCCCACACCAGAGTTGTCATGCAGATTTGCAATGACAGGAACATTTGTAATGCGCATCGCCAGGAGAGGCATTTTTAGTCGTGTTTTGGAATTTGTAATGCTGTAAACAGGATGAGCAGATGGATTTCTTATGCAGCTGGCCTTGCGAACCTGCACTACATTACGGACTGCAACCTGTGATGCGTGACCCCCAAAAGTTCTAGGTTTGTGTTGCAAAATCACCATCTTGACTCTGGTGTGGGGATGTTTTTACTCAGGATATGATCTGCGGCTATCTTATTCTTTTCAAGAAACACCAATTCCCGCCGCAACCGTTTCCCTTCGAATTCCTCCCTGACTTTGTCGTCAAAAACCGCTTTCCGCTTCCGAAAGAGCAGCTCAATCGGCCGCTGCAAGTCTCGTTTGTTCAGGATTTTTCTTGCGTCCGTTTCATCTTCGTAGGAAACATTGACAATTCGGTCTACTCTCTGTCGCAGCTTGAAAAGCTTTTCTTCTTGAGTTTCACCCGCCAAGTCGTCTGGTGCTGTTTTTTTGCTCTTAGTCCCCTCGTCATCATCAGCCGCAACTTCACTGACCAGCTGGTTCCCAATCATGATGACTTCGTCGTCAAACAGGAGCTGTTGTGCAGTGCAAAAGTATCGCACTCGCATAAATGCATTAGAAATTTCCTCAGCATGAGAAATAAAATTTGTAATGCTGATCTACCTCAAGAAAAAGACTTGTAATGCATGATTGCAATACGAGATACTTTTGCACAGGATAGCTGCCGATCCACCGCCCAGCCCTGACGTTTCAAGTATTTGATTCGCCCCTGCTCCAAGCGCAAGTCTAATTCCACGTCTTCCAATCCCGCGTGCAATATGCATCGCAAAAGTATCGTACTAGTACTACCTAGTTGTACTACTTGCATGACAAATTTTCCTAGCATGGCAAATGAAATTTGTCATGCTAGTACATTACCTAGGAAATTAGATTTGTCATGCCTGATTGCGATCACTACGAGTACGATACTTTTGCAGTGGATATGCAACTGCAAGTAGCAATCCGCGAACTTTTTCGGCATAAAGGACATGGTGAAGCAAGGCACTTCCAATCGGTCGGCCCGACGGATCAATTTCTGTATGCAATACAAATTTCCCTTACATGTACAAGATGCATCACAAATTTCACCAATTTGGGACGTAAAACTTGTCATGCTGAACTAGGATCGAAGCCAAGTTTTGTCATGCGGAGACCGCACTTGTAGTTGTACGTGTACGGGAAATTTACTGTGGATATTCTGGAGTAGAGCGTCATTTGCCGTTTTCTTCTCGGTTGTCCAGGTGGGCACACTGGTAATTTTTTCCTTGCAAATGGCTAGAACCACGTCTCCCTCTCGCATGCCCGCCTTGTAGGCGAGGGGGCGGGCCGCGGGGGGAAGGGCGGGAAGGGCCAGCGCCGGGGCGTGGTGGTGGCCGCTTGTATAGTCCGCGGGTAGAACTACAAGTCGAGCGGCGCGAGGCGTTCCTGTTTCATCTCCATCATGCGGGGTGACGTGTTTGACTTTTTGTGCTTGCTCTACTTTATGTAGTGAGTCCGGCTGTTCTTGTTCCGGTTGTTCACTTTTCCCAGGAACGTGATTAAGTTGAAATCGCTCAGCGACATGTTGATCTTGCCTTCTTTCTCGCCCCCGAATCTCCTCCATCACGTACCGGAACCGTTTCTGCTGCTTTTCGTTTTCATTTTTCTGCTCGTGTCGGCCGTGGGCGGTGCCCGCGTTTGTGTGATCTAGGATGAACTCTGTGATGTTTTGTTCCAGATGGGAAAACAGCGGAGGAGCGGGGGGCAAGGGAGAAGTGCTGGTCATCTGTGTTTTGTAATTCCCACTTTCTTGTTCGTTGTCATGCTCGCCTGAAGCAGGAGTGCTGTCCTTCGCATGGTTAGCTTGTTCCCCATGTTGTCTGTGTGCATCGTTGTCTGTTCCGAGAGTCGGGTCGCTCTTTCGCTGGCCTGACGGAAGAAGATGAAAAGATGAAGACGCAGCTTGCTGTGGACGACCAGAGACTTCAGTTTGTTGAGAAGGGGATGCGCTGCGTTCTACTGGCGATTCCACTTCGAAATTCTCCCGATCCGCCATCTTGAACATGGTTTCCAGCAGCTGTTGCGAGTACAAGTTGGCGCTCTCCAAATGTACTCGTGCTGCGCCGAAGTGATTGTCAAATGTGGTTGCGCCAGCAGCGCCAATCATGATATCGCTAGTTGTAGTACCGGAGGACGGCTGATGATGAACTGCAAAAATGTCTGGGTCTGGAAGAATGCATGTTTGTCATGCTTGTCTGGCATGACTTTTAAATCTGTCATGCACGTTACCCAAGAGCCCCATTTTTCTGTCATGCAGAAGCGCAGTTTGTCATGCAGAATAGGCAACACCCAGGACCTCAGAAACTTGTCATGCTGAGCCAGCATTTGTAGCCTCGTCATGAGACGCCACCCAGCATCACAAGTTTCCAGACCCAGACATTTTTACATTTGATACTGCTGATGAAGCAGCAACGTGTCCTCTACCTCTGGAATTGAAATGGTCCCGAGATGCGTAGTCCGCAACACAACGTCCCGCGGCACAGGCGGAAATTTTGGACGAAAGGAGGGGTCCTCCGTGAGGGATTTCCGCGCGAGAACCGACTGCTGCATCCTCCGTTTCGCGGGAAGTAGACCGCGACTTGCTTCTTCTGCTTCTTCGATGTCCGCGCCGAGGTCTAGGCTGCCTTCATCCTCGGACAAATCGACGTCGACCCCCCGGTCGACAGCTAATGATGTTCTACGGATTATCTCCCCCTCAGAACCAACAAAAGCGCCATTTTTTCGACCTGCAAAGCCACTCTTTCCTTTTCCCTTTTTCGCTGCGTAGGCAGCGGCTTTTCCGAGGGCAAAAATGGTTGCGGCCCCTTTCGTTTTGCCCTTTTTGGAGATGGAGGTGGCTGCTCCAGCAAGAGACCTGCGGGCGGCCGATGGAATGGTTCCTGTAGCAGCTGCTGCTGAATCCAAATGGTCCTCATGATCTTCATGCAGTTTGTCGCCTTTGCCTTTTTTATGGCCTTTTTTGTGGTGGTGGGCCTGATGGTGACCGTGGTGCTTTAGGTGATGAAGATCTTCGTCATGGTCGTGCTCATCTGTGTGATGCGATTCCCTGTCATGTTCAGTGTGCATGTGGCCGTGGCGCTTTTGCTTGCCGTGCTTATGCTTTCCCTTTCCCTTCTTACCGGTGCGTCTTTTCTTGTGGTGCGCGTCATCGTGGAGACCCTCATGTTGGAGGTGTAGCTCTGCATCTTCGTGCTCCATCTCAGCAGCGAGCGAAGTTGTAGCTTCAGCTTCGTATTCTAGATTTCCATCATCCTCCTCGTGCTCGCCGTCCTCGGCGGCGGCCTCATCCAACTCTGTCTGCTGCGCAGCAGGCGGCCTGGCTTCGTAGTTTCCTGCCCCTGTAAAAACACCTTCACCTATGCCGGCTTCAGTTCCAGCACCAACATCTTCCTCGTCCACCTGTTGTACGGTCTCAAACTCGTCCACCACTTCTCCCACTTCCTATGGCGTTCTCAAACGTTACCCTCTCAATTGTTGCATGGATTTGTCATGCATACCCGACTGCACCACATCAAAAGCCTTAGCATGGATTTGTCATGCAAAACTCTCATCAGTATCTACATCATCAAGCTGCCTCGCATGACAAATGTCCGAAGAGCTGAACAGCATCTAAATCTTCTGTGCCAAACCTGTATTGCAAAAGGCGAATTCTTCCCCCTTGCACTCTTGCCATTCTTGCATTACAAATCCATGCAGCGGTTGAGATGTAATATTTGAGAACGCCACACTTCTATGTCTTCAGTTTCAACTCGAACCGGCTCCACTTCCAACTCGGTTACCAAATCCGATACGCCGCCCGCACTGGTGCCCAATTTTCTTTTCGTCTTCTTCACTTTCCGCTTCGGTTTATTTGTCGGCCTGCTAGATGAAAGAAGAGGAGGACCACCTACTTCGGAGGCAAGTTGAGACGGTAGCTCAGCATCCGCGGCTGCAACATCGCTCGTCTCCTCCCCGTTTTCATCCTCTTCTTCCACGCTATCCGCCGCACCACTGTCCGACGGTGTTTGCAACGCTAACAGCCCTCCATCCGCATTCATGAATTTTGCTTCTTCCGGGACGGCTTCGACTAGTAACAACCCGTTTTCAGCTAGTGCAGTTTTTTTCATTTCGTCCAAGAGCTCGGCTTCGTCATCTGCGAGTAGTGCCTCTGCTTCAATATCAACGTCCTCTGGTGGGAGAAGCGTCGCGGTCTGCAAAAACTCCGGCAACTCTTCCCTTTTCCGAATCACACCCATAGACTCCATCGCCGTGGCAATTACCTCCTTCCCCTGATCCAGCAATGTAGCCGCGTTGGAGTCTTCAGACTTCAGTAGTTTGCTCGCCGGATCTCTTAATAGCGCGTCGATGTCCTGCTCCTGTTCCTTCTTCTTGCTGTCCTTGTAGATCCGCAGTTTCGACTCTTCCTTGAACAACGCAACCTCCGCCGCTTCTAGTTTCGCGTGGAGCACTTCCAGATCCTCCGGCATGGCGCTCTCAAACGTTACATTCTCAACTGTTTACATTAAATTTGTAATGCACCAATGGAAAAAGGGAAAGGGGAAAGGTTGCGCCTTTTGCATTACAGGTTTGGAGGAGATTATAATGCTATCTAGCGCGTCGAGAACTTGTCATGCGAAGCAGCTTGATCATGTAGATTCTGATGCCAATATTGCATGACAAATTCATCGAACAGTTGAGAGTGTAACGTTTGAGAATCCCATATCCGGCTCAATCAACGTCGAAACGTCGATCGCGTGCTCGATTTGCTTCACCAGCTTCTCTATGAACTGCAAAAGTATCGTACTCGTAGTAATTGCTGTTATGCATGGCAAAGCTCTCTGTGTCTCCTGACGAGCGAGGTAAAACAGCTGCTCCTGCTGTTTCACAGCATTACAAATTTCATGTGTAATGCTGAGCCAATTTGTAATGCGATTTATATCACTTCTACGATGCTTTTGCAATGCATATTCTCCAACTTCCCCGCCCGGATTTTCGAGTGCCGCGCGAAGTGAATTTTGTCGTTCGCTTGCTTCAGGATTTTGTTGATCTCCTGTTGCTCTTGCTCGGTCGGTTTCAACACTTTATTCAGTTCTGTTGTGCCGAGCGTTTCTTCGTCGGCAGCTGCCGTGGTCGTCCCACCTGCCGCTGAAGAAATTATACCTGCAGTCGCACTCTTTTGAACTCTGTCCACCAAACCGGCAGAGTGATCTGCAATCGCGTTACCAATGCGATTTACGTGTCCCGGGGCGTCGGCGACGTGCTTACTAACGTGATGCCTTACTGTTTTCACCGCATCGTGGCCGAGAATTTTATCAAACGTGGATTTCAAAAAATGCGTCACCGTATTTTCATCGCTGTCAAAAGCGCTGCTAGAAGAGGAAGAAGGCTGGTTTTTTTTCTTCTTCTTCTGACGGCTTTTATTTCTCTTTGTTCCTCCAGTATCCTTGTTGGTCAAAATTTCCGCTTGTTTCAGAATCGCTTTCTGCAACTCATCCTGCTCTTTTCTCTCGGTTGGCATACCCAGGGTTTGGTTTACCTCCGTTAAACGCTGCTGCAGCTCCATCCGTTCCTGCAAGAGTAACAGACTTTCGTTTTTTTTCTTCTTCAAACTCGATTTCCGCTTCGGAGAAGAAGTTTTTTTTGCGGTCGTGTCGGTAGGTGAAGAAGTTGATGCAGGAGAAGCTTTTCTTTCGTCTTCGAACTCTTGTCCGCTAGTTGTGCCAGTAGTGCTTTCACGTCTCCCGCGTGAAGAAGTACCAGATCCCTGCTGCTCTCGCTTGTTGTTTCTTTTGATGCCTCCAAGAGCCGCTCCTTCATTTTCTGAAGAAGTGTCCCCGGCGATAATGCCGCCTCGCTTGATTTTCATCACTTTTGGCGCCACGATGTCGTCGTTCATTTTCTTCCGCAACACCTTATACATCGCAAAAGTATCGCACTTGTGTCGTTTGCGTTTCGAATTCGATTCGTACTAAGCGCAGTCATGCATTACAAATTTCTTAGTCAAGGTAAGTCCGCATTACAAATTGTATTTCTCACGCCGAGAAAATAATTTGTAATGCATTTATCCGAGTAGAAGTACGATACAGATACTTTTGCACAGCATACAATTTCGCACTGGCTGATTTTCTACCCAAAGCAGACGATCCACCTGGCCTTTCCAGCTGTTGCAGGAGTTCCGGTTTCTCCTTTTTCCGAATCTTCTCGATCTCGTCCTCGTGTGCCACAATCGGCGGGACGTTCATGCGGACCAGGGTTTCCTCCAGGATCTTCTTCATGAGGGCGTCGTGATCTAAAATTTCGGGCAGCACGGGCATTTCCGCACGCGGGGGGAGAGGGGACAAATTTTTGAGGTCGAGAGTGGAGGCGGCGGGCGGTGAGGGTGGTCGTGAGGAATCTGGCTCAACACCTTCTAGTTTAGCCGGCGCTCCCGGTAGAAGTTCCGCAGCCCTCTTGCCTGTGTTTTGTTGAAACCCCACCGGCACGCCTTGACGAGGAGGATCTTTTTCTGACGGCGATGATTTTACTTTTATTGCTGTTTGCTCTTTACTGTAGTTCGACGTACTCAGAGCTACTTTTTTTGGTCTAATATTCCCCACTTCAGGCGGAGGCGGCGCATCTTGAGCGGGGCTTTTTTTCTTGGTAACGGCTTTTTTCTTCTTTCTTCTCTTCTGCGCGGCGGAATCAGGACTGCTCGTGTGCTCCAGAATCAAATCATCCATGTGAACGCCGTCTTCCTGGTCATTGTCGTTTTCATCATCATCAGCTTCATCAAGGCTGGTTGGTGAAACAGCTTCACTTGGTCGCTGGTCAACAACAACGGTGTCGCGGTCATTCGCAAACAGGAACGCTGGCGGTGGTGGTGAACCTACTCCTGTGCTCAGGAGAGTTGTAGGCTGTTCCGTATCAATTCTATCAGTCGGCAGTGGCACTTCTTCTCCATTTTCATGACGATACGAACTGGAAGAGGCTGATGACGCCGAGGACGACACCCGGTGCACGTGCAACTTTTTTTTCTTGTTGTCCTGCTGCAGAAACACACCCGGAAAGTCCCAGGGCCGCATGATATACTCCTCTGGTACACCGACTGCGGAGGAGGTGCGATCGTTCTTTCTCGACGTCATCGCTGGTCTTTTTGCGTTGAATGCAGAACGGAAAATGAAGTTGTACAGATGTCGTGCTAGGGTATGACAGATTTTCAACAACTTCAACCAAGAATATTATATACGCGCTCCTGGTGCGCCAGCGCCCCATAATCTCAATTTCCAAAAGAAACACAAACACTTCTTTAAGACAGATAGGACTTCCATAGAGAAAACAGCTTTTCACATGTTGGCTTGTGATCGATGGAGTCTTGTTCTTTCACCTCATGACGTCGGCATCGGCAGCCTCATCGGCGTTAGGACTTGACACGACCGAAATGGGATCCCGACGACCAACTACACGACGTTGACGATCATGTGAGAGCAGAATTGGGATGATTTTTTTCACGATTCAGGCGACGAAAGGTAAACGGATCATCAGTTGTCAAGGCGACGGAAGCAAGAACTTGGACGCGAACGATCGTGATATTGCTGGCTTATGCGCATATTCATACTTATCCCCATCGAAGATTTTCAAAACGTCGTCAATGAAGGCTGTCGCACAATCAGACCGATAGGACGAGCACGAGGGTGTAATCATCAAACTGTAGCAGTTGCTGATAATTCTAGAAGTTGCTACTGCTGTGACACTGTAACTACAAAGACTGCGCCCTTTCGTCTTCCACACGCGCAAGAACAAGGACCTACTGACGAGAAAGAACAAAAACGGTCCTCGCAGCTATTTCGGCAGCCCGGTTGTAGTCATCCCGGCTCCTGTAGCAGCAGCGGTAGGCACAGATGAAGTGGCTTCGATAATTTTGGTTTGATTTACTTGTCCTGTACTGCAGCAGAGTAGCGAATCTTACAGTTTCGTCATCGAACAAGAAACGGGTTTATATTTGTTGGTGACGAGAACAAATTCTCATCCTCATCAGAATCCTCTGCGTAGTGGTCTTTTCTAATCCGATCGCTTTTGCTATTGCTCCCATCCCTTCTATCCCCACCACGACCTGACGATTTTCTATTGGCTCCACGACCAGCTGCACTTAGGGACATTTTGACTTTTCCCTTATTCTGCATTCTCTGATACAGTTTTTCGTAGGTCATTTCCTATCCTGAGTGAAAACGTCCCCACACCAGAGTTGTCATGCAAAAGTGCAATGAGAAGAGCATTTGTATTTATGCGCAGCTCCATGAGAGGCATTTCCAATCGTGTTTTGGAATCAATCTGTAATGCTGGAAACAGGATGCGAAAGTGGCTTTCTCATTCGGCTTCTCTTGCCAACACTGCAGAGGAAAAGTTGTCATGCACAGCTCCCAAAACTTGGAGATTTGTGTTGCTAGAGTCCCAACTTGACAACTATGGGCAGCTGGGGATGTTGTTACTCAGGATATTTCCAACAGTTTCACCATCGCTAAGGACTCATCACCCGCGCCTATCAAACAAAAAAAAGTTCGTCACGATCACTCATGCGCATTTTTGCAATACAAAATTTTCTGTCATGCGTAAAAATGCATCACATTCAAACTTCCTGAGGGATTTCCCTAGTGTTTCTGCAATACAGGGGAAAGCTGTGATGCTAAAAAAATTTGTAATGCAAAACCCGCAAGTTAGTGACAGTGACAAACTTTTTTCTCTCCATAGCGCCACTGCGGTGTTTAATACTTCTACCCTGATGTTGATCGTGCCTACCCTTCCTTTCTCTGTAAGAATCCGTATCTCTACTTGCGCCGGCCATTCTTTCCTCCTCCACGGCTGCTTGTCGCTCCGCTTCCACCACTTTTTTCTTCTCTTTTCTTATCTGTTGCTCGATTTTCACGAGTTTTTCCTCGAAAAAGCTCCGCTGGTCGTTTAATTCCTGTTGGAGCAACTCTTTTTCCTGTTCGTGATAAGCTATCTCGTGCGTTTCCTGAAACTTTTCCTCCGCTTCTTGTTCTTTTGCTCGCAAGGTCTGTTCCCTTTGGTCTAACTCTTCTTCTAACTGCTTTTTCAACAGTCTCTGCGTCTCCTTTTCCTCGAAAAGTTCTTTTTGTTTCTGGAGCTCCTTCCTCCTTTCTTGGTCGATCTTCCTCGATTGAGAGGAAAAAGGTCGTGGTCCTGGTGCACCAGAATTATGGAGGTCGTACTCGTAGTGCTTGTTGTGCCCATGCTCGTAGTCGTGCTGGTGGTCGTGCCCATGATGATGATAGTGATGATTTCGACTACCTCGATCACGTTCTCCCGGAGCCGCATGTCCATGTTGATGACCATGACCACCACTTGTACCCTTACTCGTCATTTTTTCCAGCTGAATTCTCTGCAACTGCTGCAGTTCCTGCAACTCCAAGCGCTGCTGCAAAATTTCCTCTTCCAGCTTCATTCTCTCGACCTTCTGCTCCTCTAAACGGTGTTCCTCATTTCTCGCGATGTCGATCTTCTGTAGCAAATCCGTGATTTCCCGTTTTCCCCGCTCGATCGTGTCGGTTAAAACACCCACGATCTGCTTCGACGCGACCTCTTCCTTGGTAGGTTGCGGGATAGTATCCTGTACAAAAGTATCGCACAGCACTCGTATTGCAATCATCCATTACAAATTTTGTTCTTAATGCAAATCCGCATTACAAATTTCATATTTCTCATGCTGGGAAAATTTGTAATGCATTTATACGAGTACGATGCTTTTGCAATTCATAGATAGAGGGATTCGGCAGCGTGGAGAGCGGATCGCGCTTTGATGTTGCAGCTGATGTCGACGTGGTGGAACCAGCAGACCTTGGCCCGCGGCCCCTCGATAGAGAACTAGAAGCTTCTCCTGCGCCGCCGCTGTTAGTTGTTGAAAACACCCCTTCAGAAGTAAAAACGTCCTCCTCATCGATCCCGCCTAGTATGGTGGTGTCGCCTTCCACTTCGTCGAGAAAGCTGAGCCGCTTGGACAAAGTCGTGTTCTTCGTATCTGTTCTACTACCTCCAGTCAACAAGCTGCTCGCCGACATGACATCGAAATCGTTGTAACTATTATGCAGGTGCCAATGCCCATACTGTATGGTCTTCGTCCGTTCACGGACCGATGGATGCCTACAGCGGCCCCCGCCCCCGAAGGGGGGCAAGGTCGCCGTTTGGTGGTGCGCGAGCACACACCCGAACGCTGAAACGCACCGCGAGCGTCCTTCAGAAGTGGCGGGGCGGGCAGTGGGCCTCACCCCTAGAGCACACATAGCCTTCGGCTCTGATGTGAGCTAGACTATACTCCCAATCGTGCTGCCTGAGGCCCGCCCTCCCGCCAGTTGTGATGCCTTTGCGGGGCTATGGTAGTGCCATACTTTCAGAACACTGTGGCAACTGTGGGGCCACGGAATCGTCCGGGACGCATGGTTTACTGCATGCGGTTTCATTCATTTGGGTAAGCGTGTGTGCCTTCAACCGATGTTGAATTGCATCACTCATCTGCGGATTAGAATGAAACGAATCATCATTCGAATCTGATGGGGATCGAGATTAGAAAGAATCGCTCAAATGAATCAGACGCAGGGAGAGAAATGGGTATTCGATCGAAGAAATATATATTTTTTGAAAAGAATCTGGACGATGGAACTCATCCCACGATAATACTTCTTGGAATTCAGAAACAGAACAGCTTGATTTGTCTGTCTGAGGTTCTTCTACCTGAGCCTTGTTTGACTGCAGTTCGCAATACAGCACTTTCAGAAACACAACACACAGGCTGAGGTCCGGGCTTGTCGCTTTTGGATCACGAGAGAGACGTGGTCAGCGAGGTCTAAAAAGTAGCGCATTTCCGTTGTGATCGCAAGAAAGTCTTCTGCTAGCGCTCGCGAGTCAGTGTTGCTGAGTCTCGACGCATGTTCTTTCAGTAGATCTCGTGTGCACTGCAGTCGTTTTTTGGCATCCTCCAGGAGACGACCGATTACATCCTCCTCCACCGGTGGCACAGCTGCCAGGCACCACGGCGACATGCAGTGTTTTACTACACGGTAGGTCGGTGTGTCGGTGCCTGTAATGTTCTTTCGCTTATGCATGGTTATGGAGGGGGGCATGGAGCTAGAAGCGAAGTTCTGCATCATCACTAAGACATCACAAAATAGGGAGAAGCTATACCTTTTTGGTGTGGGGTGGGTGCTTGTGGTGTGTGTTGTGCCGTTGGTGCCGGTGGTGATCGGGCGGGCGCCAAATTACCTGTGTTTCGAGTTTGAGCTGATCGAATGCATCGCATGTGACTGCGCGCATACCAAAACACAGGCAACAGCAGGTCAAGACCTGAGAAAAAATAAGAGTACTTCTTCTCGGTGTTCTGTTTCTTGGCGTCATCGCTGGTCCCGATGGTTGTCTTCGAGGAGGAGGATGAAGACGCGGACGTCGAGGACGAGGGGGCAGAGTCACGGTCGTTGCAGAAGAGAATGAAGTCAACGGCTTCCCGGCCGTCGGTCCAGGGGTAGAGCCGGTCGGGCTTGGTCACCTGATCGTCGTAGCGGGCACGGGACGCGGAGAGCCGCGCGAGCGTGGTGTCGAGGCACTCCTCTTCGGACAGGCATTTCCGTAGGAATATCTTGCTGGCGCGCTCATTGAGTGCTTTCTTCAATTTCTCATCTTTGCACGCAGAGATAGCCTCGCGATACGAGTCTCCCCATAGTTTATCGCTCTGCGCCTGGACACAAACAGACGCATCATGTGAGATTATTTTCTGCATGGAGACGTAGTTGCAAAAGAAGATGGTGGCACTCTTTTCAAAATCCTGAAAGAACTCTTCTGGCGTCATCGGACTGCTTTCCTTCTTAAAGGGCAACATGGCTACTACGTGGTCCTATGATGTGTCGCTGTGCTGTGGTCCCTGCTCAAGAACAAGACAGAGCATTTTTTGAAAGAAAAAGCGAAGCGCACTCGAAGTCGGCGCTGTTCGACAGAAACTGACCTCTTTTTTTGAAAAAATTTCCTTTCCATCAATATTCATCTTTGTCGATCGGTTGACGAAGTTCTTCTGTGAGATAGTTGAGGGCTTCTTTGGCCACAAATAGTGGTGCGTCTAGATGATCCTTGTAGTCAAGTGTGTACCCACGAAAGCTGGCCATCCAGTTGTTGCTGCTCCAATCGAAATGGAGAGAAGTGCGCTTCTGTGTCTCATTTGGAACTTGATTGAGCTCTTTGATGTTGCAACGTGCCACTGCCTTGCGTACCACTAACGCAAGCGCTCTTCTGGGGCCATGTCCTGTGGTTCCTGCGTGTTTGGCCGCTAGCGCTAGCTTGGCGGCGGTGTAGGGGAGTGGCATGCCGCTGAGTCTCGCTGGGACGTAGGAGGGAAATTGGACCTGCGATACCGTTGAGCTGCACTTGGTTGTCACCAACGCGGTCGCCCACTTTGGGTCGTCTGTGTTGGGCTTGACGATGTCGATTGACTGCATTGAGGCAGCTCGCAGTCCGGAGCAGACCCAGAAGCGCGCAATGTTCTTGTCCATTTGGTTGAGCAGTTTCACCCTGGCCGCTGTCACCGGTTTGGCTTTTGCGGCAGAGAATTGCTCCCGTAGCCGATTGACGGAGTTGGTGAGCAGCTTCATGTTGTCAGTGACTTCCATTTTGCCTGTTGTTGATTCAGAGGATGCGTCTGCTCACGAGTTGTCGAATGATGCAAGAAACATAGCGACGCAAGGTGCCACAAAAAGAAAGAAAAAGCACCTATTTGCTTTAGTCTGGAGATGACCGCGCAGGTGTAATTTGCTTGGCTTCGGCTCATGTCCATCTCGATGAGGAACTCCGAGAAGCTGTAAATTTCTCGCAAGTAGGTGAACGCGGGGCACTGGAGGCGCGTCATCGGTTCGCCGTATTTCGGGATGTAAATTCGGTCGCTGGGTTTGGTGGTGGTTAATGAATTCCACCAGCTAACGAACGACGTCCAATGAGCTTCCCGCTGCTTGACAGATTGATGGGGAAAGCTCGCCTCCATCGGCCACACCCAGAGCTGATCTTGATACTCGAGGCGTGCATCGGGGTCCCTTGCTATGTTTTTAGCCCGTGGTGGATTTGCTGACGAGGGCTTCCTCGTACTTGAGCTTGAAGTTTTGGATGCGGGTCGCGGCATTGTCGATCGCTTGCCTGAGTAATTCACCGTATTCAGCGGACCTGTTATCGGCGGATGTTAGCTTAAAGAGTGCCTGCATCAGAGATAGTCGCGTCAGCGCGTCCGCTGGATTGCGCTTTGTGTTGATGTAGTGAATGACTGGAGTAAATTCCAGCCCCCTCCATAGTTGAGCGATCATCGAAGACAAGACTGACCCGGCGACAGCCGATGATGCTCCGCTCCGCGAGTGATAGCGTATGCCGAGCCACAGTTGTCGATGTGGCTGATTCCTCTCGCATGTCGGATGTAGTTTTGCCAGAACTCTCCTGCAAGATAGACTGCAAGCAGTTCGCACACAAAAATCTTCTCGCCACGTAGCCCAGCTGGAAGCTGGGTGCTGCCTGGAGGACCGTTCGGGCCATGCGTGAAGTGGTACGAGAAACAGAGAGGAACTGGCTCATCGGCTGTGAAGATGACGCCCCCAACATATACATCGCTGCCTTCTGCTGCTGCGTCCGTGAAGATCTCTACCGTCGCGGCTCCATTCAGGCGCGCCGCAAGAGATAGCGGCTTACTTTCCTTGATAGCTTGCTTCGCCTCTTCAACCATGGCTGCTACTGCTAGCACGTGCGAATCGGTGCCCTGCGTGATGAGGTTGGAGATGACTCGCGGGGCTGTGTACTTGGCTAGTAGGCGCACGGCGGGACTGTGGTCTAGGCATCTTCTGGCGAAGAGGTGATTGCAGGTGACTCCTAGTGCTTGCTGTACGTCGAGGAGGGCACGCGATCTGTCGAGGATCGCGCTCTGCATCCGTGTGACTGTGGTCACTGCTTTGGCGACTTTTTCTGGCGCCATTGCGAATGAGACGTCGTCGGCGGAGCTGGTGGCGTCGACGCCTAGCACATCGGTGGGCACATTCCGTTGCGCTATGATGTCTTTCTTGTCGGCCGATGCGAGTCCGAGGAGGCCGAGAAACTGCTTGACTGCCTGGTGCGCTGCTGGGGCCATCCATTCAGGGGTGAACAGAGTGACGTCGTCCACATAGCAGAGGCAGCTGATGCCGAGGCATCGCTCTATCATTGCTTCCACGTAGCCGCTGATTGCTCCGCAGTAATGGCAAACCGAATGGAGATTACCAAAGGACATGGCATTGCTGGTGAAGAATTTATAGCGTTGCTCCTTTGGGTTCCACGCTGCCATGTAGTATTCGCTGGGCTCGTTGTTGGGGAGTTGGAAATATGCCTGCCATTTGTCAATTTTGCTGATGAATGGCGTAAAGCCACCTACTCGCTTGGTGCGTCCTTTGATGTTGACGCCCACCATTTTCCAATCCTGCCAGTTGCCGGATCGCTTCCTCTCCTGCTCCAGTTGTTCCTTGAGGTGCTTCTTGAGTTCGACCAGGGGCGGGGCCCGTCCAGGGCAGAGGCATGCGCGGCGCCTTTCAATGCAGACTGGGAGGTGGGGCATCGTCATGTGTTCTCCGTAGGCCGACGCCACTTTGTTCGCGTGTTTTTCGTTGGCGATTCCTCTTATTTTGGAGAAGTGCTGCTTCTCGTGGTCCCATCTTTGGCCGATGTGGAATATGGGGATGACTGTTTTCCCTAGCATCTGCTCCGGTGTTGCATCGGTTCGCATGAGAACAGGGGCAGAGTTTGGATCGTCTGGGTTGAATATGTTGCCCTGGAGCTCGTCCCAGCCGCGCTGGAGCATCTCCGGCGTCTCGAAGGTGTACGGAGTTGTTCTTGTGAAATTGAGCTTGGCAAGGGCGTCGTCAATTTCTTCCTGCGTAGTGGGGCAATTTAGGTAGCGGAGGGTCTCGTCGGGGGTCATGTCCTTGGCTCCGTGCCAGATTTTGTATAGCTCAATCGGACCGCGGTGCGGGAGTCCCGTGTTGAGGCAGCCTTTGGGACCATATACCCGATCTGCCATCGTCTCGAGCGGTGGTTCGTCTTCCGGACCGGGCGGCGCCAGCTGATCGAGTACTACTTTGTTGACCGTGATGGCGTGCTGGAGGTAGTCGTGGCGTTTAGCGAGGTTCCACCACATGAGAGGCTGTTTGATATATGTCTTGGTCTTGCATATGTCTGGCCGATTCCGCGCGTAGAATTCGCGTAGTGCTTGCACATGAGGCACCTTGGCCCGCTCTGCCTCATATTGCGCGAGGAGATCCTGTTGCTCGGGTCGCACCGAGTTGCTGCGGACGTCTTCCAGGGCCATCTGGAGGCGCTCCACCCTTTCCAGTTTTTCCTGTGGTGGGTGGTGGTATGCGTTGCCTATGAAGGGGGCTGAGACATGCATAGTAGGTCTTCTGATTACCAACATGGGCGCTATATTTATACCTGATTGGACGGCGCGGCGTATTTGGCTAGGTCTGCAATGACTTCCTCCGGGGTCGGGGCAAGAAGCGACATGGTAACTGCAGCGAGACACGAGAGGACGAGGTGTAGCATTTTCATTTGCTTTTGGGGTAGAGTACTAGTGTAAATGGCTAGCTGCTGCTGCTATTTGCAATTGTTGGCGCTTCGACACAGGTGCAACGAGGTCTGGGCTCGTGGATCCGATAGCGAGCGTGTAACAGAACTGCATTTTCCGAATGGCCACGACACATGATTGATTGCTGGGAACACTTGCTCACTTTGTCTTTTTACAAAAAACCACAGCCAATGGCGGAGGTTGCAAACAACTGTGCTGCGCGCGAAGACGCTGGTGATTTTGTGTTCTAATGGGGTATTTACGCCTTCACCTTGTACAGAGCAGCAATCTTTTTGGTTTCTTTATGTCGTGACTCGCATGGTCGAGAAGCTGCGACTTTGCCTTTGCCCTTGACGTGCTTAAATTTGGGTCGACATTGGATCAACTGTTCGCTGCCATCCTTGGTTGTGCGTGTCAAGCCCATTTCTCTAGCTACATCGCACATGCACACGCCAGGTTGGCGTAGTCGTACTTTTGGATCTGGTCCATCAAAACTATCAGCTATTTGACAGATAGCCTGGCTCTCAATTTCATGAAAAGTGCTGGCTCGAGCTTCGCCTCGTTCTTTCAGCGATTTCTTCTTCTCCTGTTCCGCCTTTTTCTTGGCTTGTTTCTTGGCTTTCTGCTCCCGCAGCCGCTCCGCTTTGGTTTTAGCCGTGGTGGTTGTGGTCGTAGTCGTAGCAGCTTTTGTTGTTGTAGTAGACGCTGCTGCGGTGTTGCTCACTGATGTACCGAAGGAGAAATCCGAGGTGAAGGACGGGGGGACGCCGCCTGCGTAGCCCGTGCCACAGTGAATGCGTAGGCGTTGCAACGACTTCACATATTGCGCCGGGGGCGGCTTGCTCGATGGGTTCCCTAGCAGCAAGAAGTTGATGATCTCGTGAAATGCGACCACCGGGTTGATCTTCACCCAGGTCCCCGCTTGGGGAATTTTGCAGATTGGCGTCCGCATGCGGTGGCATTGCTCGCAATCCTGGTTCCAGAGCTTAAACACGTAAGGCGTTAGCAGTACAATCGAGGCGACACTGAAGTCTTTTAACGTTTTCGTCAATGTCGGCTCATCTGCGACTTCTTGTCCAGTTACTTGAGACGTTGAGATAACCGCTTGCTTGCACTGCTGGAGCTCCTTTTTGGCCGTGGAGAGGAGTTCATACGTGACGCCGAAGAACGATGGTTGTAGTCCAGCACCGCTGACCGCTTGGCGGAGAGACAGGGCGACGAGGATGCTGATCATCTGGTCTTTGTGCTGGGCGCCGATAATCGGGGCAGTCCACATGTCTTCTACCTTCGTTTTCGCTTGTGCGCGCGTATAGGGCACGTCGAGGGCCGGCTGATTCATCGCGATTGCCACTAGTGCTTGTTTCTGAGTCCGCTCATCGTTGTCGTCTCCGGAAATGAGAGAGGAGCCTTCGTGCAATATGTGGAATATGTTGCTGACCTTTGCATATTTTTCCGCGGTCCAAGAGCGGTGACCGTCGACAACTTGCATGAGGTGGCAGAACAGTACTGGGCTGAGTTTCACTGCCACATTGCCCACCGTCACGTAGAAGTGCGCGGAGTCAGCTTCAAAGTGCGGGGTCTTGTTGTTGTAGTGGTCGTAGTTTATGCCGATTGCTTCTTTGTAATATCTCCGGTTGGTGAGACGGCGCCGCTCCCACCCTTGGCGCCGAGTCTGTAGCTGACTCTGCTCGACCAGTAAGCGCGGTGGTGAGGCGGTTGATCGGATCCTGATCATCCTGCTCATTGTTCCGTCGTTGGCGGTTGCGATCGTCACGCCGGCGCCGACTGGGGGACTGGGCTGGTGACTGCGATGCCGACGATATGCCTATGGGTGATCGCTGTCGCTGTCTTGGTCGCCGATCCCTGGCGAATGAGAATGGATCGCCTCCTCCTTTTCCAGCTCCTTTGGAACTCGTTTGCTGGAGCAAGGTCGTATTTTGTACTGGCGAGAAGGAGGATCTCCTGTACCGATCGACCGGGTCGCCGGGCGACACAGATCGGCTGCAGGTGCGATGAGATGGGAGGATGCTGGCGGCTAGTTGGACTGGCCTGCTGTGTGGAGCCGCTGCTCTGCTTCCGCGTCCTCTGCTGTCTCTTCTGCGTTGTCGTCTTCCGCGACTGTCGCCTCTGCTGTCGCGTCGTCGCCGGTTGGGCGCCGTGCCCGTGGTTTGTTCTAACACGGTGGGCACTGCTGGCGCCGCGGTCGAGGAGGCCTGCGGGGGGTCCGTCTTTTTGCGCCGTGTGGTAGCAGCGGCGGTTTTTCGAGGCTGGGATGTGGACCGCGCGGCTGTTGATGTACGCTTCTTAGCCGGTTTCTTCGCCGATGGCTCCTCTTTCTCGGATTGGGCAGTAGATTCTGCTGCGCTGGTGGCATTGGTTTCTTCTGCTTCGATGTAGTCGTCCGAGAGTTCCTCGGCATCATCCTCTTCGTCCTCGTCCTCGGACGTTGTTGCTTCGACCTGATCAAAGGGGACTTCTTTGCGCTGGTCCAGATGGATGGGATGGAGATCGTCGTAGTGCTGCATGGCCTGCATTTCGTTCTCCACCAGAAGTTTCCGGAGCAGGTCATTTTGTTTTGTGAACTCAGCGCCTGCTGGCTTGCAATGCTTCGGCTGGTAATACCTTTTTCGGTTGGTCTGCCCCAGGTGCACGGCCGCCCTGTGGAAGTGCCTCGCGTGCTCCCTCATCGTCCGGCTGTTGAGATCCTTGTGTAGCGGCCATATGATGCGGCAGAATTCCAGCCAGTCGAGGTACATCAGGCACAAAGTTGCTTCCAACTGCATGGGGCTTTCCGGAAATTGGTGGAGCTCATCAATGACGGCGCCTTGCATCGGCACTTGCGCATATCGCGCGAGGCGTCCCTCTATGTGTTCTGCTAGCCAGTTCGGGACACATCCTGCTCGTTTTGCATGATGCCAGGCGTATCGTACTGAGTGGGCTGGGAGTTTGAGGTCTTTCGGTATCGCCGTCATTAGCGTTAGTGACGTCTGGTCTCTCGCCGGGGCGGAAAAGCAAACTGCGTCGCTCAGTATGTCGCCGCGTGCCACGCTGTGATTAGTGTGTGATGGTTGATATTGCAATAGTGTGCGCTCAGAGGTCTGTTCTCATTAGTGGCGTTCGCATGACACGGATCTGCATGACAGACAAAGAGGAGAGAGAGGGGAGGGGGGGGATGTACCTTTTCCAGTATCGGTCGCTGCAATGCTTGCTCGTGAACGCGTGCTCAAGTGCGTCATCACCTGGGTGCTGTGGATAGGTGAAGTCGGGTCGTAGTGTCGCTCCTGTCAAAAGTGCTAATCCCGCATTCTTCGGATAGCATCTTACTCCCCAGTCCCCAGCGTCAAGGGACGCTGGGCACCTGTCTTTGTGGACGTTGATGAACAATTTGGATTGCAGGTCTCGGAGAGCCGACGCCGATGGTGCCCGGTCAAGTTGCACTTGTACTAATTCGAATCGACGCATTATTTCTTGGAACGGGAGTCCACTGCTAATTAAGTGTGATGCTATAGCCATCAGCTCCTTTTGGTACTCGTTCTTGCAGTCGGCCCCAGTAGTCCATGCGGTGGCTGTCGACGTAGACGTGCTGTGACCAGCTGAAACCTGTTGAGCTTCGATCGCCGACTGGGTCAATTTTCAACGGCGGGACCTTGAGGGGTTGCGTCGTCGGTTTGTCGGCTGCAATGGCGTTCTTCAGGATGCTTCGCGGGAGTACCTCCGCTGTTGTGCGCTCCTCCGCTTTCGGCACCGGTGGGAGTGCTGCCTCGGGTTGTGCGAAGACAGAGGATGTTGCTGGCTGTTTATCCGCTGGGGGAGCCGCATGCTTCTTCGGCCGTCCTCTGGCCTTCTTGGACGCGTCTTCTTGGTCCGAGCTTTTGCTGCGTGATCGCTTGTTGCCTGTGCTGGCTTTTTCTCCTGTGTCCGCCTTTTTGCTGCGAGCAGTTTTTTTCTTTTCGGTATTGGCCTTGCTTGTCGCTGGCTTGGCCTCCTCATCCTTGCCTTTTTGCTGGGAGGTACTGCTGGTCGCTGTGTTCTTTGCTGTGTGGTCGCTTTTGTTGCTGCTTTGTCTGCCGAACAGGTCGAGCTCGTCGTCCTGCGGCGCCAACGGGGAGCATTGATTGAAAGTCGTTCCTGGGCTGCTCCGGATTTGTTTTCCCAGATCGAATATGCTCGGCCGAACTTGTAGTCGGCGAGCGTCGAGGTGGCTCGGCGCGGCGAGGAGGATTTCTTGATTGGGGACGGGCCAAGGAAGAGCGCCGTAGCTGTTTTTTCCCTGTTGATGAAGTTTCCTAGTGCCGGGGGATGCGACTGATCAAATGGCACCGACGAGCTCTTGATACCGAAGAGAGAGGAGGAAGCAGCTTGCTGCTGTTTGGCTCTCTCCCGCGCACGCTCCTCCTGCTGTGCTTTGATTTTCTTCACTATGCTGTCCATCCTTTCTCGATCATGCGGTCCGATGGTCGTGGTTTGCTTCGGCGCCTCTGGTTCTGTCGGGGCGGGAAGCTTGTTCTTGGTGTCGCCTGAGGGCGGTAATGGGGGCACGCCAGCCTCGGTTTCTTGCGTTTCGGCTCGCGGCTGCTCATCTATGATACCTGCAAAAACAAGTGTTTGATATTATCACGCCATCATGTAGCAGGGTGCCACGTGGGCCCGCCATGGGAGGGGGGGGATTGCATGACAGGCAAGGCGGGTTTCATTCTATGCGATACATCCTTGCTCGCATGCAAAAGTCGACTTTGATTAACACAGAGTCGATTTTTTATACCAGCTGTAGACGGCGAAGTGAGATTTACGCGGAGTCTCACTGTCTTCTTATCCTCGGTCTCCTTACCTATGGCGTCCTCGCTGTCGATCGCTTCCTGTAGCATCGCATGGCCCATTGGATCAAATTGAACGCTGTGGCTAAGTTCGGACTCGGTGACTCTGAACTCAGACGGCGGGTCTGGGCTCGGATCCTTGGGGGGCACGAGGGCGACGCTCGTTCGCGGAGGGGTGCCCGGAACAGTGCGTCTTGGCAGGAGCGGGAGGTCAAATACGGGTGGTGGGCGTACGAGATGGAGAAGGCTGGTCGCCTTCGGTGACGACGGTGTAGGTGCGTCTCGGGCGAGAAGCGGGGCACCTGTCAGCTAATGCTCCGTCGCAAGCGCTCTGTGGACCGACAACGAGATTTGTTGCTTGACACTGTTTTTCACATCAGCTGTTGTTCGTCGACAGCAGTTGGTAGCTGGCGGGCGCGACGCGCCGTGATGTAGTGGACAAGACTAAGTCGAGACAGCACAAACACAGGGCGGACAAGACACGCCAAAAACAAAAACAGCTCTCACTCACAAATCACTGCACTACGTCCCTATTTGTAAATGTTACCTGTCGCTGGGGCGTGGAATTGCGGGTGGTGTTGGTACAGAAATTCCTGGGCTCTCCTTAATGGCGGTAAGGCGTCCTTGTCGTTGGGTTGGGGATCGGTGCGAAGGGGGGCCAGGTGCGCGGCTGTGTCGACCACGGTGCGCACGGCTGTTTCCTTCTCGACGATCGCAGGCTGGCTTGTAGCAGCGGCATCGGTGTGCACGGCTGTTTCCTGAGATTTGTCGTTGTCCACGGCTTTTTCCTGAATTTTGGCGCTGTACACGGCTGTTTCGTCCGATACGGCCATGTGCTCGGCAGAGGGGGTTGTGGCAGGGGGGTCGTGCGCGGCCTTCTGGTCCGCTGGTGCTGGCTCGTCTACTCGGATCTCCTCTTGTAGCTGCAGCTTATCTTCTTTACCTGAAGGAAAGAGATTGATAAATTTTTTCTGACGCAAGTGGCTTGATCGTAAGGGGGAATCAATATTCCAGGACAGATTGCTTACAACAATTTTTTCTTTCTACAGGCACGCGCTGATCAGCGTGCAACAACAAACTGCTATAGAAAAAGCCATACAGTTTTTTCGTCTGCCGGCGGCGCCGGCTTTGGGTGTCGCGGTCGTGTTCTTGTTTTTGGCCATCTTTGTTGACAATTTAACTTTGAGTTTGTGAGTAGTAGTTTGTTTCCCGTCAGAAACAGCCTAATTGGTAGGTGAGTTACGTGTAATTCGGGCCTGCACGCAATAACGCAAGCGACAAAGAAAGAACCGACTCAGTCCTGCTGTTTGATCCTGCTGCTTGATCCTGCCGAATCGCTGAAACATTGATCCTGCTGCTTGATCATCGCGGAACTTGTTTTTTGCGAGCTGCTGTGTCGCGATGAGATCTATTTCTTGTTGGGTGTGTGGCTGCATGGCAAGCTGCTGCGTTGCCGCATGGCCCGTGGTTGATCAATGTGGGACTGCGGGTGAACAGGGTGCGAGAGCAGTGGATCACAAAACAGGGGCAGCAGTGACGTACTGCACAACTGCAAAGTCCTATAATTACTTAGTCCTCAGCGATCGCCGGGCGGAATCTGTATTCGCCTCGGTCGTACCGCACTGCAAAGCGATACTGACCAAAGTAATCCAATTCGATGCTGCAAGAACGAGGCCTGTGTCCTGCCTTATGCATCAGAGCAACACGCTTCTCGATGCCTTCGCTCAGCTGCTCTAGCGGCACACTTGCTAGCTCTAAGGAATTTCTCGCTGCGAGCTCACTAAATCGATCGCTCCAAGCATTCACTTTCTCATCAAAATCGAGCTGGTTATAAAAACCAGAACTGCCAGCGCCAGAGATGCAATTCTGTAAGTCGCACTCCTGCTCGCTGGTTAGCTCGGGGGCGGCAGCGTGTGGCTTGTCGGAGGGTCCTCTCACCACGACGGAACTTCTGTGCAAAGTCTGTTTCTCGCCCGTATTTTGTTGCTCGAGTCGTCGCAAATTTTGGCTGCACAGGGCCAACGGTGGAGAGCGCGCCGGCGACTTCTTGTTGCGCTTCGCTTGGCGACTCGCAGTGTACCTGTAGCAGAAAATAAATGGCAATTTGCTTGTTAAAAATTTCCTGGCATGCCGAGCACAGCATCAACATGGCTTCACAGAAAGGGCTGAAGAAACACACAAGTGAGGGGCTTTTCGCACAAACGCGCCGTATTCTTTTGCGGCTAGGGCAGTAAGATTACCTTTCTGGCATGCTCCCGAACTCTCGGCCCAGGGCAGCGTCTGCGGCGGCGTCAACGAAGTCCTCGATAGACTCGGCGTCGAGCAAGTCGCTCATGAACCGATCGCGCTTCTCCTTGGTGTCGGTTCTGGTGTGGTGCTCCACTATGTACTGCCGCTGGGCCATATTGTGCAAGTCCATCTTGAATTGATGGGAAGGCATTACACAAATTCTCCTATGTTTTTGATGATTGTTCATTGTGCCGAGCGAGCGAGAAAAGGACAAGATCACAGCGTGGCGGCCGGCATTGCCTTTTTGAGCGTGTCTATCAAGGCCTGGGCCGTCTCGGAGAGACGATTTTGCGCCGAACCGCCCTGGAACAACAGCGCTCCTGTAGTTCGGTAGTACGTGATCGTGACACGCTGGCCTGCGACCACGTGCGCGGTCCGTAACGCATCACTTTCGATTCTTTCCCAGCATAGAGTCGACTGGCATGTAAGTTCCACGATCCTTACAGCGTTGTGCTCGCTGTGCACCTTAATCGGCATTTTTTGATGCTAAAGCAAGATGATCCTGCTCAAAATGTGGGAAAAAAGCGGACAGGGTGATCGCTATCCGCGCACGCTGCGCTGCAAGATCCAGAACAACGGGCACACGACGTGCATTTTGGCGATGGTATGGAACAGATCGCAATCTTGCTGGTGCGCAAAGCAAACAAAAAGGGCAGAAAGATGATCGTGATCTCAGTGTGGAAAAGGTGGAGCGAACATCAAGCTTTTTGCTTTCACAGGATCCAACGCGAGCATCGAGCTGTATGAGTAACCAAGCTCTTTCGTGCTGCTATTCGCTGCCTTGGTTGCGTATTGTAGTGCGCTGACAAGCGGACCTTGGGAGTGCTAGTCTCACTGTGCTCGGACAATACAAACGTGTAGCTGTGGTCGCTTCACGCAGTAGCGGTGTCCATGCCTGTGGTGTCTGTGCTCGGGCTGTGGTGCTGCATGTCACCTGATAGTCGATTGGTGTGGATCGTGAGGGAGTTAGCATTTTGATCACATGACGGCGTGTAAAAATGCATGACAAACATATTGCACTATGCCTGTGCTTGTTCCAGCGCGGACGGGTGCAGGTCGTTCGCAGTGTTCTTCAGCGCGTGATGCGACGATGCCAGGTGTGTGCATGGTGGTGCCGCAGGTCTGCATATGCAACGGGAGGCAACGCCACCTGCTGTCACCGTGTGTGGTGCCAGCAGGTTGCTTGCCAGCTGCTCAGGTCGGCAGCCTGTAGCAGCTGATGGCCCGCAGCGGGCTGCGCTGCGCCACGACGTCGGGCGATCAAACATCGTGTTGCAACGTGAGTGACAGCACATAGTGTCGGGGACGACACCTACGTGCTGCGCACGGGGGTTGTGCACCATGACTTGTGCTTGTTTGCGCCACATGGGACAGCGTGCACACACGTGCACGCGCGTGTGCGAGCGTGCTGGCCGATGCACGCGGTCGTGCGGGTGGGGACCCGTACGCGCCGCTGCACGCACACTTGCAGCGTGCTGACACACACGGTTGCATGCGTACACACGCTGCGCTGGCGCCGGCGGGTGAAACCACCGTCGACCGCAGCGTGCCTGCCGGCAGGCGCGCATGCACGAGCGTGCGCATGCGCGCCGGCGGGCGCGTGCGTGCGCGTCGATGCGCACGCACATGTGGGTCAAGCAAGTGTGCACACGGTTGTGCTACCACGTGAGCACGCCTGCGTGACGCGCGGGCCACGCAGGGCAGGACGGACGGGTCGTGCGAGTGCAACAAGACGTTGCCGCCGCAGCCCGGCCGTGCAGTGCAAGGGAGAGAGCGGCGCGTCACACCACATCGCAGTGGAGGGACACGCCGGTGCCACGGGTGGCATGAGAAGTGGACAGGGAGCGCTACGCGCGCCCCCCGGGAGGACGTCAGGATCGCAGGCGCACGAGCGGTGCGCTGGAACCACGACGCCACCCACGCCGCACTTGGATGTGCGGGCGGGAGGTCCATGCGCCCGACCTTCACCTACGAGGTCGCACGACGCACGGGCCTATGCACTTACACAACCCTATCTGGACCAGACGGGGAGGTGCAAGGCGGCGGGGGCGCGGCAGCTGCCAAAGCAGCGCCCCCTAGGCATGAAGTGTGAGTGCCGACACCGACGCGTGCACAGGTCTTCTAGCCTGCACACCGGTGGAGCATAACACACACGCCTTGCGGTGTCCAACCGCACGTTGCTCGGTCCCCCTCGGGGGAGCTGGCAACGTAAGAACGCGTGCTGCAGAGGCAGCACTGGGTGCGAAGGGGTGCTCGCGCACCACAGACGCGTGTCGTGAGGGACACATAGTCGCATCGACGCGACGGTGCTGCGTGAGGTGCAGCGCTGCGTGAGGTGCAGCGTGGCGCGAAGACGCAGCCACAGTGCCGACGGGCACAGATTCATCACAGATGAACCGATGGTGTACCAAGAGGTGGTAACTTTGTCATCCAGGACAAGAGAAGTTGACCTCTCCCCCGAGGTGGGACGGTCGTTTTGTACCCGAGACCCACCCCCAGTCGCACAGCGAAAGGAGGCAGGGTCGAGCACAAACGACCGGTGGCGAAGGCCACGAAGAGGCGGTGACAGGTTGCCAGACAGGCAGCTGTCGCCGCGTGAGGGTCGAAACCGACACGACAACGAGTGCGGCTGAGCCACACAGTATGTCCAACCAATTCGTCGAGACCGCTTACGCGCGTAAACATCCATCAGACCAAACAGCATGGGCGGCACCTCAGTCTAGTTACCAAGTCCTAAAAAGCCAGCTATCCTCTGCAAAAGTATCGCACTGGTATAAATTATGCAAGTCTTGCATTACAAATCTTGCTCCCAGGAAAGCAAATCAGCATGACAAATTCCATTTCTCGCGCTGAGGAAATTTGTAATGCAATTTATACTAGTGCGTTAGTTTTGCAGTTCATACCAGCGACGCCCCCGCATCCAGTCGCCCGACGACTTTTTTGAAACCTAGCTGCCCCAGAATCGCGTTCGTTTCCTCCAGGGATAAACCCTTCCGCATCGCTCTTCTGATCGCCAGTTTCCGGGGCAGATCTTGGTAGTACTTCATCTCTTTAAACGCCTCTTTCGCCTCAACAAGCGCGTTTGTGTCGCTGATTCCATTCTTCACGATTTTCGTGATCATGTGCTGTCTTTCCTTGACCCGCCTCTCCGACTTCCTCCGGAGGAACTCCGGGTGGGATTGCTGCAACTTTTCCATTATGAAATGCAAAAGCATCGTAGTCGTACTAGCAGCAATCGCATTACAAATTATTGGCTCAGCATCACAAATGGAATCTCTCATGCTGACTTACTTTGAAAGAGCGATTTGCCATGCATAAACGCGATTACTTTTACGACGAGTACGATACTTTTGCACAGGATATCCATGCAACCGCGCGAAGTTCCCAACCCGATTGCGAGGGAATTTCGGAGCGATTTCTTCACTTCCTGGTCGTCTAGCAACGTGCCGAATTGAAACGCGGTGGAGGAGAGCAGTCGGTTCGTCTGCGTTAGTGTCTCTTCCAAAGAGGACAGTCTTGGTGGCGGCTCGTAGTTGTTATTGGCATTGTAATCGTTTATCGTTGTGCTAGTACTTCGAGCAGCTCTGGGCGACGAGGGTGATCCGGCCAACTTCCCGAGCGCGACCGGGAGTTTCGGGACCACCTGGACTTCGTGGAGCTCCGGTGGGGTCCGCTCGCCGGTTTCCAAGCGCGGAGTCGACATGGCGTCATCGTCCTTGCCGGCGTCTAGTATCGAGGTGGACATGGCAGAGGGACTTTGTAGGCTGAAGTTTGATAAAACAAGTTGAAGTTGTACGCCTGAAAAAGATAATAGCAACAGCTCCAAAACAAACACTGACTGGGGGTCCCAGTGGCGATCTACTGCCGGGGGTACCGGGTTGGGGCGAAGTATGTATTTGAATTTCGTGCTGAAAATCTTATTTAATTCTAGGAGTTGTACAGGCTATTGTGTTCTTTACAAATAGCCGTCGACCTGACGACGACATGTGGTGGTGAGGCTAGTATTTGATCATGGTGATCATTCTGTTAACTGAACTGCACGTCATCGGCCGTCACAGGACCAACATCTTCGATGACGACAATCAACACACATCTAACCGGCACGAATACATACGAATGTGTGCGACGCATACACTTGTTGGAACGAAACAAAGATTGGACGAGCGACAAATTCGGAACGACAATGGTCATGGAGTTTGCACGAAACAGGCACTAGAGAACCGAATCAGACTGTGTTTTTTGCTATGATTTTATCTTTATTTGAAGACTCGATGCCGCCCTGCTGCAGCACGCCACGCCCGGAGAATACCAGTTTTTGTTCTCCACCAAGTGCCATCCTGAGGCCGAGCACACTTGTGACGGTGGCAAGTAGAGCCATTCGAAGGGGATTGAGTTTGATACTTACAGTGTCGTCTTAATTTTCATTTGCGAGAGGATATTTGTATTTACTTGTTTATTTGTTCGCGTGCTTTATTCTTAATATTGGAGTAGTGCATCTTCGGTAGGGGTACTGCTCTTTCCTGAAGCTAAAAAGCGCGGCCGCGTCTGCAATTTCGAAGAAATAACTACAACAGAGGAAACAACCCATGACAGGCGTTCCTCTGCGTCGCACGTGCTTTCGCAGCGATAGATGCGCATTTGTATTGCAACAAGTACTTGTGCGTGCGAACTAAGATGTTGAAAGGAGAATTGTGGTGCCGTGTCTTGATCTTGATGTCCCCATGAAAGTGTCGTCCGCATCATATTTGCTATTCGTGATCGTTCTTCAAAAAAAATAGCGCGCCATTGCCTCAATCAACCCTTAACCACCCGCACGAAAGGACGGGGCGGCACGGGGGTTCCGCCTCCTCGTATCAAACGCAAAAGTGTCTGGGTCTGGAAGCACGGGAGTTTGTCATGCTCAGCTAGCATGACTCTCAAGTCTGTCATGCAGCACGTTATCCAAGAAAAGCTGCGGCTTTCTGTCATGCAAAAACGCAGTTTGTCATGCTGAATAGACAACACGTAGCAAGTCAGAAACTTCTTGTCATGTTGAGCCGTCACTTGTGGCATCCTCATGATTCGCCACTCAGCATCACAAGTTTCTAGACCCAGACATTTTTGCAACCCATACCCCGCTGAAGAAAGCAAAAGCACGCGGCGCCGGGGGCACCGCTCTCTTCGCGGTAGTGTCCGACGCTCTTTAGCTCAGATTCAAAAAATATAAAAACAAATCAAATTTGATAGGAATACGAGACTTCTTTAAAATTGATTGAGTTTGGCGTGCTCGGAAAAAGACATTATAACTTTCATTCGACATTGACATAAGTGATTTACTCTATTCATATTCTTGAGAAGATTACATGCATTTGAAAAAAAAAGATTATAACCACGAATGCTGAGAGCGAGGAAGCGGTGGCTTAATTATTCGAGAGGTGATGAAAATATGCATTTTCTTTCTTCCACTTTTTTGTACTTTTGTCTCTTGTTCGGTTTTGCAATTGGGCACAACTTCAGATACACAATTAGAATTACCTTTATTTGCTGCGAAAAATAATGTGACGAGTATGTGTTCACTTACGAAGAACTCCTGGGGGGAGACTTGACAAGCGGTAGCTGCGTCCGGGAAGAGCAAACTTCCAGTCTCGATCGGCGGCGATGGGGGTCGCTGTTTTGACATCAAAGTTTCGCGCACTTCTTCTCGGAATCCCGACTCTGCTGCTTTGTCCACCTGTAATTTTCCCAGTTTAGAAAGAACTTTCTTCATGTCAAGTACGGACATGGATAGGGCGCCCAAGCCATTCACTCAGAATGCAGATGCGCAGCCACGCGGCTATTTTTTCTGTATAGGGCCCACAACTCCGCCACCGCTACGACTACGCCTTGAATCGAAACGGTACAGCCCCCGTCTTCATAAACCAAATAAATCGAGGTCGTGTCGAGCCAACAGCCCATGCAGAGTGCGACTGCAAAAAACGCGACGTGCCTTAGCATCTCTCGCAAAGAAAAAGTCATAGTTTTCGTATAGAACAGCGTACCTGTGTAAAGCGTCCATTCCTGCGCCTGCTGATAAACGACTAGGAGTGCAAAAGCGGGCGCGTGCCCTGGGTGTCTTCGTTTTCGGATGCGGAAGAGGCGGAGTGCTTCTCGCTCTCGTACACGAGCGCCCGAAGTTCCAGGGCTTTTTTCAAGTTCCGGTTTGCCCGGCTAAACAGATGCTCCTTTTTCTTGGCAGCTGCCGGCGCGGCCTTGGCTGCAGAAGGGTGGGCGGCATTCTTGGCCGCGGACGAACCCGGGCTGGCTACTTCGTCATCCGCGGCCACAGGAGAGGATGCACTGGGGACGATTTCTTTGTCAGTGCTGGACCCTTCGTTTTCGTTGGTCGACCCTGCATCAGTGTCGGTCGCTATCCACCTGTGCAAAACCACATTACCCACCCCACACTCAGACTCAAGATGGGAGGAACTCTACGATGAACAAGTCCGATTGATTCACACATGAAGAATTTGGCTAGGCAGCGCAGTACTGCCGAGATAGCTAGAAGTTATCTCGTAGTTAATAGCACATGGCAATCACATTTCAAAAACTAACAAAAAATGTCTCCGCTGCGGAGCCGTGGGAGAGGTCGTGGCTTTCATTTGGCCATGCAAGCACATATGCACGACAAGTGTGGGGTGGGTGCGATTTTTACACAAGATAGTCGTCAGCAAGTTGCTCACGGTCGGGTTTTTAGATTTTGATTTTGTTTCAGAAACCGGGGCCGGGATAGGATCTTCTTCCGCGAGCTTCTTCTTGTTCTTCCCCCGCCAGCGAGAAAAACAACAAGACAGCGCGAGTAAGACCGCCGCCAGAACAAGTGCCAACAGCATGCTGAAAATCCATGACGCTTCGTCTACATCACGGGAAACCATTGCTGTACCCGGCAAGCCTTCCGTTTCTGCCAGAAGACGTGTGTCCCCGGGTCCTTTGACGATCGGGGCCGCATGTGGCTGAGTGCAGGGCAACACCGTGCATGGCTGGGCAGCTGTCGTCTGCTGTGATGTTTCGCTTGTACTAGTACTAGTGAGAACCTGCGATTGTGAAGCCTGGGACTGCTGAAATTCCTCTGCCGCAGACGTTTTCTTCGCGAGCGTGGTGCCTGCTGTTTCCGAGGAGAACGAATGTGCGCTGCTGGGTGTGTTCGCAGCACCATTGCTATCAGATGACTCCGGGAACGCGTCTGTCGTGCTTCCATTTGCGCCCGAGTCGCGTTTGTCCAGCTCACTTTGGGAGGCTTCTGACAAAAACGACGTCGCATATTTTGGATGCGCAACATTTTCTCCAGCTTGCCAGGATATGGGCCGCGGATCCTGAGGTTTGCCGCTTCGCAGTTGATTCTCAACTTCAGAGGGGAGGTCACATTTTTTGCCGCTGCCACATCGGTTGCACCAGCCTTCCAGTGTAGTTGATATTGGAAGCGATTTTTGTCCTTGCATTTTTCTCGCCTGTTCGGAGAAACGAAATGCTTCCGCAACTGCTCCTTGCTGACGATTTGGAGAAGCCTCGCCCTGGCCATACACATAAATACGGACGCTCGAGAGTCTTTCAGGATCACCCAGCTTACCACGAAGAGGAGCAAACGCCACGCTCATTTCCGTTTTGATCAGCCCTTTCTCCTTTTCCGCAATTACCACGCAGCGATTGTTCAGTGCGTTCTTATCAAAAGACCAGTTACAGTCATTGGGCTTCGGCGTCTGTATCTGGTCATTTTCTTTTTTCCAAGAAATAACTGCAAAGGAGCCCCAGCCGGACCACATATCTTCTGCGCCATGGTTCGGTGGTGTATAGAATGGCGCAGAAAAAATATGATGCGTAGGAAGTTGTACAATTTTCGCTCGCCCTCGCGCTGTTAGTGTTTGTGTTTCTGTTTTGAAACTGATGGGAACGCGTTCTGCCACATGCCCTCTGAAACCACGTTGGATGTCCTCGACCGTTGCGTAATCCAAAGGCGTGATGTGAACACGGGGATGAGCAGGCGTCCCGTCAATCTGGGTTGACCCCGCCGCGTTGGCACTCACCAAAGCCTCGCCCATCACTACGGCACTTGGAGGAAGTGTGGGGAGTAACTTAGCGAGAAAGTAATCGGATATGATCTCGTCATCATATCCATCGGCAATGTCCGGATGATAACTATCTCCCATCGACTGGAGTCCGCTCCCGTCGCTCTTCCCGCGGAGCAAAAACACATCCTCCGGAAACTTCGCTCGTAGTAACTTCAGAAGCTGGATGGTGGGTAAACTCTGCTCTCCGCTGACAGCGTCTGATAATGTCCCATTATTTTCACCGAGGTCGTCGATAATGAAAATGATTTTGCTCGGTGCCCGTGGAGGGTGAGGTCCTGTGGTCGTCCATACGTTTCCTTCTACCGGCAGACTGCTGAGGATGCTCAGCGTGTCATCAAAAGCCGAAAGATTTTTTGCAACTACAACAACGTCCGCGCACGTGTTTTTTTGTTCATCTGGAGCATCAGCTTCTGTTTTTATTTCTGGCTCGGGGCTGGCGCAAAGGACAAGCGTGCTATCAGGTTGTACTGGATTTTGTTCTTGTGCCTGCGTGTAGAGGTTGTGGATAATTTCCATGTTATGCCTATTCTTTAACTGGTCTCGCAACTCTTTTGATTTTTGCCCACCATCTTGGAGAAGAAAACCTGGGTCTGTCAGTGCGCCATTGAAATTTTTGACCAACTCGTCTGGAAGCGCCTTCGCCTGCGCCTCGTCTTCGCAAAATTCTTTCAATGCTGACCCCACACTTCCCATAATTTATGTCTCTGCTTCTCGAGTATAACAAAAACTATGGGCAACAGAGGTCTTGCTCTTGCGCCCACTGCCATAAAGAGATGTAAACAGAAACACTACGATGAAAAAAATGGAATAAACAAGCACAGCAAGAAAGTGACCATGAACATGATTTATTCCGAAACAGTTCAAACCCGCTAGTTCGGCTAGTGCATTTCAGAAACACGTTTCTTCAATGTCTCAATGTCATAGCTGATAAAAATCTGAATATAATAGTCCAAAGAATCAATAAATCCTTCGGGAATCAATGGGCAACAACTAGAGGATGCGTCCGACTGTCGTCCTGTACTTTGACCAAAAGCAAAGCCAGGGTAGAGCAGATGAGAAGCTGAAAATATAGGGTCATGATTCATGTCCGGCACACCAGCTGGAGAACGACATTACGCTTACGCGAGACGAACGACGATGTAATATAGTCACGAGTATAACGAGGCAGCGCGACGTGAACGAAGCAGGATTGGAAACCGAGCCCTTTCTGTTCAACCCGATGCAGTCAGATTCAGAGAATGGACACTACTACTACCACAACGACAACTACCTCTACAGACACTGACATCCAAAGCTAGCGTTTTCGACGTGAGCATATATTCAGAAATGTATCTACCATCATCCTATCCACGAGAACCAGGAGGTACGGTTTGAGGATTGAAAAATGCGGAGAAACACGGCTGTAGGAAATGTTAGCACAACGACCACGATTCGGTGGACATCGCTTTCGATACTCATCGCGCAAGTTCAATTTAATACTGCCCAAACAGATAGAAAAACCAGCGACAAATGATCCTATCTGCCCCCATCAAGAAACGGGTTCACTTCCACCTGAACCTGTGCGCTGTCTAGCTCATCCTCGGCGTAGTGGTCTAAACCCCGTCGGCGTCTATCGTTATACTTGTTTGGATTATCGCCACTATTGTTCACGCCCAACACCAACCTCTTTTTGCTACTGCTACTACCCAGCAACTTCTTCTCTTTAATACCGGCGCTCGAGGTTTGAAGATTGTCAGCACCCGCGCCGCCAGACTTGCTTTGCATCCTTTTATACAGCTTGTCGTACGTCATTTCCAGCAATTTCACCATCGCCAACGACTCCTTTCCTGAGCCTTTTGACGAGTTCTTGCCGCCACGACCATACTTGCTTCTTCGCTTGTTTTCCCCATTATGTCCAAACTCTTTTTCCACTTTCATCGCGATTTTCTTTTTCATCTTCTCCGCCTGGGCCGCTTTTTTCCGCTCGAGTTTTAACTTCTGTTCAACTTTCGTCAACTTCTCCTCGAAGAATTGCTTCTGGTCCTCGATCTCCTGTTGGAGCAAAAGTTTCTCCTTATCGTGATCGCTGACAGATTTCGTGTTCTGGTAACTCTTATCAAGTGCAAATATTTCTGGGTCTAAAAACTTCTGATGCTGGGTGGCGTATCATGAGGAGGCCACAAGTCCTGGCTCAACATGGCAAGTTTCTGAGCTGCTTCTAGGTGTTGCGTATTCTGCACGACAAACTGTGTCTCTGCCTGACAAAATATTGGAGCTCTTGGGTCATGTGCATGAGAGATTTCAGAGTCATGCCAGACAAGCATGACAAACATGCATTTTTCCAGCCCCAGACATATTTGCACTTGATAACTCTCCTCCGCTAGCTCTTCCTGTTCGCGGAGAAATCTTTCCCGCTCCTCTAACTCCTCTTCCAAACCCCGCTTGAAAACAATCTCCTTCTGGATCTCCCTGTCAATCTCATCCTGCCGGGATTCGAAGGTCCTGTCTACTTTGATGTCATGCGGTTTTTCTAGATCATCATCGAGAGCATCCTGATTATGTGCAGCCAAGAGATGAAGATGATGTCGGCTTTCTTGCACATTTGTCGTCACCATGAGCTCCTGGAGTTCCAATCTCTGCTTCAAAATTTCCTCTTCCAACTTCCGACTGACAGCCCGCTTTTCTTCCAGAAGCTCCTTATCCTTCTGCGCAATCTGGATCTTCTCCAGCAGTTTCCCGGTTTCCACCTTCCCTCTTTCAATCGTCTCATTCAAGTCGTTCGTCAGCTTGGACGCTTTCGCGGACGCTATTGGAGAGAGGACGGAGGCGGCGGGGGAGAGAGGTTTATTTTCACCAACTTGAACAAGAACTTGTTCGGGGGCTCCTCCTGCGGTAAAATTTTCATCTTCGGGTAAAATCATCTTCGTGTTGTTATCTTTCGAAGTTAGCACCACACTGCTCGCACTGTCCGCCCCAGACAGGATATCAAAGTCGTTGTAGTAGGCCACAGCACTCTTTCCTCCTCCTCTTGGACTCGGGGCTCCGCCGATCTTCTTCGGCCCTCCACTGGGAGATGATGACGTCATCGGAGACATCCCGCTATTCAACCCAACGTTCCCGGTCTGCCCGGTTGTTCTTAATTGTCTCCTTCGCGCCAATTCCGCGTCTAATTTCGAGTTGTACTTGTCCCACTTATCGGTTTCTTTCGCCGCTACAATTGCGCTCGCGTCCTCGATGCCCTGTTTCACCATGCTCGTGATCGCCGCCTGTCTCTCGATCGACCGGCTCGTCTATCCTGAGTAAAAACGTCCCCACACCAGAGTTGTCATGCAAATGTGCAATGACAGGGACATTTGTATCGCGCAGCTCCATGAGAGGAATTTCCAATCGTCGTGCTTTGGAATCTGTCATGCTGCAAACAGGATGCGAAAGTGGCTTTCTTATGCGCCTTCTCTTGCTAATCAGCACTACGCTGCAGAGGGGAAGAACTTGTCATGCACAGCTCCCAAAGCTTGGAGATTTGTGTTGCTAGATTCCCAACTTGACTATGGGGTCGTGGGGACGTTTTTACAAACGATATCGTCGCTTTCTGTTGCAACGAACTCGGGTGCGTCCGTTGCAACTGCTCCATGGCACCGCGGGCGCCTAGAGAAACGGAGAGACTTTCCCTCGCTTCCCGTAGCAACTTGTCCAGCCCCCGGAAGTTCCGGTCCTTCGCCTGGTCGCGCGCCTCGTGGCGCCGGATCACTTCTAAAGCGGTGACGAGCGGCTTGAAAGCGGACACCGTGTCCGTTTTCGCGAAGTGCTCGTCGAACAGCACCCTGTTCAACTTCCCCAAAATTTCCAGCGCGGACAAGTCGTGCGGGTCCATCCTGTTGTCGATAATGGACTGCTGGATCGCCGGGTTGTTCTGGTAGCTGTCCAGAAACCCGTAGGCCTGATTAGACAGCTTCCCCAGACCCGGCACGGCTCGCGCGTCCGCGCTCAAGGGCAGCTGCGGTGCTTGTCCAGCCTATCCTGAGGAAAAATGTCCCCACACCAGATTCAAGGTGGGAAATTTGCTAGACAAATCAACCAGCTTTGGCTGTTTCGCATGACAAGTCCTCTACCCTCGTAGTGTAATCCTGTTTAGCTAGTTCGGAAGCTGCATCACAGATCTAGCATATCATGCTGATTCTACCATCACAAATTTCAAAACACGAAGAGAGCATGTCTCAGATGGGGCTCCGCATGAGAAACTTTTCTGGCATACAGATTTGCATGACAACTCTGGGGTGGGGACGTTTTTACTCAGAATACAGCCTGTAGATTCATCATTCCCGGTTGCATCATCTGCGCCGTCTGCCCAACCGTCGTTAGCCGCATCTTCGACCCCGCGACACTAGCCGCCCATTTCGACGGCAATCTCCGCGACAACCTGCTCGCGACGGAGTTCGCGCACGACCGCACCATCTCCGGCATGCTCGGGGTTCTTCGGACCAAAAAGTAAATCGGCTTGCTGACCTCGTTGTTCATGATTTTCTGGCCCAATTTGTCCGCGTTTTCGGCCGTGACTAACACGTCTTTGATCGCCACAATCCTATCCCCTACCCCGAGAAAGCAATCCGAGCCCCAGCTGCCCTGCGTGACGGACTTGATTTCCAGATTCCCGGAGGAACCGGAAAGCTGCAAGCCTAGTTGCTTCGACGTGTTGTACTCCAACTGTGCGTACTGTCTTTCGTACCTCTCCCGGAAGAAGACAAACCTGGCCGAGGGCTCTCCCGATTGCCGCTTGGCCATCGTGTCTTGGATTTTCTTGATGATCGCGTCGTCGGGGGATTCCTTCGAGAACGTCTCCCACTGCTGCACTGCGGTGATCCTATCCTTGTAAATCTGCACCAAAATGTCGTTCATCTGCACGCCCGCGGCCGTCGACCGGTTTTCCGTGGAACTGTCCACGTTGATCACCCGCACAAAAGGAAACGCCGTCCAGTCGAGCTGAAACCCAAACAACCGGTGCAGCTTTTCCCGTGAGTTCAGCGTCGAGCTGTTCAAAATTTGCGCATCCAGGGATCGTTGCTCCCAACCAGTCAACCCTAATTCCTTGACATCCTTCGCGGAAGCGAGGTAGGGAATTTGGAACGGGATACTAGAACTGCCTGAACCACTGCCAGATGCCTTGTTTCCACCGGGCGCACCACTTCCACCTTCCTCCGGCTTGCCCCGGGCACTGGACGGACGATCGGCTCCGCTCCGCGCACTGGACGGGCGGTCGTTGCGACCGGGAGATGGAGTAGGTGATTTATTACTACCCCCAGCGGGTTGGTCCGGGATTTTTGCGTGGTCGGACGCTGGTGATTTCGAGTCGTCCACTTTCCTTCTCCATTTCTCCGGCAAATCGCGCTTCACATCCGTCATCCGGGAAAACGTCAGTTGGTCGAACTCCTTCGCGCGTCTGACCAAGTAATGCTGGTTGGCTTTCGGTTTCTTACACAATTCTTCTATTTTCTCCGGCTCCTTCTCTGCCAGAATGTCGTTCAAAAGCACAATGCTGTCCCCCTTTTGCAGCCCTCTTCTGTCCGCCCAGCCGTTGGGTTTTACATCCAGGATTTTCTTCCCGGAAACGCTCATATCCAGCTCGGGCACGTCGGATTTTAGCTGCACGTAGAAATTCGCGTACTTCGCCCGGAGGAAGAAAAAACTCGCGATTACCTTTTCCTTCTTCATCACCCGTCGGCCAATTTTCGCGATCACGGCGTCATTCGGCGAGTCTTCTGAGGGGGCTTCCCAACTGGCGACCTGGGTGATCCTTTCCCCACAGATGGAGAGAATCATGTCCCCGACCACCACTTTGGCCTTGGCCGTTCGTGTATCAAATGCAAATATGTCTGGGTCTGGAAGGATGCGAACTTGTGATGCGTGGTGCGGATCATACAAAAATCTGTGGTGCATGACTTGCAAAAGGTCCCCATTTCTAGCCATGCCGAAGGGGCATTTCTCATGCAGAATAGGCATCACCAAGGGGCTGCAGAACCTGTGATGCTAAGCCCTGCATTCGAGACTTGGCGGAGCTTGGAAAAACTGCATGACAAATCTCAGAATCTTCCAGACCCAGACATTTTTGCATTTGATATCGTGACGGCTGCCCGTCGTCGTTGGTGTCTCGAGCCTCCGCGTATCCACAGTAAATTTCCCGTACACGTACAAATGCGGTCTCTGCATGACAAAACTGGGCTTCGATCCTAGTCTAGCATGACAAGTTTTACGCTCCAATTTGGTGGAGTTTGTGATGCATGTTGTACATGTACGGGAAATTTGTATTGCATACCGCGACGTAAACCTTCGGGAAAGCCGTCCAGTCCAGCTTCATCCCGAACAATTTGAGAAATTTTTTGTCGGAGGGGATCGCTTTGTCCTTCAGCGTATCGAAATCGATGGAGCCCTGCTCCCACCCGGTCCCCTATGCGTTGCAAATACGTCTGGGTCTGGAAGGTTGCAACTTGTGATGCTGTCTTTGGATTCCAAAAAGATCTGCATTGCATGACCAGCATGAGGAGTAGGCTTTGTGCTCCGCGGAGAAGGCGTTTGTCATGCGGAAGAGGAATGAGGAAGCGCTCTATCTGTGAGTGATGCTAGACCATGCATCACAGGCATCATGGATCACGCAACATATGCATGACAAATCTTGCAATCTCGCAGACCCAGACATATTTGCATTTGATATCCCCCCATACTCGGCGATGTTCTTCACGCCGGTCAGGTAGGAGTATAACGGTGCACAACTCCCCCTCCCCCTCATTTGTATAGCCTGAACGGCAATACAAGCATCAGCAAGAATGCCGGTTTTGCACGACAAATTTGCACTGGAGTATAGTGCTATTGGGGCTACCAGAACTTGTCATGCAAACAGTGCCACGAAACAAAGGGTGGATTGGGTGTTTTGCATGACAAATGAGGGGAAGGGGAACTTGTGCACTGTCATAAGGAGGGCAGGTACGGGGGTGGGGCGGATTTGGACATGATGGTCGTGATAGATTATCAAGCGACGTTGACGTTGGGATTGGACTAAAGGTCGTGGAGTTAGATCATGCTAAGTAAAGGCACCATACAAATCTAGTGAAGTGAAAACAAAAAGGAAATACATGCTTGCCGGGAAGGGTATCATGGGTTGTACAACAAATGCAGCACATATTGTAGACTACTAGAACTAGACAAAGAAACTACGAAGAAATATCTTGGCGGGTAAGGGTATTGCTGAAACATGGTCGTGAGGTCCTGGTGAAAAAAGTTTCAACAAGGCAGACGCAATTAAAAACTTAGACGTACACTTTTCTGATAAACAAATCATACGAGTCCTCGGTTCGTTCGACCTGCACTTTATCAAACGGAAGATGGACGTGGTGTCGTGTACGATTGAAGACGAGGACTGGACGAGTCGAGCAGTATTAACGACGCATGAATAAAAGCACAACTTTTACGACCGATGGATTCTGTACTGCTACGCGTTTTCGCGACGACTATATCAAGAACCGAAACTCGTGTGTGGTTTGATTTCAAAACACCGACCGGAGCAGCGCAGCTTTAATACGCACGAAAACGTCAGCGTATGATATGCTGTTTTGCAAAACAGTAACGAGACAGATTCGAAATCGCACGGAGGCAAGTGTGTGGTGCCTATGCGTATCCGAAAATAGCCGTATGTGCGCAGCTTGGAAGCAAGTTGTTGGCTCGATTTTCATCTTGCTATCGCCATTCGTTCTAATCTCCTGGCGTTTCTGAAGAAACAGCGCACAACAAGCAGGTCCTGGAGTTTTAATAGCACTTGTCCGATATTGAAATTTCAAACCCGTCAAAAATCGTACATATTTATTGGTATTTTTGAGAATCCAAGAACTTGCATGTCAAGCTGTATTCTCTAGGAGACTAAAGAGGTCAGATCACATACAAGCAGTGAAAAGTTTTTACAAAGTATCTGGAATACAAGTACAAGTAGTCGATAGGGGTGGTCCTGGTCTCCCGGCGGAGGTTGGCGCACAGAGCAGGTGGCAGTACTAGTTTCATCAGTCTTCACAACCAGAACTTATGACCACAACCTCTTTATTGGTTTTGGTGCTCGATGATCATTAGTACCTCGCTAAATGTACGTAGTTCGGGTCTCTCGCCCTCTCAATGTCGTACATGGTACCGAGCTCGCCGCTCCACGTTCTTGTATCCGTCATATTTTGCAAGTCCAGCGCCCGGTAGTTGGGTAACCGATTGTGGCCCAGGAGGGAACTCTGCCCCGCGCCGCTGACGTGATATGACCTGCTCAAACGTTACAATCTCAAACGTTACAATCTCAAACGTTACAATCTAGACAGAGTTTGGATATCTGTGATGCACGAAGTGCATGATCTAGCCAAGTCTCATAGGACTGCGCATGACAAGTTCCGGAGTCCCAAACCGCACTACAATCTGCGGAAATTTGTGTTGCAGAAAGTGGAATGGTCTGCGAGTCTGTCATGCTCATTATGCAAGACAAATCCCAGATTCTATTGTAACATTTGAGAAGATTGTAACGCTTGAGCAGGTCATACGTGAGTCACTTGTTTTCTCGTCCTCTTTTGGAAGTAGTGGTAGACAATATCCGGGGTGCAATAGAGGACCATGCAATAGGCGAAGGGGAGTATAGCTGTAGAGATTTTGTTTTGCTTTGTTTTTGTGCTGAGGCTGGGAGTTCAACTTATAGCTTTGCATGACCAGAAGAATTATACATACGTACTTAAAGTGCGCCGTTCCATAAAATTAAAAACTTGAATTTGATGCTTCGAAAGTAGAACAAAAACTGTACCGAATCCAATCAACGCAAACAGCATGACCATCGCCCGGTCGGGGCTGTCTTTGAGTTGAAACCCAGCCCACGCGGATTGGACGGACTCCCAAAAGGAATTGAACCCCATGGCGGCGAGAAAGCCAGTGCTTACGACCACCATGATTTTTTAACGACCTGTATATGATAAAGCAATCGATATCCTTTATTGCAGTACAACTACAAAGACAAATTACTGTATTTTCTACAGTAAAACTGTCTTTCTAGATTGATAGTACCTCAACCGTAAGAGGGCACCAGACGTAACTGAGCGCTTTCGCTTTATACGACGACGAAGGCATGCGTCTCTTTATTTTCGATGACCTTCCCTTGCAGAAAGTGAAAGTTCTTGCAAGTTACGATTGCTAACGAAGGAGGTAACGCGCTTGAAGCGATATCACGACGAGTAGTTCACAAGTGTAGTTGGAGAGTAGAGCGAGCGCTACAACCTCAACAAATGCATCCAACGAAGTACGTGGTAACACCGTCTTCAACTACAAATAAATCTACCTTGGGGGCGCGGTCGCTCCACGCTCTGCGGCTCAATTGCTTAAATAGTGGACATTTCGTTTACGACGAGAACGAGCAGAGACGATATCGATGCTCAGTGCGACACAAGCATGAAACACGAGGACTGGTACCGGAGATAAGAACATGGAGAAAACCATCTCGGACAGCTCACCGAGCGAGAGGAGCTGCAAGTGCAACTCTACCTGCATTCACTTTTATTAGGCATCCCACGATCGACTTTTCCTTATTCAGGATTATCCGGAAGATCGTGTCAGACAGTGCAGCTGTATTATTCTCGAAAAGTTGAAATTCGGCTGTTGGTACAAACGGGTGACAATATTAACTCGTCTACGCTCACCGAAAAATCCACCAGCAAATCAAAATTTCCAAAAATTGAGCAGGAGTAAAGGAAATAAAATAGAGTGCAATACTATCTTCGCTTCATCGAGCCCACTCAAGGACAACTATTTTGCAAGGATAACGTATTTCAAATAAGGTTTCAAATAACAAGGCATTTACCAGACCACAAGCTCTAAAATAGAGTTGTCAAAATTTTCAATCTACAGTTTTACTTTTTTCTTCACAAACGTGTTTGATTTTGCAGTTTCTCAGCAATGCATTTGCTTGGACCAACTTAAAGATATTCGCGATAGTCACGAAGATTCGTTTCTTGCAGTGAAGACAAGAAAACAAGACAATTTTGTTTGATTCGTCAATTATGATGATAAAAATTTCCGGCAGCTCGTCGTGTTGATTTCGGAGTCTCGCCGGCAATGATAAAGTCATTATTTGCGACGGTTTCAGTTTGCAATTTTTTTGTCGCGTTCAACTTGGTACAACTGATTTTTGCCTATAGGATGAAACAGTGACACACAGTGCTGAAAGCTAGTACTTAAAAAAGAAAGCTCTGCTTCTGTCTTGCGATCAGAAGTCCTCGATAGCGCAGGGAGCTATCGCGAAGATTCCAGTTCTCGTTTGGATCAAGTGAAAGCGTTAGACGAATTCCGAATACAACAGCTTGAGCTTGTACTCTCGACCCTATCTTATCACGCATTTATCGGCGGGTGGTTGTCTGTGTATTCTTCCTGCTCGCCCGGACGGGAAGACGTGGAGAGCTGCATGATATGATCATCGTCGTCCGCCCCTATAACTCGATCAGCACTCTCATTTTCTAAGTGGGTAATGTCATTCAAGGCGTCCAGCGCAGAGACGTTCCCTGCTGCCATCGTATAATTCCGACCGAAGGAAAAAGACGACCCGCTTGCATTTTTCGCACAAGAGCTGGACCACCTGCGCAATCTCAAACTCACTTCGTGCAGGAATTCGGGACTCGCGATGGTGAGATCCCTGCTCGGCGGCTGGGGCTTTATTTTGTTGTCATAAGTTTGACGTCGATCACCCTGCCGCGATTTTGACTGGTTTTGATTTCTATCTGCGTATATTTCCCTTCTAGTGTTCGCGGTGGACCAGGACCGAAACAGCCCTGCTTCAGCCGGTGCAGGAGCTGATTGACCACGGTCGTCGTTGTAGCAGTTGCTGTCATGTGGTGGATCTTCCCGATGGCCATCAGTGGTTGATGTTTCGCCGCCGGCGCGGTCCACCAAGTCATCTTGTGCACCTCCTGTTTTAACACTCACCGTCGGCCGGCGGAACTGTTGCAACAGTACCCCATCGGACGAGGCCCTCGGCGGAAGATCTTCATGCAATCCAGATTCTGGATCCAAGGCGACAGTCCCAGTCGTTCCATCCTGCTCTTCCGGCATCAAACTCGGAGACGGTCGCGGGTTGATCAGTTTTGCCCGTCGGGTTGGAGGTCTAGCCGTGGACAAATGTTGTTGTTGACTGTTTGAGGATGTCTCAGGGAAAAGGATCCCCCCGCCGGGTGTCCTGCTCGCGTTGCTGGCTGACGTCGTATAATCCGGCGACCTGTCGTCTGGTGTGTCTTCCCTTTATCCAAGAAAAAACACCAATTCCCATCCAATTCTTTGTCATGCAAAACATGCAGCATACGCTGCATGAGTCATGCTGAACTAGGTGGGGATAGGTTGATTTTTTCTGTGAATACGCTTACAGTGTAGTGGTCCACATGGTGATCATCGTGTTGTAGTTGGTCTCTTGCGGGGCTAGGGCTGATGCTGGTTCCACGTATTTTCTCAATAAGATCTCTACTCGACGAGAGTGCAGCGGCCTCGTGGAGAATCTTCATAGAACTGGTCGCAGCACCAGTACTGCTAGCCGAACGAGTCTCGTTTTCTTGGGTCCGTGGCGGAGGAACAACATCAGAAGTAGCCACATGACCCCTACTACTAGCTGCACCTACCCCCCCTTCCGGCGGCGGTGGACTCGCAACACCAGCTACAGACGCCGACTCCTGCCGCGGCTGGAAAGGGACACTATGATCTCCCAGCGGTGTGAGAAAGCCCGGTTTGTTAGTGCCAAGAGGTGCATGTCCTTCATGTTCTTGGTCGTTCTCGCCTTCCTCGCGAGGCAGCGGATTTGTTTCCGCTCTATCACCGGCGTCAGGCGATGCCGTCATGGAGAGAAAATCGGTGCCGGATTCGACATCTTCTGCAGCCCCCGGTGAGGGGGATGGCGAAGCGGATATACTGCGACTCGTCGGGGGCTGAGCTCTACCACCACCTTCAATATTACCACTTGCCAGATAATTGCCGGGAGACGCACGACCATCTGCGACTGGGGATCCAGAAGGTTCCCTCCGGTTCCGGTTGCTGCGACCTCCTGGTGCTGCCGAATTCGTACTTGCTTCGGGTGCGGTCCTCGTTCTTTGTAATTGGCCAGCGGTGGGCGCTTTCTCGGGAAAAATGTTACCTGCGGGCGCAGTGAGCCACCGCTCTAGTGAAGTTAGACTGTTCACACGAGGATTTCTTGGCCCAGTCGAAGATGCGCCGTCACCAGGAAGATCCGCGCGAACGCCATGCTCCGGAGTGTGGTGATTATTGACGCCGTTCCGTTGTTCTTTGCGGTCGTGGTGTTTATTGCGAGGCAAGTTGCGCTGTTGCTGTTGCTGCTGCTTTGAAGCTGCACTACTGGAAGATCCAGCAATTGCAGGTATCGGAAGCGTCAAGGTAGACGTCGGCGACAGAGAAACGGCTTTCGGTGGTCGACCGTGCTTGTTCGACGACGTGGTCCCGATTTTCTTCTGACTCTGATTTTTACCAGATGAACCTGCATGCGGCAGGAGAACAATTTGACCGCTACCCGCGCCCAGCTGCGTAGAAGTTGCGCTGCGCCCGCTTAGATGTATGCCCTTGCCATGATTCCCATTGCCTGTTCCTGAATGGACAGAAGTCGTAGATTGATGCACAGAGTTTCTGTCGTGTGCAGTCATCCGCATCCTTTCGCGCTCAACAAGAACGACCTGATCGCTGTCGTTACTACCAGCACTACTAGAGGCCGCTGCCGTGCCCGAATTTGCAGCTCCTCCTGCAGCACTAGAGCCACCACCACCACCACCAGCCGCTGCCACGCCGCCTTTAATACCTTGTTGAAGAGTAGATCCGCTACCACCATTCGATCCAGCATTCTGCTCCCGAATTAGAGTTGTACTACCGCCCCCGCCTAGATTCAGCAACGCCGTGGTTTTCGTGGTCAAGTACTGGAAGACAAACACCGTGTGCGGCGCCAACACGATCAACAACGCCAGAACCAGCGCTATCGCTGCAAGGGTTAGGAGAAAGTAAATCAGCCGCTTCTTCATGGCGTAGTGTTTCGTGTGATGGTGCGCTGGTGACGTAGTTGTTCCGGTGAAGGGCGAACCCGAATTGTTCAGGTTAGCTTTGATGTTCGCAATCGTAGTTGATGTCACGCCTTGTGATGTTGTAGTTAGTACTACACCGTGTTTAATATTTTTCATCTTGATCAACATGCGCTGCGGTGTGGATTTCGAAACACCAGGTGAAGTAGATGACTGCTGCTCTCCAAACTGCCGTCTGCGGTTCTTTGGCAAGCGGAACTTCTTCTGGACCAACTTTTCATTGACAATCTTCATCCGGTTCGCCGGGGTTAGGTTCGGGCTGGTGTTGGTGTGCAGGTAACTCGTCGTGGTGGAAGACGAACAAGTGCGAATGCCGATTTCCTCGTCAATTTGGTGCTGCTGTTGATGTCCACCGTCTTCTCCAGTGTGGGTCGTCGCGCCCGGCGGGGCGTTGTCGTCGTGAAGCATAATTTCGTCGTGGTGGAGATGATTATCGTGCTGCCCCTGCTCAGGAGAACATCCCCCCTCAGAGGACAGAAACTCGTCTTCAACTAGAAGGGAATCATCTTCCTCCTCGTCCTCCTCGTCTCTGTCTAATATCTCGTCCACCGCGGGGCCGCTGCAACTCTGGAGACTGGACATACTCGGCGGCGCGGGTGCTGAAGAAGGGTTTTTTCGGTGCATATGATTTTGTTCCTGCCACTTGTTGTTTCTGCTTACACCCACCTGCCCACGAAGCTGTGGCTGCGCGCTGTGTTGCAGCGCAGTAGTAGCTCCGCGGAGATGATGAATCTTCGTCGGGACGAATGAATTCTGGTGTTGCAACTGCAGCTCTCGGCCGCGGGGGTTCTTACTGCTCATCTGCAAAAGATTCATTTGATGCAACGGCTGTCCTGATATAGTAACCGAAGACGCGCTGTTCGTCTGTGTCTGGAGCTGAGTATGTTTCGCGGTTGTGCTTGTTACAACTGCTTCTCCAGAAGCGCAAGATGCACACGACACATTTCCGCAGGTGCTGGGCGAGCCTGTCACGTTCGCATTGTTTCGATAGTTCGAACTCTTGCTCTCCGACAAGTAAGGCTTGCTCGCCAGCAGTGGCTTCGAAAACAAGCGGGGGCCCGCCCCAGTTCTCGCAGCGGTTTGGCCACTTAGATGACCAGTGAGCGCTGCGCTGGAGCCAGGTCGTAACAAGCTCCCTTGATGTATGGGAGTGTCAGGATTTAAATCGTCAGAGTTGAAATAGTTTGTGATGCATAAAATGCAAGACACAAAGTGCTTGTCTTGCTGAGTAAGCAAGGGAGGCAGATTGTAAGCCTGTTGAGGGGTAGAAACTGAGCTGCTGAAGTAGCATGACAAAAGGCGTATGCCTTACCCAAAAAGCATGACCAACTGGATTTCGGCTCTACCCAAATTTGTCATGCGCCACTTGGAAAATGGGTTACAGCTTTGTTTCATCCATTTTATGCATGACAAGTTATCTCAACTTTGTCGATTTCAATCCTGACACATCCATATGATGATGGTAATGCGTAGTTCTAGGCGGGTCGCAGGACCGAGACAGGCAGTCGGTGAAATGAGAAGGAGAGCTACAACTTCCGCGCCGGAGGTCATTAACTACATGAGGATAGTTGTGCACCACGACCTGCTCCTGCTGCCCGTCGTGATGTAATCCTTTATTGTGGGGGTCCAGATCTGCTCCGTAGAGCTGCCTCTGGTGCAGGTCATGATGCTGCAAAAAGTTCGTGTGACCTTGACCGGGTCCAACACCTCCAAACGTGGCTAGTACCCGCGACTCTTCCGATAGAAATTCTTCGCGAAAAGATTCCTCCCCAATGAACCTGGTCTCGTCCTGATGCACTGCGCGTGGAATAAAGCTGCGTTTGGTGGCGGACGAGGAGGAAGAGTACGTTCTTCTGCCCATAATCCCCCCTGGTACTACGCTGTTTTTCGACAACTGTGGCGACGAATGGGTCGGAAGAAAAATCCGGTCGCAGCTGCGACTAAGCCTCGGAATTTGATGTTGCGTTGTTCGTGGAACAGAAGTACTAATATCCAAGGCCGCGGGCGGAGAAATGCCGCCGTCGGTTTCGCTGTCGGTGGGAAATAAATGAGGCTGGTGGTGGCTTGGGGCACGTGGTTCTCGTTGATGCCCGGCGGGGGCTCCTCTAGTACCGTCCTGAAGATGCGAGGCACCACGCTCCAATCGGCTAAGCTTCGTGTGACCACGCCGCTGATGTTGATCAGAGGGAGCTGCTCCTTCTTCCGCATCACGCGGTGCAACATCTTCTTCGTCCCCAGCGTGGCTCCGCGTTCTTCGGTGTTTTTGTTTTCTGCTGCTTGTTCTTTTCAGCGACAGCGCCACAGCTCTACTTCGGTCAACCACGTGGTGGCCCTTGCCTCCAGCATGATCCTCTGTGTTCTCGAGATTCTGCTCATTTTCGTTTTCCCCCGCTGGTAGAGAGGAAGAAAATAACGAACTCGAGCTTGTCGCTCTCGATAAGTGCAAGGCGTCTTCCAGGTTCTCCAAAAGCGACAAGACCGTCTCATCTTCTGGCTTGCAACCCCCATGTTGACCTGCGCCAGAAGTACTAGCGCCCGAATTGTTGTTCCCAAAATTCAGGTCCTGCTCGGAATATGGCGGGGAAATGATCTGCGACACAAACGCGCTGGTGTTAGCACTAGTATTTATTCCGGTTACCAGGTTCACAGGAGTGGATTGGTTCAGCTTCGCCGTTTGTCTCCCGTGCTTCGTCGCACTCTGGACACTCGTGGTCCTACGAAGGGAACAAGAAGCAGACGGCGCTGTAGCTGCAGCAACGCTGCTGTTCGCATGCGGAAGAGAACGAGCGTGGTCGAGTGGATCGAGGTTCTCCTTCTGCTCCTCCGCTTCGGGTAGGGAGTGCAACCTTGGTAATAAAACCGGATCCCGGGCCATTTTAATGTTCTTTGCGGAGCAGGTCTGCGGCGGCTGCGGGCGGTGGGGAAGTGATCCTCCTTGCAGTTGATCGTCCTGCTCTGGGGGCAAGTAGGAGGTATTGCGGAATGAATTCTGGGCAATGACGTTCTCATGGTCGTGTGGCTCGCCGATCATTGCCATTACAAGGAGCTGTACCTGCACCAGCGAGGTGGCTGCTCCCGCGGGGAAGAAAACAAAACAAGAACGACGCGATGCTGAGAGGACGAAGTCGATGTTCGTTCCTCAGAAGACTCATTTTAGTGTGGTTTCAACAGACAAAATAAAGAGGAAGCAGTGCTGTAATTCCCGGCCAAGAAGGACAACATTTACAACGTGATACTCACATACAAGCACAAATTGTAAGAAATGACCTGCTGGCTCCCTTCGGGATAAAAAGCTACGACCTAGAAACGAATTGTTAAAAACGATTCTGACAAAAATAATGCGTGTACCATGTACAAATTCGTATACCATGTACAAGAACTTTTGTGTTTTTTTGAAAGCGACGGCAAGGTCTCTCGAGCAGGGGGAGGGGCAAGCGAACAAAACCTTACGGGGGAATACTACCCTCAAAACCATCCTGGTGCATCATCTCTAATCCATGAACAAGAAACGTAAAACGTGGTTATCGGAACCAATGTAGTTTTGTTTGATTGTGTTTTGTCGTGGTAACAGGATGAAATTGAAATTTATTCCCTGATATAATACCAGAAACACAGCGGAAAAGATGTCGCTTGTGGTTGGTGCCGAAAGAGTAGAGTTCTTGCCGTTGGAAAAACGTATAGAAGCGCCGCAAGCAGGACTTGTTGTCGTCGTATTCTTTTACTTCATCCTTTTCCAGTAGAAATTCCAATCCAGCAATTTTCCCAACTCAAGTTCCCGTTCGATGAACAGATTGGGGTCAAATTTCTTAAATTCATCGGCCCACTCATCGTCCAGTTCCCAGATGTCGATCAACTCCAATTCCCACAGCTTGCCCGCCATGAGCACACAGTACAACGCGTCCCATTTGCTGTTCCACTTGAATCCGTTTTCTCCATCTAAAGCCTCGAGCTGTCCGCAGAACGCTTCCGCGGTATCGCGGGTTTTACTCCCGAATTCGATTATCTCCGTCCACTGCTTGCAGAGGTTGCGGGACTCGAGGGAGCATTGTTTGATCGCCGTTGGGGCGCTGAGAAACTCCGGCTTCGAATTATCTTTGTCTACGCTAGCTGCTTCTCCTTCTGCTGCTGCATTTTCTTGGCTTATTATCTTTGCCTGCACCAATAGTGGTTTCAGAATTTCTATTGCGTCGCTACATCGAAATCTGTTTTCCATTTTTTCCTCCAATAGCCCGCTCATTAAGGTCGTAAATGGTGTGCCCGGCTTTAATTTTTGCTTAAACTCCGCCAACTCCTTGAATGCGTCTCTGTCCCGCTCCGCTTGTATCGTTTTTTTCTGCAGAATCTCGGAGAAGATCACACCCATGGACCACATATCCGCCCGTTCGTCGTAGTCCTGTCGGCCCTGAACCACCTCGGGTGCGATGTACGTACTTGTGCCGACCTATCAACCGCAAATATGTCTGGGTCTGGAAGAGTGCAAGGCTTGTCATGCATGTTTTCCATGACCCATAACGCCTGTAATGCATGACCTAGCCTCACAGAGTTTTACAAGGCTTCCTGATGCCTATTCCGCATGTCAAATGCCCTCCCCGCGTAGCACAAACTGGAGCTGGACTCCTCTTGATGGTCATGCAATACAAATCTCTTTCGAATCCAAACACAGCATCACAAGTTCCATCCGTCCAGGCCCAGACACATTTGCAATGCATACGACCTCTGCGGTGAGCTTCTGCTTGTTCCCCTCGGCGTTTTTGTTCTGCTTCTTCCCTTATCAAATGTAAAAATGTCTGGGTCTGGAAGAATTCATGTTTGTCATGCTTGTCTGGCATGACTCTTAAATCTGTCATGCACGTTACCCAAGAGCTCCGTTTTTCTGTGATGCAGAAGCGCAGTTTGTCATGCAGAATAGGCAACACCTAGGAGCTCAGAAACTTGTCATGCTGAGCCAGCATTTGTAGCCTCATCATGAGACGCCACCCAGCATCACAATTTTCCAGACCCAGACATTTTTACATTTGATATCTCGTGTTTTTCCTTCCGTTTTTGAGAAGCGGATTTCTTGGATTTTCTCACATTTTTATCTTCTTTGTGGTCGGAGAAAACGGGATCCTTGCCGAAGAACTTGCACAGGGAGAAGTCGATTAAAACGGGTTTCAGCATCGTGGTTGGTTTACTAGAAGATGTTGCTGGAGTTTTATTCCCATTCCCGGATGAAGCAGTTGTTGGTGCCGCACCAGCTCCAGCGACTTCTTCGTCGTAAACCATGATGTTGTCCGACTTCAGGTCTCGGTGCATGATCCCCAAATCGTGGAGGAATTTTAACGCGAGAAGGCTGTAGTACATGATGGAGAGAGAGTCCTTCTGCTTCGTTAGCTGCATGTATGAGAGTGCACAACTCCTCCTTCTCCCCCTCATTTGTATAGCATGACCAGCAAAAATACAAACACCAGCTCCAGCACACGTGTATTTGTGCATGACAAGTAGCTTATGCACGGATTGTAGTGCTGTTCTTTGAGCTTCCAGCATTTGTCATGCAAACAGGGGAGGGGGACGAGTTGTGCACTGTCATAGCTTGTTCTCGATCAAGTGGTAAAGATCTGACTTAAACTTGGGCATGATCATGCACAGCCCGCCCTCTTCGATCGTCGTGATGTCCAAGCACGGGATAATTTCCCGCGGGTAGTCCCTTATCTGGCTCAGCAGCCGCAGCATGGCGATCTCACGGAGCACGGCGGAATCGATGTCACCTTCGTCGGACTCCTCGAAGCGTTTGGCGGCAAATTCCTCCCCGTCCTCGTTGTACACCACCATAACGGAGCCGAAGGACCCCTCGCCGAGCGCGTTGGTTCGGAAGTAGGCGCCATGTTGGAGGGGCTTGATTTTTGCTGGCGGTGTCAGTACCACGGGGGTCGTCATTTTGGTGTGCGAGGGCGGTCGGTGTCGCGGCTTATTGTTATTTCAAGTCCAACATGCGAAAACAAAATTAAAATATGAAGATGAACTGTAATCTCAGTTGCCTTAGATACCGCATAGGTTCGGTTCCGCTGTCTTGTGAGTGCTAGACTGATCAAGAAAATTTAGAGCCTGAGCAAGAGCCTGTGGGATCTTGACTACCTTCAGCTTCATGATCACGTACTTTACTATACATCCACAGCAAAGTAGTGGCCCATCACCTCTGAAATCTGGCTCCTGAGCAAAAGATGCACAGCGCACCAGCTTGCACTCAAAAGCATTTAGTGAAGAACTTGCACATTTATCGTCGTAATTTCGTATACATGTCCTGAACAAGGAGTCGGTGCCGCAGCACTGAAAAGGCCGCTGCGGGAGCTGTGGCAAGCCAGAGGAAGACTGGCAAATAAATCGCGCCAACAATTTCGCTGCTTCATTCGTCGCTACTTCAATACTTATCCACTTCATTTACAGTTTCACAAATCGAAATTCGTGCAGTCCCTGTTTCCGGATATCCTCTACCAGCAGCGCAACGGCCGCTTCCGACCACTGCTGGTTGCAGCAGAAGAAAATTCTCCCCCCAACCGCCGCGATCACTGGCTTCCCAGCATATTTCTCTTCTCCAACTGTCGTTCGAAACAAAGTTTCCTTCCGTCTGTTCCACTGATCCGCGACTTGCTGGGCGAAGAAGGCAGGGAAAGAATCGGGCGATTTTCCTGTGCGGTTGAAAAAGTCAACATCTGGCTCGAGCGGCTTTGTTCGGTCATAAGGGAAGAGAGTACGGACGCGGATGGAGAAAGAGACAAGAGAATTTTTCCTTTCAGAGGATGTGCCTGCTGATGGAGTTGCGACGGCAGCCTCTTGCGCCAGCAGGTCGTCTTCAACACTCGCTACCTCTCGTAACCGCTCCAATACCTTTGAACTGCTCTGCGGTGCTGCATTTGCTGAAGATGCCGCGCAGCTTGCAGGCCCCTCTAACTCCTCCGCAATCTCCTCTTCACTCACGCCTGCTCTGTCCAAATTGGTCCCGATCAACGTCAGTTTTGAGTAGGGCGTGATCCCGTTTTCCCAATCTTCCACGGTCAAATCCATCCGGTAATCCCCGCTCAAATTCCACACCCACTTCTGCTTTCCCACATGCAGCACACCCTTGGCGCGCCATATTGAGATGGTGGTACTCGTCGTCGTCGCTGCGTGAGAATTCCCGTCCAGTTTGGTGCTGGTGAATCTCGCCGACAACCCGCTGAGGAACCGCAAGACGTTCCCTATTTCCAACGAGGTCAAGGACTTGTTGTAGTCCAAGGTTCCAAATTGCGGTATCAAATGGTCTAGCGCGACCTCGTTTTCTTCACGGCGTTTTTCGCGCTTTATTTTCTTCGATGAAATTGATGCTGTATTTGTCGCTGCTAGATTTCCATCGCCTGCGGCTCCGGTGAAATCGCCAGCAGCATGATCATCCTCATCCTCATCATCGCTCGGTTCCTCATTCAAATACGGATCTAACACTTTCAGCGTCTCGCTCTGTTCGTGTGACACCACTCTAGCGCCGGTGTGATCGGAATTCGTGCTGGTAACCGCGAGAATTTTGGAAATCGCCACGTCCCGCATCATGGCCCCTGCGATGGTGATTGGCAGAGAGGTGGGAGAGGATGATAGATTTTTCCCCGAAGATGTTGCAATGTTGAGTTTCTTCAAAATCCTCTCGACCAATTCGTCTCTTCTCCTTTCCTCTTCTTCTGGCGAGACAATCTCCTCGCAGATGAAAAACGACCCGTCTTCCGGAGAGCTGTCGGTGCTAGCGGGGCCAACAGGCTCAAGGGCACTGTCTCCGCCTTCTGTCGGACGACTCGTCCTTTTATCACAACTTCCCGCCCCAGCCCCATAAACCTCCTCCAGCAAAAACTCCAGTTTGTTCAAAACCAGCGAATCAGCGTTTTCCAGCTGCCGGAAGACCAGCTCCATTTTCGCTTCATCATACTCCAACACTTCTGAGCAGTCGATGACGCAAACCACTTGGTCTAATCGCACCCGGTACAGGCTCCCAAAGCTTTTGTTCATCATGTCGCAGACGCGAAATGGGTCCTCCGCCCCGGACAATTCCAGCAAAACGTAGTCGAGATTCCCCTCATCGATCCCCTCGGTCAAAAAAATCTTCAACGTGCTCGTCAGCGAAGATTCATAATTCGCGCGGTCGCACCCGCAGCAGCCGCCGCCGTGCAAGGGGATGACCCACCCCTGGTGCTTAATCTGCGCGAAAAGGCCGTGGTCGGATTTATCCTTGAAAAAACCGTTCAGAGAGCGGCCGGAAATTGCGAAGTCATGGTTGCTGGTCGTATAGTTGGTCCCTTGTTGGCCGCCGTGGCGGTGGACACCAAGAGTTTTATTTGTGTCGTTTTGATAGTTTTTGTCCTCCTCGACGTCGTCGTCCGGCGTTTTGCAAATATTCCCGTCCTCTTCGCGAAGATTTGAAACACCTTCATTTTTTCTCGCCTTGTCCCCTGCGATTAAATGTGAATCAATGTTCACCGTGGCCGCCTCGTGGACACAGGTCGCAAGGCGTAAATTCAACCGATTGTTGCAGACATGGCGAAGCAAAGTGGTTTTTCCGCTACCGAGAAAACCGGTTACCACGACGATTGGCAGGGCCTTTTTGCGCTTTTTCGCGAAAATCGCGTAGTGCTCCTCCCGTTTTAAGCTTTGGAGTTCACGGAGAATGGTGGCGTCGGACAGAGGATTTGTCGGGTGACTCGCAACTCCATTTTGATGGGGACGGCTTTGGGGGGCCATGACCATGGTGTGCGGGTTTCTTTGGGGCTGCTGCGGAAACCAAATTAGTTCTTGCTTCAGGAAATAAAACTGAAGATCAAATCGATGAATAGCAGCTGAAATAGTTGGAGTCGTGGGGGGTGATGAAAACTACTCGCTTATTGGAAGTCGCATTTTCAGAAACTTGGAGGTCGTGTGGGTCAAGAAAAGTGTCATGGTGTTGAGCTTCACCTTGTGGGGGACAGAAAGTAATCCAGATAAAAAGATAAGAACCTGCACTGAAAGCGGTGAAATAGAAAAACACGACGGTTAGAAATGGTTTCGAGTCCACTTCTTCGTGGAAGTCATATGTCCTTCACCACAACGTAGTAGACCGAGTTTGCTTTTCTACTTTTCAGGTTAAAAATTGATCCTCTTGATGCTCGTCTTGAGAAAGTGCCTGGAAGATGGTGAGCTGGCCTGCTCCATTTGGTAGCAGCAATAAAGGAAGATCTTGTACTAAGCAAAGACAGATCTTGTACAAGCGCAACCCCAACCCTTTTTTTTTGCTATATTTGAATGAGAAGTTATGATTCTCCTGCTGCAATTGATTTTGCTCTTCTTGAACAAGTATTCACACATATCAGGGTTCGTCACCGACAAAAAAAACACATCCACTCTACCCACGTACTCACACACAAAGCCTGCTCCTACAACACACAAAAAAAGACGGAACAATGCCGAAAGCTGTGCGGCGAAACGCACTGTTATCGAGGAGCGCCAACGCTCCTAAAACAGCGTCGGTCTCCGGATCATTAACGCGTTTGAAGTGACGGACCCAAAATGTTGTTGAAACGATTGAAATTCTATCTTTATTGCGTTTGGCAGACAAGCAGAAACAAGTTTGCATTTTAACAGACAAACAGATTGCAGAGCACAAAAAGATTGATTTGTCTTGTGAATTAGTTGCGATTCGCAGACCGAAATTTTTCTTATTTATTGTTCATTGATACAACTTCAAGTACCAGAGCAAAAACTTAAGTATCCATCGAAACTCCGAACTGAGATGAGATTAAGCTCTCAGCTGCGTCAGAATGTCATCTTCACAACAATGTGCAAGAAGAAAAACTACCTCCACATAAACCATACCCCTCTCGAGGCCCCTTCACAGCGGCCCCGTCGCATGCCTTCCGACGTTTCCCATATTCCCCACATGCGCGCCGTCATTTTCATCCCTGCCACTGAACATGTGCGCCAGACTGTTACCCCACCTTGCGAACCGGTGAATCCAACTTGGGATCGCCATACTTGTCATCCCTAACAAAACCTGTGCAAACTCGTCGGAAAACGTGCAGCAGTTGCGGCTCAGCAAGTCGTACGAATTGCCCTGCCACGCCCGCTCCATTGCCCCGACGATGTTCCCCAATTCTTCCACCGACAGGTACGTGTAGCCGAGAAAAATCGACTCGCGGTACTTGTGGGTGTGGTGCTTTATCCTGTGCAAAAGTATCGTACTCGTAGTAATTGCAATCATGCATATACAAATTTCTTTCTCAAGTCCAATCCGCATTACAAATTTCATTTCTCATGCTGAAGAAATTTGTAATGCATTTATACGAGTACGATACTTTTGCAGTGCATATGCTTCTTCGGCGCGTGGGTCTCCACCCCGGTGCCGTGGGGAGTGTACCCGAAGGAAAATTCTCGGTTGTGCACCTCGATCCCCGCGTGGAAAACGCCGCCGAATTTCAGCATTTTGTTGGAAAAAACAAAGTTCAGATTCTTGATTTTCTCCGCCGCGTCTTCGTTCATCGGAGGGTCCAGGTCGTAGACGTTGACGTAGACCGGGACTTGCCGCCAGTTCAGCGGGTTGAGCTCGAGTTTCTGGTGCCTTTGCTGAAGGGCTGATGTTATGAACTGGAAAAGTATCGCACTCGTATAAATGCATTACAAATTTCCTCAGCATGAGAAAAAAAATTTGCAATGCTGCTTTACCTTAGGGAAAAGATTTGTAATGCATGATTGCAAGAATACGAGTACGATACTTTTGCACGGGATAGATGTCGGCGCGACGTCAGGCTGGATTAGAGGGGTGTAGTAGCGGCTGGACATGGAAGCTTGTTCTACCGGCGCACCTTGGGCTCCTGCCGCTGCTGCTGCACCCATATGATGTTCTCGCCAGGCGATGTAGTCCACTCGGGCGGTCTGCGCACCAGACGAGCCACCAGATGGTTGGTTCGTAACAGAAATTACCGGCTGGTGCATAACGTGACTTGCAGGATTTTTGATGTTCAACACATGTTGATGTCCTCCAGCAAACACCAAATTCGATTGCTGCATTTGGTTCGGCCCGTTCGCTTGTGCTGTGCAAAAGCATCGTACTCGTAGTAATCGCAGTCATGCATTACAAATTTCCTTCTTAACCTAAATCCGCATTACAAACTCCATTTTTCATGCTGAGGGAATTTGTCATGCGATTTCTACTAGTACGATGCTTTTGCATTTCATATCGCCCGGAAGCAATCTCGCACCCAGGGCGACATCATCATTCCCGTCTCCCGGTTGACAAAAACTGAGGAGAAACTGAGCCTGTACCCGGCTAGAACACCCCCAGATCCACCGCCTTTCTCAAACTCGAACTCGAATTTTTGTGGTGCGCCGTATTTACTAGTTTGATGTTGGCCATTCAGATTCATTTGCGATTGCATTTCCACCAACCGTTTCGTCAGCTCCGAGTCATAACTCCGAAACTTCGCAGTGCTGAAATAGGTGTCGGGAGGTATCCTGTGCAAAAGTATCGCACTCGTAGTAATCGCAGTGATGAATGACAAATCCTCTATCTTAGGGAAATCAGCATTACAAGCTCCACTTTCCTTCTTGGCAAAATTTGTCATGCAGTTTATACTAGTACGATGCTTTTGCAATGCATAGGAGGCGTGCCGAACCCAATGTGATTTAAGCGGTAGGAAACCGTGTTCGGGTAGTTTTCGCTGTTTCTGGTCACAAACACCGGCTGGAAGGAAAGGAGCAATTCTTTCTTATGCATTGCAAAAGCATCGTACTAGTAGAAATCGCATGACAAATTCGCTCAGCATGACAAATGGAATTTGTCATGCTGTTTTCCCTTGGGATGGAAGTTTGTAATGCATGATTGCGATTACTACGAGTACGATACTTTTGCCCAGCATATTTCTTCGAAAACGCCAATTGGTTTGCTTCCGAGCTGGAACTGCCGGAGTTAGTCGTGTAAAAGTGAGCTAGTTCCCGATCCACCGCCTCACCACCGTTCTTAATCATGTCCTTCGACACTAAAAGCTTCGTCCGGCGGGTCTCTGTTTGGTCAAAAACGAAAAATTTCAAGTCGCGGAGACCGTAGAAGTTGCCATCATGATTCGTCTGGGCGTGGTTCATCTTGTGCTGCTGGTTATTGTTGTTCCCGTTGTAGCTGTTCACAGCCTTCTGCCACTTCTGCTCCCGGTCGTGATTGATCAAAGCAAGCTTCTGCTGAATTTCACCGCACTGGTAGCAAATTTCTAATCTTTGGCTCTTGCAATAAGGGTTCTTGTTGTTCATCGAGCTAGAAGCCGCGCGTGCTGTCGCAGGCGCCGACGCACCATTGGTATTGTCGCTGGTAGACGTCCCAACAAACACAAAGCCGTTCGTGAAGAGTTTCTCGACCATTTGCCTTTCCACATTGTCGATGGTTTGTTGGATTGCGATCTGCCGAGGATCTACTTGCTGCTGCTGTTGTCCTCGTACTCCACTTCGATCGGTCACCGCACCGGAAAACGCCATTTTGCCAGGAGCAGCTCCAGGCAACACTTTGCCTATTACCCTTTCCGCTTTACTCTTGTCGAAGAAATTCTCGTAAAAATCCTCCTCATCCAGGTTTTCCAGAGTGGATGCACTAGCTTATCCACAAGAAATAATTTCCCGCACATGTACAACTACAAATGCAGTCGCTGCATGACAAAACTTGCCTTCAGTCCTAGTCTAGCATGACAAGTTGGACACTGCAAGTTAGGGAAATTGCTCATGCATTTTGTACATGTACGGGAAATTTGTCTTGCATATACCTGAACCTGATCCAGCCCCTCCCCCGCCGGCGAAAAAGCTCCACAGATCTTCCTCGTAGTCCTGATTGGAAGTTTGCTTGTAATCCATAGTTCGCAAGTAGTCCAACGTCCTGCCGCGCTCGTTGGGGGCGTGTTCCGGAAAGTTCTGCATGTAGTCATCCACGCGACCGCCGCGGCGGTTGTTGGCTTGGGGTATAACGTTGTGGACTGTGCTAGTACTAGCAGTGATGTCCGCGGCTTCTAGAGCACCACTATCCTCACCGGAGGAGGAACTACCTGACCTTTTCTGCATGAATTTCTTGAAATACCGCCTCGCCGACGGGGTTTCGAACTTGTCAACCCGCTGCAACATTTGTTCGTCGTGGTAGTTCTTACTGTTTTCATCAACATTGTTGCTGTCCAACGTCGGAAACAATTCGCTGACGTTTTGATCCACAAGCGCGATATTCCTGCCTGGAACTACGGCCCCGTTTTGCAGCGGAGTCACTTTCTCTTCCCATTCTACCTTGTTCAATCGCTTCATCTCCCGGAACCGTGCTCTATTCTGTGTGTTGTGATTCGCATTCATCCGCCCAGTTGTACTGCTATCATCTATCCCGGATAATCCGAGAAACAAGCTGGGCACGTTGATCCGCTCGTCGTTTACCAGAATTAAGAATCTCGAGTCGGGCTTCAAGAGCAGGCTGTTCTTCAAAATTTTCTCCCTCCGCTTAAACAATTGCTGTAGTTGCAACCTGTTCTTAAACATCGTTTGCGTGTAATCGTAGGAAAAGGTCGCCATCGGGTCAACTCGGATGTCGAAGTCCTTTACTGCGTCGAGGATTTCGGAATTTGACTTCGCATTCATCAGCTCCGGAGTGATCATGAAATTCGCTCTTGGGAGGTGTTTATTTTGCGGAGGTGCCGCATTGACATTGACATTGAGTTGCGGTGTGGTCCTCCTTGCGGTTCTTCCGCCCGTAATTATAGGCCGCGAAGATGATGAAGCTGCGTTTACTTCATGGTCTTCTACTGTAGTCGTGGTGCCCGTGTGCGGTCGCCATCCGGGCTGCTGCGGCTGTCCTTCTTTTGTGGTCCTCGGCCCACCTCGCACGCCATACTGCTGCATATGGCGTTCTCAAACGTTACATTCTCAACTGTTACATGGTTTGTCATGCAAAATTGCCTTCAGAAGCGACACCATCAAGTTGCTTCGCATGACAAATTCTCAGAGGGCCAAATAGGGTGATAATCGGCGCCAAGTCTGTCACGCAAGACGCGCAAGATCGCCCCTATCACTTTTGCCATTCTTGCATCACAAATTCATGTAACGGTTGAGAATGTAACAGTTGAGAACGCCATACTGCACCGACGTGTAATGTACCGCTTCGTCCAGAGACGGCGTAGTTCCTCGGTCAGCATTATTTTCGTATGGATTTCTTCCCGGCTTTTGGACCGCATGATGAGATGAAAATCTATTCCCGCTGTCCGAAAAGGGTGCAAACTGATACGCGGAAAATTCCCGGCCCCAATCGTCGATTGGCTGCGGTGGAGCTGCGACTGGCGGTGCGGTATCTTCCTCTTTCACCTGCGGAATCACCTCTGTCTGCTCCTGCACGAATTTCGTGTTGCGCCCGAGGAAGAGCTCAGGAAGGGGAAGAACGGAAGTTCTTGATGATGGGCTCCCCGTTCTTGTCCCCCGATTAATATGCAAGCGTTGTAGTTCATCAAAATCATGCTGGTGGTGCCCGCGGCCGAAAGAGCCAGGTAGTGGGCGATCCGCGAGGGCGAAAGGAGCAAAGAGCGGGTGAAATGAAACCGTAACGAAAGGAACCAGGAAAAAAGGAGAGTGAGCGAGCCACATCTTATTCAGCATTTTCAGAGATAAAGAACTGAGACTGACGAGGACAGCGACTACACTTCTCAAGCATGCTACTTTGAAATACGCACTTATGGGCTCAATCGTCTGAGTCAGAAATTTACTTATTTCACAGCATGATGGACCTAATGGCAAACCAAAGTAGCAAAACGACAGGGAACAACAAAGCACATTTTTCGTCACCGATGGCGCACAGCCCGCACGCAGCCACGGTAGCCTTCTTGACGAACGGAACGCACAACACGCGCTCAACGTCACGGCAAGCAGCAAAATAAACGAACACAAAGTGAAAGCGCCGAGCTCCCGGACACAGGCACTAGCCAATAGGCACAATGAATCAAGCACACCCGTGTCACTGGTTCGGTTATGCCCTTCTTTCATAATTTTGATCTGAAGTGGTTATGTGCATTGTCGCTGCATTTTTCGTCGATAGAAAGGAGGATATTGGCGTCGTAAAAAATAGCTCCGGAAGAACAGCTGTCGCTTGTTTGCTAGCGCTCGTTCTCGTCCGTTATGAGTTAGCAATCAACGTAAAAATCACCGTGGTACTAGTCGCAGTTTCAGCTCCTTCAAAGAAAATCCTCCTCCTCCTCGTAGCTGTTTTTCCTCCTTTTCGCACTGTTCATCTCTGCCGCAGCCTCTGCAGCTTCGAACAGGCCGCGGCCGCTTTTGATCCCAAATTTTGCCCGCGCGGCTCTCTCCGCTTTCCGCTCCTGTTCCTCCTCCAAAGCAAGTAGCCGGTCGAGTTCGGAGAGCGCTGCTTTTGCAGAGGAGGGGAGATTCACCTGTGGTTCTTGAGCGGCGCCGATGTTTTGTACGTTGTTCATACTGCTCGAACTTTTCCCAGCTGCAGAAGATCCTGAAGAACAGCCGGTGCTTTGAAACAACGGTGCGCTGGGGCCTTGATGTTCATCATCGTTAGCATCCTCCATGCTGTCGATGTCCATTCCCGTAGCTGCTCCTGTTCCAGTCACACCTCCAGACATCACAGCCAGGCTTCCATTTTTTCCCTTCCCACCTGTGCCGTACTTTTGTCGGTCCGTCAACATCCGGTCGCTTCTCGTCTCAAGTCTAGGAGTAGAGGAACCCGCGGGCGTATTTCTCGTAGTCGTATTGTTTTGCTCCTGTTCTCGACGTTCCGGAGGAGTTGTACTACTAGTACCCTTTGTAATTAGCAGCTGTTCATGCAGTTCTGCACCAGGAGCAGGAGAGGGCGACTCGCAGGTCTCTGGGCTTTGCAGGTCAGCACCAAGTTGCCCCTCCTGTTGCAAGTTACTACCAGTACTCTCGTCAAAATCTACGTCCATGCTGTCATCGCCAAAATTGTCCAGGAGCTGCAGATTTTCCAACTGCGCAAAATCGTCCTCGTCCATCGCCGCGTAGGCCGCTTCCTCCTCTTTCTCCCGCTCTTCCAAAGATTGCAGAAGGTTTTTCGTCTCGGTGGAAGAACAGGTGGTGGTGGTGGAAGAGTTATTTGGTGCTGATGCGATTGCACAACCGGAACCGGCACGAGAGGACACCGACACCTGCGCTCGTCCAGCAGCACCCGTGTCACTTGTTTCTTGAACAGGAACATGATTCGGTATCAACGGCATTTGGTAATTCGAGTTTGGATTTCTGCTGCTCCCAATCGGACTGGGTTTCATCTTGAACAAGTCGGGTGAGGCCCCCGCGTTTGGATTGTTCGGGCGGGGATAAGTTCTCGGCGGGCTGTTCGGTACTAGCTGTAACATCCCATGACCACCTCCTCTCAAAGACGACGATGAACCTGAGCCTGAACTCATCTTGTCCTGTCCAGACGAAAACCCGCAGGCGTGGAGCGATTTCAACAGTGCGTGCTGACCCCGGAGAAGATCCGCTGCGGAAGATGTAGATGTAGTGCTGGTTGTATCAAGGTTGTCCACGCCTTGACGAGGAGGAGCTACTACTACATTTTGGCTAGTGTTTCTGTTTTCCCCAACTGTATTCGGCGCTTTCGACGGAAGCTTTGTGACCGGAGTGCCCGTTACTCTCGTCGCGGTTGAGGTCTCAGGCACGTTTGTCCACTGGCGGGGGTTGGTGGAATTTCTCGTGCTCGTAGAAGATGAGGAAGAAGCATTGGAACTGCTACTTCCGCTTCCATTTTGGCCAAAAGAAGAACTACTTGAAGATCCGAAAAAGGAATAGAAGTTGCCAAACGCACCAGAAGCGCCAGTAGTTCCCCGCGAGGAGGTTGAGGAGGAAAAACCACCTTGCTGCGACGATGAACCAGCACCATCACCCCGACTTTTCGGTTGCTGCAAACTGGAAGTTTGGTTCCGAAAAATCGTACCACATTGTCGGTGCACCAAATGCCCCTCTGGCGCGGTGACCACTTCATTTTCGTCCTCTTTGATGACAATTTGGTTGCACCGGTCACACTTCAAGGTCGTGAAATCTTTTTTACCGGAGGACAGAAGCTTGGACACGGTTAAGGGTTTAGGATTTTGCTTGCTTGTTCCGGCATTTTTCGTTGCATCTGTTTTCAGTTTGCTCGACCCACAAGCAGAACTCGCTAACGGAATCGGCTGACCGTTGCTGTCTTGCGTCAAGTACTTGACCGGTGGGTATGCCGGGGGAGCCATGGGGAAGCGACGGGAGGTGTGGGGAGGGCCTGTGGGAGGGGCAGTAGAATTGGATCTACCACTAGAAGTCCGGCTAGAATTCGAAGACGAAATGAGTGCTCCGTTTTGGAGGTTGTTCGAAGCGAGGCGTGCGGAGGAGCTTCTTGAGGAGGAAGATGATGCTCCACCTGTCGCTCTTCCGTAAGATGAGCCACTGCTACCACGGCTGGAAGAACTTCTACTGGACGAGGCTCCTTGCTGGTACCCGTAGGGCGGGTGGCGCGGGTTCAGGTATTTCACTGAGGAGGACGCGGCCATGGCTTAGAAGCACAATGATGTCGTTGATGCGAGCTGTGTATGTCTTCAAGGTCGTGAATCTGTAGAAAGAGGTCGAATACAAGTCGCTACAAGATGAAATGTAAGGAGCGGTGGTTTCAACACTCGTGAAAGAAGTGACAGAACTGGCTAGGAAGTCGCGTGAGTTTGTTCTAACTATGACGCGATCTTCGCGTTCAATCATTTTCCAGTACTAGAGAGGTATCAGTACGACATCACAAAAAACGCGCGGCCGTGCCCTGCCAAATTGAAAAGGTTTCTCATCTTGGTATGTCGACCTCAATAGTATTTGAGAGCGGGTGAATGACTCCACACAGAAGCGACGTCCAGATATGCGCGCTAGGCCGCAGCCGCAAGAGAGTAAGTTTCTTGTGAAGAAAGCGCTCGAGGTCGTCTCGTTCTGACATTTTCATCGCACAACAAGGGTACACAGCACGTCACGGAAGATCCTCCTCAATACAGATTTCTCGTCCTTCGATCAGGTACAAAATAGGGGAGCATTGATGGCGCCTTCATTTTCTGTATCGGAACAGGATTCACCAGTGATTCATTCCATCCTCTCTTTTAGAGCGTGCAGAGCGTAACCATATCGATCATTTTGTTCACTTCTCCAGTAGCATCTTCACATTTTTGCGCTACTTACAGCAAAGTGACACAATGTCGCGAATATCTTCAGGACCACTATGGTTAGGGACATTGGGGCTGTACGTGCGAAGATCAGAGAAATTTCGGTACACAACATCATCGGTGAAAGGATTTTTATGCCCCCTCCAACCGGTACCGTCTTTCCGCCTCCCTCTTGTACTGAATCAACTCGTCCCCCTTCTGCACTACCATGCCATCTATCGCCGAGTCCGGGAATTTCGCGAGCTCTTCATTCGTCAAAACCTGCTCCTTGTCGTCTTTGGACTTCTGTTTCGGAACTTCCTTTTCTAAAAATTTCTGCCACACGCCCGGCTCACTCGCGGCGCCGGGAATCGGCGGTCCGATCTTCTCGAGGGAGTCGGAACCTGAGGGTTGTGGTAAGATCGTTTTCTATTTGACAACGCATGAGAAAAGTGCATCATCCTTCAGATCACGCATGACAAAGTTAAGTGGCGCAAAGTTCGTATCTTTATTACCTGCCGGAATGCACAGCGGTTTGGTCATGTCGAGACAGGGTTTTGCCGTCGGTGGCGTGTTAAAGAGCAGGCCCTTCAGGATACCTGTTTATTTTCGCATGATTAAGTTTGAGTATGTGCTGCAGGCAGCATTGCACGAGAAATTGATCTACTCTATCTGCTCTTAATCCTGTTTCTAAGTTACGGGCTTCCGCACCTCGTCCTAATTCATTGAGCAACTCTCTCTGCATCACAAACACTCACCCTGAAAGAACAAGTTCGTATTATACCTCGATAATTATTCATGCTCGTTTTCTCCTGCACTGCGGTCGTGACGAAGTGTCCACACAAAATGTGTGCGAAAAACCGCAGTCCCCGAATCAGCACTTTCCGCAGCTCCGCGTCCATTCTTCCAATCATCAGATCGTACTATGCATTGCAAAACTATCGTACTAGTATAAATTGCATTACAAATTTTCCCAAGAGCAAAAATGTAATTTGTCATGCTATTTCAGGTAGAAAGTTGGATCTGTCATGCATAGATATCTGCAATTAGTACGAGTACGATACTTTTGCACAGGATACGTACTTCGCAACCACGATTAACAGCGGCACCGGGAAGGGCCGTAGCTGCTCCTTGTTCGGGAATTTCTCAAACACCTCTGCTGGCTGTAAGTCCGGTCTTGTATCAAGTGCAAAAATGTCTGGGTCTGGAAGAATTCATGTTTGTCATGCTTGTCTGGCATGACTCGGGAATGTGTGTTGCATAGGCACGAAAAAGCCCTCTTGTGATGCAGCGACGCAGTTTGCCATGCGGAATACGTTGTAAGACATGGCAGCCAAAAAATTTGTCATGCGTAACTGCGTATTGCAGTGCGTCTATCATTCATTTTTAGCATTACAAGTTTCCAGACCCAGACATTTTTGCATTTCACATCTTGTACTCGCGGACAAATTCGGATTTGCCGCGGCGATTTTCGAACGGAGTAGGCTCGTCCATTCAAGGAATGACTGCAGGATGTTCCCAGGTTCCGACCCGTCTAGAACGACACAACATAACATGTTATTTGATGATGTGGAGGATGAGGATGTTGTAGTAGAAGTGCTTGTGCTTGAAGAGGAGGAGGAGGAACTACTTGCAGCTGTCGTTTTCACGACTAGATCCGCAAAGACGTCCAGCCCGCTGTCGTACAAGTGCGCGACGTTTTTCCCGCTGCCCACCGCCGCATCCGTGCGGACGAATTTGTAGTCCAACGCGACGGTGGACTTCGGAAAGTCTTCCTTCGATGGGTTGATGAAACGCTCCACTAGTGTTGTCTTCCCGCACTTCTTTTTCCCGACAAAGAGACAGGTCGTGTTGACGGACTGGGACTGGTTGGAGGTTAGGAGACTGTTTTCATCTGCTCCATTGTTTTCGTTCTCTTTCTCGATTAGCTTCGCCGAGGCCGGCGTGCCGAGCTTGTCCCATACCGGCACGAATTCGCTCTTGGAAGAGCTTTTTGTGCGGGTGGAGGAGGAACGCATGGGTAGAAAGTGGTAATGAACGAGGTGTGAAAGTGAACTACTAGTACACGGTCGCCGTTGAAGATACTTGTAACGCTAGGCTCAAAATATAATCTTTATTTGCGCCGTCACTAAGGCAATGGCAATGCAGATCTTCTTGTCAGAGCCCTTATCTCGTCGCCGCGTCCTCTCTCCATGTCCATAGTACGTATCTGTTGCAATACTCTCTCCACCTACCCTCGCGGAATCACCAAGCGTTGCGCGCTGGCTCACAAAAATAAAAAAGCGCACAGACATTACCGCATCACTAGGAGCAGAAACTACAAGAGCAAGACGCAACGAAGATGAAACGCCGCTCCGCGGCTTCTTTGATTACCAGCCCCATGGACCATCGAAGCACAACCGCGGTCCCCAGGTCGTGCTTAAACTCCTTTTATTTCGTTTTCGAAAATCAGACTCCATCTGAGTCTATCATTTTCGTGGTGCATTTTTCGGTTCATTTTACTTCTAGATGTGCCCCGTCCATTGTAGCTGCAGATTGTTGAAATTCTGTAATCTAGTTGTAGCCTTATATGCGAGCTACACCTTACAAGAGATTCTAGAAAAGTTGAAGTTTTAAGTTCTTGTCGAATGGAGGTGCATGCTTCTCAAAACTAGCAAGTTCTCTGACGAAGAAAATTTGGTTACGTAAAAACATAAAATAGCGCTACGTGGTTTTTGAAAAGTTGTGAGGATTTGTTGAGTTCAAAATTGACGACAGAGCCACTGTGATTCTCTGTCGTCGCCATTGTTGATGCCGGTCTGTTACAGCAAAATATTGCTGCTGTAACGATGTAGTTTCTTGAAGACAAATAGAGTAGAAAAGTTCGCTATTAGAATGGAAATATCCTTGCCGTGCAGTAAACGTTCCACCAGGCAGCTGGTAGAACAAGAAGAAGATAACAAGTCACTGCTCATTTGTCATTCGTCACTAATTGAAAATGCCATACGTGGTAAGTAAATAAATAAGCGTGCTTGGAGCTGCTGCCAGCACCAGCTCCACCTCGTCCTGATAATAATCTACTTTTCATCAACATGATCATCAATTTCATGCATAACAAACTTCTGGTTCTGCCATACTGCATTACTCTCAGTCCAAGACAAAGAAGATCACGCACAGTAGACCCACTCTCCGTTCAAATACACGCGGGAAAGCAGCTTTCCCCGGCCGTCTTGGGTCACCATGGTCATGCGCTTGAAGCGGTTTTGGGTCAGGTAGCGTTCCGCATTCGGCTTTTATCAAAAGAAAAAACCCCTCCTCCCCATATCGAAGCGGAAATCTGTGATACGGGATCTGTGTACACAAATCGGCTCTGTCTTGCAGTAGAGGACTGCAGGCAGATACAGAGCGGGAGTAGGGGCCTTTTGGTGTAGGCGTCAAGCAGGGCAGGCATATCCTCCGCAGGCCCTAAAGCATTACAATGGGCATGCAGGACACGGCAAGCTTTTTGGATTTGCGTTCTTGCAATACAGAGACGATTTGTGGTCTCCTATCAGCATCACAAATTTTCAAAAGTATCCTGGTTTGGTATGGAGAGGGGGGATTTTTCCTCCCAATAGCTTTTCCGGCCAGGCCTCCGGGGCCGGTTTCAACGCAGTACCGGATTGGGTGCGGAGGAGGGTGGCTTGGCTGTGGTAAATGTAAATGATGTATACAACATAGTGTGGACTAACATGAACGAAGGAAAGAAAGTTTGTTTCCTCTATCAAGCTAGGAGATCAGGAGTTCGAGTTTGTAGTGGGAAAACAGCATGACAATGAAATACGTGTGATTGGAAAACCAAAACAGCATGACAAATAATAAATACGTGTGATTCTGTTGCTTCTCGATGAGCTCCGCATATTTCTTCTCCGCTATCCTGTGCAAAAGTATCGCACTCGTAGTAATTGCATTCATGCATTACAAATCTTTCATTTGAGGTAAATCCGCATTGCAAATTTTGTTTCTCATGCTGAGAAAGTTTGTAATGCATTTATACGAGTACGATACTTTTGCAATGCATATCCGCGGACTGTCGACACTTCTTCTCCTTGGTAAACATGTACTTCCGCCAGGCGTCGTCTAAAAGCCAATTCTCGACCAAAGGCCCTTTGTTCGGACGCGGGACGGGCATTTTTTATTTCTGGTGCCGCACGTGATGATGATCAAGTTCAACAAGCACAAGCTGAAACTGAAAATAACCACTACTTAGAGAGGACACGCAAGAAGTAGACCTGGAGAGGCAGTCCTCACACTCACTCTGCTTTGTTTGGGAAAGCGAACCACCAAAAGAGGACGAATAAATTCGAAGTTCCAATTACGATTTTCATTTTTCTAGAATCTCAGTCTCTGTCCCATTTCCATTGAAGTCATCATGTTCTGTCTCACACTCATCTTGTTCCTGTCACTCTAATGCCTACCGAAATTCGAGACGACAAAAACCCGGCTCCGCAACGAAACGAGCATCACGGAACAGGAGAACGGCAATTGGTGACTCCGACCATGGTCAAAAAGACACCCAATGAAGGTCTAGTACGTATTTCTGGAGCGGTCTCCGTTACTACTTTCTTACTGTTTGTTCTCAGTGTCGTGTTTTGCATACTTACTGTCAACCGAAGAACTAGAGTGCGCTACTGCAAGAAAATTATACTATCTTTTCTTGTGGTTTTACGATTTCCTGCTTCTACTTATCATGAGAAAAGCCCATTTGAAAAAGCAAACTGTTATCCAACTTAGACTCGAAAGAGGCTGGCTCTTTGTTTCTTTCAAACTTCAACACTTTTCGCTTTGGTTCGTCTTGGTAAACTTTGTCTAGAAGTACTCTGAATATCTAATAATCGTTTTGGTTTTGGAAGTTCCATCGAGTTGTACTGAAGCGCAGACGGGGCGAGTAAAGCTTAGTGAGGTCGACGAGATTCGTCATTCTCTTACTTTGTTTTCAGCACATCGCCTTGCTACTCCGCTACCCGGTCTAAATTTCCGCTACTGCCCAGCTGCCCGTTCTTGGTCCACCTCCTTTCCTGCCCGTCTTCGTCCAGTTCGAATGATAAACCCGAATTCAGCCTGCCGATTGTTTTCCCCGTGGCGCTACTTATTGCTACGGACTCGGATTTTTGTCTGCTTATTGACATGGAGGGCGAGATCTGTCCCTCGCCGGGCACCATCTTTCTCCAGATCTGGATGATTTTTTATGTGAGAAGAACTGGGTTTTTTGTCATAAAAGACCTGGGTTGAAAAAATGGTTCTCATTCTGTCATCATGCGTAATGCAACTACACAAGGCACTGTTGAAACCAATAGTACAGTTGTAGAAACAACAAAATACGTCGCCGTCTGCCCATATGATTGTCGTCATGTCGCCGTCTATCTGAAAGGTCCCACCAAAACTCTCCGCGTCGGTGTCTGACGCCGCGCCGGTTTGCTTGACATCTGATAATTTGTCATGTCGGATTGGATTTGAAAACACCACTTCTTGCGAACAAGAAAAGCGAGCATGACACACTCATGACAAGAAAATCAGCATCATGCACAACATGATCATGTTCCATCGGATGCGTCACAACAAAAACGTCTTTATCAGTACTGAAATTCACGTGTATTCTCCCGTCGTCCGTTTTGTCTGCGCTTAAATTTCCGTATATTGCTGTTTCCCCGAGAAACCAAACCTGATCCGCTTCTACTACGAGGAAGTCCTGGTCCGAGGTTTGCCATCTGCCCTGCAACAAGTCCATACAATCGTCGTCGTCGACATCCTGCGTTACGGCGAGGGACTGATCGGGCCCGGGGGGCACCGGGAGAGTGGACATGAGAAGTGGGCAACAAAATACGAAATCCGATTTTCAAAGAAAAAAAAATATTCAACTTGCCTTCTCGGAAATTAAATCAATGACGCGCCCTTCTTTTCCTCCAATTTCTTTTGCTGCAAAGATCGTAGTGCCACTACTTCATGAAAGACGGACGACACAAAAAAATCAGGATAAAAACGCAAAGCTTTCCTATGATGCATGCTACCAGAAGTTGAAGCGAACTACATAGCGATAGGCCCCCTCGCCAATAATATTTTTGTGCAGAATTAAGCCACACTCAGACCGACTGGAGGTGATTGAAACAAAAAAGAAAGCCTCGTACGGCAAAAAAGAAGAAAGAACCGAAATTATTGGAGCTGTTGGGTGTGATAGACTTGATATTGTTGTCCACGGGACATCAGGCTTCAGCACACAAAAAGAACCCCTAGTTGCGTCACATTAGTGAATGCCGACATGCCGACATTCTCATTCTTCCGAGGCGATCTGCACCAACGAGAACCAAGGTTACAAGCTATCTACTACATGGTAAAACAAGAGTGTTGAACATGCGCAAACAAGATGTTAATGTTGTGTTTCATTCCATCCCATCAATGAGCGCCAATCGTTTGCTGTTCGCCTCTACTTAGGGCAAACAAGTAAAAATTGTTGACAGTCAAAACTTACTCTTACATAAAAAATCCGTAAAGATCTAGATGACCATGAAGGTGAAGCGCGCTATGCCTCCCATTAACGATAATGGAGAGTACGTACTGAAGAAGTGCAGAAGTGTTTGTGTTTAGAGAAAATGCATTCCTATAAGGACTTACCGTGAGAAAGATGCGGAAGCGATACGACGAATAGAAGAACATAAACATAACATTGAACGTGAACGGTCGTGAGTACGTAAAAGTGGATTTCTTGATAAGTATAAAGCCCTAAAATAACCTGAACGTGAACGTCTAACGAACACTTCCGGGCACCCTGAAGCGGCGGCGCTAGCTATCAAAAACCTGGGAAAAAAATGCTTGGTGCCAGTTGAGCCCGGGGGCGGTCGTGAGTACCTAAAAAAAAACAAAAAGCGAAGCCGCTTTCTTTGCGGCCCCCGGTAGTATCACTTGCTCTCGGTCTTGTCGTCAAGAAGATCAGGAGTACTAAATCTCTGTTCGGCGGGTAGTCCGAAGTTCTTTACCAACAGTGTGTACGTCGGGTCATCAGACTTAATCTCTTTCTCGACCCAACCTGCGGTGTCTCGTTTTTTTTTTGTGCCCCCATCCACCCCTTCCATGTGCTTATGTTTACCGCATTCGAATTTCGTTTTTAGCCAGACTTCTCGCTGTACTTGTCTAGGGTCCGACCAAGCCAAATCGGACTCCGCCATAGAGAGTTTCACTTCCTGAGCCACCTTGTCGTCGTCCTTTATCGCCTTTACCGGCTGAGCAAGTCTTTGCACGAAGAGCTGCAGGTCGTCGATCTTCTCACGGCGCGTTTCCCCATCCATCGTGTGACCATCTTTTCCTGTAGCTGTACCTACTTTCGCCTTCAATCGGTGTTCACTCAACTCGTTTTCAAAATTGCTGAGCGCGCCTCGTGCAGAGTTCTTGACCTCTACCTTGCCGTAGTCCGCGCTCCCCTTTTTGGCCTTCACAGGCACCATGAACTCATCCCAAAACTTTTCGAGAAACACGAGGCACTGGTCCGGATTCCTTTGGAGGAGAAGGTCAACATCGTGGACGCCCAGGTCTGCGCTTCGCAGCGCATCAAGAAGTCTGGCCAAATACCTAGCCGGGCGATCTCGGCCACGCGAAGAAAAAGCATCGCTGTCCGCTTCCATCTCCTCCACCAAATATTCCGGGTTTGTTTTGGGCTTTTTTCCATCGCTAAAGGCTCTTTGAACCAACATCTTGATGTGCTGTTTTATATCTTGTGGCCCCTCACTGCTTCGCCCCAAACGCGGCATTGTAAAAAGAGGCGGAGTTGGGTCTTTACAATTCTCGCATCCGCCTAACACTTCGCGCAACCACGCGGCAGCGGTCGTAGGATTCCCGGGTTTGGGTTCAAGAATCTTTGGCAGAGGAATCCGGTGATTACCTCCAAAACCGTCGCAAAGAGGCTCCAATCGGAGCTCGCCTGTCCTACAATTCGTCAGCGCATCTAGGTAAGCTGTTATCTGGTGCGCCTTTCTGTGACCATCCTTGCCCGTCGCGACATCCGTGAGAACCTTCTCCATGAAGTTGGTTAAAACATTGTTGCTCGGAAGCTCCTGCAGCCTGTCTCTTTCCGGATCGTAACGAGCCATGTTCCAAGCAATGCTCTCCAACATCTCCTTCCCGTATTCTGCATCCACGGACGATTTCAATGGCGAACTCAGTAGAGATTTGATTTTGTCTCGGGCTGTGGAGTCGTCCGCTGTGCCCGGCAGCATTACCTTCGCGCCCCCGTCAAGGGTGAATGGTACAAGATAGTCGGACAACACTCCCGCAAGGGCGCGCTTCCGCTTCTCCTTCAGTGTCACTGATGCGTCGGCCTCGGTACCCGCTGCCCCTGCGTTCTGGTGCATTAGCGAAAGGGCTACCAGCTCCTTGCCGAGAGTATCCTGTCGCTTCCGTGGACTACTCCTGCTCACAGCATCAGCACCATCAAGATCAAGGTCACCTCGTCCAAACCCCGTTTCCATCGTCAGAAAAGCGATCAGCTGCTCATGGGTTGCAAACGCGGATTCTGGTGCAGCTGCGGGTGCTCCAGAGGTGCTCGTCGTGCCGTAGCCCACCTCGTAGGCGAAAAGCTTCGGCGCCAGAAATTGCAGAAAGTCTCCCGGCGTGTTCCGGGCGTTCCCGGCAATTGCATTGGTTTTAACCCACGATAACAGAGGGAAACTTTCGGTCGCGGAGTTCTCAGCCGTGGACCCGATGGAGCGAAGCAGAGCAAGGCAAGAATTGTGCTCGTGCCGCAAATCAGAAATCTTTGGATCTTGGGAGCAAACCGACTTTACAACATCCTTTACGTTAATGAGCATGGCTTTCGCGGTGTCTTTCTCCTCTGGTACTGGCCGTGGCAGTGGTTCTCGCGCGGGGTCGACCTCCGGGGCTTGTGGTAGGTCTTCGGTATCGGGAGCTAGAAGATGATCCGGTAAGCTGCTTTTGGACGCACCAGGAGCCGCGCCTAGTATCGCCGGTAAGGTCGCGGCCCTACGCGGCGGCTGGCGCTGGGGCTCTCCCTCTGCTGGGTCTGCCTTTGCTGGTGGTGGTGGAGGGGGCGCGTCCGGTGGAGGTAGTGGTGGTCGTTCTCGTTGTAAGGGTTCCTCGCCGCGACCGGACGATGCTTTCTTAAGCTTTGCTTCTTCGGGACGATCATGCTCTGTTTCTTCGGCATCACCAGCTGGTGCAGACGCCACAGCCACGTTCTCTCGTCCTTCCTCGCGTGGTGGAGGATCACTACCTGCTTGTGTGGTGGAAGCGCCAGCATCTGGAACGGTCACGGTAGAACCAGGACCCGCACCGGGAGCACCGCTGTCATCTCCAATGCCCCCTTCAGCAATTGCTCCTGATCTCGCAAGTTGCGTCTCCAAAAACGCTAGGCGTTTGTGTATCTTGTCAATCCCCGCGGCAATGTGCAACTGGAGAACGGCAGAGGCAGTTGACGCAACATCCACGTCCTCCACACCACTGCCTGTCGCCCCCGATTCCGCCTTAACATCACCCTCCGTTGACTTCTTCTTGTTTTTTCGAGAACTCGAACCAAAATCCGCATCGCTTTCCGACGACTTCTTCTTGTTTTTGCGACGCGACGACCGGCGCTTCTTGCTTCCACCCCCGCCCTTCAGTTTCGTCTTCGACTTCTGTTCGTCTACTTGTTTCTCGCCGCCACCTGGCCCATCAGCAGGTTCGTTCTTACTTCCACTTTTTTCTAGCATCGTCGCCCGTTTGTACGCCGCCACGACCTCCTTATCCAACTGGTCGTCCTCGTCTTTCAAGAAGGCGTACTGGTTATGCATTGCAAACATGTCTGGGTCTGGAGGAGTGCAAGGTTTGCCATGCTTGTCTGGCATGAGTACGGAGTTTGTGATGCGTGTCTAAGAAAAGACGCTTTCGCTTGTCATGCAAAGTCATGCGAAAAACGCAACACAAAGCCTCCCAAATATTTCTCATGCTTGGCTGTGCATTAGAGATACAGAGCATTGGTGTTCCCGATTCACAGCCCAGCATAAGCATTACAAGTTTCCAGTCCCAGACACATTTGCATTTGATACTGATCCTCAGTCGCCGTGGCGGCGACCAGCACGGGCGGTGATAGCAGGCAAGAGGTGCTCCCGGCGACCCGTACGAAAGTTTTGGTACGAGGCATGTTGTCGAAGGCGGTGTAGTTGACGCGGTTCGTTCTTTTTTTTTACTGGTTATTTCCAGAACAAATATCTTTTACCAGGGCGTCAAGATCAAGAATGAGAATGTCCGAGAGGACGATTCCAGACTGCAGCGTGTTCTTCGCTGTCTTGCGTTGTTTGTCGGAGTTGCTGTTTGTGTCGTCTAAACGTCGAAAAACGGAAATGGATGAGCAGCTACTTCTACTTCGCCTGATCGTGAGCTCTGCTGGTTTGAGATGAGAGTGGTAGACAGCTGCGAGTGGTGCGTTTATATGTCGAAAATGGAAAATGAGTGAGTACTCGTTCTTCAAACAACAGGTTTTTTGGGTAAGGTTAAATGAAAATTGTGGGATGTCGTAATTTGTGAAAGAATTCCTCATCGGGAAACTGTGTCGTTAGTTGCAAACGAAGATAAGAAATACGAGCACCAGGCCGGAGAAAACAACATCAACCCTTTGCTCGCCTCTTATGGCCTGCGAGTGACTGTCTGACATATACAGAAAACATATGGGGTCGTCAACGTTGTATTTGCCTCAGACCGTAAAAAAAATTCTGCGCGCATTTTTTCGCGGCGCAAAGCTAGTAAACCTGTGCACGCTAGTGAGGGGCTGACTTGAACGCGGTTTGTTTTACCTAGCTTGTCAGCAACACTGCTCCAGTAGGTAAGTGAGTATTGACGCGAAGGGGGGCGGGGCGCTGGGGGTTCTTCTGTGGCTGATGTTTCCACCTAGAAAACGCCGGGCGCGCGCAATATTTTTCTCATTTTTCCGGATTGCTCTCTCCGTGCAGCTATTTGCCGCTATGGCCTGGGTCAGCGTGTGAGGCTGGAAACGCCCCGCGAGATGTCTACACAGGCCCTGGCCTCGTCGTCTCTAGCAGGCACCACGCACACATGTTGGCCGCGAAGGCCTTTCCGGAGCCCTTCCAAAAAGGGGGAGCCGGAGGGGTGCCCGGAACCCTAAAAAAAGCCTATTGCTTTTTCTTCGAATCACGATGGTGCTACCCCTCCCCAAAAGGGGTCCCGGAACCCCTCTGGGAACCCTTCCCGAAAGGCTCTCGGGCTTTTCGCATTTTGCCGAAAAAGCCGCAAAGGCAAAATGCGCGCGCGCCTGCCGGTACACGCGTGCACAGCTGCGCGACATTAGAAACAAGGGGAGGCGCAGCCGCGGCCGATTCCGTTTGCGCCCTCGACTCCGACCGACTTGCACAGATTGAGGCCCATTGTCTAGCGGCTGGACTGCAAGAGGACCTGCTGCAGCACCTCCTGGCTGCAGGGGCGCTCCGAGGCAAGTCCGTGGAGCAGCAGCGCCGGATAGCTCCGTCTTTAGCCACTGAGAAGCGCTGCGAATAGGCTAGCGATTTCATTAGGTGTGCAACATAGTGGGGGGCTATACGTGTGCAACATGATGGATATCAAATACAAAAAAAGGCGCGCGGAAAATTTTTTACAGCTTGAGGCAAATACAAGTTTGACGACGCCATAAAACAACATCAAGATTGATACGACGACGCTTACTTGCTTTTCAACGCACGAGACCGAAACTTGCACGTTTATTTTGGGGTGCAGTTCACGACGGACAAACATTTTTAAACGCAGTACGACAAAATGAATACGACAAGATTTGTTCTGGCTCACTTACTTACGAACGGGAACGAAAGCGACACTGGACGAGATACAAATTACGGTCCACCGACTAAGCAGCCCTTGAAGTTGGACCAAAAAGGTAGAGTCCACTACTGCTCCATGTTACCGACACCGAGACGATATGGGTATGAGAAAAGCGAACGTACTTACTTTGGCTTTGCTCAATAACAATAACAAGCACGATGAGGCTCCATGAAACGGAGCAGACGCAGACCGAACGGCTACTTACACGCGAAGGTGACGAAGCAATTCGCTAGAAAAGAGCGGGTCCGCCCTGCTTTGCTGCTGGTACAGCTTCTACTTGAAGAGTTCTTCTCGATGTTGTCGCTTTTTGCGTTCGCTGCGATAATTCTTCGAAACTGAATGTTGGAGTTGCGGTCTTTATTGTTCACAGGCTAGTAGAAGCGCGGCTTTGAACTTTTATGACAATCGCTGCAAGGGCTGCTTCTTCCTTTCAAAGCAAAAAATCTATGTTTTGCTCCTGCTTTAAGGATTTTTGCGGCACATCATCTGGCGGCGTAAGTAGGATGCTCATGAACGAACCTCACCTCGTCCCTCTCCCTGAGCAATTACCACTTCACTCGTGGTGAAAGCCAGCACGACCTGCTCACCCAAAACTCACATCATATCATCCCCTGGCATGTCGAACTTTCCAATGTTGTCAATATCGGACTGCTTCGGCCCGCCCGGCTGGTACGCTTTTGACATTGCCTCGCCGATGATGCGTTTCATGCTGTCGTCACCCTCATCGTACATGTCTTTCATCATGCTCATGATCCCGCCCGTTGCATCCGCCGCTTTCCCCTTGTTCGCCTGTTTTTCGTCCTCTCGCTTTCGCCGCCCCCCGACGTCCGTCCAGGTCTCGTAGCTGATAGTGTTTTTGTAGTTGTACTTTTGCATGACAAGATTTACAGCTCCCCCTCTTTGTGCACCATGCCACAGCAGATAAACGTGCTGAGTAAAAGTAAATTCCCTTGCAGCTATAGAATTATTCTATCATAGTCTTTCGAGTTCGAAGTACAACTCAAATAGGAGATGCATCAAAGAAAAAATCCTTTACTTACCCCATCGTTCCTCCCTCCACCTTCTGCATGGTGATGAGCACGTGATTTTTCTTCACCGAGTGCGACGATTTTGCCGCCACGATGTCGTTATGAAATGCAAAAGAATCGTACTAGTATAAATTGCATTACAAATTCACGTAGCATTACAAATCAAATTTGTAATGCGGATTTGCCTTAGTAAAGAGATTTGTAATGCATAAACGCAATTGGTACGAGTACGATACTTTTGCACTCGATAGTCGTGCTGCAACGCGGTTCTTCTGAACCGGTAGTTTACCCTGTTATGGGTGTGTCAGGATTGAAATCGACAAAGTTGAAATAGTTTGCGATGCATAAAATGCAACGCAGAAATTGTCTCTATTGCAAACGATGCAAGGGAGGCAGATTACAAGCCTGCTGTGGGGTAGAAATAGAGCTGCTAAAGTAGCATGACAAAAGGCGTCGTCCTTACCCAAACAGCATGACAAACTGGATTTAGGCTCTACCCAAGTTTGTCATGCGCCACTTGGAAACTGGGCTTCAACTGGCATCCATTTTATGCATGGCAAATTATTTCAACTTTGACGATTTCAAACCTGACGCTTCCATACCCGTCCAGGTTTTTCACTTTCACATCCAAACTCATCCGGGTGAACTCCGTTGTGATGTTATCAAAATGAAAAATCCCCCCACCCCATACGCGAACTTGAAATTTGTGATGCAGATTTGTGGCCCTGGCCACAAATCTTCAGCTTTGTCATGCTAGAAGGGAAAAGATGCGGACTGTAGTGCTGGTTGGCGTGGGCAAGCCTTGCATCTTCAGCATGACATGGGGTAGCTGGGAGTGGGAAACAGCATGACAAATTGCCTGCAAATGAGGCCACAGCTGCGTCTCTTGGCCTTCTAGCATTACAAGTCGACTTGTGTACTCAAATACAGCATCACAAATTTCGTTTTCGATATGGGGAGGGGGGATTTTTCATTCTGATAGATGTTTTCGGCTGGCAGATTTTCCACGCCTTTGAGCCGCAAGTCCACGACGACCTCCTTGTCGTTGTACCCACCGCCCTTTTTCATCTCGTAGATGCTCACCTCGGTCCACCTGAGAGATTTTTAGGAGTTTGTTTGTATGTAGGGAGTTTGGTATGCAAAATCAAAATGAGCCGTTCCTCTTCCTCGTTACATCAGGAGATCATGGTGGTCATCTTCAAGACACTACTTACATATTAATATTTCCAAGTAGAAGAGGCCACTACTTACTTCAAATTCGCGTCCGATGAGGCGCTGGCGCCAGCTGGCGCTGCACTCGCCTCGCCGTGGGTCTTCAATACGTCCATCGCACCCGTATCGTCGTCCAACACCACCGGTTTCGGCCGGGTTTTCTCGATCTGCGCCTTGCTCTGCTGGATTTGGCTGGTTAAGAAGTCTTTTACCAGTGGTCTCTTCGCGTGTTCCACGAGCTGCTCGAGCTCGGCGACATCGAGTTCCGAAAGGCCGCCCATTTTCGTATAAAATTTGTGGCTGACGCTCTATGTCTATTGGTACTTATGCGGACTTCGAAAAACCAGTATGGCCTAGTGCTGGTAGACGATCAACGCTACAGAATCAAGAAACTAGGGATGCAACTAGTGAGTCGTATGTCTACTTCGGAACAACTACAGAACAGATCCTGCTTGCAAAACCAGTGACTGAGTACAAGAGAAAGATCAGCTCAAAAAGACCGTAGAAAAGGTGGAAATGGAAGATCAGATGTGTCGCAGGGTCCTTCAGTTGGCCTCGATGCAGAAGTTGTGAGGTGTGTGATTGAAGATCCAAGAATCGCTTGAAAGATGAGGACCAGGTGAACCTGGTCCAAGAGCAAAAGAAATGCTGCCAGTCGTCTTCAAAAAATGAAGGACGATGAGGTACAGACTGGAACATTTTTCTCTGGCCCCCTGCACAGAGACAACAACTCGACTAGTGGAAGGTCGGAGTTTTGGTTCAACACTTTTTTTCCATTTCAATTCCTTTATGCTGATGATCATACGATGAATCACACATGTACTAGCCGAATCCTTTCTCGGCCTTCCGGGGAATATGTTCTTTGCTTACTCGCCTTATTTCAACTTGTTCGCAGCATTTTTCTAGTCATTTGCAAGAAAAAGCTGTAGTAGGAATTTTCTATACCCGTGATAATTAAAACAACGCGTAGGGGTGGATAGTTTATGACCTTAAATTTCATAAACTACTTCTATCTCCACCTAAAAACACACACACACACACAAAATCTTTCTTTGCCTACGGTCCCCGATTTTTATTGTGAATAGTTTTGGAATCTAAGTAAAATTTTGCGGCTTTTCTTGTTACCCTTTGAATCAAGTTGTACTTCTGCATATGTGATAAAGGATTAAAAAGTCTGTCTGTAGTACTTCCCTTTGCTTGTAAAATTGAACATACATAAAGGTACGAGGAGCTTCACAGAGCTTCTCCATCGTGATTACAATTTGTACTAAAATTTGAAATTATCGTAAATAGAAACGCATTCATCTTGTAGGAGTCTACTTTGCATTCCTCCTTGCTTACACTCACAGGGAGCTTGAAGGAAGCAAGAGACTTACAGATGACCCAAGTAATATTTGTTGAAAACGAGGATTGATGATGTGAAGTTGAAGTTCTTCTCTTCTAGTTGTCCTTAGAGAGCGTGACAATTTTAGATTTCTGAAACCGGTGTTTATTTAGGAGTTTTTGTCTACTGCCATCACACAACGACGACATCAACTGAGCTGCAAGGTCGACGTCAACAAGAAGATTTCCCACCAACTAGAAGGATTTTTTCTTGAGCCAACGATCTCCAGGCAAGACAGTTTTAGTGTCGCAGGTGGAAGGCATAGGAGCAGATCACGTTTTAGGCTTACTCTGCAAGATTGTTTTTGCTAGTATCATGCAATTAAATCTGAAACTTGTTTACTAGGCTTATCGTCAACATAGGCTCTGATTACAGAAATCGGAAAATTCATAGTAGTGATGAAGCAGAGTAGACATTTTCTGCCTCAACAAGAAAGCTACCGTGTGTCGAGGTGTCAGAAACTTTTTTTTCCGAAAGAACCGTCCCATTTCGTCGTGATATTTTGAGTTTCGTGATGCGTGGACGGTTCCCCTTTCCTGCTCGGCTCCAGACATCGTCGTTTTGGAGCGCTTTTCGACGTCATAATTCTCCAGTTCCTGCTCTGACACATCATCTGCTTTTCGTTCTCTCGGTCGTAAACCGATTTTTATACTTGTTGTTCTAGAAGAATTCAAAACCGTCGAAAGGAAAACTCGAACCAAATTCCAAAATAAGTATCTGAACTTCAACCTCCGAACGAGATGAAAATTAAGAAACGTGATTCTTGTCGTAACATTTTTCTTGTAGATAACACAATTTCACGATGTTCCTACTTCATTTCTCGTGCTTTCTCCCTTAACCACAGAGGGACTGGGCCACGAGCGCGATCGGCATAGCCAGCAAGGTATGAATTGCAAAGGCGTCGCACAAGTAGTAATTGCAATACAAATTCGCGCAGCATGACAAATGGAATCTGTAATGCTAATTGACCTTGGGAGCGAGCAGATTTGTAATGCATGGCTGCAATTACTACGAGTATGATACTTTTGCAGTGGATACAAGGCAATCGGAGTGAAGATCATCATCGGGATGCAGTGCAGCTCGCCCTTCCTGACCGCGGGACCGTCCGCCTTCGCGGCCGGCTTGGCCGCGGCCGCACCACCGGCGGTGGCGGCCGCCGCCTTCGGCTTACCGTCATCCAGCACCCCGATCACCGCGTCCGGGGCGTACTTTCCAATCACATCCGGGGGGTGGATCATGTTAAACTCCTCGGTTGCGTCCTTACCCGCGAAGGTCAGGATCGCCAGCGCACCACCGGGGTGGTCCGGGAGAAACTTGGTCACATCCAGGACCTGGCCGTTCACCACGACCCAGCAGTCTGTTTTTAGTTGTTTTGATCATTTTGTAAGTATGTCGTCAGCGATCTCGTCAATATATTGTGGTCCAGCAACATCATGCTCATGCACTTGCACGGCGGATTCCGCAACAAAAATTTAAGTTTAACTCGTGGTGTGCATCTTCGATTTACATTGCAGAGTTTGTACCACGAAGCAAACAATCTATCACTATCATGCATGAAAATCGATGTTATATATTACCCTGCTCCGTAGTGTGCTTGGCGACTTCCGCCAGGGTGTAGCCACCGCTTCCCGCACCCGCGGCCGCCGGAGCACCCTTGTTCGGCTCGTCCTCGTAAGAACCACCGGACAGGGCGGACTTCTCGGTACCGCCGCCGGAGATACCGCCACCAGAAAGCTCGCGCAACGAGGTAGCCTTCAACGACGAACCGAGCATATACTGGGCGCAGCTGTTGTTGAGGTGGTTTTTGATTCAGGATCTTTCTTGATCTTGTCATGCTAAACAGAAGTGCGGCACACTTTGCCTCCCCCTTTGTAAACGGCCGCAGATGGCTGTCACGCAGGGAATGTAGGTCAGGCGATCGTTGCACTAAAGAGCGAAAGCGTCATGTCAATCATGCATGAGAAACATCAAAAAATATGCTCTAAAAGTATACGCCTTTCCCGCGACGCGACCGTAGACCACGCAGTCCAGCAACGAGTTGCCGCCCAACCGGTTGTTTCCGTGGACGCCACCCATCACCTCACCCGCCGCGTACAGACCCGGAATGACTTTTCCGCCCGCGCCAACCACCTCGGAGCTGGTGGTGATTTCCAAACCGCCCATGCAGTAGTGGATAATCGGGGTGATGATCGCGACGTAAAACGGCTCGGAGGCGAACTGGGAGCCCGGGATGATGTTGTGGAAGAACTTCTTTCCCGACCCGGTCTTGCCGGACGGCTCGTCCCAGGTCTTGCCGCTGGGGTAGGCCGGGAACGGGCCACCATCCGGATCCTTCTCCATCTTCATCGCAGCCTGGTAGTGGGCCTCGTGGGCGGCAGCCATGCGCTCCACCGGAACACCGAGGTCCTTTGCGAGAGCGGCACCAGACTCGTAGAACTTCATCACGCCACGCCCGGTGTAGTGCTTGCAGTGCCAGATGATTTCTTCGGAGGCAGCCTGAGGTTTTAGGTGGAGGTGGTTATGATGTTGACTACGCTTGTTTTTTTGGAGAGAGATGTTCAAGCGTGATGGCATTTTTCTGACTGTTACTGGAGAGGCACTGATCATGCATGCCCGCAAATTGCACATAAAATGTATTTACAGTTTTACCTTGTTCAAGCACAGACGGAAGGGTCCCTTGTTCTTCCACATCTCCCCGGTGACGTAGTCGCGGCGACCCAACTCGTTGGCGAACCGGTTGCCATCGGCATCGAAGATCAAACCACCGACACCGCGCAGCGCCTCGGCGGCCAAAAACTTCACCTTCGCATCGGGGTCCTTGGGGTTCACCAAACCGGTCGGGTGGACCTGCACCCACTCCAGATCGATGGTCCGCGCACCAATGGCTTCACCCATCTTGATACCGTCACCTGCGGATTTGATGGTATTGTTTTCATTCTACTGTGATGAGCAGTAGATGAACACGACCCATCTTCAAAAATAACGATCATCATTCTCTTAAGGTTGTACAGCAGACGAGCTGGAAATTTAAACTACCGGTGCAGTGCTCGCCATTCGAGGTGGGCAAGTGCATCAAGTCCGGGCGGTACTTGGCTAGCAGAGAGTCCTGGGAAAAGTCGGCGCCGAACCCGCCAGTGGCGATGATGACCGGTCCCATTTCCTTCAGCATGGAGCCACCCTTTTCGTAGTTGACCCCGACGACCTTGCCTCCCTGGAAGATCAAGCTGGTGGCCTTCGCCTTGGTGACGACCTTTGCCACGGACCCGTTGGTCTTCTCGGCGATCTTCTCCACCATCTGGATCAAGGCGTAGGTGATGGTCATACCCGGGAAGCGCTCCTTACCACGGTGGGTACGCGGGGCGGAGTGACCACCCAGACGGGCGACCAGAGAGAGGTCCAGACCGAACACGTCCATCAACCAGTCGCAATCCGGACCAGAATTTTCGGCGAGGACCTTTTTTTGTATTGCAGAATTTTGCATGATGCGTTGTCGTAGCTGTTCTGTAAAAGTTCAAGTTTGGAATGCATATGACTAATGAGAGCTCAAAGTTGTATTGCAAAAGTCACATATTATACCTTGACCAACTCCGGCTTCTTCGCACCACCCTTCAAGCAATCGTTGGTAAACAGCTCCACGGAATCCTCAATTCCATTGGCGCGTTGGGTCTGTAGTGGTATTGGTAAGTGGTTTAGGCATGACAGACTTGATCCATCATCTTGGTTTCACATCTTAAATTGCAAGCGTAAGCTTGCAGTTTGAATGAGACATGCAAATTCCCGAACAAAATCCAAGTGAATAAATCCCAAGTGTGTTGTATTAATACCTTGGTGTTAGCCCCGTTGATTCCACTGGTGGCCTTGGTCGAGTTACCACCGCAGAACGCGGACTTGTCCAGCAGCACAACCTTGCCGCCGTTTTCCATAACGGTATTGGCCGCAGCCATACCGGACAAACCACCTCCGAGAACGATAGCAGTCATTTTCGGTTGTTACGTTTTCAGAAAAAACGCAAAAAAAAAAGACGAGAGTTTCTTTGTGGAACTCAAAAAGCTTAGAAACACAACTAAAGAGATTTCGATTTTGTACGTTGATTGGTTTTTTTGCAAGAGGTCTATGCGATCTCTTAGGGTTGTTGAAAAGTTTTTGACAAGTCCTCTGGTATGTACACTTACATACACAGCAAGACGTTACTTAGTTGTGATTGATTTATTTCGGGTAACTTTGTTTACAAGTAGAGCAGCACTTTTGCTCGTTACTTCGGTCAAAGTGCAACAAGAGGTGGAAAACAGAATAACACAGTGTGTTGAGTTTAAGGTTTGGTATTCAAAAGCTCGGTATACTTACCAAGGGTAGCACAAGGTTACTTCTTGTAGTTTGGAGGTAGTTGCTTTTGTTTTGGTTTTTGCAAACACAATTGGAATGATTTCTCCTTTCACTTTTTTTTGTCGCTACGAGTACGAAAATCACGACCCGGAGCACTAAAACGCTGAGGATGAAATCAATCCTTATAAACTTCTTCTCAGTAAACTTACTTTTGGGTTTTCCCGTTGGGCGAGAAGAGGTGTTGTGGTGATTTTTCCGCTTTTATTTTTTCTCCCTGTAGTTGCATAAGCAAGAACCAACAAACGAATAAATTCATTCACTTATGTTTCGGGCATGAAAGTAGAGACAAAACAAAATAGAAAAGATGAATTTCGTTGTGCGTCCACATTACCAATCTTCGTAAAAAAATGCACTCCCTCTCCCTCTCTCTCACGAAATGCAGATACAGATGTTGTAGTCGAGTCCCAAGACTCTCTCGATGCAACAAATAAAACACCAAACCGAGTATTTGCGAGCATATTGACGTTGTTTGTTTCGGAGGAACACTCGCAAAAAAAAGCCACCAAATTTCTTGCACAAAGCCTATCTGAAACTTACGATTTTTGTCGAGTGGGGAAGTAGATCCAGATGTGAATCATCCTTCGAAGATGCCACTGCATCTAAACATACTTTACTAGCAAGTAGCAGCTACAATCTTTTCCTTATTTATAAAAGTTTTTCTCCCAGGAGTAGAATAGGCGAAGATGAAGCTAGACTCTTACTAGTCGGACACTGTTAGAAGTATCTGAAGACTTCTTCTGCCACTGACTCTTCTATATACTTATTATCGGGTAAATTCTTTGGTATAGAGGACTAATTTCTTCTAAACACAGTATCTACTTATGATACTTCTTGTTTTGCTGAACGAGAATGTCTGCTTCTCAATCTTGACTAGCACTTGACGAAAATATTAAAATGACAATAATTGCCTGCACAACGTGCTAGAAGTGGAGTCTGTCTAGTAGTAATGGTAATGAATCTGAGTAACTTTATGTTTATCTGTCCTCACCGCAGTACTTAATAAAAGCTCCTTGTGCTTTTTTCGTAGTTCTCGGAATAGATACTTTTGGACACTCACACGACGGCTAGAAGAAAATCTGAAAATTTCAACAGAAGTAGGCCACGCAAAAATGCGGACCTTTTTCTCGTCGTCCATTGTGTTATTCTACAGGTTCTCCTGCATGATCCTCCTCGTCGTTCTTGTTCACTCTCCGATGGAGAGATGAACATCAGAACTCTAGTAACAGTTAAGAAAGAAATAGAAACATTCGACTTCAAAACCCAAAACAAACGAGATTGATGGTAATTAAAATGGAAATCTTAATTTCCACTGTGGAAAATAAAGTGTATATTACAGGTTGAATTTTTCGCCGGTCGCATAGAAGTCAAAGATCGACTGTTCTCCGTTATTTGTAAGTACCCAGATTTCATCATCAGATACCTGGGGAGGAAAACGTAACATCCTACAGTCCGCCCGCATTTTTCCGAAAAGTTTGGATTTGTCAAAACTTGCTTTTCTTACTTCGAAGTTATGCACATGGCCATTGTTATTTCGTAATCTTTGTAGCAGAAAACCCATTCGTAAAAATTCTTTCACGACCTGTTCTTCGATTACTTGTAGAACCCGTAGGGCTTGCAGCAGATCAACTCGACCATATTCGCGAGGGTAAGCGCCGCCAAGCCATTGGGCACCTTGCCGGGCTTTGCGGTCTCGGCCACAGCACCGGTGGTGGCAACCGCCGCTGTTGCCTTCTGCGCGGAGCCGGCCAAGGGACCCAATACCGCGTCCGGGGCGTACTTCTGGATCACGTCCGCCGGGTGGATCATGTTGAACTCCTCGGTTGCATCCTTTCCGGCGAAGGTCAGGATGGCCAGCGCGCCCCCGGGGTGGTCGGGGAGAAACTTGGTCACATCCAGCACCTGTCCGTTCACCACAACCCAGCAGTCGTCCTTGGTGGTGGGGTATCGACTGCAAAAATGTCTCAGTTTGGAAGCTTGTGATGCAGAACCGTGAATGAGACAAACACTTGCATTTCCAATCGCAGCATCCGAGCATGACAAGTGTTTTCCACGCTCGCTTATGCGTGGCAATACGCATAATTTCAATTGCAAACAGAAGCTCCGCTGCTCTTGTCGGTCATGCAATACAACTTTTCATCCAGAACAAATGTAAGACACGCAATACAACAAGTTCACGTGTTCCAGACTGGGAAAACATATTTGCATTCGATATGTGCTTCGCGACCTCTTCCAAGGTCAACTTGGAGTTACCCTCGGTCGGAGCGCCCGGGGCGTCCTCGTAGCTCCCACCGGACAGAGCAGACTTCTGGGTGCCGCCGCCCGCGATGCTATGCATTGCAAAAGTATCGTACTAGTGGTAGTGAGAATTGCGTCACAAATTATTTTGTCAGCGTGATCATTTGCAGTGCAGCTCCTGCAGTCTGTAATGCTAATTTAGCCTAGAAAAAACATTTGCCATGCATGACTGCAATGAATGAGTACAACGAGTACGATACTTTTTCACGGGATAAATGCCGCCGCCCGACAACTCCATCAGCGACGTCTTCTTCATGGCGGCGCCGAGCATGTACTGCGAGCACGCCTTGCCGGCCACGCGACCGTACACGACGCAGTCCAGCAACGAGTTGCCGCCCAACCGGTTGTTTCCGTGGACGCCGCCCATCACCTCGCCGGCCGCGTACAGACCCGGGATGACTTTTCCGCCCGCGCCAACCACCTCGGAGGACGTCGTGATTTCCAAACCGCCCATACCTGACATTTTTTTAAAAACATCTCGGACAGAAACTCCCGCTTCTTGGTGAAAGGATCTTCACAAGAATGATCTGAAGCTACTAGCGTCAGCGATTCACACAACAACTCAGTAGACCCCTGCAAAGCAAGAAACTACAGCTTATAGATTTATCAAAAAGATAAAACGAATACAGTAGTGGATGATCGGGGTGATGATCGCGACGTAAAACGGTTCGGAGGCGAACTGCGAGCCCGGGATGATGTTGTGGAAGAACTTCTTCCCCGACCCGGTCTTGCCGGACGGCTCGTCCCAGGTCTTGCCGCTGGGGTAGGCCGGGAACGGGCCACCATCCGGGTCCTTCTCCATCTTCAACGCAGCCTGGTAGTGGGCCTCATGCGCGGCAGCCATGCGCTCCACCGGAACACCGAGGTCCTTCGCGAGAGCGGCACCAGATTCGTAGAACTTCATCACGCCACGCCCGGTGTAGTGCTTGCAGTGCCAGATGATTTCTTCGGAGGCAGCCTGAGGTTTTAGTTGGAGGTGGTTTTGATGTTTACTACGCTTGTGTTTTTGGAGAGAGGTGTTCAAGCGTGATGGCATTTTTCTGACTGTTAATGGAGAGGCACTGATCATGCATGCCCGCAAATTGCACATAAAATGTATTTACAGTTTTACCTTGTTCAAGCACAGACGGAAGGGTCCCTTGTTCTTCCACATCTCTCCGGTGACGTAGTCGCGGCGACCCAACTCGTTGGCGAACCGGTTGCCATCTGCATCGAAGATCAAACCACCGACACCACGCAGCGCCTCGGCGGCCAAGAACTTCACCTTCGCATCCGGATCCTTGGGGTTCACCAAACCGGTCGGGTGGACCTGCACCCACTCCAGATCGATGGTCCGCGCACCAATGGCTTCACCCATCTTGATACCGTCACCTGCGGATTTGATGGTTTTGTTTTTATTCTACTAGGATGAGCAGTAGATGAACACCCATCTTCAAAAATAACGATCATCATTCTCTTAAGGTTGTACAGCAGACGAGCTAGAAATCTAAACTACCGGTGCAGTGCTCGCCATTCGAGGTGGGCAAGTGCATCAAGTCCGGGCGGTACTTGGCCAGCAGAGAGTCCTGGGAAAAGTCGGCGCCGAACCCGCCGGTGGCGATGATGACCGGTCCCATTTCCTTCAGCATGGAGCCACCCTTTTCGTAGTTGACGCCGATCACTTTTCCTCCCTGGAAGATCAGGCTCGTGGCCTTGGCCTTGGTGACGACCTTCGCCACCGAACCGTTGGTCTTCTCCGCGATCTTTTCCACCATCTGGATCAAGGCGTAGGTGATGGTCATACCCGGGAAGCGCTCCTTACCACGGTGGGTACGCGGGGCGGAGTGACCACCCAGACGGGCGACCAGAGAGAGGTCCAGACCGAACACGTCCATCAACCAGTCGCAATCCGGACCAGAATTTTCGGCGAGGACCTTTTTTTGTATTGCAGAATTTTGCATGATGCGTTGTCGTAGCTGTTCTGTAAAAGTTCAAGTTTGGAATGCATATGACTAATGAGAGCTCAAAGTTGTATTGCAAAAGTCACATATTATACCTTGACCAACTCCGGCTTCTTCGCACCACCCTTCAAGCAATCGTTGGTAAACAGCTCCACGGAATCCTCAATTCCATTGGCGCGTTGGGTCTGTAGTGGTATTGGTAAGTGGTTTAGGCATGACAGACTTGATCCATCATCTTGGTTTCACATCTTAAATTGCAAGCGTAAGCTTGCAGTTTGAATGAGACATGCAAATTCCCGAACAAAATCCAAGTGAATAAATCCCAAGTGTGTTGTATTAATACCTTGGTGTTAGCCCCGTTGATTCCACTGGTGGCCTTGGTCGAGTTACCACCGCAGAACGCGGACTTGTCCAGCAGCACAACCTTGCCGCCGTTTTCCATAACGGTATTGGCCGCAGCCATACCGGACAAACCACCACCGAGCACGATAGCAGTCATTTTCGATTGTGGTTGTTACGTTTTTACAAAAAACGCAAAAAACGAGGGGAGACTCTTTGCGGAATTCAAACTAAAACTGTTTTCTTGATTTCAAAAATTTTGGGGGGAGCAGGCAGAGGTCTATGCGATCTCTGTCACCACCAGGGAGAGAACGAGAGTTGTAACTTTATTTTGACGGGGAGGTATGTACACTTACATACACAGCGAGACGTCTAGATAGTTATGGTTGAGTTTTTCTACCGCGGGTGAAAATTTGATTTTTTTACAAGATGAGCACTTTTGTTGGTACTTCGGTCAAAGTGCAATAGGAGGAAAACAGGATACAACACAGAGTGTAGTCTATGTGAGCTTTGTGGCACTATCAGGCTCGGTATACTTACCAAGGGTAGCACAAGGTTACTTCTTGTTTCAAGGTAGTTCCTTCTACTTTATGCAAACACGGGTGAAATGATTTTATCCCTTCCTTTTGATTGACGCTACGAGTCAGCACGACCCAGTGGACAAGAAAGTTGAGAATGATGTTGAGGAAAATCAGTTTTTATAAACTTCGTCTCAGTAAACTTACTTTTGATTTTTCTCGACGTTGGGGTTTATAGATTTCCGCTTAATATCTCCCTGCAGCGATTCAGACCGTTGAAAATGAAAACAACTTCATGGCGTCAGGAAAAATTATATCGTGCATGTACCGAGGATGGTGGAAGCGAACATCAAAATTGCAATACAAAAAACGAGCTGTAGTGTGCGTGTCTCGACGTATTAACGGGCCTTTTCGCAATCGCATATTCCCTCCTTCTACAACTATTCTTTTTCTTTCTCTCCCGAAATGCAGGTCGCAATAATGAAGCGTTACTCTCTTTCAGTGCAGAAAAAAAAACCGAGTAGATCACCTGCCGTGAGGTCATTCGCGACGTTTTTTGTGTCGTCAAATTCGAATCGAGAGAACAGGAACACTCAGTGGTCACCTCTTTATTAGCTACTACTCGTACCACTTTCTAAATATCCTACCTGCGCCTGACGTCAAAAACGGGCCCGGGGTGATTGAATTATTTCTCTCTACTCTTACTCTTCTCGAGCCAACAAGTTTCGTACTATACTTTCGAATTGTTTTGTTCCTCTAGTAGAGGTCTTCAACGGGAGGCGACGAGGAGATGACAAATTTGTACAATTTCAAACAACTCATAGGTGCGATAGTACCTCCATCTTACGCCCACATATTTCGAGCAGGAGGCGCGACAAGCTCAGAATCATACAGAGGTAAAAGTTTTTCAGGAGCAGAGCTGTTCTCCACGTCCACCTCGACGCTGAGGTAGAAATAGAATCATTTTTATTACAGTCCAAAACATACAAACTTCTCCTATTGCATTTCTGTTCTGCTCTTGCTGTCAGAGTCAGCAAGATGAAGCATTTTATATCGGTTGTATCTTTGGTGAAGCTAGCAAGTAGAGGTTGATGTAGCAGGTACACCAGGTAGCTCAATTTCTACAACCACGCAGCTCTTCCTCAGACAAATTCCTTCCTCAACTCAGCTTGGCCCCCTCGTGCGGGAAGTAGGCCTCTGGCTGCGACAATTTCAGGTCGCGGCGTTTGCTCAGGGATCCGCTACTGGAGCAGGCGATGCCCCGGGGGAGCGTGAGCGCCACCTTGCGAAATTCGTCGGGCTCCTCTGTTGTTGGATAATTGTATTTTTGTTTTATTTAAGTACTACATCTACAACCAACGCCACGCATCAGAAAATCACTTTCTAATTGCATTGTTCTCAGCATCACAAACTACAGTGTCAGTGTATTTCAATTTCTCTTTATCGATCGTACTTGTCTCCCACTCGTGAATCAGCCTTCGTTGCTTGTTGTAGGAGTCCATGGGCCGGAAGTAATCGCGGTTCAAATCCAGATGATACCCATTCAAAGTCCACTGCTTTCTCTTCGCACGGTCTTTATCCACAGAAAAAAAACCACCCACATCCAATTTTTCATGCAAAACACGCATCAAGTCATGTGTTTGTCATGCAAAAAATGGATGTGGATGGGTTTTTTTCTGTGGATAGTCTTTCAGGATTTTCTCCACCTCCGGGCACGGCTCGTATTCGATGTTATGACACCCTCAGAATGGAAATCCTCAAACTGGAAATAATTTGTGACGCATGAAATGCGACACCAAAAAGACTGTATTGCAGAGAACGCAATGGAGGCCGACTATTGTGCTTCTACGGGTTCAGAATTGGGCTCCTGATTAGCATGAGAGGAGGGCACCCCTTTGCCTAACTAGCATGACAGACACGTTTTGAGTGCCTGGGAAATTTATTGTCATGCGCCGACTACAAATGGCGCCCCAACTGGATTCGTTTTTTTGCATTACAAATTATCTTCACTTTGAGGATTTCCAACCTGAGGCTTTCATAGATATTGGTTTCTGCCGCGTAACTGGGCTGCGTGCTGGAAAAATCCTCGGAATGGAGGGAAGCTGGTATTGGTGTTTTTGAGAGTTTGCGTTAGTTTTGATAATTTTCACATTTGCGTATACGTGGTATTATGCCATGCAGAACCAGACAAACTACATGGAGAGTGGTGAGAACAGCAGCGTTTTGTTTCTCCTCCTGCAAAGGCAAACAAGATAAGACGAAGACCAATAAAGAATACCTCTCTCCGCATCTATCGCCGCACGAATTGCCGATCCCCGGTCGTCTGATTCTTTGCTTGCCCGGGATTCTTTCGATTTTCTGTGTCTTTCCTCCCGTGCGACCTTCTCGTCATGGGCATTCATACCACGCTTTTTCAGGCATTGCTGCTCCTGGTGCGTCGCCCAAATGATCATCTGCTTGTTCGCAAATTGCGAATAGGTCTCGAAAACGGCGCGCGGCATTTTCGTTCGGGTTGGCGTTCTTCACGGGAAGTAGTAGTGAGTAGGAGCGCCGTCACTCGTGCATACGACTAGCCGTATCTGCTCTAGTGAAGCCGCAACTAAGACAAGCAAACAGAGCGACAGTGAGTCTTTCTAGCTGATGAACCTTCAAAGGCAACACTTACGAGACGCAACAACTTCATTCTGTCGGGTAGGAGGCTGACGTCGAAGACAAGACTCTACTTCGGTTACCACTCACACTCGTCAGATACGCGGACGCGGATACACAACTCGACTGCTCGAGGAGGGAATGAAAACTAAGTAGCTCATCCTCGTCAAAATCGAAGGAATGCTGAGAACGGACGCGAAATAATACCTGCGAAACAAAGTCAGAAATACGCGGCGGGGCACGCAGCCAAGCAATGGCGGCGCCAGGGAGCGCAGGCAGGGACGGCAGGGCGAAGGCACATACTGACACCCCACACGCACTGGCCTCTCCTGATGCGTGGGCCTTGCGGGCTGGCCACTGCGGTTTGGCTGGGTCCCGGCCGATTGACGCGGGCCCACATGAATGTGAGCGGCCGCCCGACGGACAGGCGACAACGCCTGCCTGCAGACTTGCTGCATACGAACGGCGGCGGGGCGAATGGTCGCCCGCGCCCTTGCGCGTGGGGCCATCGTGCACGCCCTGCCCGCCTACCATCGCTTCGCTAGCGCCGGGGGGGGGGGGCGGCACGCGCCGGCCCCCCTTCTGCTGCCTGCAAACAAAGGCGCGGGCCGCCTTGCCCAGGTAACCGAGGCGGGCCGCCCGGGCGCGGCGGGGTGTGTATTTGGCCGGGCGCCAGGCCGTCGCTTGGTCCCGTTGGCGCGGAGGTAGTTCCCCCACGGTGACCGGAGCACGCACATCACTGCCCAAACTCCCGCAGTTGGTCCTGCAGGTTTGCCAGCAGTTTTCCGAAGTCCTGCATGTTGCACATGCACGGCCGCAGAACGTCGCGCCCTCCGTTCTCTGCCGCCCGCTGGGGGGCTCCACGGTTCATCGGTGCGAGGGGCTTTTGCCTACAAGCTTACGCACTCGGATGAAAACTGCTCGAAACCGTCCGCCCCACTGTGTCTACATTGCCGCCCCCTCGTCCGAGCAAGGCGCTTCGGCTTGGTCATACAAACGCGCCCCGCCTGCTTTTGAGTGCAACAACTTGCTCCTGCCGACCCCTTCGTCCCACGTCGGAACCCGAACCACCGACATGATCCGCGTTTGCAATCGACGGGGCTGCGGCCTTGTCAATCCTCCGCGCCATAAGGTCAGGAAGTGCGCTCACCCGGCCCCAGCTCGGGCGGCCCCCAGCTCGGGCGGTGCCGCCAGATTGCCGCGCAAAACCCTTCCCCTGCCTTACCACGAAGAGCCCCCGCTCCAATGCGCTGGCGAAATCCTCGAAGCCGCCCCATACTCCCCGGCGGGCGGCAGCCAATAGGTGGCGGCGACGCCTTTCCTTTGGCGCCCAAGAAGGAAAGCGTCTCCTCTCGTGCTCGTCCTGTTTTCCATCTCAACACGGTGGAGAATCAACATCGGAAAGTCTCTCTCTTCTTGTCTCTCTCGGCACTCATAGACTACCACTCACGAAACATCTGCGTGACCCTCGAGCGCTCGTACCAAAATGACACACCGTCCACTTGACGATAAAACACAGACCCTTTCTTGCAGCGTTCTATTCTTGAACGAATTTATCGGTGCGTGTTTTGCTTGTTCTAACGAAGTAGACACTTTTCTAATGGTCATTTACATTCACTTATGAAACACCACCAGGGTAGCTTGGCGTACATCAGGGTTTTTTTCTTTGCTTTTCTAGCGTCGAAGACGATTGCTTCTACATCGAGGCTTTGTACATTGGTACAAGTCATCAACCCACAATCTCCTCCAAGCGCACCGTATCATTCATCACTTTCACATCCTCCCTGCACCAACTACATTGCCAATGATGCTTGAAGATCGCCTTTTCCGAAAAAAACTCCTCCGCTTGCTTGGACAGAAGAAGGCAAGCGTAAGTGGTTCTTGTAGGCTGGTGAAAGTCGTTCCTGTCGATTGAGGCGCCGTAGTCGACCTCGTCATCTTGGAGCCAGGAGGACACAATGTCGCTTGAAACAATGTCGTACACCAGCTCAGGGTCAACCTCAACCTCGACGTGGTCGTGTTGATAACTCATATTAATACAAACAAAATCCCCTGGCCACAGAAAAACGGCAAAAAATTTCAAGACGCGCGCGCGCGCGCGTTACGCGCGCGCGGGTAACGCGTGCGCGAGCGCGGGCGCCCGTAATGCGCGCACGCGCGTAACGCGTACAGGCGGGCGCGTAACGCGCGCGCGCGTAACGCGCGAGGCACGCGGGGGGCCGGGCGGGGGCC